ACATTCATCTCACATCCTCCAGCCTCTCGACGTAGTATGTTTCTCACCGCTGAAGAGAAAATACTCTGAGCGTGTCAGAGGCTTGGCACGGAACCGCGTCTTCTATATCAACAAAGAGAACTTCCTTCCAGCCTTTAAGGACGCGTTTTTCGACGTGTTTACGAAAGAGAACTGTCGAAAGGCCTTTGAGGCAACAGCGATAGTCCGTACAGACGCGCAAACAGTCATTGATCGTCTTGATATACGTTTACACACCCCTCCTCGACAGCTATTACCGGAAGCAGCATGGGAGTCCCAAACACCAAGCAATTCGCATGAATTCGGATCTCAATCACGGCTGATTAGTAGCTCTTTCCTTAGATCTCCACCCGAAGCTAAGGAAGGGTTCTCACAGTTGGTAAAAGGTGCTGAGTTGATGCTCCATCAGAATGTACTTCAAGCTGCACGGATTACAGAGCTTGAAGAGCAATTAGCAGTATTAACTAAGAGAAGATCGCGCAAACGGAAGCAGATACAGCAAGGTGGATCTATAGAGTATGGTATTGGAGCATTGCAGGCAGGCGTAGATGCGGGTCTGAGTGCTCAACAATCGAAAAGGACTCGTGATAAAGCTGGTCCTGAACGAGGACTTCTAACTCAACGACGATGTGGAAACTGCGGAATAGCTGGACACAACTCGCGAACCTGCCAGCAGGATAGAGATGCTCCTTCTGAATCATATCCTAGCATAGCAGCTATATAACTAGGTATGTAGTCAAATAAACCATGTTTGCAGTCACCTCATTTTCAATGCCAAGGAAAAGTGGCGGGTTCGGTGGTGTGGCCGGCTCGCTGATGGATTACGTTATTCTTCTAGAAATGGGAAATTTTCAAGAGCTAAGCCTCGAACGCAAGCGCGTGTTGGCAGCATTGCTCAGCCTTCGTCTCGAATCCGGCCCAAACAGATGCGCCAGCTCCACCGAGCGGTAATCGACACTACCACCGACTACGCAGCATCGACATGGTACGCGAGGCGCAAGCTGACCTGCTCGAGCAGCTGGATCGCCTCCTTCGTCTGCCCGTTCGCGCGATATGCCCCGGCCAGCGCGAGCGCCGCCCGGAAGCAGCACGAGCGATATAGCCACTGCAGTGCTTCCTTTGTTCTTCCATCTTTTTGCAGACAGCGCCCGACTTTGTAGTAAAGCTGGCTCGTTTTCCTCACCTCGGCGCCACAGCCGTCATGCTCTTGCCGTTCCCGCACCCGCGCCGCGTGTGGCATATATGCTCGCCACGTCGCACGATTGTGATATTCATCCGTTGGAAATATCGCCGCCAAATGCTCGACGACCTGCAGCTGTGTATCCCCCAACTGGCCATTTTCGCGCAGCCATAACCAGCTTGCTAGATGGACGAGCCGGTGCATTTCGTACGCCATCCCATCCGTCCGCTTGCTGACAAATGCATACGAAAAGAGTGTACCGATCGCTTCGAGCATTCGCGCCTCGGGTCGTATTACACTCGAATGCCCGCAGATGGGTAAGGGCTGGAGAAGTAGGGCGTCACATCCTGCCTCGCTATCGAGGGTGGCATAGCTAGTGGAAAACCTCCGTACTTCCAGTGACAACAAAGCTTGCATCATTCCACATGCGAGTGCATTGCCTGCCACCGATGCGTAATTTGGATGGCTCGCTGAACGTACATTCTCTTCTCAACTTGTGCACCAATAAGATGTCGAGTAGCATGGTGATCGTCCTCCGCTCCAGAGCATCTACGGAATGACGAGAACACCATGATCACACCGGGCCAACTACTTCACTATGTTCCAGAGGGCTTCCACGCTGCGGAGGGCCAATACTCGGACGCGGCCGTCAGCCATCTCTGCAATGAGGCACTACTCCTTGCTGGTATTTGACCTGTCAATGCTTCCAGGGTCGAAGTTGGAGAAGCAAAACACAACAAATCGATACGTAGCAAACACGAGCCAATCCCGGAGACCAGCAGATATGAATCGAGTAGGCAGTGACGTGGTAATTCAAACAGCAACAGAGGAGAGCCCGGCGCGATGATGCAGGCATTACTGTCGTGCTGCATTACCTCCGAGCCGTGACTGACTGGCAAGCAGTAAGTACACTTCCAGATGAGCTCATGTTTGTGTCCAACCAAGCACACCGATGTGAACCACGGATGGCCCTCCATGGTGTAGCTGTCGTCAACGACTCTCGGGCTACTGTATCTTCGGAGCATTTTCGCCGTCGCTGATACCCTGCGTCATCACCTTGAGAACGTCCTCTTGTCCTGGAGGGCTTGTAAATCTCCAGCTGTGTCGGAGGACGACCGACCAGCACTGCCTTCAAAGACAGATGATCCTTCGGGCTAACGAAAGCTGAGCTATATTCTCTGTGACTTCCGGTGCACCAATCAGACGTCTAATAAACACTGCACACCGGCGCGAGAATTAAATGTTATCACGTGTCAAGCTCTCACGTGGCTCCTTTTCATCAAACTCAAGCTGACCTAAATTATATGTCAACATGCTCATGTAGTCGAATAACGGCCTTTGGAGGTTCACTGACCCGGACTACTTGCATTTAAGACATTTTCGCTTTCAAACTGTCCATCCTGAAAGTCGACTAATTCGGTGGGAAATCCAGAGTCCTGGAAGTAGTGTTCCGTGACTTCCGTCGTTTCGCCCAATATCCTCGCACGCGGTGGACGCGGCAAAGGGCCAAAATTGGGCCACGGATTGCGGCCAGATGTGGCCCATTCCCGTGTCCCTAACCTGCGTGATACAACCACTCAATCGTGTCGTCGGGCGGGTTCCAAGGTGTCTCGGGTTGCGAGGGTGGCGGGGCCCTAGGACCGGAAACTTGCTCGGTCCCCGACACTTCTCGCGGCTTGGCATTTCTCGCTTTCACCAAGGGCAAAATGCATATGCGCCCTTGTTTTGACTTAAAATGCCTTTTGAGCCCATCGTTTCTCACGAAACGAGCTTTGCAGCCCCAAGTCTCTCCACTGTCGAGGGTGCCGCCGCAGATGAACTTCTTTAGAGAATGAGATGCAAGATGCCGCCGCAGATCATTCAAGCGTGCGTATGTCTTGGAGCACACTCCACAGGCGTGTGGCCGTTCGTTTGTATGTGATCTCAGATGATTGTTGAGATTGTGCTGCCGAGTGAATTGTTTCGGACAAATTTCACACTGGTAAACCCTGCTGCGTTGCTGTGGCGCAGCAGTGGCTCTTGCGGGGCTTGAGTCTGTCTGCGACTTTGAGGTTGAAGGGTAAGATCTTTTTGATTTCACGCCGCCGGCAAGGAATTGTTCCAGGGTCGAACCGTTCAGCAACTCGTCTAGCGTCATGGCATTCTCGAAATCATCGTCTGATGTATCGTTGGACGGTGTCTCCTCATGCTCTCCATCTGGTGTGGTATCAACAGGTACAGGCTCTGGCTGCGCTTCCTCTGAGTCTTGACTCTGATCGATAGGCTCGTCGTCTGGCACTTCGGGCAGGCTTGTCTGCTCGTCAACTTCGACCTCCGGTCCGACAGACATGCGTGTCTCTTCAACTGATTCCGGCGGTGTTATGGCGTCCTGAATCTGTTCGACTGGTTCCGGAAAGTCATCATCTGTTGGGCCCTCGGCATGAGCTTCCTTGATATGTTTCTCAAGCTCTTTCGCTGTTGGGTACCCCAATGTAGCATACAGACAAACAGTCTTGGGGCAAAGATGAGCTCGTTCATGTTTTTGCACGTGCAGATCTCTCGACTTGGGAGCCGCGAAACCCTCGTGGTACCATTTGCAATAGATGCGAGGGCATTTGAAGAGCTGTTCCCCATAGTAGACCTCTAGATCCGGGCGCGTCTGCGAGTCTGACGCGCTGGCTTCAATCTGAAAACGTATTCTTATAATGGAAGTGAATAGGTCAAGTGTCTCAATTTGCCCCGAGTCTTGAAGATTATTCGTTTGGAGACAGTGCATCGCTGACATGGAGTCCCTGATATGACCGCAGAGAGGACCGAGATATGTGATATGACTGGTGAGCCTTTGGATGAATTTCGTGGGCCTGCTGCGCTTGTTGGGAGTCTTCCAGTGGAGCGCAAAGAACTGTGTCAGAGCTTGTTTGATAGATGGAGACATACCATGGACACCATGGTTTTCCAGAACTTGCTCAAGATGGATCGACCAGGACACGATGGCATACTCCATGAACGCATATGTACCTAGATCGGCGTAATCTTTGATCTCGATAGCGGTACGACCTGATGAGAATGCAGGCATACTGAGATAGGTCAGGCAGAGCTCTGTGAAGGAGGCATGCTCTTTAGCAGCATCGACAATACCGTATGTCAATAAATAGCTACACAGTGTTGGTCAGCCATTGGTACCCGAAGCGTTCATAAGGCTGTTGGTATCACCTCTTGACCGTGGAATGCACGAAGCTGACATCTCCGTTCGATTGTTCTTCCACCAGTGCGCCACACAGATTTTTTATACCAACCTTGAGATGTCGATCCTCGAAGTTGAACATTCCTTGCGCCATATCGACCGAAATTGCTGCTTGAATCTCTCGCCATTTCAGGAGTCTCACAGCACAAGTGATCCAAGCCAACAATAGTTTCGCTTTCCTTATGTAAGGCGGCGGAGCTCGTCCGAGAATGCGGTCAATAATACGAGCATATCTGTCATTGTCAGCATGAGCGATTCGCTGAGGTTATAGACCCGCGAAAACCTACATCTCGTTCAATTTTGTCGGAAAAATATTCATTGCCATTTCCTGTTCGATCTCAAGCTTGGATGTTTGGAACGAAAGATTTTCCATAACCAGATGAGCAAACAGGAACATGCCGTCGGCGTGCACAAATGTTTTGTGCGCAATCGATATACTGTCTTCCCTGGAGAGATCAAAATGGTCCATGATCTCGTTAGCGCGTTGGTCACAATATGAGCGTATATCTTGTTCATGTCCCGAGCCCTGTACTCGAATCACGGGAAGTGCGCCAAACAAAGGTCGAGTTACTTCGTCGTCCTGGCTGATCATGACGCATCGACTTGGATCGGCCTCTGAACTATGCTTATCTGCATACTTGAGCCAGAAGTCTGCAATGTGTTTCTGCTCAACTTTCTGGCATTCGTCAATGCCATCAATGATGACATGCACCTTGCCGATGGCCTTCAGACAAGCATCTAAGGCTTCGATAGCCAACCTGTTTGTGTTAAGGTTTCTCTCCCCTTTCTTACTTGCTAGCTCAAAAAGATACACAGCGAGTGTATCATCGGCATGTAAAAGCTGGTGTAGGATGGATCTTGCCATTGCGACGAAAGTGTTCTTCTGCGGATCGTCTTGTTTACAGTAAAAGTATACCGTAAGCGTTTCCTCGATCTTGGAGCATTCTTCAATAATCAGGGAAGCAAGGACAGATTTCCCTAAGCAAGACATTAGTTTTGTATAGCAAGAGATCATATCTTGACACTAAACGAACCAGCTCCTGGTATACCGGTGATCCATAGCGTATTCTCAGAATCACTTGCCGGCTCTAGCCATGATCTGAATGTGCGATCCTCCTTGAGCCATTGGCCACTTTGCGAATTGGAAGCACGCAGTGAGCACCGATGTTCCTGGTCTGCGAGCGCATCGGCAGCCGATAACCAATTCAATAGGTGTAGCCTGCGACGAAGAACTTCATCGTCGTTCAATTTACGAAATTTGGCCTCATTTTCTGACCTCGTCTGCCTTGCTTGCTCCAGAAGTCCGCGCATACGAGCAGATTGCTCACTACGCTCTTGTCGATTTTGCACGAGTTCTGAAGTGTTGGTTTCTTTTTCGAGTTCGAGCTTCAACCGACCGATTGTATTAACATGTTCATTGAGCCTAGCCTGTAGTCTGTCCCAAGTTGAATCAAGGAGTGATTTCCAAGCTAAGCTCCATTTAGTTCACCGTGATAACATCGAGGAACAGAAAGAAGATAATTCATTGCTTACCGGGCTTTTTGAAGTAGGTCAAGGCCAACTCATGAAATTCGAACACGTTACGAAATACCTCACCCATGACATTCGATCTCTCTACAGCGTCGACTAGACACTGCACGTAAGCGGAGGCTGGGATGCTTTCGCCTAGTCTTTGATACAGCCCAAGAACTCCGTTGAAAGCAAAATCGGAGGTTCTGACAATCTAAAAGACTCAACAATTAACGTCGATTTCAAGGATCAACTCATTTAGCATTGCTTACCTCGAGAAGAAGTTTCATAGGGCCCTGAGCGTATCACATAGTTCAGTAATCGTTTCGATGTCAAACTTGTCAGCTGATTCTTACCCAAATGAACGAGATGATGCACTGTTCACCTAGCGTATCATCCAAGTCCACGCTATATGTTTCCAAAGCGCTAAATAGAGGTTCAATGCGAGGGAAATTTTTGATCCTGCGCTCTTTTCGCTGCCTTGCCTGAATGACAGCAATCGTGAATTTTAGTTGCGTCATGTCAGTGATCACGAATTCGTCGACATGCGCATTAAACTTGTGGTAAAAGTCTCGAAATGTCTGCTGGAAAGGTGAGGCGTCCGTTTGTTGATTTGCGGTTGACGATATGATAGATGCGGGCTCGGCGATGCCGCCGAAGGACTGGCGCCCCTCGCCATTTCCGCCGACCGATTGAGAAATTGAAGACGGTTCCATATCGTTACTGTCGAAACCAGCGATGTGCGATTCTGCAATTTCCAACGCTCGTGGTAGATGCGTTCTCAGGAGATGAGTTGAGAAGCCAAGAATCTCGCATATTGTCACACAGAACATGCTGTCATCGAAAGTCGGGGTTGAAAACGTCCGTGTCTTCGACTCCAACTTCCATCTCGATACTAAGCCCGCTGCAGCGACTTGAATGAACATGTCCTCCTGGTCCATGTTGTAGTTGCACTCCACCATTTGCCTCCCATCATGGTCAAGTATACCCAGCAAAGCAAATATCTTGTCGCGTGCATCGCGGCACTGTTGAGATTTGAAATAATCTGCTGCGAGGTGCAGCGGGAGTCCTCGCGTTTCTTCGGCACACTGTCCTTCAGTACCGACTGATCGTCTTGATTTGCGCCAAGTGAACCGATGATGTATAAGACTCAAAGCGTATCGCCATCCTTGAAACAGGCCGTTCTCGGGTGTTTGCTGCTGCGAGAACTGCCAGGGCCGCTCGATTGCCCAAGCAGACCAGAATGATATTGGTGTCGAATGATTGAGACAAGCATCTGCGAGTGGTAATCTGGCAAGTCGTTCAAGACTTTCCCAATCGAAAATGATCGAGCCGCAATAAATCAAAATTCTTTTGCTCAGGAGCAACTCCTGGACAATCCAGAGGCGCTGCCAATACTCCTGAGAGCAGACATAGCTTAAGCCAATGATGGAGTCATCCTCCCATTCCGAAGTCGGCGTGCCATGATTGATGTAAGATTGGAAGCAGTCCAATTTCTGCTGGTGTTTCTCATCAGGTTCACCCAGCCATAGATGAGTGATGTTGGCGCTCTGATATATCTCTGACATGAAGCCAACCTGATTGCTCCGTTCTTCGTCGTCCAATTGATTCAGACATATCGCGTCGATGAAAATCGGCGCATCTATTGTCAGGTTCTGAAAGCGTGCAAGGAAATTCCATAAGTTCGTCCGCACATAGAATTGCTGATTGTGAACAATGATGGGTCGAACATCTCTTGCGGACCTTGCTTCGCCCCAGGTGTAAGACAAGGCATGATAGTGCTTGTTGGCCAGAGCAGAGATGGAAGCTATTTCGAATATACATTCGAACCTCTCGGGCAAAGCGCATTTGATTTTCAACAACCGTACCTGTGTCTTTGAGTCTATCCACGGATGCTCAAAAGAACCGTTACGCCGATGATCCTCGTCGCGGACATCTTTTGCACTGTCTGCGGTTGATTGTGTCATTGGTGATGCATGTCTGAATATTATATATTAGGATAATATGTGTGAGCATGAGGTATTGTCAAGTATGCAAGCTGTGAGTTTTGCGCAAATGCCTCGAAGTATGCACAAGCATCGAACACCGACAACCTTTTGAGGCTGATCAGTGGCGTATGGGCGGCCTCACCGGTGTGTCTGCACCTATGGCGTGCGTCGGCTGAAGCACCAGAGTGGGTAGCCATTCCAAAGGTTCAAGATTGATTTCATGAAGTTCTAACTGCGCCTTCCTGGCGAGCAAAGTCCGTCTCCTCGTTGAATTGCGACTTCAAGTTGAGGCGCGATATGACATGCGGTCACAATATGATGTCCGCCGAAATATGACTTGCCCAAAGCCTGCCCGCCCGCGTACGCCGCTCCGAGGACTGTAGGAGGTGGTCGAAGCGCACGAGATAGCCCGAGTGCTTATTTGATACGAGATTTTGAGACATCACCGTGGATGACATATATTCTTCTTAGGCTCTGCTTTTATGAGTCATCTCATTCTGCTATTGTCTCTGCTCTAGCAAATGCATACAGTGTGTGTGCTCCAGCCACCTGCTTTCGCGATCAGGCAAATTTGCGGAAATCCTCCGTCGAGAGTTCATGAAACACGTGCATAGCTTGCCGCAGATCTTCGTTGTTGCGATGCCTACAGCAGCGATGGCTATAGTAACGATGCAAGACTCTAAGCCTTATTCTGTTCTATGCAGGTGCCTGCTTGGGCACAGGATGTCTATCGCAGTCATGTATGCTGTGGCTCTTCCATGGACGATTTGATCGCGTCATGCATGGCATCGCTGAGCCACAGCCTCACCGGTCACGCCTAGGTGACTGCACAAACGCGTTCGTAATCCCTTCGGACAGAACACGAATCTACATTCTCGCTGCCGTCTAAATATCTTCTTCTGCGCCCGCTGAGCTATATGCTGAAATGCGACGGCATATATCAGCGGCTGACCAAGTATTCGCGAGTTGGCAGAAGTCAATGTCCCAGCAAGCATACATTCGGAGATGTCTTCCTCTATGAATGACATTGACGAGAAGGCAGTCGCGAGCACGACACATACTATATCAGAAAGAATGATATGCTATGGAACGGTATCACTTGACCTTGAACCCCGATTGATGCAGCGCGTATTGAATATCGCCTAGATCTTAAATGTGAAGTGTCAACTTCTCAGCATTAACCAAACGGACCTCGAAAATGATCATGAACGGCATATCGAAGACGAACACACAGAGTACCAGTCTCTTCAGGTAATCGTGAAGCATGGGAGACTTCTCGTAGGCACCCTCCTACATCCGGAACTGGTCAACATGAATTCTAGGGCGACATTCGTATTCCTGGAGTTGTTGAAGGTGGCAAATGTGCAGCTAGTGCCATTCGTTAAGAAGAAGGCGCTTCAAGCGCTGCTTTCACCATGTCCTACCGACAGGAAAGTTAACCTCCTTTTCATTGAGGTGAATGTCCAGGGCCTGGAGAGCGACTTCGGGACGATTGGAGCCTTGTTATCCGACCACGACTTTTACTTGCAGGATCCCTTCTGTCACGACCAGACTTTACTGTATCGTAACCCGCACGTGATGGTATTCGACATGCCCGATGAGCAATTGTGGCTTCACGAACTCTCCATGGATCTCCTGTCTGCACCAGGACGGGTAAAAGAGAATAATGATTGGAACGTGGTGCTAGATGATCTACCTCAAAATCATAATCTCAACGCAAGCGCAATCCAGGTGAACGCAGATGTTGTTACACGAGAGATCATGCCGTGCGTAGCGACGTGTATCGATTGTGAACATAGCTGACTCCACTCATGTAGACATCAGGGGGAGGCCCTCGACTTCATGTGCAAGCGTGAGCTTGGTGGAGAACTCTTGGACGAACATATGCGGTTGTGGCGACTTGAACGAAACTCCGGCGGAAAATCAGTGTATGCCGCTATCATTCATCACTGCACTTGATATATTTCGCTCACATTTACTCATTAGGTATCGTCATATTATCACCAAGGCCGAGTCACTGCAGCCACAACGAGAAGCTCAGGGAGGAGTGATTGCAGACGAAATGGGTCTGGGGAAAACGTTGACAACCATATCGTTGATCGCGGTTTCCCTGCCGCGAGCTGCACACTTTTCCAGCACCATGCCAAGTCAAAGCTTTTCACAGTCAACAGCGCCATTGCCGAGAAGCAGAGCGACACTCGTGGTCGTGCCATCCACTCGTAATCTTCACTGTGTACTGTTCTCGGGATACCCTCAGCTGACCTGGACACAGAATTGATGGACTCTTGGTCGAAAGAGCTGAAACGGTATGCTTGAATTTCATGCCTTAAACGAAGGGCCTCTGATGGATTCGTCAGACATACTCGTCCGGGAAGCCTGAAAATATCCTTTTATCATGGCCATGACCGCGTACGTCATTATTCAGAGCTTCTACACCAGGACATTGTCATTACCACGTATGGGACTATCGCCGCAGACTTTCGTCGATCGACTCGGCAATTCCTGTTCGATGTGCAATTCTTCAGAATCGTACTCGATGAAGGTCAGCTGGTTGGAAAGTCTCTCGTACGCCAATGCTGATGAGACAAATAGCCCACACCATCAGATCGCGCCGCACAAAGCTGTTCAAAGCCGTCACATCGATCGACGCTGCTCATCATTGGTGTCTGACAGGTACGCCGATATCGAACAAGGTCGATGACCTCGGCGCACTGCTCGAGTTCTGCAGAGTTCCATTGCTCGGCGACAGACAATGCTTCCAGCAGCATGTCGTTACTCCCTCGAGAAAGAATTTAAGGCGTGGCTATACGGTACTACGACTAATCTTAGGATCACTCTGTCTACGCCGTACCCGAGATCTGCTGGATATCCTCCAGCCATATCTTTCACAATCGGAAGTTGCGTTCTCAAAGTCTGAGTCGGTACAATACAAGAGCATTATCAAGAGGGTACGCCGTGATATTGATGTGGCGGTTAGCGGTCATAGCAACAAGACATCACAACAAATCATGCCTAAAGCGTTGCTGGAACTTCGCATTTTTTGCAATCAAGGAACGTTCACGCCCAAGCTTCAAAGCGGCGAAGAAGCAGAATTAGACGCCGAGGAGCAATTGAGCTTACTGCAGCAGACAGATGATGCTATCTGCGTGAAATGCGCTACTATAATTTCAACTGTGACAGTCAGCGACCAGGTCGAAATTTTCGAATCTGGTATAGTGGGGAAGTGCTCGCATCCCTTGTGTTCGTTGTGCTATGCTGATGCTGTCGACGACCCGTTGACAAATGAAACTTATACATGTCCGCTTTGCAAACAAGTGACAGTGCCACAAGCGTTGCCGAACAATTCGTCACTAGATAACACAGCGGTTCCAGCGGACTCGAGGCACTCAAGCAAGATCTCCATGCTCATTGAAGATCTACTGTCATCACAGAACGTATCTGTGCCGGAGAAAAGGTATGTGAATTGCAATGTGGAACAACACATGTCGTTGACATTCACTGCATCAGTATCGTATTTTCTTTCTGGACAAAAACTTTGAACATTGTGTCGGAGCTCTGTACATCAAAGGGGATCCGTCATGTTCGAATTGATGGCAAAACTCCTGGCCCTGCAAGGCCCGTGATCCTTGAACAATTCGCCAATGATCCATCGATTTCGACTTTGTTAATGACTATCGGCACTGGCGCATTGGGGTGGGTCCTATCCTTGCAAATCTTCGAGGCATATTTAACTTACATCAGACAGGCTCAATATTGTTTCTGCGTCGAGAATCCATATTCTGGAGCCGCAGTGGAATCCTGCCGTGGAAGCCCAAGCCATTGGAAGAGCGGTACGCATTGGTCAAGAGAGACGCACAACAGTCATTCTATACACGGTGAAAGACAGTATCGAAAAGGTGAGGCTTATCCGACCACACTGTCACCAGCTCCGCTCATCTAGCCTCTAGGCTATCCTCGGTTATCAAAAGCGCAAGATGAACCTCGCGGCAGGAGGCTTCGGTCATAGGAGCAACGATATTGGTCCGGAAGAGAACGCACGATTGACAGTGAGTATCTATCTAGGTCAAGTCCTCGCTTGCTCTTCCATCGCTAACATTGCTGTCCAGGCTCGATACCTTTCGCAGACTGCGAACAAGTAGTGAAGTTCCCGTGCACTGAATACAAGATGTCTGGTGAGTAGCATGTTCGTGCGTCCCGGCGGTGTCCATAGTGACATGGCCACGACGGGCGTGATATAGAAGGCAAATATTCAGCTACATCGAGAGCCGCGTTGCCAGGTCACCCGCAAGTATATCATTAAACATCTCCAACTTCCTGGTCGAATGCTCAGATGTACACCTGCTCGTGATGTGTGGTAAGGTAAGCAATCAAGATGGGACCTGTAATTTGACAGCCTACGATTGCATTTAATTACGTGGGGGAACGCTGGATATTCCCTACAAACACATGCGAGTTGCACTTTGTGTCATCGGCATCGATCTCCGAGCTAGCACACACAAAACGTCAGGATGAGGGCTGTGATTGGTGCACCACGAGAGCAGCACAATTTAGTCTGCCCACAAGCGGCCACTGGTGGCCTGAATTTGGCCCCCGAAATTTAGAGGCAGTGCAATGCGGAGGTATGTCCGAGTCGTCGCTGTCATGAACCGTTCAACATCAGCAGCTTTGACAAAATCAGAAGCGATGACATGTTGACGGTGACAGATGCGTGCAGGGGAATCTAGACTCGATCACTCGCCTGGTCGTTCAAATACGACGCGCCACGCGAATGAGACAATGTGTAGTCCTTTGGCGAGACGGTCCTGCAATGCGTGTCCTCGGTAGCGTATAGCAGAATTCGTTGTTCGGATATGATCTGCGGGTAGTGCATGGTGTCATCATGTCCTGCCAGATGGATGACCGATAGGGGATCAGATTGTGTCTTTGAAGTCAAACATGTTATTCACATGATCTAGAATGATAATTCGAACGGGCAGACCGGTAACATTGAACAGTATCGTAGGGGAAAGACTCCATTGGTAACAACGAAAGCTGCATAAATTTAGGCGCAACGGGAATCTCCTTCACTCATACTTGATGCCTTTCAATACAGAGTCCACCATTACTTCGCTCAAGCCCAAGTAGTTCGCCGGATCGCACAGCCCTTTCAGTTCTTCAGCAGACACGCCGCTCGCCTTGATCTCTTCATCTTCCACCAGAAGCTCAACAAGCGGCCTGTCACTAGTCTGAGCTTGACGGCACAGGGTATAGACCTTATCATGTGCATATTGCCTTCCCATAGCCTTGCCCAATCCCATCATGACTGCCTCCGAAACAATCGCGCCTTTCGACAACGCAAGATTAGCCGCCATGCCCTCTTTGTTCACCTCGAGACCTTCGAGCAAGTAAGCGGTGTGCTTGAGACAAGCGTGGCTCAGCGAGCATATTTGCGGAAGCATGATCCATTCGATCTCCCATGGACCTGTGCTGCGTTCGTGGTCCGCTACTATGCCTTCTGTCATGGCCGAAGCCATTGTTCGAACGCTGCTTGCGATCGAGCAGATGTAAGCTGAACCGATCGGGTTACGTTTTTGAGGCATTGTGCTGCTGCTCCCTCGGTGTGGAACGTAAGGTTCCATGGCTTCGTTGACCTCCGATTGCATCATCAGCTTGAGGTCGGTGGCGAATTTGGCGCATGTTGCGGTCAGAATGGCTAGATAGTTTGCGACCTCGGCGAAGTTGTCCCGTTCTGTATGCCATGCGATTGCAGGCACTGCAAGGCCGAGTTCTTCGGCCAGTAATTGCTGGCATTTTAGACCTAGTGGTGTCGTTCCTTTAGCTTTCGAAGTCGAGTCTGACGTATGATCGGGGATTGTTGCGAGTGTCCCGGCGGCACCACCGAACTCGAGAACGAGAAGTCGTGGTCTAAGCTCCTGAAGCCGAACCTTGTGGCGCTGAAAGGTCGCAAGAAGTCTCGCCATCTTGAAACCAAAGGACATCGGTACGGCTTGTTGCAAGTTCGACCGAGCAGCCATGGGCGTTGACTTGTGCGCCCGGCAGAGTGCTACTAGAGCTTCCATGATCCGGTCCAGTTCGGCCTCAACCAGAATCAAGGTTTCCTTGAGTTGAAGGACCACCGCCGTATCGGTCAGGTCCTGGGTCGTTGCTCCCCAGTGAGCCCATTCTCCTAGCTTTGGCTCGACTTCATTAACTTTCTTGACTAATTGTTGCACGACCGGCAATACCGGGTACCCGATCAGCTGCGTCTTTTTCGCCAACTCATCGAAGTCGATAAAGTCTGAGCTGCATGTCTTGACAATCTCATCGGCAGCTTTTTGAGGGATAATGTCGAGTTTGGCTTGCACTTTAGCCAGGGCGGCTTCGAAGTCCAAAAATAAGGACGTCCGGCGCGCGTCGGACCATATTTCCCGGGTCTCAGCGGTAGAGAATGACCCAGAAAAGATGGGGGAGTCTATGATCGACACAGTTGAACCAGAATGACCAGCGTCAGATTTGAAGCGACGCTGACTCCAGGAGCTCAAAGCTGGTTTGTGTGGTTGGTAATAGCATCGAATGGCTTGATTCCAATTCACGCCAATCGCGCCCGTTGAAGCGCGTGCGTTTCGGCAGAGTGATCGCGCAGCGCAAGCCATGACGCCGTTGGACTCGCGCAACAGATGGCCGCGAGGACGGAATACTCTATGCAATCAGACGAGAATAGATTCAGTTTCGAAGTTTCTTCAGATACTAAAAGCCCCAGAGCACTTGAATATTGAATATTTATGGATATTTCTTGGTAAAGCGACTCGTGCTGGCATCTGGTTGACAGCCGCAAGTTCCGACATACGTCACCGGCGATCGTCAATGTTACATCTACTCAATTGTGCCCTCCCCCTCGTGAGGAATACATACATATTTTTTGCTTGTACGCCGACTTTGAGCCGTTGGAGAACAACCCACGTCATGACGCCCAATCAACATTCCAGCAAGGATTCACGCTCATGGTGTGCCGAAATGTGTGCTCCATATCTCGCGCATTGGGACAATGACTCTTCAGAAATTTCGACAAGCGTCTATCAATCCAGTGGTCCAGCCCGTTGATATTGTACCTCTCGATCATCTGCGCCTGTTGCAGCGTTCTCTTTTGAAAGAAGGTGTACATGGCGGCCCTGTCCTTTCGAAGACAAGACGCGAATATTGCACCTCGATACACAACATCTTGTGTTACTCTTGATGTGTCTTTGGAAGTCAGCAGTAGAGGCATGATAGTTCTGGTTTCGGGAAAAGTGTCCGTCGCCAGAAGAGGATGTATCAACCGATCAGGTGGAAGCGCAGAGAACTCAATCACTTTGCGCTGAACTTTCTCTGGCAAAAGACTCCATGATGCAAAGGAACTCGCAGCTGTCGAAGATCCTTCAGCGTGTTGTTGCGGGTTCTGAAGGTCTGTATATTCGACCAGAGGGACAAGCTCGCGCTCTTCATTTGATGCTGACGTTGCCGCGGCTTTCTCGACCACTACACTCAATCCACGCAGGGATCTCAGTGCAGGACCCACTGCGACTATTCTTTCTGCTTGGACGACCCCTGGATCGAGCCCCGTCCGGGCGTAGAACTCATTCTCCTCTTCCTGCAGGGGATACACTAGGATAAGTTTCTCCAGGTTGACAAAATCGCGCTTAATCATATGCAGCATATCGGCGAAGACGCAGCGAGGCAGCGTTCCATCCAAAATCCCCAGGGAGATTCGCATGCATCTTATGAAAGCCGAGTTGTGTGGGCCAATCGTTGAGAGAAATCGAGGAGCGCGTTCATGATCCTCGGAATAGTGAAGGTCTGGGAGGATGGACTTGTACAAGATTGCAGCTCCCTCGCCGTGAAAGATGGAGCTGACCACATTAGCGACTGGCTATACAGCCTGTGCATCTGGCACGACGGCTTACCAAACACTGAACAGCACGGATGATTTCGTGGCGAGTAAGCATCGATTCGGGTAGCGACAATCGAAGGGTTTCAATTTGACGAAGACACGATTCCGGACTCCAGTATCGATTCGGAACGTTTCGTAAGGAACACCGGAGAAGAGAGCATGATACAGTATTTGTTGCAGTAAATCAACGGGAAGCGTGAGAATATTGATCGTTTCAGTACCCATAATTCGTTGCTTTGGTAATTCAACATGTACAAAGATGAAGTGGGTGAATTGTCTGTCTATAGCTCCTAGAACAAGGAAATTAATTTACAAGCACCTGGATGAAAATCAATTACCGTTTCTGTGAGAAGGATTCACTATGATTTCACACGATCCTTCGTCCACTCACGACAGCCGGATAGTTGAGGCCTGGAGATTTATGAATATAGGTCTCCACCTGCGCGGAAGAGGTAATGGGGCATGGTGAGAACTTACCCATGAGAGCTAGCGGCTGCTGCAAGTCCCTGGGTCTGCCCAGATAGCTGCATTGCCTGACGCATCGCCGGACGAACGTCCATGTTTGTTGCGCGGGCAGGCTGAAGCTGGTTTCCTTGCGACGAGCTCGACGGAATCTCACATGACACTGACAGACACCGGGTGCCGTATACACGAAGACGAGCTGAAAATGTAACGTCATGATTCATAGACCTAATGATTCGTACACTCGTTGTTCCCCTCGCGCCGTGCTGCTATAACGCTAAGTCAATGCAAATAATCAATGATTCAGAAATCTGAAAAGATCAATAGCAGGCGTGAGCGTCATCACGGCTCACCAAACAAATGAGCTGTGATATCGCCAATGTACGCCTCCTCCAAAGTGTACTCCCTCCCTTGCGCGTCATCAATACCGACATCCTCGAATGCTGTCACAACTTGCTCGACCGGAAATCCCATATTGACGAATTGGTCGACCATCCTGCGGTTGTAGCCCTTGTACGCCTCCTTACGACGCGCCTCTTCCTTTCGTTTGCGCTCTTTCTCCTCAGCTTTGCGACGCTCACTGCTGCCGGCGGCCTCCTGTTGTTCACCTGAGCCGCCCGCACCAGTCTTGACGCTGCCAGGTGGCGGCTTGGGTGCACCAGCATATCGTATCGCCCACTCCCGCGCTACATGGCGGAACTGTTCCGGACGAGTGAGGAGCATGCTAGCAACCTCAGCGTCCTGTGGATCTTTGGGCTCTGGGCTGCTGAGTAGTGATTGCAAACTGATCAAGGCACTCTTGAGGTTGAGGACGGGGCTCCAAGCAGTTCCGAGCGTGTCCAGGCAGATGGCGCCTGTTTGTGACGATACGTTCGGATGCCAGATTTTGGTAATGAAGCGCATCTCAGGTGGTCGAAAAGGGTAGTCAGACGTTATCCGAATGTCTACCTCATATTTGCCGCCTTCATAAGGTGTATCTGGTGGACCTCGGAAGTGTCCTTTGAAGCGTGTGAAGTCGGTGATTTCAGCCCCGCCTTGCGGATTCGTTATGGTGATGCCGGAGTGTACATCTTTGACGATTTCCTGAATCTCTTTCTGGAGACGACGGCTTCTATGAGCTGCCATCGCTATTCACCCCGCCAGATGTCAAGGAAACTGGTCGGAAGTGAAGCTCGGCGCTGTGATGCCGGTTCTTTGACAAACAAGACGATCTAGCGGCGTTTGGAAAGGCGAAAGGAAAGAAGCCCTCCGAGAAGTTCTCAAGTATGTGGTAGGTAAAACGCAATCGTCGAGTATAGTAGTTGAGTGTCACGAGACACGGATGTTGCTTTGTGGTGAGCGAATAGATGTGCTCATTCAGCGTGAAATTGTATGAAAGAGGAAGGAGTCGGGATGGAATGAGAAAGACGAGTCAGTGAACAGAACGCGATAGAAGTAAATAGTATATGACTCTTGTGTGAGAGAGAGCAATTGGAGTCCAGTAAGGTTGTCTATCAGGCAATCACGATACCGGTTCGATATGACGAATCGATTGCCGGAGTTTCGCCGAAGTATTGCACCTTTGTCAGCGGCGTTTAGACATCAGCACCACCTGGGGCAGCTGTATTGATCGACCCGACACACAGCCACGCCCATACTCTCTCATCTGCAGTCGACACGTTTGACGATATTTATCGGTGACTCTCCGGACACAACTACTATCAGCAGCATCACATTCGCAAGCCGCAGGTCCTACTTGGAAGTCGTGGGAATCTATCCAGTGACACGTCTCGTGTACGTCATCCACGCACATTGCGGACATGGTAAGGAAGCACACGACTACCTGTTTAAGCATATCACCACTAACGATATGACTAGGGTCAAAATCAATCTGGCCTAGGACCGCCAGGTGCACCTGGCGAGAACAAGGATAAGAAAGATGGAAAGAAGGATAAGCCAAAGTACGAGCCGCCACCACAACCCACCACGCGCATCGGTCGCAAGAAGAAGAAGCAAGCTGGCCCCAACGCTGCTGCGAAACTCCCAAACATCTACCCGACGGCGAGATGTAAACTACGATATCTGCGCATGCAACGTGTCCACGATCACCTGCTGCTAGAAGAGGAGTTCGTTGTGAACCAGGAGCGGGCGAGGAAGTCAAAGGCAGCAACACAACAGGCACCTCAAACAACCGACGCAGATTCGGCTGACCGAAACGCCGACGAGAGGAGTCGGGTGGATGATATGCGAGGTTCACCTATGGGTGTCGGTAACCTAGAGGAACTTATCGATGACGACCATGCGATCGTATCTTCCGCCACGGGGCCAGAGTACTACGTGTCTATCATGTCCTTCGTCGATAAGGATCTGCTCGAACCTGGTGCTTCAATTCTCCTCCACCACAAGAGCGTGTCAGTCGTGGGTGTTTTGACGGATGATGCTGACCCGCTTGTTTCGGTCATGAAGCTGGACAAGGCGCCGACAGAGAGTTACGCAGATATTGGCGGTCTTGAGCAACAAATCCAAGAAGTGAGGGAGGCTGTGGAACTTCCGTTGCTACATCCCGAGCTCTACGAGGAAATGGGTATTAAGCCACCGAAAGGTGTGATCTTGTACGGTGCACCAGGCACTGGCAAGACTCTACTGGCAAAGGCCGTGGCAAATCAGACGTCAGCGACATTCTTGCGTATCGTCGGCTCAGAGCTCATTCAAAAGTACCTGGGTGACGGCCCGAGATTAGTGCGACAACTCTTCCAAGTCGCCGCTGAGCATGCTCCATCGATTGTCTTCATCGACGAGATCGACGCGATTGGCACAAAGCGATACGATAGCACCAGCGGTGGAGAGCGTGAAATTCAGCGAACTATGCTGGAGCTTCTCAACCAGCTCGACGGTTTTGATGACCGAGGTGACGTAAAGGTCATTATGGCTACCAACAAGATCGACACCCTCGACCCCGCCCTTATCCGACCTGGACGTATCGATCGCAAGATCCTCTTCGAGAACCCAGACCAGAATACAAAGCGCAAGATCTTCACGCTACACACCTCGAAGATGAACCTGGCAGAGGACGTAGACCTTGAGGAGTTCATCGGTCAAAAGGACGATTTGTCTGGTGCGGACATTCGGGCTATTTGTTCCGAATCCGGTCTGCTTGCTCTACGTGAGCGCCGAATGCGTGTCAACATGACTGACTTCCGCGCGGCGAGGGAGTCAGTACTCAAGACCAAGAGTGAGGGAGAGCCCGAGGGCTTGTATTTGTAGTGTGGAGAGATGTCGAGGAAGCCTGCAACATGCTTGGAACGGCGGTTTCAAGGCATGACTTTAATGTCGCCCAGCTACGATAGCCAAATGACATCGGTAACCAAAGCATTACACTGAATGTCCTCCTTCCTATCGTCGCGCATCACGCCGTCTTGGTCGTCGATGGTGCATCCACATAGGAATATGATTGAACGTGCAACACATGAGCTACGCATACGTGTAAAACCCCCCAAAGCAGTCTGCTATTTGACCTGGCAACAGTAAACTGACACATCATCAAATCTGGGTATCGGAGAAACAACCGTTCAGCTGAACATAACAGCCTTCCTATCCAGCGGTCTTCCATCCGCCGCAATTCCCTCTCTCCCAAACTTCTGCTCGATAAAGATTCTTCTCGCCTCATCGAAGTTGACATTGTTTCTCTTCATGATAATGTAGACCTCCCTCTTGGCATTCTCATCCAGACCTCGGCGACTATCCTCCGCCTCGATGTTCTCCGCGAGATCGAAGTTGGTGGAATGTAGTCCTGCCTCGGCATCGTCCTGAAACGAGGTAGGGAGTCGCGAGTAGCGGAAAGAATCAATGTAATTCCGAACATTTGATACGAGATCGTAGATGGGTTCGGGAATTGTTCCGGGCGCGGTGATGTATGGAATGGGTGGAGCGTAAGGCTTCCAGAAGTTGCGCGTGATAAAAAGTACTACAAATTCGATCAGCTTTCATGAACCAGCGGCCGTGCAATCCAGGAGGAGGCAACATACTTGTAGCAAAGAGAAGAGAAAAGAACGTCAGACTATAGAAAATGTACGCCATGATAGCGGCTGGACGTGAGAATCGTCGTGATCGCGATAAACTCCAGTTTTTCGGTAATCAGTCACTGACTGTCGACACGGAAAGAAGACGAAGAAGTGAATAGACGAAGATGTTCTTCAGAGAGCCGGGCTTTTGAGCCCATAGGCTTGCTTCACGCGATGGTGATATGGCGTAGTTTTCGGCCCAGCATCAAGGTTGAGGTGGAGAGGCGCATCGGAGTTCGTGCTTGCGTAAGCTGCCACGCGAAATGACAGGCGTCCACGGGTGTCTCAAGCCGATGGACGAAACTCGCGCTAGTCAGATTTCGAAAGACTCCATGTCAATAATTATATTTGTGAATAAATGCACCAGAGCCAAATATAAATACATCTTTCAAGGTACACGCTGCATCATTCAACATCAGATCTTCGAGGTTTCAAGGAACATCTCCGCACGATCTTTCGCAGGTGAGCCTTTCTGTGGCGCGTTGCTGGGAGGGAGGTTCAACAAGCGCATAAACCAACATGTCCGGCGCAGGTGCACGACACTGGGAGAATGACAAGGAGAGCACGTGCTACATCGGCAACCTAGACGAACGCATCACAGACGCACTGGTATGGGAATTGTGTATACAGGCCGGGCCTGTCGTTAGTGTCCATCTCCCAAAGGATCGCGTAACGCAAACAGTTCAAGGTTATGGCTTCGTGGAATTCCGCAGTGAGCAGGATGCCGAATATGCTTGCAACATTCTGAACGGGATCCGAATGCACGGGAAGCCCATCAGAGTCAACAAGTCCAATGCCGACAAACGTGGTGGAGAGAGTGGCGGACCTGGTGGCACCCAAGGCTCCGGCGCAGAACTCTTCGTCGGCAATCTCGATCAAATGGCGGATGAAAAAGTCCTTTACGATACGTTTTCCCGCTTTGGTCTCTTCGCCAGCGCACCGAAAGTCGCTCGCGATGACAAATTCGCTAGCAAAGGCTATGGTTTCATTTCCTACGTCGACTTTGAAGGCGCAGATGCCGCCATCGAGCACATGCACGGCCAGTACCTCATGAACAAGGAAGTCACTGTACAATTCGCGTACAAGAAGGACGGAAAAGGCGAACGACATGGTGACGCCGCCGAACGTGCCATCGCCGCGTCCGCAAAGAAGCACGGTATGGGTGTTGCACCAGCTGTTCTGCCTGCCAATCTCATCGCACCTACGCCGTCAGCTCCACCCGTGCAGGCGCCTTATGGCAATGGCTTTCCTCCAGCCGGTGGCTATAACAACAACTACGGCCGACCACCACCCATGCAAAACCAAGGACCACCACAAGGTGGCTATGGCGGATACCCCGCCTACGCCCCACCACCGGTTGCATACCAGCAGCAAATGCCCCCGCCAGCCGCTGGAGGCTACGCGAATGGCGCTGCGCCCGTGAGGCAATTCAATCAGACACCGCTACAAGCCCCGCCGACGGCGGCAGGTCTTCCGCCTCGTCCTCCGCCTTCTATGGGAGGCTATGGTGGACCGCAACAACCCCCGTTTCCAGGCGCGCCTGGAGGACCCCCGCCAGGGCTGCCGCCTGGAATGCCTCCTGGTTACGGCCATCCGCCCATGGGATCCGCACCCAATCACGGCCGGTAAATTGTGGGCACATGGCCTTGGTATGGGAAAGTCTAATTCGGCGCCTGTGACGGTTCGACTGCATACAAATGAGCTGTTCTCAACGAGGCTGCGGCAAACATTTAATTTAGCGCTGGCGTCTGGGCATGTACAAACAGCAAAATTGTCGGTTTCCACGTTCACGAGATGCGCAGCTTCAACCGTCTCAAATCCATGAGCATACATCGCGGCAAAGAACCCCGGATTTGACACCATTTCATTGAAAGGCCCGAGCAGGTGGTCGTTTTGTTGATACGCTGGAGAGGTCAAGATTCTACAGCCGAGAAGAACGCCCAACACGGGATTAACCTTGCCAGCCAAATCCGTCATGCAAGCCGAAGCAGGAAAAAAAAGTTCATTGTGTGAATGCATCAATGATGACCCAACGCCAGATTTCATCCCTCCCATTCAGATTCATCTCCTTCTCATCCGTCAATCTAAGATGACTCCTCGGCGGCCTTCTGGGCCTTCTTGCCGCGGGGCTTGCGGACGGGCTCCTTTCGTGTGAGCTCGCGCTGGCTCCGTCGGACGGCGCTGGCACGGGCGACGGCGGCCTGGCGGAGATCGGCGCGGTAGCCCTTCTTCGCGGTGCTGTTGACGATGCCGACGTAGAGCTTGCGGGTGGGGGTCGAGGAGCTGAAGGAGCTGACGTGGTAGTTCTTGGCCGGGCGCGAGGCTTGCTTAGGGAGCTTGGTGGTGAGGGCGATGGTGTTGGAGTCGGCTTGAACACCGATGGCCTGTGGGAAATCTCATGTTAGATGTTGTGGAATCCGGGAAATTTGCATTGATCAACGCCTTGTCGCTGATCGGGTGGCTTTTCACGAACCTGGGAGTTGGCGTAACCGGAGTACTTTCGCGAGTGCTTGTTGAGAAGGTTGAGCGGGTCGCGAGAGAATTGGACGCCGCCAGCACCCTTGCGCTTCACGAGGAAGGCATTCTGGCTGCCTGTAAAAATCCACCATCCGTCAATATTTCAATATCTTTCCCCGATTTCCTTCAATCCCGCGCTTTTCCCATTTCTCCCCAGGGTGGATATTGCTTACGGGTAACCTCCCAGATGAGGTCGTCGCTGAGGTTCTCGAATTGTGCAGGCATTTTGACGGGTGATTTGTGTGGTGTGGTCTGGGAATCGAGCGGGCGGGATCTGGCCTATTGTGAATCTGATGTCGTCTGGGTGTGCACCAATTTCGAGGGTCTTGGCATCATGGAGATGCTGGGGCTTTTCGGCGTGCAGCCAGCGAGGGCAGGCGCGGCGGACTTCCGCGCTTTGCGGGAGCTCGGACCAACGTCTCCCGAAGGAGATTCATGGGAAGTTCATCATATTATCGGCCGGGAGCGTGAGCAGTGACTTCAAGATATTATTCGCATCACTCATCGCCAACGAAGCATCCACTAGTACAATCATAAAAATGGCGTGGTTGACCCTTTCAGAAGAGAGCAAGGTACGCGATCGAAGAAGCGGTGATGGAGAATTATCCTTCGGAGAACAGCAAAGAAGACTGACATTTGCGACTCACAGGAGCGCATCTCCCGCGTGATCGACTTCTCAAGAATCGCCGTCCACTAGTACGCCATTACCATCCACACACCATCTACCATTGATGATATTCTGACCATTCCTTGTAGCGGCTACCTTCCTCTCATCATCTACCTCGGATACACCAAGAGCAACCCGCGACCTTCGTTGATCCGGTACGTTTCGCCGAGCGCAGCGCCATCAGAGAGACACCATATGAAGGCAGGGACAGAACAACAAAGGACTGACTCGGCGACAGATTATTCTCACCTTTGGCATAAGGAATACGCGGCGATCTGTATGAGATAAGGGAAAGAGGGACGAAGGATTGTACGAGTAGTTGAGGCGGAGGATGGGTCGCACCAGAGAAAGGAGACTGATAGGTTGTACCACGGCATCATCGGATACGGCGTAGAGGAGTTCTCGACATCTCGATGCGACAAACAAATGTTGAAACGTTCATCTCAAATGTCATACGAACCCAGGAATAAAGGTGATTGTCAACATGACGTTCGCTCCGTTTCTGACGCAGTGCAACAAGAGAGGCCCTGTTGAAATTATATGATATTCTACACAAATTCACACACAGCCCTCAGGATCTCTTCGTGAATTGTCCCAACCGATCCCTGAAGTCACCGAAATGCGTGCTGGGCTTCTTTACCAGCTCCGCCTCTGGCAAAACGCTCAAGCGCTCAGGCTTCGGCAAAACCTGATCCTGTTGAGCCAAGACCTTCTCCAGCAATTCCGCTCCCTTGATCTTATCGACCTGGCTGAATCTCGCACCCGAGCGGCTCGAGTCGAAGAATTCCTCTGCATTGCCCGCGGCGAGGAGGGTCATGAGGTCAGTTGTCTGGCGAAGCTCGGCGAGGGCGGTGCGTAGAGTCGTCGCGTCAGGGAGGCTGTCGACGAAGGAGATGAGTTCGTCGACGTCCATTTTGTAGGCGGTGACGACTTGTGGGGAGATTTTGGTGACGCTGGGATCGAGAGGTAGAGCGAGCAGGGCGGCTGATGTGTGGCCGAGGGCTTCATGGTAGATTTGCTTCTTGACGGTTTCGGGCAGGCCCATGAGGACACTGCTCATGATGTTGGAAAGGTAGCGGGTGAGCTCTTGTAGGTATTCGGATGACTCCGTGGGGACCTGGGTGGAGGTCCAGTCGTATTCGGCTGTTTCGATGAGGTCGTCGATCTTGCTGTTCACAAGTTCAAAGATGCGCGTCTCCGCTCTCTTCTTTGCGACGGCAAATTGACTGGTCGCGCGTAGAGTGATGGGTCCTGCTGCCGAGCTGCTAGAGCGTGCCTCGACGAGGAGCCGTTCCAGATCTTTACACGCCATCTCAAAATGGTCGAGATTCGTCAAAATTTGGACGATCTGTCCAGGGTATTGCGATGACAGCCGTTCCACGAGTGTACCACAGACTTTTTCGGAAAGCAATTGATCGAGGCTGTTCTGCAGCGTCTCGTCGATCAGGGTAGTGTTGCGGAAGTGATCGTCAGAGAAGAGGTACATCTGGCTCAGAAAGCTACGAATATCGAAGCAGATCAGGGGATACATCTGGCTGAAGGGGAAATGGCAAGGATACGTAATCTCCTCCGGCCGTCGAAGTTCGGGTGGTGGTGTGTACCATGATGCGGACATGACTCTGTTGTAATCATCGATGTTGCTGATTGGCATGGGCATGTAGTCATCACTGCTCACAATCTGCGAACGAAATCAGACATAAAGACACTTCGAGGCATGCAGGGGAACAACACGTACCTCATCGAAATCATCGCCAAATTTTGTTCGAAGCAGGGCGGTGTACTTCTCAAAGATCGTCACCACCAAGCCGTCCAGATTGGTGACTTGATAACCCCAGCTGTCCATAGTCTGGATAAACAGCGCAACAATGCCTTTAATCTTCAACAACTTCTCATCGCTGTCCACACTGGTCAAGGCAGCGTTGATCAGCGAGATGGTGGACTGACACATGCTGTCCCACAGCTCATCAACATCGCTTTGGGCGCGAAAGTTCTCAGTCCTTCGTATCGTGCCCTTCTCCACAATAGCGAAACCAGCAATGCCTTCTAGCAAGCTGATAAGACTGCCATTTTCCTCGTCAAGAGGAATGAGGGTCTGAGGGATAAGAAGGTCTTTCTGTTGGCGGCGGTTTGCTGCGTAGTGTGCTCGAAACTTTTCGGTCTCACCCAGGGCGTTATGAATATGTAAACATTCGAAAAGTGGAGAGAAATCCACCGAGACTTCCTCGTAGTCGCTGAGCACGTCGAACTCTTCTGACTCGTCGGCAACAAGCTCGACTGCGGAATTGAGCTTGAAGGCGCCAAGATACGGAGTCTTGTCGCTACGCTCCTTGTGTCGCGTCCGGCGCATTTCGGTGTGGTAGAAAGCTACCTCGCCCAAAAATTGTGACTTCTCTCGGATGAGGTATAGCCATGTGTTCAGATCTGCCATGACGGCATCCGCAATGAGACGCTGAGTTGCGGGCACGGAACGCTCAATCATCTCTGCAATCTTATATCGAGTGACTTCCCGGAGGTGCACATTTTCGAGTTCATCTAATGCTCTGAGGGCCGCGTAATGGTTCTTCTTGCTAAGCAAGTCATGAACCTGGTTGGCCAGGCGTAGGACCTCGAGGCAATCGTTGAGGGCCTGTGTGGCATCATCGATATTCTGCCGTACTCCTCGCGAGTCCACCAGCGCCTTCTTCTGCTCGGCCAATTTCTCCGTACTGGCCTCGATGCTGCGGCTCAGGGTCATAATCTCAGCGGTAAGCTCGACCGTACCCTGTCGGACAGATTGGAGCTGATCGACGCTGTGAATGAACTCTTGATGATTGTTGTTGCAGATGGTCTCGATCTGGGCTTCGCGATCGGCGGAGACATGATTGAGAGCGTGTATGAGAGGTGTGACCTGGGCTTGCGTCTCTGCGCTTTTCAGGAGCGGTATCAATTGGTCGACATAATCTGATTCTGAAGAAGAAAGGATTATCTGAACGTGGTCAGCAAGGGCCGTGATCGATGCCAGCGCGAATTCATGTTCGATTTAGCGTGAAAATCCAGCTTGCATATGCGTCCGTCCTAGAAGATATCGTGAAGCCCTTCATCTTGCGAAATCATCGGCGATGGACGCCGGCCGGCTGGTTCACGGAGCTGGAAGCGGGTCCAACGGCGCAGTCACCAGCATCAGAACACGGTGGCATGGAAATCATGATGGAACTCACCTGCTGTACGGCCCCCGTAAGGTCATCGTATTGGTCGCTCGCGAGTAATCCAGGCATAGCCGCGGTCGGACGCGGAATGGATGTTTTTTTTTGATTCGGCAGCTCTCGATGGTCGAATGTGTAGAAGTGGAGATCCAGCTCCCACTCAAAGGTTTCGAATTACGGTCGATCTAGTCTCTTGCGCCTGCAATCAGAACAAATGCACGTCGTGGATTTTCGAATGCTCTTGAAAGTGTAGCAGTCATCTACTTTGCGTCGCCCGCCATTCAAACAAAAACGCAATTTCTCAACTCAGGCCCAGAACCTCGCACCTCCAGGATATTCAAGGCAATATTTCTTGAACACTCACCTTTTGGCAAGAGACGGTTGGAAATGATATTCTGGATTTCTGATTAGCCTGCGATCCAAAATCCGAGCCTTTTCTTGCGCCACATTCGGGACACGGTGTCTTGCGACCACACTCAGAAGGAATCATCGAGCACCTGGATCACTCACGAAGACAATCAGGTAAGCACCAATGAACACTTGATCCAATTGCGACGAGTGCAATCTGTCCCGAAGCGAGGCCGACCTGTACGCCTACACACACCAAGATACCGGATTCGGGAAATGATCCAAGATGATTTGGCTGTCGCTCAGAGAATCGAATCAAATCACCGCGCGCAGAAGGGGAAAGCACAAATGTATGAAGTTGGCGATGTTCCTGAAATTCAAGGAGGACGGTGCCTGTCGCATCGATATTGTGTTGCCTGTATGGCTGTCGTTAGGCTCCTTTGTTGCGCACGCAGGGCTGGCTGGCTGGCTGGCTGGCGGCAATATTGAATGCTGTGAACAGCTCCTGCGCCGCTGACTTCTCTCTGCCAGCCGGCCGCGTTTGTGACCAAAGCTCAAGCCCTAGACTGTTGCTGCCTGAGGACACTCTCACAATTCCGTCCTGTACAACCGGAATGACCGACAAAGGAACAATCCCCCGGATTCCCCTGCAGACCTGTGATTGGTCGAATGCCACGCGACACACTATCCACGGTGATGACCGACGGGGTGCGACAGCTACGACATGTCACACCTGCAGATCCGTGAAGAATGACGAGCATCATCGGCAATTGTTGAGTCAAACCACCAAGGGGAGCTCCGCTGAAGCCATTCCAAGGTTCCAAAGTTCACAAGGGAATCCCATCAATGACACCATGGCCGAAGCTTTTGCTCGTCGCCTTGCCACTCTGCCCGCCATGCGAGCATTCACCTGTGCCAGGCACAAAGGACTGGACCTTGACCTTGACTGACTTGTGTCGAGCCTCCGAGTCACCACGTTGCTGACATCCGTTTGATGGTAGATTTCCTAACTATCTGTGGAGCCTCTCCCCAGGTGCTCACTGAAGTCGTTTGAACTTCATCTGCCCTGTCGCCTCGTCGCGAGCGCATCGACAGCTTCAAATGTGAACTCTCAGGACATGGGACACGAATTTGGAGGATTCCAATCGCCACCTTAACAGATTCCGCTTTGTTCGTACACGCTCAATTCGGGCGACGTTCTCGAGGTAAGAGTCTAAACCGCATGAGATACCCGTGTAGTAGTGTGTAGGTCAGGTCTATGGACTTGACATGTGCTCAATATCACATCGATCGCGCTCGGTGCGTTCTATGCGCATTGTCCCAGTTCGGCCTCGCCTACCAGTCGTTATGAAATCGTCAGCAGTCCAAGCCGATGGATGCGGTCATCGTGATGTTCACAGTCACGATCAACGGACGTGCTCAATCTCAAAATGGACGCCGTCGCCTCAAGCGGTACGGTTTCGTCGATAGTGCTTTCCATCACCCTCGATTTCCCAAAGCGCAGATGTTGGAGAATAACGAGCGATTCACCAGTGGCAATCGCAAGATCATCATTGGAAAGGGAGTCTATCTGATCTACAAAACGCCATCCCATTCCGTGCCGAGATCCCATATGGCCAAGATGATGCGTAGGTATCCACATAGATCGACTGAATTTCCCGTAAGGCGCGAGTGATGGGTGTTGAGGAGGCCGTCTACATGTCACAGGAACTTCTCCGCAATATTGCACCAAATGTTTGGATCGACCACTAGTTTGTCGACTACCGAATCCTTATTCTGATGGACCTATCTGAGTTGTGATAGCATCCATCCATCACTACTGTCCCATTGGCACCCTTACATCTTTCTCATCGTCAAGTACCAATCGCTCTTTCCCGACGCACGCAGTTTTGGCTTCATATACACGCACATGCGCCCGCCCACAGCTCGCGTCATTGCTTTCGTCTTGAATGTCATCACCTTTCGAAAAGCTCTGGTCTTGATTCTTCGCCCTCCTTGAGATATCTTCCTCCTCCTTCCTCCTCTCTCGCACTCTCCAGAACTCCTTCTCACTTGCTCCATGCAACTCCCGTTCAGGCGCATCATTTGACAACAAACAGCAACAGTTCACTTTCCTGGCTACTGACGCATTTTGAACACGCCAGACGCGTGCATCCAGGTCATCACTCTCCAGCATTTGAGATTCAAACATTTGATCCAGAAAATCGCACTATCATCACATCGTAGCACGACTCAACATATCTGCGAACAGTATAACCAGATTATCGTCACACGATCGTTATCTTTGCAGACGATTTCAAACCTACCAACATGAGCGGCGTCACCTACACCAAGGCTGCCAGTCTGGCCGCAACTCCGCGTACTGGGAGAAGCCCGATCACTCTCACTAGGTCAGTTCAATGGGCTCGGCAACCCAGTTTAGATTGTGATTTACTTTTGTACAGATCCAGGAGCTTATCCGATGAGAAGTTCACAGCTGTGATCAACGACAAGCCGACCTCGAAGGGAAAGACTCCTATTCGCGATAATCAAGTCACCGGCACGACCAACGTTGCCGTCGATCCCTTCACAGCCAACATGCGTCCATCCATGACCACCTCCGTTCCTTTCCGTCATCTCAGCGCCGGCGCCACCAATTTCCAGCCTCGCAACAACTTGCCCTCCAACATGTCCATCCTCAATCGTGAAAGTTTTCCTGATGCCTCCTCTTCCTCCCCAGTCATTGTGTCTTCTCAGTCGCTCACAACCATTGACGAGAAGCCCTCGCCTGGCGAGGATGACGATGACTCGGCACCTGCCAATGACCAGTCGCGTATCGACAAAGGCAAAGGCCGTGCTCAAGACGCCATCGGAACTCGCACTGCTCCAACTGATCCCACGCAGCGCATCGCCTTCACCACGGACCAGATCCTGGGTGGTCATTACATGAGAATTGATTGCATCAACCCTCTCGAGTATGAACACTACATGAAGCGTTTGGCGACCGAGGTGAGGTTTCGCGGTCGATGTCGTTCAATTAATAGTCGACTAACCCAATTGTAGCGCGATTGGGAGAACAAGGTGCTTGCTCAAAAGGCTTTCATGGACACTGCCGCGAAGAAGAAGTCTTTGAGCGTGGCGCTTTGTTTCGACGATATCGCCGCTGCCGGTTCCGCTGAAGATGATGTCAACATGATCAAGCCGAGCTGGACCATCTCGTACATTTCGGCCGGCGAATTTGCGGACGTTCAAGGATTTGGCGATAATGCGACGTCATTCTTTGACGGACAGGTCTACTACCAAGCAACTTACGAAGGCGACTTTGAAAAGGTCAATGTTCCTCATCTTGAGGAGCACGTGTATCGACTTGCTGGTAACTTTGGCAGTGTGATCGCGTTCCAGCGTGTTACCAACACCTGTCCAACGTACATCTTTCGTGTCGAATACCAATGCATCAGTCAGGCCAAGGAGGTCTTAAAGGAGCTCACTGCAGACACACCCCACTACTTTGAGGTGAGCGCAACATCACCGAAATTTCACTGTACTCGTCGATTCAGCGGGCTAACATGCTACAGGACTGGGTCGTGAGCACGAAGCCGCTGAAGGATCCCGTCGACAATACCTCGAAACGCTCCAGTACATCAAGCACGTTGAGCCAATACCATATCGTCACCACACCCCATCGCATAAGTAGCCAAGGTGCCAACACGGCATTCACTAGTCCAAGTGGACGCACAGCGTGGCAGCAGAACGAGGATGGTACGATGGTCGTGGTACCAGCTCCACGCGTGGTTGACAAGGTCTACCAAACTCCAGCGGGTGGCAGTGGTTATGGAAATGGCCATTATCGCCACAACTCGGGTTCATCACCACACACGCCTGCTCCATTCAACAGTGGCAATCGTGGAATGGGCAACCGAAACGACTCTTGGTCGTCACGACCCAGTCGCAACGTCGAGAATGACTATCCGACAAACGGCGAACCTCAGAGCGTCAATGTCGAGCGCATCATGAGCGGAGTCGATGTTCGCACCACGATCATGCTCCGCAACCTTCCCAATCAATGGGGTGCTAGTCACATGAAGAGTATCCTTGACACCACCAGTTGGGGTTGTTATGATTTCTCATACCTTCGCATCGACTTTCAACGCAACACAAACGTTGGCTATGCCTTCGTCAACTTTTGTCAAGCGACCGACATTGTTCCGTTCTATCAGACTTATATTGGCAGAGAATGGGACTCCTCTACTCCTGGTCGCAAGCGAGCTCAAATTTCGTACGCCACCATTCAAGGCTTCGATTGCCTCATCGAGAAGTTTCGCAATTCCTCTATCATGGACGAGTACGCGGAGTTCCGCCCCAAGATTTGGTGGACCAAATTCGCAGCAGAAGCGGAAGGCAAGCCCGAGAAGATTGGAACAGAGAAGGATTTCCCTGCGCCCAATAATATTTCAAAGAAGCAGCGTTCGCACGATAATGCTGGTTCCATCGGCTTGTATGCACCTCGCAGTGGTCAGCGTGGTACTGATCGTCATCGTCGCTCCCTATATGATCGTGGAACGTCTGCACAGATCCGAGAGGACGCCATGCTGAATCAGATGTCGCCAATGGGCAACAACTACACCTATCAGCCTGGACCGGGTCCGATCGGACCTCCACCAGCTTTTGGGCAGTACTACAACGCGCCTCCGAACTACATGGGCAATGCGTTTTTCCCCGTGAACGATGGCAATCAGGGCCGCTTTATCAACCAAGACCCCTTCAAGGCTGCATACCATCCGCAGATGCCGATGTATTCTGGTGTGCCCAATTACACACCTCTGCAATACAACAACAACAATGTCAGCATCATGGGCACGAACAATCCTGCCTCCGGGCTACGTACCATTTCTCGTGGTCGCCTGGCGGGCCGTCCTAGGAATGTGACCACAGCTCCCAACGTTTTCGACGGCACTGCCCCGGCCATTGAGCCTGCATATGGTGTCAACTTCAATCCGGTTATGTATGGAGAGCAAGGTGGTCCGAGTAGCCATAGCGCGCCTCGAAGCATGCATCAGCACTCACAGGGTCCTTCCACCCAGCATTACCAGCAACACCACGCCTCCGCTTTCATGCCAGCACGTGGGAATGTGCAGCACCACGGACTGCCAACCTCGCACCAGGCGGGTCTTATTCTCGGTCCAAATGAGTACGTGAACAGCTATGGCCAAATCGAAATGGCGGGCAGCAGCAGTGGTCACTTCCATCAAAACGGCGCCTCTCTTTCTCCAACACAGGCGATTGGATATCCTCAGCAGAATGAGTATATCAATGGTCATGGCCAGGTCGACATGGCAGAGAGCAGCAGTCAGGCTCAGATGCAGGCGCGTCACTCGACTTAGGCATTTCCTTGATCCGCATCGACCTTGAGGCCTGCTGCATGGTCTTCCGTCCATGCTCGCGCATGACTCGCCGCCTACTGCTCCCTTCCGCCATCCATTATCTGTCATTGCTTTCTTTCTTTTTTTCTTCGTACATCTCCGATGTATCGTGGCGACGTTGGAGACACCAATGGGTCCCTTCTTCATTGGCAAGTGAAGACGGTCCTGCTTCTGGTCCATCGTGAGCAGTCTGGCTTCACATGTGCCTCACGATTCTAGCATATAGGTCGTGCAGCGAGGGTCGCAGGCTATATGTCTCTCCTCCATTTTCATTCATCCATTCATTCCTTAACGAACTTGAGACGAATATCACATGACATTGCTATTGCTTTACCCAAAAGTTACTCCATTCATTATACAGGCCACGGAGGGCCGGAGCGAGACCCAGACGGAGGTAGTTTGTTGGGTTCGAAAGGGGACGATCACACCAACGCTTTCTTATCATCCTCACTGTTGATATTTGTTATTGTTATGAGACGATACTGGAATGCAGAACGGAACTGCGAGCTTTCTCCAGCAAAATAAAAAGTAATTCTTTCAATATTATTTGTGCTCTTCGCCTTTGGTCTGTGTGGACGTGAAGTCGGCTCGCTTGTCAAGTGATGGTCAGAAAAAAGGAGCCCTCAGCTGGAGATGGAATGCACCTGATTCGGAATTTGACTGTGGCTGCTGCTACTGCTGATCTTCCTCCTGCCTCTTTGTGGAATGCATGCTCGTGCCTACTATCTTCGAGCATCTCGGCGTCGAGTTCCACGTAAACAGCTGGCACCGAGTTGCGCCACGTGATTTCTAGTCGAAATCGCTGAGATGATTCATTGGCCGAATTTGCGCCGAAAGTTATTCTTCTATTTACATACACATGCCCTCCATCTATTTGCTACGCTTGTAGATCTTGCGCAAAAACTCCTCAAAGACCGCCTTCTTCAATCCCTCGCTCTCGTCGACCTGGGCGATCTTGCCCTTGATCGACTCGAAAACCTCCGCCTCGTACTTTGCGAAGACCTCATCGAGCTTGAGCTCGTTGTACAACTCCTTGATCTTCGCCTCCTTCTGCTTGTCCTTCTGTCCGTAGTTTTGCTCCAGCACCTGGCGCTGCTCCGGCGTCGCGATCTTGAGGGCTTGGTTGACCAGCCAGCTGCACTTGTTGTCCTGGATGTCTGTGCCGATCTTGCCGAGGACGGTCGGGTCGGCGAAGTTGTCTAGGTAGTCGTCCTGGACCTGGAAGTACTCGCCCATGGGGATCAGGATGTCCTCGGCTTGCTTCAGGTTCTTCTCGGTGGCGAGGCCGGCGAAGTAGAGCGCGAGCGCGACGGGCAGGTAGAAGCTGTAGTACGCGGTCTTGTAGATGACGATGAAGGTGTATTTCTCCAGGCTGAAGTTGTCCAGGTCGACGTGGTCCTCGGGCGCGGTGAGCAGGTCGCAGGTCTGGCCCAGCTCGGTCTGGAAGGTGACCTCCTGGAAGAGCTCGACGACGTCGATGTAGTATTTCTCCTGGCGGAAGTACTTCTTCAGGAGGATGTAGATGGCGGCCTCGAGCAGGAAGGCGTCGTTGATGGCGATCATGCCGACGTTGGGCATCAGGTACCAGCAGGGCGAGCCGCGCCGGGTTTTGCTGCTGTCCATGATGTCGTCGCTGACCAGGAAGAAGGCCTGCAGCAGCTCGATCATCCAGCCGAGTGTCGCGGTCTTGAAGAATTCATCTTCATTGAGGGGGCGGTCGAGGATGAGCTGGACGGTGTCGATGACGGAGAGACCGCGGTTGCATTTCCCGCCGAGAGTGTTGTGGTAGAGAGACTAGGGAGACTGAGCATCAGTCAACAAGAAGTTGACGGGACGGTGATCGACGCAGATCGCGAGAGGAGGAATTGTCATTACCTTGCTGAACCATGTCAAGGCCTGGTCGGGCAGCTTGTACTTTTCGCAATGCGCCTCCACATCCTTGACCAGCTGAGGGAAGACGGACTCGAATTCTTTCAAGGTGGCCGGCATGATGAGGAAATCTAGTGCATACAATTACAGAGATAGTATGGAGGGATTGGCTTGTGAATTAATATCAATAAATATGCGCATGCAGCTAGTTCGGAATTCACGTCTGGAAAATCGAACGACTTCTCGATATTGTTTATTGATGATCAGAGCTCGGGCTGTCTTCCAATGGCCCGCACCCCACCAATTTATTACAGTATCACCGACGGATGCAGGGTCGATCATCAAGCACCTAGCAGAGCGGTGACCCTTTTGCGTGCCTGAAACATGTGATGGAGTGCCTGATACAGTGTCTGGCCGCCAGCGTCACTGCCGTGCTGTCGCGCGACAACCGCAGCCAGTGATGATGACAGCCCTACGGCACGTCTTTCAGGCGAACACATGAAGGTAGACGCGACTTTCGGTGGAGAGTTTGAACGTGAGGTTATCATACGAAATCGCCACGGCCATGGCGCTCTCTGATCAACAACAGGCGGAATTGCAAACGCATCTCCGACAGTCAATCGTAGGCTGCAATGAACGAGGTCTTTACTTTGCCGCGAAATGGTACTTATCATCATTAGTGTCCCATGTGTTCTCGCCGTTACATGTAGATTGACCTCTTATAAATAGGTCTGCAGAGCTCTTAAATTCATTTGCCGTGTCGCATGATACGTACAATTATGATGGATCCGATACAGAAGTTGACGACGACGACGACGATGCAGACATCGAGTTGCCATCGCAGCCGCGCGGCCCGGATGCACGTGAATCCAGTCGCGAGGCCAAAGAGGTCTCGAGATATCTCTTGGCAAAGTCCTTCTTCGATTGTCGAGAATACGACCGATGCGCTGCGGTGTTTCTGTCTGAACAGGTTGTCCGGAGTGCTCCTTCACAGAATTTCGCTGGTCCTCATAAGGTTCCCTTGGGCACCAGCAGGTTTCAGACATCACCATCAGCTCGTCGGAAATCTCCACTAGATGCTTCAGCGCCAAAGATTTCAACAGGAAGCAGCATACATCGCTTATCGCCACCCAAGAACCTTAGCCAGAAAGCGCTATTCTTGTCATTGTATGCCAAATATCTGTCCGGCGAGAAGAGGAAAACGGAAGACTCCGAAACGATACTCGGCCCCAATGATGGCGCAGCTAGTCCGAATCCCGAGGTGACGAGCGTCTTGTCAATACTCGAAGAATATTTCGAGAAGCGAGGCGGTTTGGGTGAAATCAGCAACTCGCAAGGATGGCTCGACTACCTCTATGGCGTAGTGCTGATCAAGTCCAAGTCAGAAACACTTGCTAGACAATGGCTACTTCGGAGCATCAACATCAACCCATACAACTGGTCTGCATGGCTCGAGCTGGCATCTTTGATAGGATCCGTCGATGAGCTACGGCAGATCGGCGAGCATCTACCGCGCAATGTCGTCACATTCTTCTTCCACATTTACTGTAGCCAGGAGCTTTTGCAACAAGAGCCCGAGGTGTATAGCACTCTGGATCAGATACAAGCCATCTTTCCTCGGTCGGCTTTTCTGCAACAGCAAAGAGCACTTCTATTGTATTACGCGCGAGATCATGACCAGGCATTACAAGTGTTTGAAGAATTACTCAAGTCCCATCCGCATCGTCTCGATGGCATGGAAGTCTTCAGCAACTTGCTCTACGTTATACCCAATCGACCCAAGTTGGCGAGTCTTGCTGCCCACGCGAGCGACATTGACAAATTCCGGCCCGAGACGAATTGTATCCTAGGCAATTACTACAGTCTTATATCCGAGCATGAAAAAGCCGTCCTTCATTTCCGGCGTGCTTTGGCTCTCGATCGGAACTTCCAAGCTGCCTGGACGCTGATGGGTCACGAGTATGTCGAGCTGAAGAATACGCAAGCCGCCATCGAGTCCTACCGTCGAGCAGTGGACTCCAATCGCAAGGACTACCGAGCGTGGTACGGTCTCGGCCAAGGCTATGAAATGCTCGAGTGCTATAGCTACAGTCTCTTCTACTACCAACGCGCAGTCGCTCTTTGTCCCAGCGATCCCAAGATGTGGGCAGCTGTCGGCAACGCATACAGTAAATGCGGGAAAACCACCAACGCCATCCAAGCTTACAAGCGTGCGCTCGTCGTTGGAAGCCACATGGACTCCAGTCCGAGCTTTGTCAGCAACAATCCCGACCCTCTTGCGCGTGCCGTTGGCGGCGCTCTCGATTCCCAGCTCCTATATGACATTGCTCTCCTGTACGAGCGCGACAGTCAATGGGATGAAGCCGCCGCTTTTATGGAGCTCACGCTCGCTCAAGAGGAAGGTCCGAACGAAGGCGACGAGGGCACTGGTGTCACGCAAATCACGAGTCGTGCGCGCCTCTGGTTGGCAAGGTGGAGTCATAGCTGTAGCGATTGGCAACGAGCGATGGAATTGGCCAATGAGCTGTGTCAGGATGGCGTCGAGGTGGAGGAGGCGAAGGCATTGGTCAAGGACGTTCGGGCGCGACTGAACATCTCCGACGACAAGGATGAGAGTCTGATGGAGTGATGTATCTGTGTTGAGTCATGCGGAATGTCTTGCTCGCACGGAAAACTGGAATACGTAAGTATTTTGTACCACTTGAATTAGCTCTCAGGAATGGGACAACAATCTCCGTGCAGGTTTGCTGACATGACTCGACTGTCGGTGAACGCTTTCCTCTGTAACCATTGGAGCAATTCAGTGAACCCTTGCTGGCCTTTTGTACATACGTGTGCGACTTACCAGGGATTCGCCCTGCTCGTGTCTCCTCGACGTGTCGAATGTTGGCTATTTGCTTTCCCCCAGGATGCAAAACAGTACCAGCGCTCACAGGATTAGGGACCTCTCTGCGTCAAATCACGGCGAGGACGCCGCCACGTCACATCTAGAGAAAGCTACCTACTGACCGGGAACGCCATGCCCCACGAACGATCCCTCTCGAGGTCACTACCAGCGCAGAAGATAGCGTCACACATCCCTCTGGCGGCTTGTGGAGGGTCTCTACCTCCACCTGCCAGAATCAGAGTGACGAAGGGCTGTACATTTCCAGGGAAGAAGCCTACTGGCCTGATCAGAAACAGCGATCCTGCTGTACGACGTGCGCGCACTCCTATATCTGTGTACATGGTCCGTAACCACAGCCAAATGAAAGAGACCGGGTGTCTATTATAAGTCCCCCTCGTTCCACAAGAACGACATGGCTGCCTGCGGATCCTCAACAAGGCTCTATCGTTGTTTTAAGTTCCGATCTCCCTGCGAGGGATGAGATGCAAGGGCTCAAACTCGACCGCAACCACATTACATTGCAGCCATGTCTGGCCTCCAAAGGGATAAGCGGGATCGCAACCCTCCTGAGTGGCAGGAATGTACGTTTGACGAAGTGCGCAGTCTCAACCCCGAAGCATTCATCTGTCGAAGTTTCACCGGTCGGGAAAAAGTGTTCAAGAAAGGGACATATGTTTGTGTTGCGAAAGCTGTGGGTTTGGAAGGTAAAGTCTTTTGTTTTCTGTTCGCGAATACGTTAATTTCTTCCGTGCTCTCTGCGACTATGGTGATGACATCCTACGAATATCTGTCGGAGTTAGAGGTAAATTTGACCACCGATCTCAGGTTGGAACTTGATCCAGGACGATGACCTCGTCCTTTTCCCCGTCCAGCGGTCTCGACTTCTTCGGCACTCGATTGGAGCGACGAAAGGCGTTGAAAATCAAGTCGTGGACTCTGCGGATGCGACCCCCGATGGCTCCGAATCTGCCACTCGCGATGTGTTCGTGACGACGGGCGATTTATCTGCGTGTGGGGATCAAGGACTCCCGGTTCTTGTGGAAAAAGGAAGACCCGTGTTGAGGTTTCTTCGTTGTGGAAATGGTTCGTTTGCAAAAGTCCCATTAATCTCCAGTCGCCAACCACACACGGCTGACTCGGTCTGTCTCGTTAGTATGTCATTTCATCGACTTGGAAGGCCACATCTGGCTGATCGACCAGAAGTCCGTGAAGGAAAACATGAGACAATGGAACTCTGGCGAAGAGGACGACTTCAGGGACACCCACATAAGACTTGAATCGAACATCGACACAGCTCTTCTCAAGGAGAAACCTTTCGTCTGCCGAAGGGACTATGTCAGGTTTAGCGATGTGAAGCAGAGTCTCATGACTCGCCTTACAATGAGGCCTCATTTTTCAGGGGCGAAGTTGGTCATGCCAACGACGACAACAGCGAAGGCGGCGACAAGCCAGATTACTCCCGGTGACAGCAACAAGCTTCGACGACGTTCTGCAAAATCGGGCAACAACGAGACGGTAGGAGAAGAGATTGCAGTACAACCGAGGAAGCGCGGGAGGCCAAAAACTGCACTCCTTCCTCCGCAGCAGTCATCCATGACCATCGTCAAGCGCCCTACTGAGTCGGAGAGACCGCCGGGGAGATCTATCGAACAACCCGACGCAGCAGAGATCGTGGTGGCTCGACGAAGCATTCTTCCGAGACCACCGCCCTTAGTCCATGACATGGGATCCACCGCCCAGAGCAGCACGGAGCCGACCAGCTCAAAACGTGAGATGATGAGACATGGTAGCCGCTTCTACCAGAGGGGCCCGAGAGAAAAAGCTCATCCGAACAACCGTTCTTCGTCAAGCAGCAGCAGCAGCAGTAGACTTCCCTCCAAGCAGCCCGCGACTCTTCATCCACGACCTCCGTCAAGATCACCCGCTGCCCTGCCTCCTCCCGCTGCTTCACATGTAGCCGCCGCCGCCGCATCCGGGATAGGGACAGACCCTCACGATCCCAAAACTCAGCCCGACGATCACAACAATCCCAGCGACGACGATGACGAAACAGGCGGACAGACTCAGGATGACACTGATGGGGACGAGGACGGAGAGGAAGGGCAATTCTGCGAACACTGCCAATGCTTCCCCGAAGACCATGGGATGCGCTGTCTGTTCCGGGCGTTGTATCACGATCGGGTCGAGGAAGTGCCCACCATCTTCCCCGGGCGATGAAGTCAGGAGGAGGAGGGGCTGAAAGGTTTTCCTTCTTGGGGGTTTGTCCAATGCCAGGAGCATCGTTTGTCATTGGGGGGAGGGTGAGAACGGGGACGTTGCTGCCAGTGATCCCAAGACAAGGGGGATGCGGGTGGACGACAGCGTCACAGCATCGTTCCTTGGTTGCTTGGATGATAGTTGCGAGGAGGATCAGGAGCGTCAAGGAACAAACGAATGAACGAAATCTACTTTTGAGACCGGATTGAAGATTTCTGAGATGAGGACCGATTTGGTTTTCATGAATGGCATTAATTTGTTCTAGTTTTCTCTCCCCCTCTCCATTTCCCTCGTTGGAAGAGAGAAGAGGGAAGCTATGGTAAAAGTAAAGATGGTATCTGAAGAAAGTTCCAATGCGCCCTTTGTGCGCCTGGCCGGAAGAGAGGGAGAGAAGACAACTCTCCCCCTGTATGCTTATTGTGAAGAGGATTCCGAAAACTCCTGTTGATTACGCCGCCCATGTCGCCTCGCCCCCCTCCTCGCCAGACTCGGTGGAGCGATCCTTTGAACCGCTGTCCACCTCTCGAGATGTGCAAGAAAGGGGCGACGAACTAACAAAGATGAAGAAACAAAACAGTGTCCAAAGAGATTGGCGACGGTGCCGTGGTATATAGTGAGCAGCAAAAAATTCAAACACACAAAACAGAGATTCAAGGGGGGAAAGGGGGTGTCGGAAGAAGCAAATGATGAGACGAGGATTGCTCCTCTACAACCTGGCGCGCGGCGCCGGCTCAGTAGCGGCAATGCGGGCGTCGATACCGACGTCTCCGGAGCAGACATACTCTGCGCGGCGACGGAAATCGCGGTCCTCGATCAAATTGGCCAGGGTGTTCTTGGTCATGTAGCACAGCACCTCGATGTCGCCATTGTTGTGCTTGGGCGCGACGATGAAGTATCCGTCGGTGAAAGCGAGCTCCGTGCAGCGCCAGGCCGCGGCGTGCAGGCCGTTGCCCCAGTCGGTGCGGTGGAAGGGCAAGTTGCTGATGTTGGAGAATTCGACGTCGGGGCCATTGGCGCGGTCGGTGTTGGCTTGGATGGTCGACAGGTCCTCGCAGGCTTCGATCGAGCCCCAGTATTCGCGGATCAGGGCCGGTGTCCAGCGCGCCACGCCCTTCTCCAGGCGGCGGCCGAGGTCGAAGAGGGGTGCCTTTTCGACTTCGCCGGCGGTGGCGTGCGCGCGACTGTAGACGAGGGCGCTGCCGGACCATTGCGGGTGCATCTCCTTGATGCGGCCGCGGGTCTGGACGGGGGTGAGGCAGAGGGTGCGCTGCTCGGGGTCGTGGCGGCGGGCGCGCACGACGGCCTTCCAGAGGTAGGCGTGCAGGCAGGAGGCGAGAGAGAGTTTTTTGGCGCCGGGGGTTGTGTCTTGCCCTTCCTGTCGGATCCGGGCGAGTTCTTTGGCGGAGAATTTCCAGAACGAGACAGAGAAGTTCGCCATCGAGGCCACGAAGAGCTGCGAGAGCTGTTCCTCCGAGACGCCGTCGAGTTTCATTGGCGGAGGAGCTGCTCGCCAGTCCTCCCATTCGAGGATGGGTCGCGCCGGTTGTGTGCCATACGCCACGCTCTTGTCCAATGCCTCCGGAACGATGATTCCAGACAATTTACCCGGTTTCTGTGCGATGGCTCTGCACAAGTGGTGGGCGAAGACGGACTCGATTAGGGCATGGGCGTAGCCGTCGAAGTGAATGTGGCTCATATGCAGGGCGAGAATGAGGCCATCCTGGATCATGTTCGCCTGGACGGCAAAGTTGTAGGTACCGACGCCCTTGATGGGGTACTTGGACAGCGAGAGCTCCTCGCGCCTCAACATGTGTGGCGGCCATTTCAGGCGCTCGTACTCCTGGTAGGATTTCTCGGGGAAGTATCGCACGCGGAACAACACCGAGGCATCTTCTTCGATCTCGAGTTGCCATCGGCGGGTGGCTTCGTTGGCGAGGGAAATCTTGCCGCAAAGGTGGGGAAGTTCGGCGATGGCGTCTGCAGTCGCGACTTTGAGCGCCTCCACCAAATGTTCCTCCGGCAGCGCTGCACTTCTCCCAAAGCATAGGATCTTCGGCAGAACGATCGGTACACCGACCTGGTCGCCTGCAGGCAATTGTGTTATACCGGCAGCGACTGGTGTTGACGGTCGAATTCTGAAGGTCTGCTCCAACTTGGTGATGATGGGCAACTCGGCGATGCTGGCGGCCATGGTGAATTCGGTGATGCGCGGAGCGCAACAGTATTCGATGAAGGCGGGTTAGGCGAATACGAGGATTCTAGATGCGTCGACCGTCCAGACGATGTCGAGCAGAAGAAATGAAAATGTCGCGATAGCCGACAATGGCGAATGTGTGGTATGTATTGGCCCTCGAGAGCAAGCTGGTTGGTCGGGAGAGCGAGCGAGGATGTGGAAAGATTGAAGGCGGGCGTGACAACCAAATAAAGGGAAGATATGTTACAAGGCAGAAGAGTGTCGACGCATTGGATGGCTACGAGAGAAACGGCACTACCGGAGGCTTTTCAATCATCACGGACGGTCGAGATCTAGTTATTTGGAGGGAGAGACAAGTGTCGCCCGATAGAGTCGTGTATCTGATGGAGGGAAAACGGGTGGGGAAAGGCTGCCACCGATTGATGCAATGCAAGTGGAGTATGCGCATACAATACGTCCTCACGCGCGGTGGGCATGGGCATGGGCATGGGTATGGGTATGGGTCTACGGGTGTGCCAGAAGGGAAGGCAAAAGGAGGTGGGACAAAGACCATTCCACATATCGTCGTTGCGAGGAAAGACGACGGGAGACGAGACACAATCGACTCATGAGATCGCGTGTGGGGAAACAATGTACCGACGCCGAAGTGAAATTGGTGGCCGGGTCCGCCCATGCCTGAATGGATGGACGGAAAACGGATAGAGTAGTGTCGAGTAGTGGGCGGAGGTGGACATTGAATACAAGCACGACGAGAATGATGATCATCATCATCAATTGATCATCAAATTCATCAATTCTTGGGCGGCGCACCTTCATCAAACTCCGCTGCTAGGCGAGATGCCGCCGCCAGGACCGGGCATGGGGCAGCGGGCAGGGGCAGGCAGGTGACAAGACACGGGCCGAGGGAGGGTAAACGGTGAGAACCAGGTACGGAGAGAGAATGAAAGAGATGCCGCAATCTGTCTGTGTACTGTATGTACTGTAGCAGCAGGGATCAGACAGACCTGGTCTCGTCTCTCACCAGTTCGGAGTCCGGTCTTGGTGAGTGAGTGAGTGCAGATGAGTTGAATCGATGGGCCTCACACTGTAGCGACTACAGGGACACTACTGCATAGTACAGTGCCTTTCGTGAGAGTGTCGTGAGAGGATGTGAGGATGGAGTTTGAAATGAGTGAAATGCTACTAGGTAGTACTGTGTGATGAACGGCGTGAACGGGTGATGGGCACGCCTAGGTAGTAGGGGGGTGGAAACTAATCGACTAGCAAACTCTCGGGGAAATGCATTGGCACAACGGCTTTTGGACCGAGGAACAGGGGGAAAAGTCATGGGATTTACGACGGGGTGGTGGACAGACCGGCTTCCGCGTCCCGTCCAATCTGACACGCCTGACCCGAACGCCCGTTTTCATCAACGGCCGTCTTTTCCCCAGACGTTATCCAAACACGTCGTCGTCGTCGGATGAGGATGTTTTCCACTCGTCGACGTATTCTCTTATTACACCCTGCGACGCGACACTCATGCGTGTTTCGAACCACCTAGGAAACAAACCTCCCACCCGCGTTGAATCCGCAGCTTCGGAGGGAGCGTCAAAAGCGTTGAGCACGCCCACGCCAGAAGACCTTCTGCGGCGTGGTTTAGCTTTCTCTTGTGTGTGTCCATCGCCTGTCTGCTGCAGACTCCGACTCATCGATGTCTCTGTGTGGGAGACAGGTAGGCAGGCAGGCAGGCGGATGTCCTTCGTGGTTGTGACTTGTGTGCATATTGCAATGTAACACTGCGGCGCGTCTCTATGTCACCGAGTGTGTTGTTCTGCGCCGGACGAGACAACTCATTTTCCGCGTATTCAACCTGTCTCCGCACAAAACCGGGGATGAGGCGGAAGGAAACGAATCGCCATAGACTGCAGGAACTCGTCTTCCAGCCTCTTCCAGCCTATTCCCATTTCTAGTCATTGCCCTGTAGCGATCTTTTGTGATCAACGCTTCTAAGATCGACGAACGTGTCGCCGCCTCATGTATCACCGCGCTGGCACTCTAGAAACACACGTGTCTTGGAAAAAGGAAAGAAAAGATATACGAGCGAAGGAGCGGGAACCGTGATTGACATTGTTGCATCGCGCGCTGTGGACGATCAGCAGCGGCGTCGTCCATCGTGCGAAGGGAACGAAGATCACCCCTCGGCGAGATGGACATTCGTGGAACTTTCTCTCTCTGCATCTCTCTTGTCTTTCTCGACTCCGCTACGGATAGGTTGCCAAAAGTATTGGTTTTCCTACTCTTCGACACCGATCGTCCTGCGAGGAGGAAAGATACGGACCTGAATCGAGGGACAGATCTGCAATCCCACAACCACAACACCCTGAGTAGTTACATTCACAGTGGACAAATCACGGACGGTATGGTACACTACTGTTCCCGATAGAGGACTTGCGAAAGACCAAAGAAAAGGATCTGCAAGGGTGGGGAATCCAGGACCAGGGAAACGAACTACAGTGTACATCCATATACACATACGCCGAAGGAGGAGCACGATCGTGGAGAGAGAGCGGTACGCTTGGGGTGCATGAAGAGACTCCACAACAGCGTGTGCAGCGGTCATGGTATGGTACGGTGGAGAGACCTTGGGCGCGTTCCGAGGCGGTAAAGACAGGGACAACAACCTCGCTGTCAAAAATCCAGGGATATACACCTCGATGTATCTACAATCTATGAATGGCTTTGGGTACCTACGGCGACACGACGGTAGTAGGATCGCGCGTGGACGACGCTCGGATGGGGTTTTCGAAAGGAAGACGTGTGTGTGTGGTGACAGCACCCACATAGACTCGATTTAGATAAAGCGACGGCGTGGTACTGTATACATGCTTGGGACGATACCACCACCGCCGCCATTGCCACCAACTCTCTCATGTCAAAGGCCGAGAAGACCAAGCACAGCGAAGCTGAACACAAGCAGGAATAAGCCTCGGACTGCTCAGCGCTTCTCGGGATGCTGTAGTTGTGGGTCTCCTCCATTCTCCGACGGCGTCGCATTGAGGCTGCGACGGGCGGGGCTGCGCTTGACAGGCGGACTTTCTCCGTGGTTGCCCGCGTGGCGGCGTCCTCGGCCGGCTTGATGCAGGTCGGTTTAGGGACATGCTCGAAAGGAAAGGCCAAACCAATCGAGGCGTGCCGCGGGCGATCATCAGATTGTGGAAGACGGTGGGGGAAAGAGGGTGTTGTCACGTCGTCGGGCGGTTTTGACACAGGGAGACCGAAGTTTTACCCTTCTACATCATTTCACGGACATGATGTCGGCGGGAGAAAAGGTGTTTCCCTTTCATCACGGACAAATCAAGGTTTCGTCATTTTGTGGGGATTGACATGAACTGTTGTTGGACGGATTGTGGGGTAGAGGAAAGTCTGTGGTTGGACCAGGATTGGCGACAAGGGTGTACATCATTCCGTCCGTCGTTGACCACGACGATGATGATGGCGGTGGTGGAAGATGGAGCAGCCGGTTGATTTGTTACAGGTATCGGGTCATGTATTGTGCTGTCTAGGTCGAGCAAGGTCAAAACCGGATAAGTTTGATCTCTTCCTCGGTGGACTTTCACATGCAAGCGTGCCTCTTCAGACCAAATCTTTTGGCCGCTTCCCACGACGCGATTCATTGCAGTCGCGCAAGACTCTCCAAGACCGTACCTTCATACCGACAATCATCATTCGTTGCTGAATTTGGTGCGCTATTCAAGAAAAAAAACTAGTGAAAGTGATGATAGTGTGTGCGCGGTGGTGTGTGGCCCCTCATTCGAAAGAAGTTCGGCGTCTTTTCTGGCACATCCAATTCGACTGAACAAGTGACGATAAGTCGGCGCGCCGACGATGCAGTACAGTGCCTGGGAAATCCTGGATCTAGGAACAGTGCATGTATCGTTGTATATACCAGCACTTCATCATTGGCGGTGTGGGAGGAAATGTACGTAGCGACGACTACCTATTGGTTGGGTGTGTGTCCAGAGCTGACAGGAGAAAGTAATGATCGACAGCACATTAGCGTCAGGCACTGAACATATGTCAAAGCGGGCGGACCCCGCGCGGAGCCGGCGTCAAAAAAATCCTCGCTCGGTCGGAAGAGAGAAGAAAAGCTGTGGGTGTGCTGCTGGCTGGTTGGCGGACGACCTGGGCACCCTCACCCTCCAATTCCCACCATAGACTCCACATCAAGTACTGTCCTGCAGGCGTGTGGTTAGAGAAATGGGTGGGTGTGGTGCCGCATGCAGTCATTTCCCCTCAAAGGATTCCGCGCCTCTTCTCTCTGTCCCTCCCTCTCATCAATCGTGACATATGTACCCCACCTTTTCTTTCTCTGTTCCTTGATCGTGTTCAGGTACGTTACATCGTCACACAGCACACACAGCAAAGCATTGTGTCCTGCAACTCTGCCTTGCATCTGTCACGACCCCGCTTGGGGAGCCGAACATGAAGAGATCGTATACAGACTCGTCCTCCAGATATATATGTGTGCGTGTGTGTGTGCGTGTGCTGGAAGCAGGTCCTATCGCCGCCGCCTGCGCCACATGCACACATATCTCCTCGCCATGATGTATGTGCATGTATTATTGCACTCCTGCAGGCAAGACATCAAGCTCTTTGCTTGCCATGCACATGCACATGCAAAATGGTTTACAGTACTAACGAAGATGCAGATCTGCTAGCTTGGGTGAGAGCGAGAGAGAGAAAAAAAGTCTCGTCGATCTATTGTATGTGTTTACGCGCTTCTTTACAAACCTTGGAAACCTTGCTTGATCATACAAACGATACTCTATCTGTGGGTCGCATCCATCAGCGGTGACTTGATCGGGTCGCATGTCATACTCGAGATAGAATCCTTTGATTGAGCTTTTGTGCTGTCATGATGAGTCTTGCACTGTACATCATGCGCCTGTGATGATGTTGGGGTTGTCCCATGCAGCACGAAAACTAAGCAGAACAACGTGGGGAGTGAGTGCTACTTTTATCTGACCCTAACAAACAATCCACCCGACCACGTTCACCTGTGCAGACGATATCAGATGCTGGGTGTTTCGAAGCGAGATGCGCTTGCGATGTCTGTCATGCTAGATCTAACCCTCGATATATGTCGAGACCTTGCAAGGCAGGGCGTTCCTCGAAGCGAGCATCGCCGTGCGGTCTGGAGAGCCATGAAGATCACTGTGGATGGACAGTCTCATAAAGAAAGGCATCGCCGTGTAAGGTCGTCCTGGAAGCAATTGCCATATCCCCAAACTCTTTGATATCTGCCCTGTCACCAACGGAAACATGCACTACCTGACCATACTTCCCCGGGTGAATACGGACACGGCGAATGAACCAGACTGAGCGAGATGCACACTCTCTTATCACAGGACTACCCCTAAGTTCGATGTCGCCTTCACGATACCTGAATCCAGGCTGCGCAAACCCTCATTGTTGCAACCAAATCGTCCTGCTCGCTTGCGCGGGATGTCCTTGCGCGGTGTGTTGTGTCAGAGCTGAATGCGGCCGGAAGAAGGTTTTCCTTAATCGCTGACCGCGCCTCAACAACACACTCCACATCGCTCAGCTGACCTTGCACTGCGGCAAATGTCACAGCTGCTGCCTCGAGTTGTGAGATATTCTTTACTTCTTCTCGGCCGGAATGGAAGAGCGTGGAAAAGGACATTCGTTGCGGAAATCCTATCGACAACGAGAATGTTTGTCCTCGAGGAAGGCGTGTTGTCGTCGTGAAGATGTGTTGCGGTGACACAGGACCGGCGAGCCCGAGACAAGGCAACCCTAGCGATTCAACCCCAAGTTGTCAGACACCCGTGGACGGCATTTTTTCGGCGTGCTCCTCGTGTGTGGGCGGGGAAAGATCGACGGTCGGAATTTCCGCAAGGAAATGTGCGGAGTGAAGGTCAGACACGGTCGCTCACGCGGTCGTGCGCAGACCTCCACCACCACAGAAAGCAATTACGATCATTCAAAATATCGTCAGTAGGACATATGGAGCAATTCAAAGGACACGAAAAAGATGTGTTACAAAAAGATGACAGAAAGATCAATTCAAGAGATAGACTGGGGGTAGTTTTGCATGTGAAAAAAGATCTCCAAAAACGCGTATCCATATCCGCAGCACGAGTAGGGAAAAAAGAACTCCAACCTCTTGCAGAAGAATAGTAACCACTTGTGTCTGTCCGACTCTCTCCAATGCAAATCATCCTCCATTCGACACCCACACGCCTCATGCAAACAGCGCAGTCCATACCGGCGCCAGGCCAAAATACAACCAGGTGAGACCCGTAATTCCGGCCGTACCCCAGAAAGCCGGGGTGGGCGGGGTAATGCACTCCTTTTTAGGTCGGGCAATGCCGGTCTTGACGTCGCGGGTGAGGTAGTCCTCGCGGGTGCGCGCGTTCGGGTCAGGGTTGAGGACGTATTGGATCGGCACGAAGGCGTTGTAGGTGCAGTCGAGGATGATCTTGGCAAAGGGTGGGTAGGCGATGGAGGTGAGCAGGGCATAGTAGGAGCGGGTCTGGAGAGGAAGGGCCTCGTTGATGGTCAGCGAGACGACGTAGGCGAGGATCGCGAAGTAGGTGAGGTGCATCCAGCCGCCGTCGCCGGTGATGGTGCGCCACAGGCGGCCGAAGAAGGTCTTGCTGGTGAGTTTGCGGGTGGCGGCGACGTCGGCACCGGTGGTCTTGAAGGCGGCCATTTTGTTCTCGCCGAAGATTTGGTGGTGGATGAGCCACATCACACCCTTGAGCTGGTAGGGCAAGTTCCAGAGACGCACACCATCGTCGAGGGAAATGGTGTCGTTGGCTGCGATGGAGAGGGACCAGTTGAGGATGTAGGCCGATGAGTAAGCAACGAAGCTAAGCACCAGCGAGATGAGCAAGCTGTTGCCATTGCTGGGAACAACCTGGCAGCGTGCGAAAGCGATGATCATGGGAAGTGAGAGCATCATCCAGAATCGCAGAAGAGTCATGTGAAGGATGGGGATGATGCTTGCAAACTTGACACCGAATGGCTTGTCGGAGATGATGGGGTGGAGGAAGAGAGAGTAGCCGTGGATAATACCAGACATCCACTTGGCCTGAAGCTTGGCCATATCCGTGTACGTGAGCGCATTCATGCCGTGCTGGTGCTCTTCCTCAACCAAGCGCGCCTTGAAGCCGTATGCCTGCAGAATGATAGTGACGATGAAGCTGTCCTCCTGTTTGACCATGGTCGGGAAACCTCCAATGTGCTCAAATGCCGATCGTCGTGCGAGGTAGCCAGTACCTTGGCAGACGGCCTTGCCGCTGGCGTCGAAAAGGCGCTGCATAACATCGGAGTCGAGGTGGAACCGCGGAGCAAGGCAGAAACCTTGAGGGAGGTTGTAGAATTTCTGTGGGGCACCCGCCAAAGCGACCTTCTCATCCTGCTCGAAGAATGGAACAGTGCCGCGAATGAAGTCACGGCCAGTGATCATGTCAATGTCCAATACACCAAAGAATGGCGCGGCACCTCCCGGAAGCGTCTTGACGTGTTCCATGCCAAAGGCGATGTTGGCGGCCTTGGAGTGGATCTTAACCGCAGCGCCTCGCGCAGCATAGTAGAGCTGGGCGTCTGGGTGGGAGCTCTTGAGCTGGATAACGAGCTGGCGGACAGTTTCCGATCCACCGTCGTCGAGAACGACGACACGGTAGCGATCTTTGGGGTAGTCCTGGTCCAGCATTGCCATGAGAGTGTCGGTGATGATGTCCAAGCCCTCGCCGTAGCATGGGCAGAAAACGTCCACTCTAGGTAAGTCCTTGCCAGTGGCGCGTAGTCGCGGCTGAGGAGTCCAGTTCTTTCCGAGGCCGAGCAGAAGTAGGGCGTTCATCAAACCCGAGACTGTTGAGATTTCGTGGTCAGCTCCTCACATCTCGCAATGTCTTCCACTGCTGAATTTCTATTGCAGGACTCACTAGCGAAGGTCCACTCCACCACGAAGAATCCGATGAAAACAGCCAGCTCGCTCCAGCTGGAGGAGCCGAAGCTCAGGATGATGCTGATGGTGCGCCATGCGAAATAAAGCAGGCCAGTGATGAGAGGGAACTTGGAGAAAGCGATGGCCCGCTTGAGCGCATCATTGCGCCTCTGCTCGCGGTTCACAGCGACCGCGGCGGGCTTATTCTCAGTTGTGGCACCCATTGTTGAACGTATGAAAGAGGACAGAGGAGAATTGGTTTCGTGCCCAGACAAAGTTGACCTCGCCGGCGAGCAATGACACGTAGACGGTCGGGCAGAATGAGCGGGAAGGAAGGAAAATAATAAAAAGGTATTGCGGCGGCACATGGGGATTGATGGTAATGGCCGTTGCACGCGCGAAAAAACGTCCGCCACCCCGTGAACCCAATCGCTACAATAGCGATAATGCGGGGTTGAGGCTTTCCAAGGGTTTGTTGAAGGGGGTCCACGGGCAAAGTATGGTGTACAACGCGCGGGAGAAAGGCAGATCGTCCACGAGTTGTCCAATTGCAGTCGGAGCTTGCGATGTTTGAATCACCTTTGCGCCGTTGATGACAGCCGCTGTCGTTCTCTCGGGATCCTGAAGCCGCTGTATCTGGGGACGATGTCGACGACAATCGCTCTGGCTGTTTGAGGATCGATGCTCTGGCGAAGACGGAATGTTACAACGCCTTTCTTGATCGGAAGAGATGATCTTATAAAATATATGAACGGAGTAGGTGTTCGTTATACACCCATTGCCTCTACTGTACGAGCCAATCCTGCTTCATCTCCAAAGACCGGCAGATGCACTCACCATCCAGGGCGTTGAAGGCTGGAGACTTTCACATGAACGCCCGCCCGTTGTTGTCTGGTTGTTCACGATTCACAGTGTCAGACGGTCTGGCTTTGAGTTGGCTGGCGGTTCTCAACATTCAGCTCTGCATGATCTACCCGTCCAGTCATGTCCTTGAACACACGAATGTGTCCCATCGATCTCGCATCTGGTCTATCGGACACCGACGTATCAAACACGAACAGCTGATCCACGTTGTCCCTTTCGCCCGTAGTCGATCGATATGTCCCGCACGTATGGTGCTCCACGTTGTCTTGTGACAGGAAGACACCTTCGTGAATAGCGATATCACTCCACGCACCTGATAAGCATCGTGAGAATCAATAGAAGAAAATAGATACTGTACCTAGCTTTAGTGTTCCTCACGACAGGACCACCACTGCTTTAGGCGCAGGGATCGACAGCTTGACAATTCGGGTCTAGTCGCACACATGTAGCACGCATGTAGCATTTCCCTAGCCGATTGTCATCTGCTGCGTGGCGTCTACCGGACCTTTGGGCGATGGCACATATGGATTTGTGGAGGGTGTGCGGCGGACAGGCACCCCCGAAATTGCCTCGGCAGCTTCGGAGTGGGAGAAGCTCGTGTCATGCAAACTGGCTGCATGGATTCCAAAGTACATACCCAGTACAGTACGTACTGTACTCCTCACGCCTTCCAGTCCCCACATGCGCCACACCACCTCACGGACCTCACAGTAAAGAATGCCACGAGTCTGAAATCGGTATCCGTGTCTTGTAATAGTCCGTATCTGAATACTACTCCACGATGCATGTAGGCTGCGACATGTAGATGGTACTGTATATCGATAACGGTACGGTAGACGCGACTCGAATGTCGACCACCGGTTATTCAGGTCGACCACGTATGTTCAGTATCCAATGCGACGCATGGCCTGTTTCTCCATCTTCACGATTTTTCCATCCTTCGAATGTCTCGTGTCCGTGGTTGACTCGTGCATGCGCGATCGATTCAACCACATCGTTGTCAACAACTTGACCCACCGACCTTGGGACCCCCACGGTCTGCAAGTCCTGCCTTTCGTTGAACAATCATAGTATCGACACAATTCGCGCAAGGTTCCTCATGCTGAGCTAGCAAGCCGCGTGAATGTTGACGGCCCGATGCAACATGACTTTTTGCTGATATCGAATGACGGACGAAAGCACTTCGCATGACTCAACAGACTACAGCCCGTAAGACAGATGGCAAGTCACATGAGTAGTGTAGACGTGAAGAGGCAACACAGTAATTCCGCTCTGGAAGTAGCTCTGGTGGAGGAGGCTCAGCTGCGTTCTGCATCATATCACGTGCGTGTGTGCAGACCGCGAGCGGGGCGGGGTTCCAGTGACGATACTTCGTGCGCGCGATATCACGTCAACTTTCCCCTTGTCTCATGTAAATGACAGAGGATCAGGGGACTGCTGGCTTTCACACCCTACCTTGCCTTAAAATCTGACGGAAAATCGGTCGCCGGGCTGAGACACCTCGTTGTCGCATAACCCAGCCTCCGACAAAAAGGTGCCTGAGACATTGTTTTATCGTTGTGCTTTCATTTCATCATGATCATCACATCAGGCGATGATTAGTGCACACAAATTCCGGGTGACGGGTGGAATTTGCATGGGTCGATACTCGACGAATCAAACAATCCATTCATTCGTCCTTGGAGTGGAGAAGTTTGAAGATGACAATTTGATCTCTTGCCCGAACGGTGGCCCCACCGCCATCTCCGCCTCTCCGTTCGTGCCTTGCCCCGTGCTTTTCCACTTGATGCGTCCAGGCCTATCCCAGTCTGTTAGCACCTTGCTATATGACGACAGTACCAACACACATGGTATCAACATCATGATCATCACCATGATCATCACCGTCATGTCATGCAGACAATGCGGTCGAAACATCAGCGATCGTCACATCCGAGCTACAAGAAGCCGGTTTATCGCTCGTGGAAGAGGCTCTGCGCGTTGCGATGATCAGGAACCATCGTGGCTGGTGGGTCGCTGATGAGCGAAATTCACATCTCTCCTCGTTGTATCCGCGCCATGAACACCGGCCAGACCCTGGCCCTGGCCCAGGCCCGCCGAGTTGAGAATTGTGGCACGATCATCAAAGTAAAGAGTCTGGTGTGCGAAGGTGAAATCAAGTCTGAGACCTCGTCGTATTTTGCAAGGCAGAAGAACAAAACAGAGACAAGAAGCCAGAAGGCACGTTATGAGGTTCTGGACGCCCGCATTGCTCTGATGTTTGAGACGTGATCTCTAGATTGGTGATGAGAACATTCGGCGAATTGACGAGCCGATACACGGTGACGTGCCCGAGATATCACTCACTAAAACCCGATAAAAGACCAGGGTGAGAGACACATCGAGCGATCAGAGACGCATTGCGCTCCCGGATCACCTTCTTTCGTGCAGTCGATCTCGATATGTGTTGCCCGCATTCCGAAGACCGAGATGTCGTTTTGTGGTGACCTGTTGCTCCTCGGTGAACATCTGCATGTGTGCATGCCAGGCACGAACAGTGGCGGGTTGTATGTCAGCACATCATCTCCTCATACAGAACCTACCCTCCGCCGCCTCCGCAGTTGCTTTTCCTCGTTTGGAATTCGACCAATACCTAGGTATCCCATCGAATAGACTGAATCGCTTCGGCCCGCCCACTCTAACTTCTCTGGCAATTTGCCGCGGCGTATTATTTTAATACTGTAGACCCGTGCTGGAATAGTACACTGCCGCTGTATTTTGTCCACTGGTGGTACTTCTCCACTCGTTCACGTCTACATCATACCAAAAATATCAAATACAAGCCTATCTGAAGCTCGGCATTCTTGTCCTGACGGAATTTGGGCGTTCGCTTCTTTGCGCCCACAACCCATTTATTGGTCATCGGCACTTTTTCCGTGGATAGTAATACTCCGCCGGAAGGATCCCTGTTAATAACTTCGCGGAGATGGATTATTTTCCACCTGGACCATCCACTATCCCCAGCTGTTCACCACCCTTGAACAGGTACATGCGTGTTCGTCAATGACAGAATGAGTAGCATGGATTCGTAGTAGTCACATGGACTGCGTGAAAACCTTCTTCGCGGACACCGCATTTACGTACGATACTTGGTCTCTGATGATCAGCACAGTCCTGGAGATGGGTGGGGAATAGTCCTCAATAGATCCCTCGGTAGCTCCAAAAAACTGCTCTGCGAATGATTTAAGGCGCCAAGGTATGGCATCGAGATGGAGCGTGAAGAAGAACAGGAAGACACGGTCAGCAATAGTACACTGTCGATCTGCGGCGTCAACAAAGCGATAGTGCTGCGAATATCGCAGCCATGTAGAGCTGAGTCCAGACGATATCGCCGTCGATAGCACCAGCCCGCATATCCCTCCCCAATGCGGCACAGCGCGCTCTCAATATTGCAATGGACACTTCTGCACCTGGGCAGCTACACATCTATAAAAATGATAGTACAGTAATGATGATAATCATAATACAGTACTACTATGATGCAGCGGTGCAGGACTGCACTGTAAATTGGATGCGTTCGCACCGCTGCCCATCGCTGCCGTTCCCACCATCGAGGCAAGCCACCCGTGTCTGATCAACGTACCCCGGGCTCGCGCCGTCCGGGTTGCACCGCACAGACGATCGCTGGGATAATGTTCCTGGCCCAGTTTGTGACGCCGTCGAGCCGGAGTCCAGCTGCTCGCCCATCACTGGCCCGAAACAACACATCGTCGGTTTTGAAAGCAACGGTCACCCTTTCCCGAGCTGCTCGCACTGGCCATTCATTGATCGGTCTCTTATTACCGTCATCATCCCGTCCCACACTTATTCGTTCATCAATTAACGGCGAGGTAAAACAAGTACATCGCGTACATGTCCTAAACAACGGTGCATGAGAGACAAGCGGCTGCATTTAGTATCCAGCGCGAGTTCCGTGAGTGCCATCCGAGTCAAGTCATGTCCCTCATCGCGCTCGGCATGATTAAGGTGACACTCACGATCTCCTGCTCCGCCGCCGAAAGCGAGTGGTGGGAAGCAGCAAGCAGCCGTGTTGTGTGCCAGCAGAATTCCCGTGTTTGCTCATTCCCAGTTGGGGAGAGAGGTGTGATTCCGACGACCGGGGTCAGCTCCCGAGGCGCACGTCGCGTGTATAGCGCGCTCATGCATTGGTCGTATCTCTCGGTCCCGACGGTTTTTTTTCATCGATCTCCTCCCCTTGACCAAAGACAGGTTAACCTTGTCCGCGCTGCTTCATCTTCATTGCGACTAGTGAGAATTTCCCAGTCTGATGAGATCCCACCCTCCGGCCACAAGTCGTAAACCGCGTCGAGTCTCTCGCGAACCTCCACCCAGCCGTGCCTCTCCTGGTGGTGAACTCGCCGGACCCCCGTGCCAGACCGGACGAGATGTGCGGGCAGACGTACGTGCACCCGCCGCCGAAATGCGCGACGGATTGCAACGCTGTCATCACTCTGATTTGTCTCGATGGCGCGCAGTCGACGACGCTCCTACTCCCGAACAAGCTTGCAGGGCGATCACCATGACAGTCTTCGCCGGCGTGGCGCCATCTCATCATTCATTCCAGGTCGTGGGAGGGAGGAAAAAGAGTCTCTCGTCAATCACTCGCTCACACGCACACGCGCATCCACCGCAGACACACACACACACACGCACATGCAGTCACTCACTCACTCGTCTTTTCTCACTCACACCTCACACCTCACACCTCACTCACTCACTCGCACCCACACACTCCTTCGCGCACATCTCACTCACACTCCCCCAGGAAAGTCACTCTCGTGCTTTAGCGCTGGTCTGTCTTCGTGCATGTCATGGGTACACACCATTGTTCTGATTGATCCATTGCATTCACCTCCACCATTACCAACTACTTCGTCCTTTTGTTCTTCGGTCATTCTTCCACACTCATTACTTCTATAGAAGAAGGCATCTCCTTCTCTTCCAAGGCTCCTGGCTTGGTTGCTACGACAATCTCTTGACTCTTCAGTCACCCAACACCAGCTCTAAGCATTTGGGCGTCGGCCAAAACGAACCAACTGCCAGGATGTCTATGGTTGCCATGTACTCGTTCAAATACCCTCTCTTCACACGTCAACTCTCCTTCTCTACCCTCTTGGACCTTACCGAAAAGCAAGAAGCTCCTCAACCTTACCCTTCAAGGCCAATCCGACCGCGAGTGGCCATTATCGGTGCTGGTATCACCGGCGTTGCGACAGCATGTCACATCATCGATGCTGGCTACGACTGCCACATCTTCGAGGCTGGATCCGAAGATCACATCGGTGGAGTCTGGTCAACAGTCAATGAAACTTCGAGCCTCCAGGTCCCTTCATCCTTCTACAAGTTCCACCCGGCCGTCGAGTGGAACAGCCTTTACCCCAACCGACAAGAGATCATCGGCCAGGTGAAGAAGCTCTGGGACAACTACGACCTCGCCAAGCGATCCACATTCAATTGCCGTGTCGAGAACACTTACAAGGAGGACGGCAAGTGGTATGTGAACGACCACTCATTCGGTGGATTCGACGGCCTCGTCGCTGCCGTCGGTACCTGTGGTGAGATGTACAACCCCGGAATGCTCGGTCAACAACACTTCAAGGGCAAGATCCTGCACTCTTCGCAATTGGCGAAGTCCGACGTTCGCGGCAAGAATGTCTTGGTCATTGGCGGAGGCGCCAGTGCCGTCGAGGCTCTCGAATTCGCAGTCGATAATGGCGCGTTACAGACCACTGTTCTGGCAAGGGTAAGCATGACGTGCCTAGTTTCACTTTGCAAGATCTTAATAGCTGACACATGTCTCAGTCTGAGAAATGGTTCCTCCCGAGACACGCGACCCTGAATGCCGCCCTCGCTGCGACTGTCGGCGACCGATGGGGCATCCTCGCCTGGATCATCGAATTCCTTCTCCGACTATTCTTCTACAAGGAGCTGAGCGAGATGGCTCCTCCGGTCAACTCCGAGAAGGGTGGGATCTACTCCGGCACTCCTATCTGCAACAGCCGCGTCTTCGACCTCATCGTAAGTTGTCTTACTTCGCCGAACTGTTGTGTTCACGATTGACTAACAGTCTCTTTAGAGGAAGGGTCGATGCAGCTGGGTTCGAGGTGATGTCCAGCATCTCACAGAAGACGGTGTCAAATTCACTCGCCGCAAGCGAGGTGTCGCACCCGGCGGCGAGGGCGAGACCACTATCGAGAAGGGTCAAGTCGTCATCATGGCTACCGGCTTCAAGCGTCCTCAACTCAACTTCCTTCCTCAGAACGTCCGCAGCAGCAAGTACAAGTCACCCAACTGGTACCTCCAAGCATTCCCTACCGAAGACGCCTCCATCGCTGCCATCAACTGCACATGGCTCGATGGTATCGGTAGCATTGGCGGTGGCCACATTGGTGTTTACGCTCGTTTCCTCGTTGCCTTCCTCGTCGACCAACAAGCCCGTCCCACAACATGGATGATGCAGCGATGGGTCGACCTTGTTGAGATGCTTAAGAGGCCTTACAAGGGTGGCCCACTCGCATTCGTCACGACCATGGAGCTCTACTTCTGGTTCCTCTTCATGGCTGCAGCCCAACCGTCAATGTGGAAGTGGTTCAAGTTCATCATCCAGGGCCCTGAAGAGTCCAACGGCGTACCCGAGCAGTTCAAAGAAGCGCCCATCAAGACATCAAAACCAGTCAAGTTCAACCCCATCTACTACGATGAAAAGAGCGGACGGAGCGTCGTCGCAGAGACCCCGGTGGTCCTATCACGATAGCGTGCGCGTTTCTTAATTCTTTCACGACTTCTCTATTCGTCTCATCGAGCACTCATTCGCACCATTTTTTATTGTCACCATTTTTATTCCGAACCTATCCAGCTATTGGATCTTTACGATAACCCGGCTTCGTCAGCTATTTTCCTCATCGATTTACTTCAATTTCACCTTCTTAAAATCTTCTGCTTATTTTCATTAAAGTTCGACCCACAGCTGGGTCGCATGGGATCATTGCATCGGGATGCATGGACGGAGAGCGGGAGAAAGCTTAAAGATCTACATTGGTGGGCAGAGCAGCAGGCAGGGGAAAACAGTACAGCACCCACGTGTTGAACTCGACCCGCAGAGCATGGGGATCGCCGAGTTTACAGCGCACATGCGAAGGGGACTCGAAGAGTTGAGATGCTCGTAGGCTGTTGCGTTGGCACGGCGAGAGAGAGTGAGGACTGCAGATTATAGCACAAGCTAGAGCACGTAGCTTGGAACAATACCTGCCGTCTCCCAAAAAGAAAAGCATCATCACCATCGTCACTTTTCGTTGGAGGGTCTTCACAAATGCCGATTCGCTTACGAGCCATCGTGTTCCTGCATGCTGCTGCAGTGACGAGTGGACAGTCTGCGACGATCATCGAATCATCGAACCCCCATGTTGTTCCAAATCGAGAGAGGGTGTGTGTGCAGGATTTCCCTCTTTCAACTTAGCGTGGGACGTCAGGACTGTGCCGCGTTGGGAAATCCTCCGGCGGCTGTCAATCATTATCTCGCCAGAAGTAAATTGTATGCGGAAAGTCCCGGGATAGCCTCTGTCGGTTGTTCATATCGCTGCTCATCACCCATCAAACCGATTATCTATGCATGTCAAATATTGCGGCTACCTACCCGCCAAACGGAGAGTGCAATGTGAAAGGATACGCGAAAGGGGATCCCAAGTGGGCGCCCGTTGTCGCAATCATTTCCAAAGGCACGATTAGAGTGATGCCAACCGATGGACGATGGACAGTCCGAACCACGTGAATCCCGGGCCCACCGTCAGTCTGTGCGCAAAGAGAGCAAATTCTAGTCCGAATTAGCGACGACATCATCAAACATGAAGAAATTAGAGGCGTTGAGCTGCGAATTTCGCTCTGCCTGATACCCTGTAGATCGCCGACCGCCCCAACATCACGGAGAGCGACGGCAGCGTTGAGGCGCCGAACGGTGCTGCAGAGAGGACAGTGAGTGGTCCTCCACCGCATCATCTCCGCTGTGTCCTTCGCCCGCCAACAACCCACCAGCAGCAACAGCAGCAGCATCACCGCCGCCCAATATGCGCCGCCCGTTGTTGGAAATTTGCTTTGTTGCTCCTTTGCATGCAGCAGGCGAAAATCAAGGTTCGGATCCAACCACTGCCACCGAACGCCACGTTCCATTCCACTTTCCTATTTCGCCTGGCCGCTTTTCCGACTCAATTGCCGATGATAAGCAATGCAGGCCTGATCTTCTACTAAGGGAGATGGAGGGGGCAAAAGCGCCATTGAGGCTTGATCTCCGCTGCACCACTTGCCTTTGCGGCGTCGCGCTTGCAGGAGATCGAATGCGCCACATCCTTCATCGCTTCGTGTCCGACTCGAGATAGCTTTGCGACGGATGGAAAGACAATTGTGCCGCTTGTCGTGAGCCTCGCAGGAAACCTATTCGGGGTTTGGCCGAGAAGCTGAACATGCAATCAGCTGTGACGTTGCAGCCGCACCCATCTTCCTCGACTAGCACTCGGCCAAGCTATGACAAGGTTTCTTTGACGTGAGACCGTCAAGCTGCAGCATTGATGACCGAGAAAAAGCATGCGCTGAACTTTACAAGGGCCTGGATTTTTGTGATAGGCCCGAGCCAGACGCAAAAATCTCGCGGTCCGGCAAAACGCTCCTTTCTCTCTGAACCTTGATCTGCTGAACGCTTATCATCAGGCGTGGGCATAGCTTGTTCCCAACCCTTTTTCTCGATGCATCGCTGGATCGGTCTAGGTTTCCGCTCACAAGCTTTTCGATGTCGATGCGTTCTGTCGTTCACGCCCGTTGAGATCCATCGATAATTCCACGTGCTAATCCTGGTGACAGTCCCGCACCGCATCCCGATGGACAGCGTATCGAAGTTTATCCGAACCTGCCTCACGGACGAGACGTGAAGTCAAGCTATCGCGGTCCATGATCCACTTCAGCAGACGAATAGCAGTAAACAGTGATTTGCCGACCACGGCCGTCTAATACTCGGTAAGCGGGTCGGCAAGCAGATTGACAGCGAGGGACTGTACCTTTTTCGTCTCGTCCTGCCTCTTCGAGTCGAGGGCTGCGTGATATTCAGGTACCAACGCGCCGCTATCTTGCATGAAGTTGATCCTCACCAGGGACCTCCACGCCGTCTTATCATGCATGGTCATGTGAGGCAGCTGCGCGATTGTGACAAGATTCGCAGAAAGTCTACACTCCACTCGAAGGTATTGCTGTTACACTTTCCCAACGTTATATGAATTTCACCGAGGTGCAAGCGCGGGTACTGCAGGGTCGTCGCCTGTGAGCCATGACAATGCGGCACGTTGTTCGAAGACGTGGGAGTCTCTCCCTTGTTTTCCCAGTTGGGAACCTTGCTGGTGCTTCTGCTCAAGATCACATCGTAGTCCCAAAGGAAGCTTCTCCCACGCATGCTGAGACCAGAAACCAAGTTGTGGTTGCAAAACGGAATGTTCCATTGCATATTCCCAAGGCCAAGTTGTGGATGTGTGGATACATCGTGATCGCATCCAAGGGCCTTCGTCGGGCGAGAGAGAAAGTGTGTTAATCTTCACATGTGAGAGCATGAGCGACCTGGATGGATGGCACTGACTAGTGAGGTGGTTGAATGGAATGGTGGAGGCTCGTCATGACAGGTTACATCCTTCTCTAGATTTCGCAACATCTGTTCGACAGTAGGACCTGTCGCCGCAAGCCACACTCTATTGTCGGCGCCTCCCACGTCATGAGCATGTGTAACATTGTTTACGGTGATGCTGGGAGAAGTTCCGGGCTACGGAACAGTGGTCCAAGAAGTCACGAAGTGATCATGTAGAAGAGTTGAATACGACAACAGGACACGAAGAGACATCGTGATCAAGACTGAGACAATACCAAGCATTATTGCAGACGGCATGAAGCTTTTGGAAGCTGCGAAAGTGATAACGATCCAACGTGTCTGCCCACGCGTTGCACATTGTCAGAAGAAATGTAGATAAAAACCAATCAACAACGTTCGTGCAAGTACAATCAACCGTAAGCGCCATCATGGCCTCGCCAGCAACAACATCCCTATCTCTTGTCATGAAGTGAGTGTTCCCAGCCATATCCGTCAGGGGAGCAGGTCATCCCATGCGCCCTTCCTGCTTTGCGTGACGGTGTCGGAGAATAGGGGGGACTGCACAGTTGGTACTGTGCGCAGGCTAGATTTTGCGAGTCGTCTCCCAGGGGTTTCTCGTAGCGGTTGCTTGACGATGTAGAAGTGCGATCCTTGTCGAACGATAGACGTGCCGGGTGGGAGACCTGGGTATTGCTCAGCAAGCTGTGAGCAGGAGTCTCTGCGGCGTGGAGGCTGCGGTGGTGTGGATGAGTCTCTGCGTCGTTGCAGTTTCCTCGGCTTTTTGTCGGTCTGAGATTCGATGTCGGTTTCATTGGATCTATCCTGTGATCCGACGAGCTTCCAGAAGGGCGAGCGCCGTTGAGCAGACATGTGTGATGGAGAGTGTGAAGTATGTGATGGTCGGTCGCTTGTGTAGGCCCATTCTGCTTGTGGTTCGAAGTGGACCTTCTTGCTTGATGAGCTTGTGCAGCTGCTGGCTTGGCTACTGTACACACTGCTGTCGAAGGAGTCGCATGACTGATGTTTGCGATGAACAATTCCAGGAGTATTTGCAGGCAGGCCATCAACGAGAGGCTCCATTGCCGGCTAGATATGAAGCTTTTGACAGATGGGTTTGACGTCTAGCTTCGTGGTCTGAGGAATGTTTGGAGAAAGGGTGCCTGACTGATCGGTCAGAGTATTTTGAAGAGGAGAGTTCAAGTATGCGTGGTAAAATTAAGTTCAACACAGAACTTGCTGTTGATGCCAACAGACATGTCGTTGAATGTCATTGCCTTGTAGACTCCTAAGCATTTGCCTCTTCCCCCAAAATACAGGCAACAACAGCTTATATTCAAAGTTGAGATCGAGAGCATTCCTACGCGGACTCGGCGAGTGGACTTCTCTTCGATACACGGATAAGGGTAGCCGCGTTGTGACATCCCCAACTTGATGCTTATATGGTCGCCTGTGTACTGGTTGATACACTCAGCCTTGCACGAGAATTTGGGCGAGGTCGCACGGCATCACGGCTCGCCACCTGTTGTGGAGTGATACGCTTGTGTCTCCAGAAAATGCTCTTTGCCGCTCGGATCTTCTGCGACACTGTCCTCCGATCATTGATGCAGAATGGAGTTTTTGAAACCTATGCTGTGCATACCATGGACGAAGATGCATGAATTTTCGTCATGTGTTAAGCCGAGCAACTCATTCGGCCAGGGTCTGCTAAATCTGGAGCGATCCAGCGATGAACTTGCAAATAATCGTGTCCTGACGTTGTCATCTGATGCGGCTGAATGTCGGAATCAACATGCTTATCCTTTGCGCACACTTGACACTGCGTATGAAGACCGAACTCGGACGGCCAACAACTAGCGATGGAATTGGCTGATCATGCCGATATCACACCGTCTAATCACTTTCGATGTCAAGGCTTCAGCGTCCGGCACTATTGAATATGCCCGGCGCCATTCTGGGAAACATCTCCGGTCAGGAAGTGAATAGTAGGCTCACTATGATGGTGTTCTCCCCTCCGCACATCACCATCCATTGGACCGTAGATCCGGTGAACTGTGCCTTCGATATTGTGTCCCCAGTGATAGCGATGCGGCCGTCCGGCTCTGATACGGACCGTTGCATTTTGTTATTAATGGTGGGTGATCTGTAGGGACGGGACCGCGCGTTGATGAGAGAGATCATCACTGTGAGAGGAAACACCTGTGCCTTGTCGTTTAACCGCTTAACCAGGGAGATCGTCCTGTTCTCTGAGACGTTGAGAGCCGCCAAGCGCGTTGATTTCTCTTATGTGTAGGTAGGTAGTAGCTGACTGGCCACTAAGCTTTGGGATGTATGTAAGTGTAACGTTCGTGGAGGAAGCGGCTGATAGCATGCGGCCAGATGGAAATACTTTGGTTCAAGCAGACCGCGCAAGATGAGGCTCCACAATATTCGACAAAGTCGCTGGTGATGACTCTGTGCTAGTCGAGTGCTGACTTGATTCGCCAAGACTTGCGATGTCGACGCGCAAACAAGGGCTTGACAGCTCTGTACCAGCATCGCCAATCGGAGAGTTAAGTATGCGAGCGATGTCCTTCCCCATGATCACCCATGACGAAAGGTTCTTTTGCAGGTTCTGCAAAGGCAAGAAGCACGATACCTCGATGCGTGGCTTGCGGAATTCATGTTTACCTTCGCGAGGTATCATTGCCCGAAGACAAGACGTTGTCACGCCGCAGTCATGATGGGCCGTGTCCTTGAAATTTGAACTATGCCGTTTGCAAGCGAACCTGAGAAGAACTCTTATCCCGAATGAACACAATGAAAGCATATGAATCGAGGAAACGAATCTCAGTGATCCCAATAGTCAGAAGGTCAAAATGTTCAACAGGCGTGAGGAGACCTTTGCCGCTGATGCTTCTTGCTCCACGTAGCACATTTCTCTCTTGTGTTTGGCATGATCGAATTGTTCTCTTCGGAGTGATTCTGACCACCATTCATGGGGTATGTGTTGCGGTCGGACAGCCACGGAGATTAACGGAAGCCTGACTTTGATGCCACTGAAGGACGTCGGTGTTCAGATAGAGAGTGATGAAACAGCTCGGAAAGTGGCCATTTCCGGTTCCACGCTATGGATGACGCCTTGCATTTGGAATTGAGGAAACGAGGTTGCAAGTCATCGCCCACAACCCGAGAGCGAGTTTCTTCGACGCACCGACCGGAAAGGATCATTCGTCGGAGGTTATTCCTAGATGTCATGTCACTTCCGTACGAACCTTTGACGAGGCTAAGCTTGGTTGGGCGATCGAAAATGATGAGCGCACGCATTAGTACTCGAGAAAAAGAATTACGTCCGCCGAAGCGAGCGTCTTCATGAGTCCGTTTTTCATTCGTCGTAAGTCTACATCACGCCAGATTGCAACGGCATCAAGTAATTTATTGCACATCTGGCAAACGGACTGCAATGTCGCCGCTTTGTGTGATGTACCGCACCCACGGTAGCGAAGGATATTGGAGCTGGTGTTGCTTCAGTCAGCAGTGGTCCGTGTGCGATTCGCTTTCTGCGCGGAAACAGACATACCTTGGGCTCGATGATCTTGAGGTACCGCACTTGAATACCACTGGTCGTGAAATATGGAATTTCAAATTTGACCCCGATTGGTCGTTTTGCCTTACCAGTCCCTCCGACGCCACCCATGCTGCCTCCAAAGCCTCCCATCATGCCACCTCCACGCTCCTCATCGCCTTTGACGCTGGGCAGGCCTAATTCAGCCCGCATGAGGAATTCCTTGCCACCGCCAAATTGTTTAATCTTCCATACAATGGAGGAAGTCTCTGGGGCGTAGTGGACTGATCCGATGTTCGTGCGGAAACGCGGCGAGTCTGCATCGTCTGGTACTGGAATGCTGATTTCTACGTTGTTGGCAGTACTTCTTCGCTTGAACTGTGCTTTTGCCTGGTGTGCATCGAATTAGTGACAGCCACGTGCACCGCTGTGCAGTCCGTACTCACCTTGAGCATGTACTCTATTCTGCTGCCCGAATGTGACTCAACAATGCACTCGACCCAGATCAGTGGCTTTACCTGAGTGTTGAGTCGGTAGCTCATCAACTCAAATTCACCATCTGGAGGAATGAAAGAAATAGTGCGATCGTTCTCAAAGCGAGATAGCCTGACACATTGATGGAATTTCACGTCCTCCATCTCCACCGCTTTTCCTCTTGTTGCGCGACCAGTAGTCTCGAACATGACTTTGTCGTTCAGACCTAATCGCAGTTCCGGCATACCCGACAAATAGCACTTCATCTTGATCGCCCCCAAAATTTCACTCCGAAGCACATTACCTGTGCTGCTCACGAGCAAGTTCAGAGATTCAACGACGTCCAAAAACACCTCGTTCTTGCGATATCGCAAACCTTCACTTCTCCAGCTGACGGCATTGGTGACAGCGATTGGTGGTCGTGCAACATCGAGCTTGTGACTCTCTTGGGTGATGTACTCCTGCAGAATCTTGCTCTCTGTTGTTTGGGGGTAACCGAAGTCCATCATCTCGTCCATCAACTCGTAGATCACGACGAAGTTGTCTCTTATGCTCTCTTCTTCTAGCTCCTTGAAGTACTCTGTCAAGACCTCTACGATGCGGTGCAAGAAGAGCAGTATTTCTGCCGCATTGCTGTTCCGTTTTGTCAAAGCCAGGAGGTAGAGATTGTTGTGTCGAATATAGAGGAAATTAATGCCTTCGTCGCTGAAGCATGGCGGTACGGCGGAGCTCTCTTCTTCGGCTTCGGCCAGCAGGATGGGAAATTTCTCAGCCGCGCTCATAGGAATATCTCCGCGATAGTTTCGTGCCAGAAGGGTTTTGCCTTTGAGATCGAGAAAGAAGACTGCTGACGCCATGATTGGAGTTGCGCGCACGAATGCGCCTCTTCCGTGGTGCTCGTTTCGAGATGTGTCCCGGTTCTCTCACAATTTCGGGCTGGGAGGGTCGTGCAATATACTGGGTTCATTCGATGTGACAGCTGCGTTCGAACAATCGCTTTGTGAGACCTGAGAGCCTAATTGCAGTTGTCTGCAAAAAGTCACGTACTACGGTATGTTCTTGTGCTTGAACAAATTCCCGTGAGGTCGAATTGCCAGCATCACTAGTTGCGGCGGGACCGCGACCCTCGAAACGTTGTAACGCGGAGGTGCTGAGGCCGCAACGCCAAGGCCCATAGATCTTCGACCATTCTTTACTCCATCACGCGACGGCGTCATTGGGCAATTGATCAATCAATCCACATGATTCCATCATATCCGTCAAACATGATCCTCCGAGTCGACCGCGTGCCTTCGCATGCAGCGCTGAGTGCGCTCGAATCAGCACTGAGCAGCTTTCGAATTTCCCAACGGACCACCATTCCAGCAATTGCTACGGCTCCACGACGACATGCTTCACATCAAGCTCAAGGACGAGCCAACAAAGCTGCCGACGGTGCTGGAAGGCGATTAGGAGCCAAAAAGACCGCAGGGCAATATGTCGTGACAGGAAACATTCTCTATCGGCAACGAGGTACTGTCTGGCATCCGGGTGACAACTGCTTCATGGTAAGTCATGTTCAGTCCTTGAGCCATGGTTTCCATCCGTACTTACCAGGAGAAAGGGTCGTGATCATACCATCCACGCCGCAGTTCCCGGATATGTAACATACTACCGCGACCCGAAGAAACATACGAAGCGGAAATACATCGGCGTAGTCTTCAACCGCGGCGACAGACTTCCTCAGCCCGAAGGTTCCGTGCGACGCCGACGACTCGGTCTCCTCGCACACCGCATGCACGCCAATGCGCTAGAAAAGCTCAACCCAGAGGCAATCGAAGCCGCCGAAGCAGCGGCGGCGGCCCCAGTGGAAACCAAAACCACCGTCAAGAAGAAGAAGACCCCGATCGTACGAGTCGGCACACAGTTCCGAGAGACGAATTGGGATATCGGAAGAACAGCTGAACGAGTCGGTACGGCAGAGTCTGTGACGCCATTTGTCCCCGGTGACCGATGGAAAGCTTGGCGTAAACGGGTCGCGAAGAAACAGCGCTGGCTGGCGAAACAGAAATTGATGAGCGGTACGAAGGGCAAGAAGAAGCGTGCAACGCCAAGGATCAAATGAAGCAGGGAGAGCAATTTGTAAGCTTATATGAGGACGTATGGTGTAAAATATTGGGCGAGGATAACAGGGAGCCGTCAGATTCATTACTGGGGGGCCATAAAAGCCTGTATGTTGGTGCAGATGACACGAGCGCAACGCGCTCCACAAAAATCTTCTTGACAACGTTCACGGGGCTCATCTCCCGAAGTATCATCTGGAGGCGAGCGTGTACATCATAAATAATTTTGCATATAGACTTCTCCAGAAAACCACTTTTCTTTTCATCAAAATCGTAGTCCTGTACAGACCCAAAACCGTACGCCAACGCTAAAATTTCATCGATCTCATGTTTTGAGAATCCATGCTCAAGGCAGTGGGAATGGTAGAACAGCGGCACCGAAGTAAAGTGTTCTCACATCACCAATTCCTTTTCAAGGACCGCTGCGATGAGCGACGGCCTATTAATCTCCACAATCTTGGTAGCGATGGACTCCCCAAGGATCTCAGTAAGTCGCTCTTTGGCAGCAGCGCCCTCTGGATAGCCGTTGCTCTGGTTCCCAACAACGGCGCTCTGCTCAAGGGTCTCAATTGCGCGGATGAGGGCGAGTACGACGTGCTCGGCTTGCTCCCTCCTTGACTCGTCTCGGAGTCCCTGGCGGAGATGTGCGTCATAGGCAGGAAGATTGGGAATGATGAGCGACCGGACGCCCTCGGCACCAGCGATCATTGTCAGACCAAGGATTGCTCCGTAATGAGTACCAAAGGGCTTATGCGAATCGAGAAAGTGTTTTAGACACGACTTTGCTATCCTTGGCCGTAAGGTGGAGGATGTGGGGCCATACTTTCGTGAGATACTAGAGAGAAGGCTGCTTGCGAAGTCGCGAAGAGCGTAATGTGCAGTCGAACCATCGGAAGTTGTGGAACCGAGATGTTTGCCGACCAGGCAAGTAAGGACCGACGGTATCATCGCAGGCACATATGGAGCAATGTATAGACTGGGATTGTCCAGAATTGAGTCGAGAAGCTGGATGCTTTGAGTGAGGACGAAGAGAGACTTTAGGTTGTGGGTTACTTTGTCCGCGACGAATTGTGTGAAATATGGTACCAGTTGGTGCAGTCCGGGATCCGTCCGTAACGATGTAAAAGCAGCTATCCGGTACTCATCATTGTTTTCATCCATGATCGCTGAGCATATACGCTCGAAGTAGAGTTGTAGTTCTTTGGATAGGACATGTTTGACGAGTGGTTTGACAGATACGTTGTCGTTCCCGCCCATTGCAGCCAGTGTCGGATTTGCGCTTTGTCCTTTGGCAGTCAGCTCTTGACTGCGTTGATCTGCTTGTGTTGGGTTTTGCGGAAGGCTTGGCTGCACACCCTCAACTGCGAGCCAGTGTGCAGTGTACGTGATCTCCCTTGGTACTTTCGGGAGAGGCGCGTTTATGAGCTTCTCAAAATCCATCTCTTCATCCTCAACGTAGAACAATGGCTGTCCAGGTCCAATTGAGGCCTCGCCGAATCGCAATGGCCTTGTCGACTCATAGCCGTAGAGGGGCTCGACATTAAGCGTTCGAAGGGCTTGTGATATGTCTTGCGTTGTGAGTGTCGTTCGTTTGGCATGGCGCATGAATTTGAGCGCCTCCTCTAGGACTTGGCTGATGCGATATTCGACATCACGAGCGAGATGTTCTGCCAGGTCACGATTAAGCGATGCAATCCCGACTGATTCCGCGACGTCAGTGACGTTCTCAGGGTTCCAAACGGACATTGTCGTCCTTGAACGAGACAAGATTGTATCCGATTTGACGATCTACCCAGGCTGCTGCTGACTGTGTTGTATTGTATCGGTATTTCAGCTGAGGACGCGCGCGACGACTAATGTTGATTGTGCGCAACCACGCGAAGATCGAGTTACGCGACCGTACTGTTGCACAATTATTGGCAGATTTGATAATTATTAGAACCGCAAAGCCCTTTGCTTTCACGCGATCAGTCGAATCGATTCGGTGATTGTGTTGTCCGCAAGCCGACGGAGGTGAACGTGGGACGTGCGCGGACAGTGGATGTATTTGGACGGTACCCAGGACGGAGGGAACAACCAATCTTTTATGAGCAGCTTCAACACAGCATGTCGAATCCGAACCTCACAGCAGGAACAAGCATACATTCGCCTCATTACCCAGCTATCACCCAGCATACAACGGTGAAAAACAATAGAAGATCAAGATCTTTCTTCATTAAGGATCAATTACATAATCGTGATTATAGCCGTCTCTCGTTGAGCAAGTGATATGTGCTGGATCTTCCAACGCCACAAGCAAGAAATAACGCCAACCCACCATTATCCACACACGACGTTCATTCGGTAACCGATCTCGCTAGAAACGCTCTATGAGCTCTCGGTGATATAGCAAAGGATGCTTCCAACGGTCACACCGGTGGTGCTGAGCAGAGCTGGACTAGCCTTGGTGAAAGGCGCGCTGCCGGGCACAACGCCGGCGGCATCCTTGTAGGCTCGGCATTCGACTTGGTCGATGTTGACGTTCGAGGCTGTTTTGTCGAGGCTGATTTGGTAGACTCCAGTGGCGTTGATTTGAGTCAACTGGTTGATCTCAATAGGCGACGGCTCGTAGTAAGGTGTGCCGTCTGCGAACTTGAGTTGAAATTCCACACCGACGCCGTAGTAGGTGTCGCGCTTGATCGGAGTGGCAGCGGCCAAAATGGCGAAGGCTGAAGCGAGGACTGCTGAGCTGAACATTGTGATCTGTATAGATATGGATTCGTCGAACTGTTTGGAGGAGGAGGAGGTTATGATGATGGAGTCTGATCCAGGAAATGCAGTCTGATAGAATGTTTGTTTGATGCTTGTCGCTGTTCGATATGATGATAAGTTTTGAAGTGTTCGATTGCCTCTACTTATATATTTTCATCCTGCCAGAGCTACATCAATCACCTTGGAGCAAGAGCCCAAAGTGACTGTCACATCCCTTCCACCATCCATTCAGCCTTGAAGGCAATAGCATAGCATCTGCAGACTTATCTCGGCGACGCCATTGCATCAACGATGCATGCTGACACGAAGCGGATTCAGAATAGCTGTCGATGGTTCATCTCACAAAGCTAGTGGCAGCACGCAGCATACACGATGATGATGTAGCCCTGAGGGCTTCACAGTTAGAATCGTAAGTTATTCCCGAAGACGGTAAAGTCGTGTCCACGGATCGCTAGAAATCGCCTTTATGTAATCGTTGGAGTACGTAAATCAGGGCTAATGCTCGGCTGCAATGAACCCGCATGACAGCAGAGCATACGAACGCCAACTCGGGTCAATATTGACAAGATTATGGACCATTGATCAATGCTACTGTCCATGGTCAGCTGGCCATCGCTAAGCTCCAGCTTGCAGCAATGCTATTTTTGGAGGATCGACAAACGTCATGAGCCCTGGAGGGCGAATGCTAGGGCTTGAAAGAACATTGGAAATCGTAATAACCTTGGAAGCTTCCTGTGATTCTAAGAAAATTGCAAAAAGCAGCAGCCACACAAAGGCATACATATGTGATGTCGTAGGTACAGCGGACAAAATTACCTGGCAGCGCTTTAGCTTGTGATTCTATCCGCCAGCGGGATCGTCACGGGTGAGAGGAAGACTGGGGAGCACAAAGTCAAAACAGAGACGACATTTTCGATGCACGCCCCGCGGAAAGAAGATCGGTTCGAGACAGTTGCATATAAAACCTAGCATACCAAGAAGTGCAATAAGCGGGATATCAATAGTCGAAACAAAAAGCCAATAGCAAACACCTTTCCCCCAACGCCACAGTAATCAAGGCCAGAGATCGAAAAATTGCCCGAGGTTGTAGTCAGTGCACCCGAACGCACACCCGACACGACCAGGACGCGACACCGGCGCGTAGAATATCGAGCAAATCAAGCAACGGCATCAAAACATATTTTAGCCGCCTGAGCCCAACACAAACGAACGCCAGATAAAACACAAAACATTCAAAACAGATGATCACGTACATGCAGTAGATTGTAGGCCGTACATATCGTTAGTCGGTTGCAGTCGAATCAAGCAATCGGGTCCTCGAAAACGACAATCTCGGGCTCGGCTGTGCTCGCAATGTCAGCTGCCGACACAGCAGCGTCAGCGGCAGTCAACGAGGTTGCTTCTGCCCCGAGGGCAGTTGCAGGCTCAGACGTAGGTTCAGACGCGGGTGTGGCGAAGAGTTCGCTGATGGCAAAGCATGACGATGCAGGTTTCTCGGGCAGAGCATCAACGATGACGTGAGAGCTAGAGTCTAAGCCATCTGGAAAGAAGGGCTCAGTCTCGAGGTCAGACAGCGGCGATCGCTCCCCGTCGTCCATCGCATCGAGGGCGAGCTTCTTCTTGCGTACAATGGTCTTTGACTTCTTGGAAGTGACAGTGGAAGCGTCAGTCGACGATGATCCAAGCGCCCCCATGCCGGGAACGTGGTTGTGGATAGCGGACGAGGCAACGGTGGCATCATACCCCTCAGGCGCGACGTTCTCTTTGCCTCTATCAGTCCTCTCACGGACCTTGTCCTCATCATCGGAGCTGAGGTCGAGGTACATGGTATGGTGCTCGACCAGGTTAGCTACAGCTTCATCCGGAGTGTCCTCATGGATCTCGAAGAGCCAGGACTTGGGCATTGACTTCTGAACAGGAGTAGGAGTGACAGTGCCTTGGATAGCTGCATCGAGGCTGAACGGCAGGCTTGAAGTGGAGCGCATCGAGGCTGGTGGGTCAACACGTGAGAAGGGCGCCGAGGTACGTCGGTTCTTGGAGACGCCCATAGTCTTACGTGGTGGCGATCGACCAGCGGGGGCGGTCATGGGCGAACGGACTGACGAGACCAGTGCCTTCTTGGGTGTGGCAAAGCTTCGTGGAGACGCTGCATTCGGCTTCAGGGTGAAGGCGAATGGCTTCGCGGGGATGTCAAACGAGAAGGTCTTGACCTTCTTGGACGGCGAGCTGATCATGCTTGGATCAACGTTCTCGCCATCGGAATCATTGGGCGTGGTGGGCTCGAAGGATCGCTTGCCGGTGGTCGGAGTTGTGAACGTGAAAGCTGACTTCTCAGCCTTGCCTCCAAGCATGCTAGACTTGCTGTCCATAGCTGACAAGCCTGATAGAAGTCAGTACGTTTATGCTTAGCCTTGATGATAATTGCAGCGTACCATTCTGACGGTTCTTCAGGTTTGTCAGGTGTTGTAGACGTGGGTTATCGAGCGGTGCAAAGGGCACTCTCGCCATAGGCGCGTGTGTGGTCATTTTGGCGGTAAAATGGAGCGCGACGCGTTTTTCAACGTGACAGAGGGGCTTTGAGAACGGGTTCCTCGCCGGCAGAGAGTAAAGCGTGATGACACAAGATGATCTCAAGACAAGCGAAACAGCTTGCAGATGTTATGTGAAGGGGTGATGATGATGATGAAGAAAGATCGTTGCTCATGAGCCTTGGAGAGGAAGAGTGGATATATGGGAATTCTCGAGGAGCAGTCGTGCTCATTCGAGCCCTGGAGGTTTCTCAATTGCTCCCACTTCGTTCGGGGCACAGACGGTGGAGAAGGAGGAGGACTAAAGCTGCACGCATGTCGCGTTGGAGCGTGTCTCCGACGTGAATTCAATCTATAAAGGCCAATCGATCCCGGCCGACCTGGGGCGGCCCGCGCGTTTGTACGCCGCCATAGCAACCTCCTAGACCGGAATCGGTCAGGCTTCACGAGAATGTCTTCGGACGTGTCTGTACAAGGGCGCTCATCTCGCGTGCAAATCACCGACTGCTGCGAATAAGAAGGGAATGAGATCCGGCTGTGCGACGTCCGAGGGGATTCCCGGTTGTTTGATCTCTGGGACGTCACAGCCTCGCCACGTCCTGTCCAGTCATGTCGCTGGTCCCTGAAACCATCTGCCGATTCCGCCCTCAGCTCGCAGCAAGGGATTGAGTACTGCTTGGAGGAAAATTATTGTCTGCTTGGAAACGCGCCGGAGGCGCCGGTCGAAATTGTTATATACAAGGAACATACACGCTCAGCTGCTGATGTACAGCTCACGATATTCATGAACCGCTCATACAATCCTACAGATTATCGCATTTGACAGTGTATGCTCAGCTCATTGTGAGAAGCGCCGTGCACATGTTTCAGGAATCAGTCTCTCATATACCTGCGTCATCTACACCACTGGCGCTCGCGGCACCCGTCTCCTTCCTAACGAGATCCTGGCAAATTGCCACTTCTGATGTACACCTTGTAGGGTCTCTCGTTAGGTACTGAGCTTTCGTGTACTCGTTTTGCAGCACTGCTTCTGGTGGATTCTTCGCGAAGCCCCTGCTTGAAAATGCCTCCTGCCGGAACCTTCTCTGCTATTTCATGCAAAGCAAAGTAACGTATTTAAGTGGTCCCATGATCTTCGCATAAGCTGATTCGGAACCGATTACATTTTCCGGACTGCAATTGTCGTCGTCTCACAATGACGGGCTTTAAATCCAGATTCTGAAGCGCGAACCCCGAGGTCTGTGTTAAAAAGGCGTCTGTTTGAACTGGCCACACGTCAACAGCCGAACGACCTTGATGCCGATGAGTAAATTTGGTGAATGGAGTAATGTCAAGGCCTGCACACTCACCGCACTCTTTCGTGAGCACATTGAGTTCATTCGCTCGCTCGCCTGATCGATCGGCAGTGCTGTTGATAAGCCCGGGCAATTTTTGGTGCCGGAGCTCGGCGCATGCAATGATCTTGGGATGAGCAAAGCAATTTCGCAGGTGAAAAAATCGACGATGTGCATTATGCGTCGCCGCTACTCGTTCCGAGTCGCCGACATGATGATGTCTCGAATAGCCGCTCGCGCTGCTCGATCACGAGCCCCGAACGCATGTTCGCAAGATTGCACTGAGTCCAGCTGACATGGCTGTTCGTGTAGATAGATATGTGAAGTCCAGACGTTATCTAATTGCCGCTTCATCAGACAACTTGTTCCGTCCACTGTCTGCCGTGATTGAGACGATGCGAGTGAATCCACAGGCATGACTTCCCATCATTCACTCTTGTTAATGGCAATGCGACTGATGTGTAGCTACTCGCGCAGCTATCGCCGCAGGTCTGCAAAGCGATGAGTCGTACCAGTAAACCTTTAGCTTTTCAAGAATTGAAACACTCTTAGCTAGCTTTCAAGATCTTGACGGCTTCAGCTTCAGCACCGAGATCGCCGTATAGCCTCATGAGAGTCAAAACAACGTCGGGCGTTTTTGATGCTTTGGCTTGTCGTAGCGCAGTGGCAAGGTCTAAGAGGATCGTCTTCTGCAGCTCCATCATTCTGGGCTGCAGAGCAACTAAAAACGGGTGTTCACGCCCAACGCGCCGTATCATCCGCTCGATGACAATGAAGCTCTGGGCATGTGTTTGGAGCTTGCGCAAAGATACCGTTATACTACTAGTTCCGTTGACATGGCTCGGCTCGTCTTCGTCATCGTCGCCTTCTTCGTCGAAATCATTGTCGTCGTCGTCGTCGCCACCGATGTCCTCGACATCGCCTTGTAGGCCCAGAGACTCCTCTAGCTCCGTGACTTGAGCCTCAATATCCAACAGCGATCGTCCCAGAACGATGTCCCTCCTGACTCTTTTTTTATCCTCCAACAACGTATCAACTTCCCCTAAACGACCCTGAACAGCCTTGCGAACTCCTTCGATCTCTCTCTGGAAGCCCAATACCCCGAGGCGGATGCTGTCAACCTTCTCCTCGCCGCCCTTGAGGTCCTCGCCAAGGCTTAGGAATTCCTCGTAATTGCCATTGATCAAATCTACCAGCTCCTTGTTCAGTAGTTGACTACGCGAGCGGAGGTCGCCACGCAGATCCTCAAGAGTCTGATGCCGGTTTCGCAGTGTGGAGAGATATGCCGAGGGGTCGAATTCGGGATCGAGGAAATCACTGCGAGGTAGAGGGGCCGGGTATGGTAGAGTGTCCTCTTCGTCCGAGGATTCGTTGTATGCTGCGGTCGAGATTGAAGTGATAGCTGAACTCTGCTGCTGATAGCGACTCATTGCGACGGAGTAGTTTCATGAGCCAGAGGCTCTTCCGCGTAGAAATACAGTGCAAACGAATTGTGTTCTTCCATTGATGCTCTGTTCCTGTTGCCAATAGCTGTGATATCAAATTGTGAGTCAGCATCAGCCCGCATTGGAGTTCCGCTGACTCGCGCTACGCACGTCATGACGCAGATCCATGTCGCCCGATGGATGGAAAGAGTGATTTGATTACAAAGAGTGAGGCAATGATGAAGAGGCTAGGCAATAGAATTGTTCGATACGACGCGTGAACGATAAAGATGATGTATATGTAGTCGGTCGGTATTTTTCAGACAGCACATATTTGCCTTCTGTCTTTTTCTACACAACCTATAATTTCACCGCCGCCTGCGCTTTTATCTGCGTCACCAGACTGTGAACCATAGAGAATGTCTACCTTGCAAAAGCAACCCGACCTTCCTGAGCCAGCCTATCCCGAAGTCGACTCAATGCTGTCTAGACGATTTGGCAAAGAGGTAGCAAATTATTTCGCTGGCTCGCCACTGAACCGACTCGGGTTTTTGCGAGCCGACAATACTTTCCTCTCCCGCGCTGTGAAGCATCCAAGCACCTCGTTCCTCCTCTGTAATGAGCTTCAGCCGCTCGTAGAACCGAACACGCCGGCTGGACAGGGAAAGCTCCACTTTGTCAAATATGAAGACGTCAAACCTGTCATCGGTGAGGACCCGTGGGCGCACCCCGAAGAGGACCAGATCAAAGCATACAACAGCGAGAAGTACATTCCTCAAATGATCTTCCTAGGTCTCGACGAGAAGGTCACCACTGGAGGTCTGGAGTACGAGGGCAAGAATCTGTACAAGGGAGCGCCTTATTTCGCTGTCGATGTTACGCCACGAGAGAGCGTTGGATCGGCGTGCGAGTCGCTGCTTGCCGCACAGAAAGAGAAGGGCTATGAGATTTCAAAGGGCCGGATGATGGATCTTGACCCGTCACACGCCGCTATCTATGCTGCAGCTCGACAATTGCTGGATTGGAATGCACGTAACCCGTACTGTGCAGGGTGCGGACACAAGACAATGAGTGTGAATGCTGGATTCAAGCGAACATGTCCATCCAAGGATGTCGCCAACAATGCTAGCGAACGACCGCCCTGTGTGACACGAAAAGGCGTTACAAATTTATCATTTCCTCGCACCGATCCAACTGTGATCATGGCTATCTTAAATCACGCAGGCACCCATATCCTACTCGGCCGACAGGGCCGATGGCCACCGCATTGGTACTCAACCCTTGCAGGCTTCGCCGAGCCGGCTGAGTCAATTGAGGAGGCAGTGCGACGAGAGACCTATGAGGAATCTGGGGTCCTGGTCGGGCGAGTCGTCGTACACAGTACCCAGCCTTGGCCTTACCCTGCGAACTTGATGATTGGTGCCATCGGCCAGGCTGTCCCTCAAGGTGAGAAGATCAACCTCGGCAATGATCCGGAATTGGAGGACGCACAGTGGTTTTCCTTGGACCAAGTACGAGAGGCTTTGTCCAATGGTGTCAGCGGACTGGATGAGCCAGCAGGCTCCAAGTACAAGGAGGGTGGACTGAGACTGCCACCGGGTACAGCTATCGCAAATCAACTGATGACAGCGGTCGTCAACGGAGTGTTCACAGGTGCCAACAGCAAGATCTGAATTTGTTGAATTGCGATTGTCTGCAATGAATGGTTTCGAGCGTAGGCGCTGGTGGCGCGTGGAGAAGTGGTGTTGTTGAACAAGAGCCTTGAGGAGTTTTTGGATATCGCCGGGGTTGCGATTCAGTCGAGGATTTTATACATACAGCTGCAGATAGTTCGTTGATGCCAGTAAAGAAAGATAAATAAGTACATCGTAGGAAGAAGGGTATCAGTCGACTGTTCATGCCATCAGTTGACACTCTCGAGCAGCTTTGGGTCTCCGAAATCGCCATTCAGGCTGAAGCCCGGACCATTCGTACTGCTCAAGACAATCTCGTGGATCTCCTTCGGCGTTCGGTCGCTGAGCGCACCCATGTCCTTCTTTATAAGAGCTAATAGAGCCTTGATGTTGTCAGACAATTGATCCGGTGAGTAGCCCAACTGCCCAATCGCTACGCGCACAGCACCTGTACGTTCTCGAAATTCCGTTCCTCCATGCATGTTCCGCAGTGCCGCAGCCACATCTGTTGCCACGGTGCCCATCCGCGCTGACGGCATCATCCCTCGAGGTCCAAGAACTTTTGCGACTCCGGATTTGTTGAGTTTGCTTGTGGTGCCAACGTGACATATTGCCCTTTCGAAGTCAATCTTGCCAGCTTTAATGTCTTCGAAAAGCGCATCATCGCCGACGACACTCGCCCCCGCTCGCAGCGCGGCTGCCGCGACATCGCTGTTGGGCTCGCAAAAGACGGCGACCCGTAGATTTGTTCGCACGGGATGTGGTAATCGGAGACGGTTTCGGAGTACAGCGCCGTTCTTGGCTGTTTTAAGTCGTAGAGCAAGTTCGTATTTCATGGAGGCAGGTTCTCGTCCGACTTCAGCAGCACGGAGGTATCTAGACACATCGTTGTTCAGTTTCCAATGTAGTGCGGCACCTCCCATCAAAAATCTTTCTTACCGCATTGCGTCGACGAGCGAGAATTGTTGCATATCCCTCAGATCTGGCTCATCAAATGTCGTCTTCGCCTTCTTCTTCTTCGCGGCAGACACCTCCTTTCGCCTATATTTGAGAGCATTTAATGATTGGGTTGCATGTCGAACTTGTGCTTGAAATGATGTGACAGGAGAGGAGTTGATGATGGTCGGTCGCGCACGTGTGAGAGCTGAAGGCGATGTGATGCTTAAAAGGCATGATGAACAATACCGCGCCGGGCTCGCCATTATGTTGAAGAAAGTGAGATAGCCTTGTACGTCTACCGTGAGTTATCTCAGGTAATGTTTCGCAACTGCCAAAAGATGATCGCAGTAGATCGCCGCGGAGGTCCGCATTTGGCGCGGCTGCTTCGACTGGGCCTAAGGCACACGAAAGCCAATGCCGGCTTGATCATTCAGGAGCTCGAAGGCAAGGCGTCGACACCGATGAACGACATGTCGTGAATTTAATCGATCTTGCACTCAACATGGTCACGGGAAATTCAGCTCCTTGATTGATCTTTGTTGGTAGCTTAATGACCACGATGGCCCGCAGTCTTTTCAAGATAGCGGCGCTCACGCTCGCGAATCTACTTCTCCCCTTTGCAATCCTCACATTCGCTTCAGGTTTCTTTCCATATAAGCCGGTTCTGTCGGGCCTTGCTTCCTTTCAACATGACGATGTGACGCAGAACACTCAACCAGAAGCCGTTTTTGACCGGATCATCTTTATGGTGGTTGATGCGCTGCGAAGTGATTTCGTCTACGGCTACGATTCCGGCTTCCATTACACCCAGAGGTTAGACACGTCACTCGCTTCATTTTCGAGCAAACATAGCTGATTCTCCGATGCAGTTTGATACGCGATGGAGCTGCAATTCCATTCACGGCGCATGCATCTCCCCCGACAGTCACAATGCCGCGCGTCAAAGCTTTGACGACGGGTTCTGTGCCATCTTTCCTCGATTTGATACTCAACTTCGCGGAGAGTGATACGAGCTCGTCTCTCGCCGCACAAGACACTTGGCTCGCGCAAATCAAGGCCCGTGGAGGAAACATAGTCTTTTATGGTGATGACACATGGCTGAAGTTGTTCCCGAACAGCGCCGGCGGTGACGAATTCTTTGCTCGGGTGGATGGGACGAGCAGCTTCTTTGTTTCGGTCAGTAAAACTGATCCTGGTTCGTTTCGTTGTTTATTTACACATGCCTCGCCTCCCTTTCCCACCAGCGCGGTCCTTGCCCTTCTCAAAGATCATATAATCATGAACAATGCAATATATTCTCATTTACTGAATTTCGTTTCGCGGTTGCATACAGGACTTCACCGAAGTAGACAATAACGTGACGCGACATGTCCCAGACGAGCTCGGACGTGATGATTGGAACTCCATGATCATGCACTATCTGGGCCTTGATCACATCGGACATAAGACTGGTCCGCAAGGACCTAACATGATTCCAAAACAACACGAGATGGACGGTATCGTACGTACCATCTTTGAAGCTATGGAGAAGTACGATCATCATGGCAAGACCCTTCTCGTACTTGCAGGCGACCACGGCATGAATGCAGGCGGCAATCACGGTGGCAGTGGTCCAGGCGAGACCGAACCAGCCTTGCTTTTTGCAAGCCCGCAACTGCGTAAAATTCATCGCGACAGCGAACAAGAAAGCCCAACAGCACCAAAGCCCGGCACTGAGTTCCATTACTACACAAAGGTGCAGCAAAGTGACTTGATCCCAACCCTAGCAGGTTTGATGGGCTTTCCGGTGTCACGCAACAGTCTCGGTGTCTTCATCCCCGAGTTTACGGCATTGTGGTCCGAAAAGGACTCTACGCAATTGCTGCGCCAGAACGCCGATCAGATCCTGCAGATAATAGAAGCTTCACACGGTGCGAGCGCCTTCCAGGACATTGTCACGACATATCGATCCAGATTAGCATCGCTCGGCGGTCACAACAAACCCTGCAAAGACGTCGATGAGGGAATACAGCGCTTGGCGTGCCTTTGGGCCTCTGCTTTGTCTGTCAGAAATGCTCGGAATTCTCTTGAAACAGAGCAAGCTGCACTTTACAGCTTCCTAAACGAAGCACAAGAGACTCTGAGCGGCACGGCTAGCTCCTATAACATTCCACGCATGATTGCAGGCATTGTCCTCAGCGGTGTCATTCTGTCTCTGGCACTGTTCTCCTTCCCCTCATTACGGCCGATCACCGTGCCTGGACTCTTTCTCACCACCATTGGCACTCTTTACGGCATCATGATGTTTGCCAGTAGTTATGTGGAGGAGGAACAGCATTTCTGGTACTGGTTTACGCCTGCTTGGATTGTAGTCCTCGCGGCTGGGGGCAGCGGTCTAGTGAATGCAACGCCTGAACGTCGCGTTGGTATCGCGGCTGCGACATTTGTACTTCTTTCCGTGCATCGCTTCGCAGTGCGCTGGAATCAGACCGGTCAGAAGCATGCCGGCGCACCGGACATTGTTCACACATTCTTCCCACGTGCAGTCGTGTTGCTCTGGATCTTGATCCTGTCGGCATATGCTCACGTCGGTTTACAGCTGGTGCGACGATCGACGGCAGGTCTAATGCCCAGCGAGCTCGGTGCTGCGTTGGTTGCGTTGGCGGTCGCTGCGGCAGTGGTATTCAAGCTGAATTTCACGCAGGCAGACGCTCCGGAGTTGGTCCAAGGCCTGGCAGAACGGATCCGTGCTTGGACACAGGCTTACGATCTGATACTTCAAGCTCGTGTGGCGTTTGGTCTATTGGGCGTTTTGACGGTGGTGGTTGTCGTGCTGTCTATTGCATCAGCAAATGTCAGCCGTCGCGCAACAGGACAATCCATTCCGCAAGTGAACAGACTGCCGAGTCTTGCCGAGCGTCTGCATTATTTGCTCACGCTCTTCCTCATGACGCAGTCGAGAGCTGCCAACATCCCCCTTTTCCTCGGACTCGAGTTGCAGATGCAGGCGATGAGATATCTTCTGCTCCGATCACAGAACAAGGACTTCCGCGATCACCACACGCGTATTGCTGTCACCACACTGCTTCTGTCGCATGTCTACTTTTTTTGCATGGGTGGCTCGAACTCGATTTCAAGCATCGATCTGAGCAATGCATACAATGGTGTCGCCGACTACAACATCGGTGCTGTGGGCGTACTGCTCTTTGCGAGCAATTGGACAGCTCCCATCTGGTGGTGCAGTGCCACAGTTCTGCTTCTCATTGATGGGAAAAGACTACAGTCCGCTCCGCAAAAACTGTCGAAGGTTGCTGCTGACCCTCGGAGCTGGATCCACGATGAGCGGAAGAAGCTACATGAGGACGCAGTACGAGCAGCGAAGCACGAAGGCGCACCACCAGCGGCTACTGCGTCGAGTGATGGCAGTGTGTGGATATCCTACCTCTCCTGTGGCACAGCATTCACTGCGGTAAGTTTAGTCGCTGTGATGGCGGCATGCACTGCGCTTCGCGCACACCTTTTCATCTGGACAGTCTTCAGTCCTAAATATCTGTACTCCATGGCGTGGAGTATAGGATGGCATATGATCATCAACATCGGCCTGGGAAGTTTATTGATACAGGCGGCCCAAATTGTCTGATCAAGCAGACATGAGAGAGATGATCGAGTATGGATGAGCACAGGAATATTGACCTGCAAGGTCCAGTATTTGATTGGATCACTACCATGTGAACCGGGACTTCTATTGTTGGCAGTCGGGAGAAGTATTTGAGCGATTACTATAGATCTAAAAGGTAGTGAGTGACCCGCGTTGTTCAGATTGAGAAAAGTCTTGCTTTCCTATCCATCGTCATATATATTCGTATACAATGTTTGTCGGATTACACATGCAAATACGCGTAAGGCTTCATGGCTCGCCGCACGCTTGCTGTGGAAATGTCAAGATGTTTCATTGTGCTGATATATCGTAGACCATTTGGACATTTCTCTCCCAGGAGTCTCGCTTCGCCGCGGCTTTGTTCCAGAGCGCGACGGCGAAACGGAACGGTACAATTCGCGCCCAGCAAACGAGGCGCGGACTTTCGATCTTACGAGTCATAGACTTCTATCGTCCAAGCGATGAATGTTCCCTCAAGGCACTGCTGATGAGCCAGAGGTGTGGACGAGTTATTCAACATCATCGCTATTGCAAATAGTCAAATGATTCGCACGCTGTAATGCTTCTACCACAATTGTTATGCCGCTGAATTTTCTCGCGATGATGCTGTCGCCAATGCTGTCATTAGATTGGCAAGAGTACAAGGTATGGATGTAGGAATATTCCAAGGTTGTACATTAATTATGAACGGATTGGGAATACAATCATCACATTTATTAAGCGACTCTGTTTGTGCACAAAACTTTGGCCCAGTTCAGCCCTGCGCCCAATTCCAAGGTTTCATCCCACAATTCCTCCAATTGCAATACGTCGCCAGCCCAGGACTTGCTGACTGTTGCCCCACTTGCGCCCGCGGAATTGCAACCGGCGGATTAAGGAACAGTCACTTGACGTTTCGTCTCTCGTCACCCGCGCCTAGGATCCTCTGACCATCTGGCACATGTCGCGTCGTCATTTTCGAAATCTGGATGAACAGGAACTTGTCTTTGGAGCATGTGTTAGGAGTTCTTCACGCGCTGCCGTTTGCAGCGTTGCGTTTTCCAATTTATCCCACTCTCGAGGCTTTCTTGGTTTGATCTGAGAAAATTTCACTATCGCCGAAAACGTCTCCGCAAGAGAGTCTCTCTCCCACAAATAGGGACCAAGCATGGACTCGAGGACAGCGCCGCCGGAGTATCACCTCGAGCTTTCGGCAGATCGCTCATACGTGAAAGATGTAGTCAAAGGTTAGCACATCGTCTTTGCGCAACCCGAAAAAGAGCCTCCACCCTGTCGCGAAGGACGAGCCTCCTGCAAGGCACTCTCCTCTCTTCTCTTTGAGACCGATCCAAAACTTTACGCCTGTCGTCTCGCGCTCCTCCACTCATCATGGAAGAACAGGCATCCTCCACACCATCTTCTTCCACCGATACTTCACCCCGCTCTACCCCGCGACCCACGATGTCCTCGACATGACCCTTCCATACGTCACCGAAGACGACGTCGAAGCGCTCGTCGAGCAGCGCGCCAACGCCGTCCTTCGCCAGCTCGAAGAAGGCGGAAGCGGAAGCTCCGCCTCGACAAGTGGCACGACCTCCCCGATTAGCACCTACAGCCAACAACCGATTTCCAGCCTGAGCCGCGGCGGCACCGCCAACAACCGGGTTGAGATCCGCGTACAATTCCTCGAGAGGAAACGGAAAAGGGGCTGGTTCGGTGGCGATGAGAAATCCATGTGGGAGTGTTGGGTGCTGGATCTCCAGGTCATGACGGCGCGGAGCGAGCCAGAGGCGCAGCGGAATCGGAGAGTCATGGAGAGAAGTTTGGCCAAGGCCGCCCTGGCGGTGGTGACGTTGGCCAACTTAGAGCGAGGTCATATCCCGCCCATCACGACTAATGATGCGCCCTTTCCATTCCAGATCGACGTAGGCCCTGGCGGTGGGAGATCGGGAGGCGGTCGTGGATACTGAGCCAATCGGCAGATGGCGTTCGAGGAGAGGGACAAATTCATCGAGCACGAAATCGGTGCGACAGTTTTTGACACACGATGAAGTAGATATTTCGGAGGTTGGTAATCCTGGCATATTGTGAGAATAGCAGAGAAGACCATCAAGGTTTCTGTTGTCGACGTAATAAGCAGATGCTAGCTGCTGTTCTGATTTGGGAACGGAGTTTTGGGAATTTCGGAGAGGAGTATTCTGCGTCGTCATTGGAGGCGAGGACCACCAGCACTCGAAGGGTCCTTTGGATAGATCTAGCAAATTTACCGATGAATAGAAGAGCTGCTGCCCTTTCATGTTTGGGCAAGCCCCGCCAGTATCTGTGCTCGAATGATATCTCTAGTAGAAGTTGCCCGCACTCTCGATTGAAAGCAGTGATGTCGCTGCGGAGCAATATTCAAAACCAGCCATCGACGGACTAGAACCTCTGGACCGTTCCTCGACAAGCCGCGTAAAACGACTTGACAACATCCTTCATTTCCCTTCCACCTCCGCGCGTTTTCGACAGAACATCTAAGAATCGTTTCTTCTCCTTATCGCCGACCTCCGCGCTGAGTCGTCCGGCTAAAAGACTCTCATCGAATAATGCCGCCTCGAGCCACTCTCGTGCTTGAGTTTGTGTTTGGAGCAGAGCACTGAGAGGTGCACAAATCTGGTCGAGTTCCGAACGCATCGCAGAACCAGTGATTTGCAGAATTATTGCTCGAGAAAGGTTGGGCCCGTATGCAGCCAGTGCTTGGCTGGCGCGCTCTCGGACGATGATATCTTCAGCGGCAGCGGCGGGAAGACTGAGCTTGATGAATTTGGACCAGAAATCTGCCGCGCTGCGCTTGGAGAGGAGTTCGGTGCCGTTGAGCGCGAGTAGGACGAAATCGAGGACGATGCGCAATGAGTCTCCTGTGGCTGAGCCGCTGTCTAGTAAGATCGGTGTGAATCCGTCAAACATGCGAATCAAGGTTTCGATGCTGCTCTGGGCAAGAGATGGATCGGTGCTGGGATCATTGTTGAGGGACTGAATGAATGTGACGAGGTTGTTGTATATTCTGCCCACAAGATTTGAGATATTGTCCTCTCCCCGGCGTGCTCGAATCTGTGTGATGAAAGTACAAGTCACGGACAGCACAGCTTCAAGTTGTGGTGTATGGATGTTGGTCTGCTCGACGAACTGCACAATGACTTCTGGTGGAAAGACGAACGGACCGGGTTTGGTTTCAGGAAATCCGGTACGCAAGACTTGACAAAAAGCCTCCACGATCTCGCCTGAGCTCGGCAGCAGCCTCAGGATAGTATAGCAACAATTGAGTATGCGAAGCTGAATGCTCTGCCCTCCCTGACTTGTCCAAAAGTTGGAGGCTTCTGTCTGTTGATCCTGCTCGGCATCAACGTCAATGGCTATTTCATCCGGAACCTGGAGTCCCTTGCCACTGCTGGCTAGACACTTGAGCGTCGCTAGGCCGAGGTCATGGCCCGCAATGTCATCGCCTTTAGTCAGGGAGGTGTTCACATTCGCGATCATGCCCTCAACGATATCGAGCAAGATAGACAATGGTCGCGCTTTGGCCGCCTCAGGTGTCAACGCTTCAATGATAGAAGCTATCGCGCCGATGACCTTTTCGTTGCTGTAGTAATCGCTTTGTGCACTGCTCGCAAAGTTGTTGTAGTGGGCAAGAAAGCCATCGAGTTCGCCAACTAAGCTCTTGCGACAGGTTGAGCATAGCTCACCTATTGACTTGGCGGCTGCATTGCTGAAGTCGGATGTTTCAAGCGATGCGAAGAGAAATCGAAGTGCGTCAGGTAGGTACTCGTCATGACGTTGGACATACTCGCCATACGAGCCGAGCAGGTCAATTGTAGCTTTCCGTGCTTGATGGGGAATCGGCTGATTGAAATCTGCAACTTCGCGGAATAAACTCGATCCAAAGATCTGAGCCAGTAGCGCATCAGCGCCTTCTAGCTCCATCAGATCGTCGGAGAGCTTGTTCAAGCAGTACAAGGCAGTCTCGGCCTCACGCCAATTTTTGGACGAAATAGCTTGCAATGCTGTTGATGCAAACAGCTGAGCGATTTGACTGCCCAGCTGCTGACATACCGAAAGCATGAGATCGGATGAATCCATCCTGAATTCTCGAAACCCATCTTCCTCTGCACTGGTCCATTTCTGCGCAATCTGAGGTGGCGGAGGGCACATCTTTGACAAGAGGACTTCGATAAGACGTGAGCAGACTACTTTGCTGTATGTCAGCCATGAAGGCTCGGTGCCGTCTTGGGTGAATTCATATGCTTCGTCGTTGACGTATTCGATATAGGTGTTCCAGAATTCTATGCTGTGCACCGACACCTCATCGTCGTCTCCAGGATAGCCGGGGGCCTCGAGTATGGCAAATTCCAACTGTAGGATACTCCGGCAATGCTCGTTGTCGTGATCACTGACCAAGCTTTGCACAATGGCGTTGCCATATGCCACGACAAGCTGCGCTAGAGGTATGACTTCTGTGGCTTGATCGCGGAGGCCCTGGAGCAGTACTGGCTGAATTTGTCCGGTGATGATGGACGATATGATTTGCATGTGTGATGTTTGAAAGAACGAGCTGTAATTCTCAAGGACATCTCGAAACACATCAGCAGCTTGATCTCGGAGATCTTCATCGGCCACGAGCGAGGCTATGCCAGGGATAAGATCGCGGAGGGAATTCAGAGCCTCAATCTTCGTTGACCAACGAGGCTGAGCATAATTGACCCAATTCAAGAAACACGATATGGCTTCGCTTTTAACCCTGGTAGAATTTGGGCTCGGAGGCTGTGACAGAGCATATTTGATCATAATGTTGACCGAGTATACCATTTCTTCCATTTGCCCATGGATCCGAGATGGGGCCAGCTTGGCGTCGTCGGATTTCCCGGCATCCACGGCCAGCATACTTGATAACCAGAGCAGCACGACCACCTGGGGTTCTGCCAGTGAGGGCTGCTGCTGCTGAAATACGTCTGGGCCACTCGGGACATGCTCAGGAGGCACTGCGACGCCATGTTGCAGACAAGTCGCTAGGTGAAGTAGGGGGTGATCCCACTGTTGTGACGAGCGAACGCAATAGGTGCACAAAGTCAAGACCAATTTCTTGAGGACAAGTTGTCCTTCACCGGCTTTTTGGAGATGTACCTACCAGTCTAATGTCAGAGGCCAGAAAATAGTCGTCGTCAGGATCAATCAAAATATACCGTCCAGTGAAGTAGTTTCATGAGAACCGATTGTAACGTTGCTGCATCGAGTTGTTCACTGGTTCCATGGTGAGTGGGATGCTCTCCTTCATGAAGCAAAATCTACATACCCTTGTGTATGGCCCTCAGCGTTCAATTTGATCTGAAATGTCAAGGCCCCGACAAACCTCACGTTCACATTATCACTTGAGAGAAGGTAGTCGGCAAGCATCCATCCCTGAGGGAGATGCTGAAGTCGTTTGATTTCATCGTCGATGCGAGAGACTTCCTTCAAACTTCCAGGTTCGTAAAGCCTTTTGACGAGCTGTCGGTAAGCTATTGTCAATTAGGTCGCTGCAATGATATTCACTTCGGTGACTAACCTCTTCAACTTGTTCGTTGGTGTACTCCATGCTTGAATCGAAAGTGTTAGGTTTTGGAAGCGGGGTTGTTTCAGTCCATTTCTGGTTCTTGCTGGTCACGATTCTGATAGTAAGTAATTTTCGAAGAAGTCACCAGGCTGTCGAATGCAAACTGCATGTAGTCGATTTGACGCAACGAAATGGTTCGAAGGTTGGCCTGGGAATATTTCAAGAATGTCACAGGAAGACTCGTGCACGGACCAGGACGTCTTATGAGCTTGCCAGTGCCTCAATCCCTTAGTGCAGGTGTCTAGCAGTATCTATCTAAGCTTGATCCTTGAAGGCCGTGTTGATAACATTTTACTGCGTCTGACACCTTGCGGAAACTCAGTTGAGACAAAGCGTGCGCACAGAAATGAAGGAGTGGCGTGAGTTGGACGTCTATCTATAATCCTCGGCTGCTGCGTGTAATTGCAAACCGCCTTCTCCCTGCATCGCAGTCCTGTACCCGTTCGTAAAGCAAAAACAAAGGAAATCCAACTCGCGCAACCTGTGCAGTGAGGAAACACACCTTTCGCAATCATGGATGCTGGGGTCATAATACATGCCCAACCTGAAGAACGCCGTCAGAGCAACACCAACATGTGCATGTGACAGTTGAAAAGAGTCACAAACGTCCAATCCTTGAGATCGAAGATAATCCCCAAATAGCTTCTCAAAGTGCAACGAGAGCCCGCATAACGCCGAACCATCAAACCTAAATATCACCAAAACGCCAAAGTCCAACAATGAAAAACGAGATTGTAATCCGTCCAGCGCCTGCTTGCTGTGCAAACCACTAACTCAATTTCAAGATGCGTCGTAAATCGTTCTCCATTGCGGAGGTGTCTCGGCCTCCAGTTGTTCTAGGATGCTCAGGAGATGCGGAGGCTGCCCAATCAGTATATCCATTTGGAGTATGATTGCCTGCGAAATTGTTGTTCATAAAGGGCTGGTTCATGCCCGCTTGACGCGGCATGCCCTGCTGCTGGTTGGGATGACCACCTTGGCCGTAAGGGAAGTGGTTGATGGACGAGCCGGAAAACTGGTTTGACGAGTGGGCTGGATTTCCTGGCCCGCGCTCGTGATAGTTACCCATGACGTGGTTCAAATTCGACGGACGAGCCGGAGTGTCTCCTCGAGCAGCCTTGAAGAGTGGAGACAAGTTTCGATTGCCATAATGGTAGGCATTCTGATTACGTTGCTCTGAAGGAGGCGTGAATGGAGCTGAAGGGGTGCGATTATGATATGATTGTGGAGTCGCATCCGGTGTCCTTGAAGTCCGAGGATCGTCCATAACAAAGGGTGGAGGTGGTGATGCAGTGGGAGACAGGGGTTGACCAAACAAAAGCGCTTTCAGAGATTTCGAAGCAGCTTGCCGACCTTCGTCGTCATTGGCCGGTGGTGTCCATGCGCCAGGTGAAGACAACGATCTGTCACTCATTCCAGGACGAGGGCTACTATGGGTTCCTGGCGTGTTCTGTCTTCCGGCGTTGCCGTTCGCCGTCTCGTCCAAAAAGATGCTCTTGCCGTTTGGAAGCGCCCCACGTTGGCCGCCAACGTTGGCATTGATGCTTTTAGCCTTTTCTGCACGATCTGCCTTGAACAGAAGATCAAGTGGAGAGCTCGGCGGGATAGCTGGCGAAGCTGGAACGACTTCGGGTGATGAATCAAACACCTCCGACTGTGGCTCCCGCATCTTCTCCCTTGCAAAGTTTGGAGATCCCGTTACATTAGATGCCGATCTCGTTGCGAACCTCGGGACTGGAAGACTGGCCGCAGCAGGCGAGGCCGAGAATGTTGCTCCAGCGTACCGTAGATCTTCCTTCGCACCCATAGGGACTGTGACAGCGCCATTCGAAGCAGGCGGGCGTGTCTTTGAGTGCGCTCCTCCAGGCGTTGCCTGTTTGTGGCTCGGGGAAGCACCGCCTTTCACATCTGCTGTTTTCTGCTTTTGTCGTCGTGCGGGTCGCGGCGATGCCGCACCTGAATATGCCAGAGCGCTATCTGACTGAGTACCATTGTTGGCTGGGGCCACTGTTCGAGCTGAGGCGCTTTTTAGGTGTTGTGCTGAGGGTGCGCGATGCTTCTTCGCATTGGGTGTGCGGACTTGCGCTGCTGAACTGTCTGTCATAGCGGCGATCTGCTGTCGAGGTTTGTGGTAATGGGCAGGTGCTGATTGACCGTGTGTTGGGCAGGATTTCGGCAAGGTGTGATGTTCTACCGGGAGATCTCAGGCCTCGAAATTTGGGAGCTGGGTATTGAAGGTATTTGTGGTTGGAAGAAGAAGGGAGACATTGGCGAATTAAGGCGACACCAAAGCTGGACGTTACCACAGATGAGTAGGCCACACGCAGCTTCAGACGTGTCGATGTGTGACTGTCTTAGAGCATGGACGAGCGCGAAGCGCAAGCAACTTCGGCTGCCATCGTCATCGCAAGCGCCGCCCGCTAGCCCGACCTGTTGCACTGCCGCTCGCTCGCTGCCACCACAGTCCGTGCCAGCAACGACATTGATCACTGAACAACCTGACTGACCGAATTTACAGATAGGCCAAAACCACCACACGCACTGACTGCAACACGATCATGATGGTCTTGTCGCCAGCTTGACAACCAAGCTGACATGTAAGACCGCCTCATGAGCCATAACTAGTTGTACATACAGTATGCATGTAGCGTCCGATATCGTGGGCAACGACCTGGTTGAAGCCTCCCAGGGTTGCTATCTCCAGACTGTAACGTCAAATCGGTTCCTGGCCTACACGCGGTTCGACGACCACCCGTTGACGCTCGTCAATCTCCCCAGTGCCAGATTGCATCATTGCCGTCTAACAACAGTACCGTGTTCAACTCTTTTCCTTTTCCGAAATGACTGATAGGGCATTGCAACCGTGATTCTTTTGATTTGCACATGTGGCTTGTCCTTGTCAGAGCACATACCATAGTCCACATGACATACCGCACATTCGCGTTGAGTACACGCACGAGGCACTCATGTGTTCCAAGGTTGGCTAGCATGTGAGAAGCAAGGGTTCAGTTTCGGAAGCCGGGGCTTCATATGCATCCTATCGCATGCCGTATTGAATTATTCGGAAACGGCTTGCAACACTGCATCTCCATGGCGTTTCGAGGCGTTGAAGTATCATCGATGAATCGTCGCCGCATGCAGACCACAGGCGTTGAATCATGTGAGCATCTTCCATCATCATGTCGTCAAAATTGTGCGCGCAGGTACAACTCGCCACGAGAAATGTCTCGCTGGCTCATTCAACCCGCGCTGCCGTTCGTCGAAAATTCGCAACGGTAGCATCAGATAACAGGTGAGTTTCACATCGTCAGGAGCAATGTTTCATCACTCACTTATGTGCGACTAGATCCCCAGTTGATGTTGTCGTCATTGGAGGTGGTCATGCGGGTTGCGAGGCCTCTGCCGCGGCAGCGCGTACAGGGGCTCGGACGATGCTGGTCACGCCGTCAAGAGAGAATCTGGGCGTCTGCAGCTGCAATCCGTCAATAGGAGGAATTGGCAAGGGTACAATGATTCGTGAGATTGATGCTCTAGATGGCTTAGTTGGGAGAGTTACGGACTTAGCTGGCATACAATTCCGTGTTCTCAATCGCAAGAAAGGACCTGCAGTATGGGGTCCTCGGGCTCAGATTGATCGCGTGCTGTACAAGAAGCACATGCGACAAGAGATAGAGAACTACAATGGTCTATCGGTGAAAGAGGGGAAAGTCGCAGACATTATTGTGGACCGCTCTCCCGAGGCAGCGGTAGATGGTCGCCACGGTCAAATTACTGGTGTTCGCTTGGAGTCGGGTGAGATCATCCAGACGAGGAACGTGGTCATCACAACCGGAACTTTCCTAGGTGGGGAGATCCATATTGGCTTGGAGGCGTATCCTTCAGGGCGAATGGGTGAAGCGGCCACCTTGGGTCTATCCAAATCCTTGCGTGAGGCAGGATTCCAACTGGGCAGATTGAAGACCGGAACTCCGCCACGATTGGACAAGAATACGATCGACTACTCGAAACTAGCACCTCACGAAGGTGATGAGCCTCCGATGCCATTCTCGTACCTCAACGACCGAGTAGCTGTAGAAGAGCAGATGCTTTGCCACAGCACATACACCAATCCTCAAGCTCACGACATCATTCGAGAGAACCTCGATAAAAGTATTCATATCCGGGAAGAAGTAAAGGGTCCAAGATACTGCCCTTCTCTTGAGAGCAAGGTTATTCGATTCACAACAAAGGATCGACATTTGATCTGGCTTGAACCCGAAGGCTTTAACGACCATGTAGTCTATCCGAATGGCATCAGCATGACTGTCCCGGCGGAAGCACAGGAAGCCATGCTGAAAAAGATCGTTGGTCTTGAAAATGTGAAGATGCTACAGCCTGGCTACGGCGTGGAGTATGACTATGTGGACCCACGTAGCTTGAAGAGCACACTGGAGACGAAAATGATCAATGGTCTGTTCCTAGCGGGTCAGATCAACGGTACGACCGGGTACGAAGAGGCTGCAGCACAGGGTGTCGTTGCTGGCATCAACGCCGGCAACGCTGCGATCGGTGGGCCGGAGTTTGTCATTTCGCGAGCCGACGGATACATCGGAATAATGATTGACGATCTGGTAACGAAAGGTGTCAGCGAGCCCTACAGGATGTTCACAAGCCGCAGCGAATTCCGCATGTCCGCTCGTGCGGACAATGCCGATCTGCGCCTGACCGCCAAAGGTCGAGAGGCAGGCGTGGTCAGCGATCGACGATGGACTGCCTTCAACGACGAAAAGTCACAAATGGAAGAACTCCGGGCCCTTCTCGAAGGACGAAACTTTAGCTCAAGCGAGTGGAACGCCGAAGGTTTCAACGTCCGGAGCGACAGCATCAGAAGATCCGGTTTCGGCATCCTCAGACATAGTGACGTGACTCTATCACAATTGGAGAATCTCGTCCCGGAGATCAAACAATTCCCCGCCCGCGTCCGCGCCAGGATCGACATTGAAGGCGCCTACGCCCCTTATATCATCGCTCAGGAAGCGGCGGCCGCCGCATTCGCGCGCGACGAACGACTCCGTCTACCTCCGGATCTAGACTATCAGGCTATTCATGGCCTCAGTTGGGAGGAAAAGAAGATCCTCAGCGAAACACGGCCCGAGAGCCTGGGTCAGGCACGGCGTGTCGAGGGTGTCACCGCGTCTGGGGCATTGACGCTTTTGGGCTATGTCCGGCATGCGGGCCGAAGGGCTGCGAAGAAAGAGCGCATGCTTCCACCTGTGAAGGACACGGTTGAGGTGCAATTGCCTGGAAATGAGATTGAGACTCTGGCATAGAAGTCTCGATTGCATCATATAGCTGAGGGAAGTTCGAATTGCATAGCGATGGCGTTCCGGGTGTATAACGGCGGTTCCAATAACATTTAGGACTAGGCATGTCCCAGGCGCAGATATGCGGATTTTGTACAATACTACAGGCGCGGACTTCGTCGTAGAAGATTATTCTCACAATGACGCATCTAATTTTCCAACATAAATCGGTTCAGATATCAGGTCAGCCGTGTATGGACTATCAACGACGTGCTGCAAATCAGCGTGAGATTTCAAGACAGGAAAATTCCGCGGTTGCCTGTGGTGTATGCAAAACATATCGTGACAGGAGCTGGGACGAGCGTTAATCACCACGGTAAGTACATGCATTTTAATCGGCAAGGCATGGCTACCTAGGTACGATAAGAAGTCCAAGTGCACTGTCAGGGCTCTTGGCCTTGATGTCAGCCAATTCTGAGATGGTGATCCACATATGAGCAGGTTACAAGACACGGCGAACAAATGACGTGCATTCTCCGATGAGGACTGTAGCTGCATTCTCCGAGTCTCGGAGAGCTCCTCACGACGACACCGACACTCAGTTACTATCGAGAGGCCATGCTGGAAACGAAACGGCTACCGGCATCTGTGTTATAAAACACGTCTCGCAACGGTATATCATGCAGCCAAAAACGCGGCCGGACGACTACAACAGGAATGATCACCAAGAAAAAAGAAATGGCAAAGCCGAAAACATGAGTGCTTCTCTGCATGCCCGACTTCTTTACGTGAATGCGCCATGACGAGGAGGCGTTATCTATAATAAGTTTTCTCCCAAGGGTCGGCGCTGATGGTGTGTCAACATGTAGTATAGTGTTCGGGAGCTTTGGGTGAGGTATCAGAGGTACCTTGTTGAGGAGAGGAAAAATTTGATCCTGGTAGTTGCATGGTGCACTGCCTCCAAGGAATCGTGTCGAAGTCTTTTCAGATCTTCTCAACGGCGTTGAGAAAGCGGGTGAGCGATTACGGTTTTCGTATCATCGGGCATCGAATGCTCCATTTGTAGAGATCGGTCCGGTCATTCGCTTGAGCTGCACTGCAAGACACCAATGCCTGTTCATGTATGTCACCAGCGTGCATCTGCAGTATGTGAGAGTGTGCACCTCGTAGGAAGAATTTGGCACAGGTAAAATACAGTTTGCTCATCACGGGCGGCCCAAGTGCCCAGGCAGTGGCATTGCGTCACTCGGGCATTGAAGAAGTCAAAAGCAGAGGCTGAATGGGGAATTTGTGTGGGTTCAGCCACGTGCAGTTCTTCCCGGTCTGTCTGTCATGTGAACGTGGGAGACAAAGTGGATAAGTTGATATCTCATGGATGACTTCCGGGTGGCGTTGAGGAGCGACATGTTTCTAATTTTTCGAGCCTACTGGGCAGCAATACATTCATTCTCTGGCGGAAACGAGGTCTGGACGAACTCTTTGCATTGGTCATAAAGACATTTCGGTGAAGAGAGATCATGAGCTCAGGCAAGTTGGCGGCGTGTCCAATGCAATCAAGATCGCTCACGCGAGCACATGGTAGAGGTACACACATATATGTGCGAGAGACACGAAAAGTGAACTCATCTCTGTGTCTGCAACTACTTTTGGGGTGGGCGCACATGTCTGTGGTCCTTCACCAGTTCCATCGCCAACACCATCATCTGAAGGATTGGTTAGATCGTGTCCATCTCTCTTTTCCTCCCAGAGGATTCACACCTTGCACGCACGCAAAACAATTGCGGTGCTATCTCCTTGTGTCTACCGCATAGATTCGGTACGCCGCGCCAAAACATAACGCCAATTTCGCCGTGAGCGGGGACGGGACGTAGACCATGACAAAGAAACGAGCCTTTGTTCTGTCTCTGCTGTCGACCCTCGTTCTTTTCATCGTTATCCATCACTGCGTAACTCATGATTCCATCTTCCAACCACAGAGAAAGGAGTTTTGTTTGCACCCGACAGTTTTTCTCTCTTGGTTCATTTCGCGCACAATTGAGCAGGTATGCAGCGCTTGCGGGGATGTTCTCATAGAGGAAAGTGCGTCGTTCGATTACTTTTTGATGCTGCTGTGTTGCGATCAATCGAGTCGAGCGATCATTTGATCTTTTGGTAGAGGTGTGAGGTTGTCAATGTCTAAACCCTTGGCGGCAAGGACGGGTTTCATATGCGCTGGAACCAATTGGTGGTTGAGATGCGGTGCGATCGAGAGTTCTAGAATCGGCATTGTTAGCGATAATAGCAGGCATATTTTCGACCTTGGAAGTCCCATACCATGGTGGTTGAAATCGAACAGTGTCGGTAGGTCCTTGCTCGGAGCACCAGCATGACGTGAATCGGGGAAGCGCGTTGCTGGGTCACGTAGCTCGTCAAAGAATGGGTGTACCATCGCGTCGATCGCCGACAATCGCTGAGTCGGGGTGTACTCCAACAGCCTCGCAATCAGGTCGATTGCGTTGGGATCCGCCTTACGAAAGACCTGTATACGAGGTGAGCATGAATCCTTGTATTGTAATATCAACATCTTCCATACCTTGCTGAAAGGGTGTGGCTTGATTTGCGGAAATTTGTGCTCCATATAGTTGGGGTTCATGGTGCGAATCTGATCGCGTGTTGGAGTACCCAAAACCTTGATGATCTCCACCAGCTGATCAATTCCCGACTCGCCGGGAAAGAGAGGCTGGCCCAACATGAGCTCCGCCATCACACAGCCAGTCGACCATACGTCTAGTAGTTTGTCAGTTGTCGGTGTCTCAGTGGAACAGGCGTAAACTGCCTTCAACTATACATACCAATCTTGGTGGTGTAATTTGTGGCGCCGAAGATGAGTTCGGGCGCACGATAGTACCGTGAGCATATGTACGAGACATTGGGCTCGTTCTCCACCAGGATCTTCGCACTACCGAAATCGCAGAGCTTCAAGATGCCCGAAGATGGATCGAGGAGGAGATTTTGCGGTTTGATGTCTCGGTGACAAATGCCTTGAGAATGGATGTAGGCGAGGGAGCGGAAAAGCTGATAGATGTATAACTTGACTTCAAGAATGGGCATGGTGGTCTTCAACTTGTTGAAGTGTCGCGATGCGCGGTAGACGGTCTCCGGAACATACTCGAGGACGAGATTGAGGTATACTTCGTCTTTCTGCACCGCCATCAGAGCTGTTTGGACCCCCAGTTTTTTATCGAGATCAATCACCCTATCACCGTTCGAATAGTAGAATGCCTTGAGCTCCACGATGTTGGGATGGCGGACAATGCGCATTATCTGAAGCTCTCGGTTCTGGCGCGACATGGGTCAGCAGAGTGTCGCGTGGGTGCGCAGAGCATCACTCGGGCGGCGATATGTACCTTGAATCGCTTATCTTGTAGTACCCGTTTGATGGCAGCATCTTCGCCCGATGGCGATAATTTGGTCTGGAAGACAACGCCGAAACTTCCATTGCCCACAATCTTGCATTGGGTGTATTGCATCTCCTTTGTCTCGCCGGTGAGGCCATCTTGGACCTTTTCACGAATCACTTCTGTGTTGCGACAACCATGGTCAGCATGCGGGCTTTGAGGACATGGCGGCGATACACGGAGCGGGCGATATTACCTCCCATTCTGAGGCTATTCAATGCAGTTGATCGGCTCGTTGTCATGTCGTGATTTTGAATGAGGATCGGACGCGCCAGCACGCAGCTTTGGAAGAGCGGGCGGCGGGCAGGGCAAGCGGGGTGTGGAGGATGAGAGCGAAAGATCAGGTGGACGTTATATGTATAGCGGGTGCGCAGATAGTAGTAGAGTACAAATGCAGGCGGCAGACGGCGAGCGAGAACAAATTTAACAGGGCCGATGCGAGCGGCGGCGGTGACAGGACGAATAGTAGAAAGGTTATCGTTGGTCCGTCGATCAGTCTCGCACTCGATATGTATGTATGTGATTTTGAAGAATACGACTTTCTGGAGGGAAACTTGAATTCGCCATCATAATAACATTCACGGGTTCTGTTCCCTCGTCGTGGTGGTCAGGTGCCCCGAGGGGGCTGGCCGCCGTTTCCGTAGGAAGAGGCAGGGCCCAAGCATCCGTTTCCTTGTGTGTGTCTGGACAAGTTCATATGTTCAACAGACACACACGCATTCAATTTTCAGTGCACATATTCGAGGGACCTTCTCACTTGAACAACATGTCTGTTCAGCCGCTCCACCACACTCTCATGATAGGGGATGGCGAGCTGGACCACGAGACATCATTTGAGATCTGTGCGACGATGACTTTGCAGAACGCAGGGTTCACCACCGTGGCAGCTGAGATATCACACTTTTCTTATTATTGCTGCTCCATTGCGCAGGCTGCGGATAGCAGGTCATCGCCCATGTGCATGCCCAAACGTCCGGCGATAGAGCCGAAGTCCGTTGACTCTTGCGGCCTGGCAACGAATTTCTACTCCGGCATACATGTGGCTTCTTAGATGCTCCGACATGAAGGCACTGTGGCAGCCTCCCGTTATGGTGGACGGCGTTACTAAGAAGAGTGCAACTCATCGTCATGATGAGATGCCAGCTCGATAGTGGATCCTTCCGTTCACCAGCGGCAGCATTTTCGGGGTACAAGCGAGTGGTGCTCGTGACCTGATAATCAACAAATGGTGGGTGGGGCTGATTATTGGCAACATTGCCCCTTGGTTCCAGCACTGGCACGATCGATTTCAGACGTCGTACTGTACAACACAACGGGCTGAGTTCAAGGTTATTAGACAAACTCCCTGACTCCTGACTGAAGCCATTGCATTCTATTCATTCGTCACTGGGTGCCTCCTGAGAGATAATGTGTTGGACTGGCGCTATTGCTCTCCCATTAGAATGGTGGCGACTAGGATACTGCAGCTTCATGTTCAGTCCTGCCAAATATTCGTTCAATCGTATGCGATCGATCAAACTTCGTTACCTGCCTAGGTAGATGAGTGTACAGTCCAATTCGTGCTGTGTAACGTTGATTGGTTTCACGTTGTTCCAACGGAACGCTATTCTATCCAGGACGAACGATACTCCTGCCCAGCCTGTTCGTGCTCCAGCTGTCCACGTCTTTTATTTCGGTAGCAACCCATAGCCTTCGGCACTTTCACCATTGGGTCTGCCGCCCATGGAGACGTGCCATCTGCACAGCTGCATCGGGTCCTAGAGTGCGAGTTCGCTGTATCATGCCGAAGTACGCCAGTACTTGCCACGGTGTGGCTCCCCTACGATTGTCCCGCGAGTAAGGTCTGGAGAAAAATTATCATCATCTGCGCCCAGCCTGAAAGTGGGTCCCTGTTCTTTGTCGAGCAGGTCACATGCGCATTCAATGGCGCGCAAAGCTTGAAGATGTTCGGGAAACGCCAGCTTGTCAGGCTCTAAAAGGTATCCTGGTGTGCTCGCATGCGCTTGTTATGGAGGTGCAAGCCGACGTCACTGGACAATTGTGGGACCTCGCCTGGTCCCGCCTGCTCCAGCCAAAGCTGTGCGGAGGCGATCTGTCAAGCTCTGGATTCCTCCACGCCTTCGAAACAGGCTGAATGATGAGCATTGCGTTGCCCCATGCTAGAGGGCACGTTACAACCAATCCTGCCCAGGTGGGCTTGAAACAAAGGGTTGATGAGAGCTTTGACCGGCATCAGCTGCCGAGTCAAGAAATGAATAGCTTTATCACGATGCGATCGTGTTTCGGAAGCATATTGTGCTTTGATGATGTCCCTTGTGACCCCTCCGCTTCTGTCGCAACTGGCTAAATAGGTCTATGACAAAAGAGCTGAACGTCCCTATTTGCACTCAATGTAGCATATCAAGCCGTGAGAACCACAACCCTCATAATCCACGAAAATCGTGAATTGATGGGCGATTTGCCTCCATGATGTAGCTCATGACGGATATCACAGGTCTTCATCATGACATGTCTCAGCCATGCTGTGCCGCCCAAGCCCAAGTGTTTGCAGCCGCCTGGGCTGATAAATGACCCTGCTCCTCGCCTCACCACACTCCTAGGAGGCGTCGCGGTAGGTCATCGAGCTCGATTAGCGGCATATTGCGTATGTCGTGCATTGAAGCCCAAAGGCATGACATACAGTCACGACAGCATGTGAGCAAGTGCCAACCACATTTATCAGAATGTCCAAATATTCCCCTCCCGCTCGATATGCTTCGTGGAGTATCACTACAAAAAGTCCAATGGTTATCCAACCCACTGACCCCACCGAACGCCTGTTCCCACTAAAGTAAAACATATGGGGAGATAGTTAAAGCTGCTGCTGCTTATGGGGCCCACATACTGTTCTATGCCACGGAGGTAATTACTCACAATACCTGCCCAGGTGTGAAGTGCTAGAAAAGATTTATGCTGCGATCGCAGTAGTCTAAGAAGCTATATGGCAACCCCTCTTTGACTATGCCGTGTCCCGCTCTTGACAGGCAGGCTCATCTGTAGGCGAGGCTAGGTGAAACGTGTAGTTTACAAGTCATGGCCATGAACATTCATCTTGTCAAGCAATCGGGAAGCCGTCTTCGAATATCTCGCCACAGCAAAACAGAGTCTGAGCGTCGACGGAGGCAAACACCTAAGGCACCAAATTGCGGCCTCGCGTTCGAGCCCCTTCGCGTGTAACATGTTGAAGTGATCTCAGTTAGAAAGTAACTATCACAACATGGCACAATCATACACAGACTACCTAGTACGATCTCTATAGTGCAAAAAAACGTCAAAAAAACTTGTAGCACTCTTTGTTTGCATGTGTCATCCTTAGTGCAGGGGCCATGCTAATCTTCTCTGTATTGTTATAAATTGACTGGACGGCAGGTTAGCCACTGGACCACGAGATCATAGGGTTAGAACGATGACCTACCCAAATGCCCGTAGGCGAAATTGTTGCTCGCCGCGCTGTATATATACGTAACTCTGGTGATGTACCCCTCTGCCCAAGTCTTGCCCGGCAATAGATTGCCAGGCATGTCGCTGAGTTTGCGACTGTGGACAGTCCAGGATACATGTTCAATGCAGCCCGGTAGTCCTCGTTATGTCCTCATTCTCAAAGCGACATTGCGCAACTCTTGCGATCCTTGGGCAAGGGCGTGATGAGCATTGCAAGTGCCGCCGCGCCCAGCATTGCGCCGGGTGCTCTGTTATCCAGTTCCATCAGGCATTGGTGTGCAAGGACAGCCTCAAGTTGTGTTCAAGTAAATGCATGTTGCATAGCGATTCGAGATGTCTCCCAGGTCACGGGGGTGGCATGGAGAATTGATGGGCATAATGTTGATCGAACGGTGTTGGAGAGATGTCGCAAGAAGCACCCTTCACGAATTTCGTCTCTGTGTGATGACACCCCGCTTCCTCTCGTTTCTTGGACAATGGATTTCCGAATTCGTGGGAGCTGGAACGATAGCTCTCACGTGACATCATTTATCGCATCGCGTCAATACAATTATGTGCTCTGCTTCCGACTGTTGTAACTCTACAAAGCCTCATCTCGATGATATCGATTTGAGCTTGTCTAAGCAGAACGTTGTAAGTGCAGAGATTTCCTTGACTGTCTACATTCGTTCTGTCGTAATATTCACCTGATCTGAAACGCTTTGCGACAATCTGATTGCGCTCCATCATGGAAGACGACGAGGGCTTCGAGGTAGAGGTCGAGGAGAATGATGAGCTGCAGAAATACTTGGGCACGACATCATTCGGCAAAGCCACACATGAGACGAACGCGAAGAGACAGATCGATCAGAGCAGGCGACAAGTGGAAGCGTCGGCGACAAATACAGACAGCTCAAAACAGCCCAAGGAAAGCACAGAGGGCAGTGATCAGGGCGAGGAGAATAACAGCGACAGCGACAGTGACGACGATGACGATGACGACGATGATGATGAGTTTCCTGTCTCCCACGAGATGATCATCAAGACTCACGAGCGAGCCATCACGGCCATAACTTTGGATCCATCTGGTGCAAGACTCATCACTGGATCAATGGACTGCACTCTGAAACTTCACGACTTTGCTTCGCTGACGCCGACAACCATTCGCGCCTTCAAATCAGTCGATCCCTCTGCCGCCAAACATTCTGCCAGCGTCGAAACGCATCCTGTCAACCAAGCCTTGTTCAATCCGCTCAATGCCAGCCACGTCCTGGTCGCGACCGGTCTCCCACGAGCAAAGGTCATATCACGCGATGGAGACACAGTCGTGGAGTTTGTCAAGGGTGACATGTACTTGCGTGACATGCACAACACCAAAGGGCACGTATCCGAAGTCACAACAGGGACATGGCACCCAACCGAGCGAAATCTATGTGTCACAGCTGGAACCGACAGTACACTACGAATTTGGGACATCAACAATCCAAGATCACAGAAAGAGGTCATCGTACACAAGTCCAAAGCGGCAGGTGCCGCTGGAAGATCACGAATGTCTACGGTGGCGTGGGGCTCACCGCTTCAAGGCGGGCACAATATCCTAGTATCAACTGCATTCGACGGGAGTCTAATAATGTGGAGCGGAGACGGTCCATTCACAAGACCAGCCGCGGAGATCAAAGATGCACATACTCCAGGCACGTGGACTGGAGGGCTGGATATCAGCAACGACGGCCGACTAATCGTGACACGCGGCGGTGACGACATCATCAAACTATGGGATACCCGCAACTTCAAAAAGCCAGTCACAACCACGTCTCACCTGTCGACATCATCCCAATACCCTACAAGCGGTATTCGCTTCTCGCCAAACTCGGCCAACATCATTACCGGTTCAATTACTGGTCATCTACACATTTTCAACCCTGCCCTGAAACCCGAGCTCGTAACGCCCGTCACGCCAGGGTCAGCACTGATCACGGCGTTGTGGCACCCGACGCTCAATCAGATCATTACTGGATCTGCAAATTCTGAGGTACACGTCCTGTACAACCCTCAGACTTCAACCGCCGGCGCCAAAACCGTGATGTCCCGAGCTCCCAAACGACGCCACATCGACGACGATCCCTCCCTGACCATGGACATGTCGCAGGGCCTCTCTAGCGATGCAATCATCGTGCCCGGCGCAGGTGCCGGAGCCAACAGTGCGTCGGTGCGACATCCCACCATCGGATTGACGGCCTCAGGTCGTAGTCGAGATCCGCGCCGACCGCATGTCCCAGCCACGACGCCTTTCGCCAAGACGAATCCTGATGCCGAATATGTCAAGACCCAGATTCCTTTGTCTTCGCTCCGTGACGAAGATCCGCGAGCGGCGCTGCTGGCGTACGCTGACAAGGCGAAGAATGATCCGCTATTCACACGAGCTTGGGAGAAGACGCAGCCCAAGACCATTTATGCGGATGTCAGTGATGACGAAGGCGAGGAAGACGGCCCTGAGAAGAAGCGTGCGAAACAGGGGTGAAGCGATCAACTATTGACGTTCAAAGTTCATGGTCGGAAGCCCTCCGTACCTCATATCATATTTCGTAGGTAAGTTGAATAATCATTGCGGTGCAGATTTTGTCGCCGCACAATGCATGTGTTATGTAGGTCCCGTCCGCCCAACGCCGACGCTGTCCCCGAAAGAAAAACATAAATTCTCCTGACTTCACCATTGTCTTTCAAGTGAATCACTAAATTACTTTCCATCTTTCTTCTTTCTGAGTGTCTGCCCTTCTCCCGAGAAATGATGTTTCTTCTGTGACTCTGCTTCGGCTTCGGCATCTTTGTTCCGTAATGGTTTGATTTCGTAGCCAAAGAACAATTTGCCAGATGGTAGGCGTAGCGGTTGTGGGCCATTTCGATTTTTGCTGATGGTCTTGCCAACGGCCCCGGGTATGGCGACAGAGCTCTCCTTGGCTGAGGAAGATGCACTCGGTGCGCCAGCTGCTGCTTTACCCTTCTTTGTCACTAGTCTGTTGCCTGCACCAGAAAAGTTCTGTGATGCCGCACCATTCGCAGCGGTGTCGGATGAAGGTGCAATGGCAGCATAGTTTATTGCCTGCGCCATCGTTCCTTCTGCATGCATCATGCCTCCTTTGCTTGCCATGGTCGATGCAATGCTCCCTGGTGTATTTGTCCCAGTAGTCCTTTGCGGCTCCTGATAGCCCACTGGTGCAGCAAAATCTACCTCCAAGTCTGTCTCTTGTACACTGATGGCGTTTTTTGATCCTGCAGGTTTGACTTCGAGGACCGCGATTTCGAATACAGTATCGTTGTAGGAAAATGTGAAGACATCGCCGAGAGTCAGGCAAGAGAAATTCCGGAAGGCTGTTTCGAGGACTGCTTTGGGGTCGCTGATGTCAAGGAAATTGGTGTTTTGAGGTTGAAGTTTGATAAATTGTCCTGGAGGGAGATCGGTGGACTTGGTCTGCAATAGATCACCAGGGTCGAGTTGAAGCGTTTGCATGAGCCAGTATGGTAGATAACAACGGCCCTCTTCCGCAGTGAACTCGAGCACTCCAGCATGTGTACTTTTCCCTTTGCTTCCATTCACGAGCTCAAACAGCATGGGGTATGTGATGTGCAATTGTGTAAGCTTGTCGAGCGCCGACGCGGGAAGAAACATCTTGCCACCGTGGTTGGCAGCTTCGCGCTCTGGTCCTGGCATCATGGCGATTGGGTAGCACCGGTAATACTCGTCGAAGCGACGTGGACGACCTCCACGAGCCATCATGGCATTTCTGTACATGGACATCGGATCGGTACCATCGTAGTAGTGCGCCTAGACTGAAGTCAGCAACTGATGACCATATGCAAGGTGACGACGGCGTACCATTGTGACTTCCAGGGCTGCACGCTGTTACGTGGTCTTGGTAGGATGGCTCTGATAGATAATGTTCTTTAATTAACACGGAGTGTACAGGCACAGAAATGTAGGTAGGGGGTGGGTTTTGTCGAAAGAGAGGGCGCAATTGCGAACGTGACGATGCCTAGTGATCGTGAACTGCAGCTCTCTGAGATCATGGCCCACGTCGTCACATAAAGCTTTCAGCTTATCGATAAATGATTCCGGCATGCTGTACGGCATGAGCCGTGGTCAGGCAACAAACCGTGCAGAGTCGCGGTCTGTCACGTGCTCAACACCGACATCGCGCTCGTCCTCCAACGCATCCAACAAACCTCAGCTGCACGTGTATCATTCGTCTGTGCGCGTGCCTGTGCTCATTGTGCACGCGAATCTCTGGACCGATGCCCATTTCATGCATATATAGATACTGTACGGCTTATCGTGTGTTGAAAGGCCAGGCTGTCAAAGAGCGGATTCCTGACCGACATAGCTCCGCGGCCTCCGCCTGAGCAGGACATGTTAATAGGCTCCCCAACGAGTTTAGTTCGGTGATCAATGCTTCATTTGACTGAGAGTGTGCTTTCTGTATTGCGCCAAACCTATGCTCCGACGGTTCGGAAATCCCGATGAGAACAATAGACGAGACTTCGAGTCTCCCGGTGGCTCCTCTTGCCGATGCCTTCTGTCACGGAAACAAACACGAGGGGAAAAGCCCTGTCCTTGACCCCTGGAAGATACCGTACAAAACCAACATTCATCATTTCCCGGTATGCGAACTCCGATCATCCGTTCCTGACCCAAGATTGCTCTGGCAAGTATCAAGCCAATGTGTTACAACAGTACTGGACTTGTGAAAATGTCAGCCGCCCTGCAGTGCACCTGGGCAACGTTCGGAGCAACGCGACATGTATATGCCCACTACGCCGAAATCAGGACTTCCGACACATGACGATAATGCTTGTTCTGCACGTACAAAAGCAAATACAGTCCCTACCTCTTTCGGCCGCTGTACCTGAGATTATGCATGTGTAACTAAGTATGTATGTGCCCAAATCCGTCCATGCATAGCGATACTTCCGCCGGCTCCGCAGTCCGTATATCCAATGGCTCCCTCCCGGTGATGCAGATCCCGAAAGACTAAGGTAGCTGCACCGCACGAGCTTCGTTTGTGAAGCAGTCTAGTGATTCTCGGTGGCTTAATCTCAACCAGCATCGCAAATCAATGAAAGATTTTGCTCCTGGCACCACCCAGGCTCGTCTCCCGATCAGGATCATGGTGGCCATGTCTCCGATCCGAACCACTTCCGTCATTGCAATGCCACCTGGCATCGCCCTCATTGGATGCCTGCACGCTGCCGAGTGACCAAAGCATTCATCGGCAGCGAGAGGAAGCAGACGATGTGGATATGCAGGTACACTGGACGCATGTTGCTACTCGGGGCATGGTTGGAGTGTGTAACAATGACCTATATATTCCAGACCCCCTCGTTGCCCTTGATCATCTGCCTTCAACTTGCAACATATCAGGCAGACTGCGTTTTACCTTCCCTAATCCTAAACTATAAGAGCTTCATACAAAGGCGACCTTCCTTGTTCGGCTTTCGAAACACTCACGATGCGCTTCTTCGCCTTCTTGTCCTGCGTCGCGTTCGCTGCAGCGAGTGCTGTTGCTTCGCTTGAAGAACGCACCCTTCAGATATGTCTCCTTGACGATGAAGCCACGAAGCTTGCCAACAATTTCAAGAGCCTCATTTTGGCATACAGCAAAGCAAATGCCGAGGCCTTCCTGACGAAGGACTTCACCGACTACTCCGACAGCGTGAACGAGCTTATCAACAACGGCTGTCCAGATGGCCCTGCCAAACTCGGTACTCCAACTTTCACTTCTCTCTCGGCATTCGAGGCCGGTCAAAGCAGTCAACCTTCCATTCCTTTCCAAATCTTGAACATCTGGCACGGATGCCGGGACGTTGCATTACGCTGGAGGTCATCAGCACCCGGTTTTGTCCAGCCTGAGCAGCCTGTCACAGGCATCATCGTCTTGGAGGTCATCCCCAATGGCGTTTTCTCGGCGCAGCCATGGCTTATCAAGACGGTCTACTCCGAGTTCAATAGCGGAGCCTGGCTCTACGATTTGAACATCACTACCTCTTCGTTCTGCAAGACGAAGTAAGGCAAGGTTCAACAGTCAGCCAAGCGCATGCGAATCATTGCTCCACGGTTTCACTTTCCTATTTCACTTTCGTCAAACGCCTCAAAGGGGATGGAAGACGGGTCATTTGTTGTTACATTATCGTCATTTGTTCGGGGCAATTTGGCGAATACGCCAGGCTATCTGAATCTTATTCGGCGGAGTTGGTCGTTTGTCAAATGCTCGATCATGAAAGTAATGTGTATACATCACGTAGCGACATCAATGTTGATTACCAAGCTGCACTGGAGAGTCATGATGCTACCCAGACTTCTTCACAATGAGATTGGAATACAAATCCCATGCTATCACACGACCAGGATTGTACACTGCCGAACCGGCGACAGATGTCGAAGGCTGTTCAATTTGATAGTAACAGTAAGGCTGATTTGATCGTATAAATGCCGGGCTAGGGTTAACACATGTTCTTTACCCAAACCCTATGCGAACGTCACATTGGCCTGAAATACATAACTACCTAGGTATTCGACCAGGGGATGCAAGCCGAGACAACATTGATAGCATTCGAGGACCTACATAGTGATCTCTGAGCTTACTTCAGATCCCTGAGTTTCGCGAATTGATAGTTGAGTCAGAGGAAGGGCGTGGGCTGTCGTTGCTACGATACACACTCAAATCTTGCATAAACGCCGTGAGCCCTCAAAAACCTGCTTCCAGCTGCCACCGACAAAAACACATGGCAGGACTGGTGTACTGAAAAGTCAAGACGTCGCAATATCCGTAGACCATAGATGGATAACACGAACAGTGACGGATATGTCGAAACAATCGACATCACTGAAGTCACTCAAGTCTGGCCGTCCGCCAATCGCGAAAAAGCCTCGCACACTCGCGGCGCGACACACCCGTCGGATCATACGCGCACATCACACCCTGAACAAGCAGTTGACTGCAGCTCAAATCGCCGGCGATCATGACAAAATCAAATCGATTGAGTCCCAATTGAATGCTCAAGGTGGTTTGGCGGCGTATCAAGAGGCCAGCATTCAAGGTCAAACCATCACTCGCGGCGGAGACAGCTCCATCGAGCTCGTCCGATGGCTATCGGCCTCAGATAAGAAGGAAGAACAGGGCATCAAGCAGAGTCAGCTCTCCGGTCTATCACTGCTCGAGGTCGGCGCTCTCACTACGCACAATGCATGTTCACGATCGGCCATTTTCGACCGTGTAATTCGCATCGACCTCAACTCTCAAAGCTCAGGTATCAGCCAGCAAGACTTCATGAAACGCCCGCTGCCGGAAAGCGATGCCGACAGATTTGATGTGTTATCGTTGAGTCTCGTGCTAAACTATGTACCTGATAGCGCACAGCGCGGCGAGATGCTCCGGCGGACGACAAAGTTCCTGCTTCAAAGTCAGACGCTTGAATCCGCCAAGGAGCGAGGCAATGAGACAGACGAAAGCACCAAGAATGCGAAAAAATTACCCTGCTTATTTCTCGTCCTACCACTACCATGTATCATCAACAGCCGGTATATGACAGAGATCCATCTGCTCGACATCATGAGCACCCTCGGCTATACACTCCTGCAAACCAAGCAATCTGCTAAGCTCTATTATTCGCTTTGGCTTCTCCAAGAACCGTCGACAAATGTGTCGCGCAAGACGTTTCGCAAGGTCAAACTGAATGACGGAGTTGGAAGGAACAATTTCTGTGTAGAGCTCCGTGACACACGTGAAGCGGTCTCATGAAAATATTACACGAACACAACAAATTTTTAGGTGATGCGAAAGCGAAGTTGGAAGAATCGTCGGTTTGAGAATCTGCTGCGATCAAAAAATTCTCAATCTGTCGAGACAGACATGAGCGCCCCGCGCACCTCGAGCGTTGAACAGAGTCAATGCCGATGCTTCGCGCACCAGAACATCCGAGACGCGACCACAACTACACGGTGAGATCACGAGAGGGCCGTGCCACCCTCACAGAACTACGTACCCAGCATCTTGCACCTCGAGTGCAGATGGCTGGTCTCGTACCAGTTTCCTCATTCGGCAGGACCTGAAACCCAAGAATGCGCTTGACGCTGATCATACGCTGAGGCAGAACAGGATCGCTGTCACAGGCCCAAAGACATGGCGGATGAATGGGGGAAAGATCGAGTACGATATTGCACCAGCGCCCAGGAAAGCTCGAGAACCTTTAAGACGATGGGGAGTGGCAGCTGCGAGATGGCGGATTATTGGCATCGAGAATTGTTTTGATATGTGCAAATTGAACCAGAAGGATGGGAGCAAACGTAAACCTTTCAAAGGTCACAGCTCGAGCCACGTGGTAGCAGAGGGGTTTAACAAGCAGATGTTGGCGCAAGGGACAACATAGTGGTGAGACAAGGAAGATTATATTATTACGAGAAAGTAGGAAGTGCGAAATGAGAGCGTAGAAGTTCGTCTGAAATATCGTGCCCAAAGGCCGGATCTGAGCACCGTTTGAAGGAGCGTGAGCACGAGCTGCCCGCTGTCCAGCTCGCGTGAAAGTGGAAGCTACTGAGTTTTTTTTCATGTGCTTGCCGAATGGTAGAAGATCTCGGCGAGGGGATCGAGTGCATGATTGCGATGCCATGCCATGCGTTGTGAAAATCGAACTCTACCCAGATACTGCCTCATTTCCACGAAACAATTCAAGCACTCGCTCAGAGCAAAAAGGGATTGTCGAATTTTGTTGAAGAGATATCCACTTTAACTCTGCTTGCACTCGGCCGCATCCTTCTTGGGTCCGGCATCCTCCTACTGTAGCATTAGTTGACGAGTGCTCTCGGACGCACGACTTATGCAGGTGAGCTTACCTCGTCATCTTCCTCGTCCTCGTCGTCATCATCCCGCTCATCTTCTTCATCATCGTCATCATCCTCGAAGTCGTCCTCATCGAAGTCATCAAGGCCATGCTCGAACTGCAGGGCCTCACCGGTGAACCAGTCGATGGCTCGGGGGATAAGCTTCTCCTTGATATCCTCTCCTAGCTGGTAGTCCAACTCAAGTTTGGCCTCAAGCTCGTCGTCGATGTCCTCGTCGTCTTCCTCAGTTGGTGGGGTGGCCGGGTTAAAAAAGTCGAAGAATGAGGGGGTGGGGATGGTCTTCTTGACGATACGGGTCTGCTTTGTGTCTGCACGGTATGTCAGCTGAATGTCTCAAAAAGTGATACAGTTTGAATCCCTACTCTTGTTGCGTTGTCGCTTGCTCTCGACCTTGACTGTGAGGTCCTGACCACTCTTCCAGGTGATAGCGTCACCTTCAGCGTGATCATAGATGAAATCGCCACCGTAGCCGTTCTCTTCTTGGTAGAAGTAAGTCTTGGTAAGAACCTTGTTCTCAAAGAATTCGTTCTCGGCAAACTCGAAGATCAAGCGGAATCCTGGGCGGTCGAGGTACTCCATGCGGACATCAATCAGTGACTTGAGAGCACCCTCGTCGCGATCGGTGATGGTTTCTGCAAGTGACGAGTTCTTCATGGCGCTCAGCCAGAACTCTGGAATACCCTTCAGATCGGCTGCATCTCCGGCGTTCTTGTCAGCCTCTGCTTTGGCTGCCTCGGCTTCCTCATCTTCCTCCTCGTCGGCCTCTCCTGCCTCGACATCGGCGTCCGTAGGCTCAGTCTTGCCGTTGACGATCTGGGAACGCTTCTCGTACAGTGGTGTAAATTTTGCGAAGAAGCGCTTCTCTAGCGCAAGAACCTCCTCTTGGAATTCCGCCTCGAGCTTGGAGTGCTCTTTCTGAATGCCCTTGAGACCTGCTACTCGGCGACGGACGGGAGCAGGTAACGACTCAACGTAGCCTGACGACTGTCCGACCAAGCTGGACAGCTTATTTTGCATCAAAGACACCAGTCGTGGATTTTGGGCGAAAATTGACGCAGCGGCAGCACGGTCAAGGTCCTCTATTGTAAAGTCGTCATGTCAGTTGATTGGATGGCATGATTATTTTGTCAGGGCGGGGTGGCGGGGTACGAACCTTCCTTGATGCTGGAGACGCCGGGCGCCTGTGCCTTCGAGGAAATGGGCGCATTGGTAGCGGGTGTGTTCTGCGGAGTTCTTGTGTTGTCCATCGTGTCAGCAGCCTCGTTGTAGGTGATGCAAAGGTGAGAGAGGAGAGGTGGAAGCGCGTGAATGAAAAATTGGTATTTTGGCGGCAGCGGCGATCCACCAAGTCGGCGGGATAAAAATTGCGGGCCAGCGTCAAAAGGCAGAAAAGCGAGGGAAAATTCCAGGGCAAACTTACGGGGCAGTATCCGGGACCAGCCCGTTGTTGCGGATGGGTTGGGCCATGATCTTCTTCTTCTTCTTCTTCTCTAGCTATTGAGGAGAAGCGACAAGTAGAGAGGGTGACGGTTCGGATGAACAAGGCTGCAAATGCAGCGGGCTGAGCGGCGGTACCCTGGAAGTGATCGGTACTGGAGAAGACTGTGATGAAATTGTGTGTGTCCGGAGCAGCAGCTTTGAATTTGGCCTGGCGGAAGTGCCCAACAGAATATAGTGGTGACCCTGACTTGTCGTCGGGCGTATTGATTAGGCTGGTGCGACTGAGGTACAGCACCGAAATTGCAAGCCGCTCACTTAGAGCGACGAGAACGTTCTTTTAGAAACGCCGAGAAGCTCGAAGCCTATGCGCTGTTGGTGAAATTGGAAGGAGTAGAGTCTGCAGTGGAGAAAGATGAAGAGGAAAGCGGACGAGGAAGTGGGATTGAATGGACGACCAATATGCTGTAGTCACAACACTATGATGAATACGCGTCTCGCCGAGAAAAAGGGTTTGTCGCGTTTCCTGGCGACGGTTACGTTACAGGCAGGTCTGAAGAGTGTCGTTGGGATAAGCCACAATTTTGTGAATGGGTGTGAATGCTTTTCTCTCACTGCGACCTCTCTCTTTGTTGCTTGCACCTGAGCAAGTAGGGACTCTCATTCCAGGGATCTCATTCTTATCATCATAACATACTATCGTGTTGGGATGTCGCCTCGCTTCTTCGCTATTCTCATTCTGTGCTCGCTGATGCATGCATTATCCATATTGGGCATCATAGTCATAGTCGTTGATCGATGGCGAATTCTATAGTCCGAGACAGGACCAGCAAGAAGATTGGCCTTCGGCAAGACCGTGGCTATCCCTCCGTCATACTAGGTATTCACATTTTGCGCCTCCACCTCCGCCTCCACTCCATCGCTGGCCACTCTTTGCTATTCGCCAATTCGACGCCGCTCCAGTCCCTCTGATCCTCTGGTCCTCTGCCAAAGGTGGCACTGTGCCACTCACCGCTCATCGATCGCCAATCTCTTCTGTGCAATTCGCCGCACTCGACCGTCCACTTCACTCGACCGGCCAGGGTCTATTTGAACTACTGCTGCAAGATATGGCATCGATTATCTGGGTCATGTTACAGTCCCCCGCCGCAGGCAGAGCTGCATAATTTCAGAATTATGCGATGCAATTGTGGGGTGACGGGGTCGAGTAGCAAATTCTAGAGATGCAGGCATTTGCTCTGGCCCGACTTCTTCGGCAAAAAACATCATGGTGACATTATTCTTGCGCAGTGAGAGAATCACAGTGTCTATCAGTACCAGATCTCTCTGGTGACATGCAGTACGAGCAGACTTGCGATATCTAAAGTGGCGACCCTTTGTATTTTGAGTAGTGTGTGTGGGAGTGCATCGCGGGGAGTGAAGGTTCTGTTTCTGCTCGTCCGTCGCCATCCACCCCGCCTCGCAAGCGCGCAAGCGATGCTGTAACGCGAACCTGGTTCCCTTGTTGCAAAGATGAGTACCAAAAACCCAGAAAGTCAACGCTTATGTCATCCTGATCCATGCACGTCAGTGAGCAGTATCGATCGTGCGTGAATGACATCTCGACGTAAGCGATCAGTACTGTGCTTGAGCGACTGGATATTATAGACCGTGGGTCCTAACACGGCCATGACATGTGGCGAGTCATGATGCCTCGTCATTTCTAGCGTTGTCGACAGCTGCATGACTCGCGCAACAACTTGCGTCAGTCCGGAATTATGGCAAATACTTGGGATTCAATGCGATACGATCATTGAGATCTTCATCACCAGCTCGATAATCGCCTCTCGAACACAACTCGTATCACAGCTGTCAGCCAGAAGCTATCAAAGCAGCCTAATCCACCGCCACAACCGACCGAAGTAACGAACTCCGACCTCACACAAGCGCCATGGACAACGCAAACATTTCTCCCGAGCTGCTCCAGGGCCTCCAAAACCTGCCCGACAAGGACAAGCTCGAACTCTCACAATTCGTCGCGGCCGAGACCCAAAAAGCACAAATCCAATCAAGTGAGTTGAGTCCCGATGATACGGAGATCGGTTATTATCCCCGAATCTCCCGGATCGCATGATTCCTCGAATGCGCCAACGACGTGATTGACTGACCATTGCTCAATTTCTCCAGCCGTTCACCATCTCACCGACATCTGCTTCCGCAAGTGCATCACCGGTCGTATTTCGGGCAGCCAGCTCGACAGCAGTGAAAACTCCTGCATGCAGAACTGTGTTGGGAGATTCATGGACGCCAATATGCTGGTCGTGCGCAACCTCCAACGCCAACAGGGGTCGCATTAAGTTGTCCAGGGGTTGGATATTTGCATGTTCTACAATAGCCATAGTCGCCATGGATTCGAAGAGAGGGGAGTTCGTTGCCTGTCGAAGGAGAGCAGGAAAAAGACAGGCGAAGATCTCCACAGCACGTATCATCAGATATAGATGCTGCTGTGTCACATTATGATTAGAGGGCGGCGAGTTCGCGTGCTTCGGGTTGAGACACGCTTGTAGAGTACGGGCATTGAATGTACAACATGTTTTTGTTTCGGGACCGACATCACAAATGACGACAGCACAGTATACCGAGGTGGATAATGCAAGACCAGGCCAACATTGTTAGCTCACTGGCTATCTATTCAATCATGATCATCTCAAATGGACAATCCCGACCGGGGGGAAATATGTGAAGCAAGTAGTCACGCCTTTCGGCGTGAAAAGTTGTCTACGAAATCTCGTTGACATGCAGCCCATGATCACCAGACTCCGTCGCATCGAAAACCTGCGCTGCCAGAAAAAGCCGGCGAAGCGAGGAATGAGCAGATATAGAAACGCCGTCGTAGAATGCTTGACCCAGAATCACTTTTGCAACCCAACCAATCTAGACAATCGCGAGCTTGGTAGCGGCGATGTCTAGGGCATCGACGTCAGGAGTCAACCTGGCGTAGGCCTTCTTGGTACCGTCGGGTCTGTAGTCTATTGTCAGTCTTTGATTTTGGATAGCCTAGCGAAACTTCCCAATAGGAAAGAGATCGCTGTAAGCACATACCGGATAAGGGTGTTGATCTTGATGGTGTCCACATCGTACATCTTCTTCAACGCCTCCTTGATTTGCCTCTTGTTGGCCTTGGTGTCGACGATGAAGACGAGGGTGTTGTTCTCCTCAATCTTCTTCATGGCGCTCTCAGTGTTGAGAGGGTGGATGAGGATCTTGCCGGCATCGAGGCGGGGCTGGTAAGGAATGGACCTGCGAGGGTACTTGGGCGCGCGCGCGAGCTTTTGCGTCTTGGGCAAGTGGAAAGATGCACTCTTGCGGACCTTCGTCACCTTGTGCGAGTTGACCTGTAATGCAGAGAAAACAGGCCGTCAGAATAATGTTCCTTGAAAAAGGATCTGACACGCCTCATGACGGTGAGAGATTGGTGATGATGCTTACACCCTTGAGTGTCGCTTTGGCGGCAGCGTTGGCCTTCGCGCTGGGCTTGCCTGCCTTGGAGCCTATGAAGGAGAAGGTGTTAGTTCAGTCCACGGGCGCAATGCGCACATAAATATTTTGCTGATCTCAGCGCATTCAATCGTGAAACCGACTGGGCAGCATGGCTTCACGTACCGGCCTTCTTGGTGGTGGGAGCCATGTCGTCGGTTGTCGTGAATTTGGCGTAAAAAATGTCGTCGGATCGCTCAGCGAAGTTCACGATGTGCGAAATTGACAAAGTAGTGAATTCTGTGTGTGCCTCGCGTGCTTACCCAATTCGGCTGTGGTGGACTTGAACGCCAAGACTCTGATTTCCTCAGGCACCAGACCCATTTGTAGCTGGGGGGAGTCTATATTAATGCCTGAGGCATGATTGTGCTCATGAAGCACAGGTCAGTTCCTTGAGCACGTCGGACCACTGACGTCCACAGAAACCATCAACACCGAAGACTCGAGCAGAAGTGTCTTCGTTGATGGCCTTGAGTGCTCTGTAGAATTTTCTTTAGCGTTCGAACAGTCGCGTTCAGGCGGAGCCGGACAATGCGGCACGTCTTGACAGTATCAAGATGAACCGAATAGATACGGCTGCAACTGACCATCATCGTGACCATCATCATTTGTATCTAGGTATGTCAAGCTGAACACAAAATTCCGAGAGCTGTCAGCTATGAATGCTCTTGTTGAGAACATGGAGTGTGATAATTCTTTATTAGTGGAGCCAATTGGCGTAGATAGGAAATATAGCAGTCATTTCGCGGAGTGCCTTGCTTCATGTAGGCCAGGGCCCTGGAAGTATTCATGTCCGGGCACTCACGGTGGTATGTTTCAATCGCTTTGAAAACAGAGATGGAATAGATTGAGAATTGATAGAATCAATAAATAACGACAGGCTAAAACACTGGAATAGAATGACGAGGCTCTCCAAATAATATGGCAAGCCCGTAGGTAAGCTCTCCAGCACCCGACCAGAGCAAATATGTAAATGCGCTGCAAAATGACCGCCGTTTAATAAAAAAGATGAAAAAGTCCCAATGAGAAAGAAAAGTGTCATGCAAGCTCCAGGCGCAGGAAGTGGAAATGCCCCAATCAGCGAATCTGCGCTGGTTCACTGGTATGTGCCCGCCATCACCATAGGTGGTGGGCCCATATCCCCGACCGCCATGTTGTGCAAGTTGCCGTGACCCGAGAGATGCGGAAGCTGGTTCATGGAGCTCGTGTTCATACCGATGCCGGAATATGAAAGTTCGTCCGTTGTGGCTGCAGCGCCACCACCCATCATGATGCCTAGGGCACCTGACTCAGTCTCATCCGCACCGGCATCCTCAACAGAAGTATCCTCCTCCTCAATCATCTCCTCTTCCGATAGCGCGGATCCGTCTTGGCTGGTCTCGTGGGTGCGGCGATGCTGCGAAAGATTGTCGGACCGGGAGAAGCATTTACCACAGAGGTCACAGCTGTAAGGCTTGTCCCCAGTGTGGGTACGCAAGTGTCGTTTCAGGTGCTCCGTCCGCCTGAATCGCCGACTGCACATGGGAATGGGACAGCAACGAGAGGGCATCGTTGAGTACGGTCCAATCTCCGAAGTTGTGGCACTGCGAGCACGGCGGAAAGGGCCATTCGGCTGCTGGCGGTGCTGATATGAAGAGCCAGCAGTGGCTCGCAGTGCGGAGAACTCGTCGGTGGAGATAGGGTTAGCGATCATGGCTCGTGGGTGAGCGTGCTGGAGGCTCTGATCCTCGATAGCAGAAATGGGAGTTTGCATTGGAGTGCTGTGGCGTGACGAGTCGTAAGTCTCTTTGTGGTCCTTCATTTGTTGCAAGGATTGATGAGGAATGTGGACATCCGTGGGAGAATCGTCGTAAGATGTGACCTCCTCTCCTTCCGGAATCGGCGCAACCGAAGCGGACATGGAACGACGTAAGTCACTTGGACGGTGAACACCGTGCGTAACACCAGCTGTGGAGATCGAGCTCAAGTTGGTCATACCCCGACTGAGAGAAGAACCGCGTTGACGTTGCTGGTAGGTCGGTGACCCGTCCAGTGCTGAAAATGAGGACTGGGTCTGGCAATTGCGCGTCATGGATGGAAAGTGTGCTCCAGACATGTTGTTTTGAAGGGGCATGTATGGGTTGAACTGTTGTGTCATGGTTTCAGACATACCGGCCTGAAACGTGGGATCCTCGTGAGCGATGTAAGCCGCTTCGTTGCCAAGATTGATGGATTGCTGTGGTGGCGTGATGGGCTCAAACGAAAGTCCTCGCTGGCTGTAGTCCTCATAATGAGATGAAGCAAATGAGGGCGCGGGAGAGTATTCCATGTATACTGGCATGGAACTATGTCGGTGGATGGAGTGCGAGAGGTGCGCATTGGTGCGGTGTAGCACTGGGCCGATAGACTGTTCACGAGTCTTATGGATTTGAGTGGGCATCGGAGGCATCTGATGCATCTGGTGAGGCAGAGCCATCTGCGAAAAGGTTGGCACATGCATCATTGAATCATCTGGCACGGCTGATGGCATACTGTGTTGTGAAATGTGATTGACAAAAGATGCTTGAAGCATTGATTGCTGCTGTTGCGGAATTAAAGAAGGCGGCGGCATGGATTCGGTGGCGCGAGTAGTAGGCGATGGCGATTCACCGTTGGGCAATGACTGCAGTTGTAGGTTGAAGGCCGACTGGGTACCTTGTTGAGCTTTGGTGAGCTGTTCGAACAGGGACTGCGATTGATCGTATTCGAAGGACAACGCAGGCTCGCTGACGGCGGTTGTGGTAGCTTCCTGGCCCACCTTTTCCCGCTTCAAGTCACGCTCGAGCGCATCAAGGAAAAGGCGATCATGAGGAACACTAAACCAATAAAAGACCTTCTGCTTCTTCTGGGTGCGAATGCAGTTGTTCTTGTAGAGGAAGTCCAAGAAAGGGCTCTTGGGCTCCTCCAGGGATGCATCAGTGCCCGATTTGAGATTGCGCAAATCGGAAAAGATGCCCTCTTCGAACTTCTTCAAGTTCTTCACAGGTCTTCCAAAGGCTTGGAAGCGAAATGTCAGGCAGCGCACAATGTCCGTACCGGTGATATGGTAAAGCGTGTTCCTGCGGCAAGTCTGTCAGAGCGAACAACAACGACTGGGAACACGAAGGCCGATGGACGCACCATAGTACGCAAGAGACATATTCTCCAGTTGGTAGTAGAAATCTTTTCATGCACTGATCGGGGCTCCAGTCCGCGGGTGCAGACAAGAGGAAATACTTAACTATATCAAGACGTGGTCAGCAAATGGAGATTGGTTGATCTGTTGCACAACAACATCGCAGATGCACTTACGATTGTCGACGTTGGTTAGGGCGACGACGGAGTCTGGCGGCAAGCTCTGCTGCGCATTTTGATCGAGTAGGAAAGTTTCGGGAGCAACAGAGCGCGACATTTGCTCAGGCGACTGATGCTGCTGTTGTTGCGGCGGAGGTAGATGGTTGGAATACATGACGACCGGCGATGCAAGACACGTGAAAGAAAGATGAGGGTCAGCGCAGCGCCAGGCGGTGACGATAATATCTCGCGCTCCAGCGCGGTCCGCGGTGGGGCAGCAGGAAAGCGGGCAGGAATTCCAATGGTCGCACGACAACCAGGTCGTGGACAACTGAAGGCGCGAAGTGGTCGAAGTCGGTTATGTGGTTTGGCCGAACTGGAAAGCTGAATATTGAAACTCGGCGAAACGTGTCGCACACCGGGGCGTAGTCGCAATAGCCGTGGCTGCGATCACGGGTCCGACGAAACACGGTAGGAAGACGCGCGAATGATGATTCTCTGGCGTCGGTGGTCTTCCTCGAGTTTCTTCGACACTTGGTCCTGACTTTGCTCTGCTGGGAATGCTTGTCGCGGGGCGCAAAGAGACGAATTTCAGAGGGCCAGCCTCATATGTTGAAACAGAAAAAGTAAAAGAGGATGGTCGAGCAAAGGGTGATGGAGTGAGACGCGCACACGAAGAAGAGAGAGGAGAGAGGAGGAGAGGGCGAGAGGGACAAATGCGACGGGCACGGCAGACTGATGTACAGTAAGCCGGGACAGGGCAGGCCTGCTAATGGTAGAGGTTTTCCAAGGTTCTTCCGGAAGAGATGCTAACAGGAGGATCACTGCATCTGCTCGTTGCACATCACACATTGATTACAGACCTCATCTCCCGCGCGACTCTTCTTATTAATATTTACCTGGGACGAATTCGCCTAAAACTCTGCCCATACATGACCTAATCCACCTACCCAGATATCCCAGGCTTGTGGGTCATGTTTCGGTTTGGGCCAAACAAGACGTCGGATCAGTCTTGCTGAGAGGAGGAGTTCGGAATGCCCAGCTGCAGGAACTTCCTGAACTCGTGCCTGGCCCAGAGGGAAGAACGGCAGGGCGGGGAGACAAGCCAGCGAGACACCAATATGTCAAAGGAGGGACAAAACACACGTTCCGCACACTCACACACTAACTGACACACACACCTTTTCCCAAGCCTGTCCCCGACTCGTGCACGCACGGGCAGGTGTAGAGTTGAGCCCGATTTGGATTTGCATCTCGTCTGCCCAGGTGCCTCTAAGCTTTCTTTTCGATCTGCGGTCGTCAGATTCGTCACTATTCTCTGCCACTGCCCGCTTTTACCACAACGGCCCTTCACAACAGCTTCGTCTAATGACTGTGGCTCGAGTGGTGCGTGACGCCAGAGCATGCTCGTCAACGGTGACTGATGCATACAAATTATCATACGCCTCGGCCTTGCTGCGCAATCTTGCCCAGGTGTACCATAGTGATACCAGCTGCAGGACCGTGAGAGTTAACCTTCCGTGCCACAATACTGCATTGAAAGTCGGCGCTTCCAAGCCCAGTGCGGGACCTGACCTGGTTTCCACTCTCCGCAATGGCTTGCTTCCGAGTCTGCTACCGTGGACATATTACACATCTTTCAAACAACAGTGTCATCTTCTCAACACTGCAACTCGGTCGACCTTGCATGGTTGAGGCTGAACCAATTGCTGCCCTTTCCGTACATTATCCGAGGCGTGCTTGTTCGAAGAGGCTACATCTCTTGAATTCGTTACACGATGACCCCATCAGGTGCATGCTGTCTACTACAAATCATTGAACCCTGTGCATGCTATTTGACCTGACCCGTCTAGCTCACGCCCATCTGAGAGAACTAGTGACAGTTCTGATGTGTGCGTTGCAACAGCCACTAGCTTCACCACAGGCCCGGATTCGTGATGTGGAGTCGAGCTCGAACCTGCACACGATGATTCCGAATAGCTGAATTGATGGCGTCAAGAGGGTCCAGCGGGAGATTGTTGATCGAGTCGATTTGATGGAAATGTCGAGCGCCGCATGATCGCTATCCCAGGTTCAATCGGGAATTATCCTGGATGTCATGTTGATTCGCGGTCGATCGCTTGTTTGCCCAGTCTGCTGCAGGAATTCCATCAACCTCTGTAGCGACAGGCGAAGTTTGAGGGACGATTTCGACATTGCCTGCACGATTGATGTCCTGGCATTCATTTCTGCTCACGAACGCCTCATCTACAGAGGCGATATTGTGGCTCGTTCGCATCGGGCATGGTTCAACGGCCGACTAGGCATAACACTATCGAGCGACACTGATTAGGCCAGCACGGCCGGCCTCAGTCGCTTTTGTGTTCTGCTGCTAATAGCAACAACAAATGTCATCCATGTGGCCCTCGCGGACTGCTGGTCCCCATGTGGCTGTCGTTCACATAAACCGAGGACTAACATCCGATTGCTGACCGGCCCAGACACAATCGAGATTCGCAGATGCCTGTGCAAATCGACAAACATGGCCAGATGTGTGTCTATCATTGCATCATGTCTGGGAACGTCCACATGCCGTCGTCGCCATCGTCATGATCATTGTTATGCGCTCTATTTCTCCTTTCTTTCTCCATTGACAATCGTCATTTGCATTGTGCACTATAGCCCTATTTAAATCTGCTTTTCCTATAGTATATCGTTCGATAGTGCGCGGCGGGATTGGACTCCGGCGTAATTTCGCGCCGGCTTCGTATCCTCGGGCTCACCCGTCCCGCTCTGCTCTCCCAAGCATACCAGTCGCTCGATCACACAGGCGAGATTACTCCATAACGTTGCCATATCTCCAGATTTGTATATCGGGAATTATATTGCATTGCACAAGCAAGCTGTCGAGCTCATAGGAGCATCATGCTGCTGCGATTCCGATATGCTGTCATCGTACAATCTCGGAATCGTCAGGATCTGGCTATCGGGCGCAACAACAGCAACGTAGCCTCGGAAGTACGACTCATCATAAATGATGAACGAGGGCGCTGGACCGCAGCAATTCGATCAGCACTGCAGCTGCGCCACACAAAGGAATCCCTACTGCTCGAGCAATGTGGCCAGAGCAATAGTCAAGGTACGACCTGCCTTGCAAAACGTGGATCCTCAGGCTGGCTGCACAGCCTGTCCAGTAATCGACAATGCCACCGTGGCCGTGTATTTTACCGTGCCGCTGCCGCTTAACGCTTGTCTGCCGGGCGCTTCCGGACAGCCACGTTGTGCGATCTTCGTTGGCTGGGGCGACACGTCTGAAGATACACGCGCCCAACGTGACGACTCGCAGCTACACCGGAGATCATACGCCGCATGAAACTTGTGATTCACGGCTTCTCGTGCATATCATCACAATTCCTCCGTTGTTCGGTGGCTGGCGAACGTTGATGACTCTCGGCGAAAGGAACTTGCTGTGAGTTCCTATTCGCTGAAACTTACTCCTGCATACAATGTGTGTTTCATAACGACGCTAGCGCCGCGTTTCAGAAATTCGGAGGATATCAATGTCGCGATCACTGGTCATGAGGGAGATCTGGACCGCGGTAACCTTTGCAGTCGACGAGCACGAGCATACATGCACAAGCATTGCCGGATGTTTCAGCCTAAGATCAAGAGTCCCCACATGCAGGCACGCATTGAATCAATCCGCCAAGGGCCCCAGGTAGCAAGAATGTAACCCACGATGTGTGGCTCGGAAAGCATCCACGTATGCCCTGGTTCGATGTTCTCGTGTGATGAGAGCTGCAGTGATGCTGACATCTTATTCGCTTCCTTGACGCAGTAGTCCTCACAGGGACTCCGAACGAACGACAAACGTCTGATGTGCAATCGACAATAATAAAACGCGATTGTCCGCTGGCTACGGCCCTATCCACCATTGGTTCGCCCCTCACGATGCGGACCGCTCATGTCAGTGTCTCGAACACTGTCGCAAAAACGGCCATGTTTCAACACCGCCCGCACAAGCGCTCGTGGAGCTTTTCCACCCAGGTACAACGAGAACTCTTTACAGATTGCTGATCGTCCTCCCCATCTAGATGACAAGCTAGCTCACCTCACGTTGTGCTCTGTCAGAACTCTAGACATGTAAGCAGTCCGACCTGCATCACCTTCTTAGAGTCCACACGTGCGCATGCGAAGGATTCCACACTTCAAAGCAGCCGTGGGCGACGATTTGCTCTTGAAGCGCCGGCGTTAATTGAAAGAGTGGAGCACCAAGATTGTCCACGGTAGCATCGTAAATATGATGCATGTATGTAGTCCAGCGACGAAGAGAGTGCTGCGACAATGCTTGTGGGTACCGTCATGTACAGACCTGAGCAGCTTCTCGCCGAAGCTACTCTCCTGCTGAGGTGTTTGTGAGGGATAATGAGTCACTGAAGGCGGATGATCTCGAAGGCCGCTCAGTGTGAGGTAGTCCTGGATGTTATGTACCTTTGTGATTAAATGATACGAATCGAAGTCTTCAGCAGTCGCGTGCGTTACGGCTATCAAGAATATGACACGATTCGAAGAGGTGTCTGAGAACACTCAGGTACTCTTGATTCGTCTTACGTGCTTGTTCAGTGAAAGCCCGCGAGACTGATCCGCTAGCTTTGGTACCCATCTGCACGATCACATTACATCGACTGAGAGATTGTGAGGTGATATTCACAAGCGAAAATTATGCCAAATTCAGTCGAATCAGAGATATTGACGTTCTCTGGCATATCGAGGGGGCTAGAATCAAACTGATAAGTGCCCAGGTATGTCTGAAAATCACGTGGGCCGTGCCCCAAATGAGTGCGGCTATTCTTCGGAATCAAAAAGTGTTCATGTGAACTTTGGGAACGATCGTAGACGCGGCACGGGGTCCGAATCTCGAGACGAACGCGACACCACGATCTCACGACCATCGCTTCGAACAGGCCTGCCTGGCGAAGGCCTACTCGAGGCACCCATCTCATCATCCGCGCGATTCTTAGCCCGCGACCCGCGCAAGCTCAAGTTACAGCAGGCCGTCTTCCACCAACCCCTAACAACATCTTCCTAATTGGCGCGGCTTTCTTGTGGAAATCGCAATTCATGCAATAGCCCATTGAAATTGATCGCGCAAAATCAGGACCCGAGGGAGAGTATCGCGCAGCAGGAAATGGCCTTTCAGCAGGGCGGCCCAGGAAACGGCGGGCCTGGAATGGGCCAGGGTGAGCATCATGGACCTCAGGGAACGGAGTACACTTTACAAGGTGGGTCGCGACATGAAAAATCGCCCAATGTGATTGCTACCGACTGGCTTTACTAAACGGTTCCTAGGTGTGATGCGCTTTCTACAAATGGAATGGCATAATCATGAGCGAGCGCGCAATGTGTGGTCGATTGAAAGAGAGGAGATGAAAATAAGAATCGCGAAGCAGGAGGGCGAGCTTCGTCACGCTAAGCGGATGTACGAGCAGATGGATCGGAAGGTCAGAATGCTAGAGCTTGCCATTGCGAACGAACGCAAGAACAAGGCAAACAGCGCGAACGGCACACCCGCGGAGGCCAAGCTGGCAGACACGGAGGGACAGAATGATCTCCGATCATCCTCAAAAGCCGCTGCAAAGAAGGATGATTCCAAAAGTGTAGACAGGCCGAACAACCGTACGCTGATTCACCATACTACGCCTCTCCGTTGGCAAGAATATGCTGACCAGCCTACAGAGCCCCATAATTCATTTTTAGAAACAGCTGGAACCAAGAATGTCACGGGCAATCCAGAAGATCACATTGACAAAACTTCCAAATATCTCAAGGACTGCATGGCAGAAATAACTTATCTGCTACAGCAGCCTCCGACCGGGCCTGTCGACGCGTCAAATGGTTACGCAGGTCAACCAGGTCAGCAGCTGGGCGTTCCGGAGGAAATGCTATGGCCACGGCAATCGCAACGTGTACCTCGTCAACCAGCTACATACGCTTCTCAGCTCCCCCCGACTCACCTACCGCCCCCGCTGCCCAACAGCCTTCCACAAAGCTCTGCCCAGCTGGAGGAACAACGCAGTGGGCGTTATCCGGAATACTCGTCTCTTCCTCAAGCATCCATCGACAACCTGCAGCAAAATACGCAGCACGTTCCTGCTCCTTACGATGAGCCGGCCGAGACCATAACGCATACTTTCGACAATCGTGGTCGACCAATTGAACCAGAACCACAATTGCCTCAACGCACCGAGCGAGGGCAAGCTGAACCAGATGGTTGGACTTTTGATGAAGAAGTCTTGCCGAGCACGGATGGCTATGCCACAGAAGTTCCTACCACACGTAGACCCGATACTGATCTTTTCCCAAGCGCTGCCGGCAGCACCCAGCTACCTGCAAAATCACCACCTCGAAATGGCCCCCAGGCACACCGGAGAAAGAATTCAGGTTCGCAATCCATGGCGCGGCGACGGAGCTCACAGGGCAAATCAGAAGCTTACGACAGCGCTGATACTGCTTCGGGCGGAGATCCATCCCAATTCAAGGTCAAGTTTGCGCTACGTGGACATCTGGACGTGGTGCGAAGTGTCGTGTTTAGCGGAGGTGGCAGTCCAAGCGAGCCTGAGGTTTGCACTGCTAGTGATGATGGTACGGTCAAACGATGGATTGTGCCCGCAACATATCAGAACTACAACATTGGCAACAATAACTCTGATCTGGATATACAAGCTTACTTCACTCACCGCGGCCACGAGGGCATTGTGACTTGTTTAGCAACCTGTCCTGCTAGCACTGGCTTTAGCACCGGCGGTCGAGCAAACGGCGACGGCTGGATCTTTTCTGGTGGCCAAGACGCAACTGTTCGTGTATGGGAGCGTGGTCGTGTGGATCCCAAGGCTACTCTTGAAGGCCATACAGATGCCGTCTGGGCAGTCTGCGTACTGCCGGCATCTGTCGGTGTAGTGTTTGGCCAGCTCAGCGGAAACTTCGGCGGCCCCGATCGACTGCTGCTCGTGTCCGGATCTGCAGATGGTACAGTCAAGGTCTGGGCGGTCAGTGCTCCACCACAAACCTCATCGCCGGCAACAGGTAGCAGGCGAGGTGTTGGCGGGAGTCGCAGACATAGTGTCACGAGTGGCAGCAATTTCCCATCGAGCCCGCAACCGAGTGTGGCGAGTACGACACCATTCGGCTACACACTGATCCACTCGATCGAGCGACCTGCCAATCAAGGAGCCAGTCCGACCAGCATCTGCGCTCTCTCACCATCTGGCGAGACTTTCGTAGTGAGCTACACGGACTCTTCCGCCTTGGTTTATGATACACGAAGCGGCGAGGAAATTGTCGGCATGGCAAGCAATGAGACATATGATGGTACCATGGCCACCAGTATCAATGCCGTCGTTGCGACGAGCACCAATCTGGAGGGAACCGGACACAATGGTATCGACTCAGACGAAGTAGGCGGTGGGGCAACAGGCGGGCGCGACGGAGTCGAAGGCGTCATCATAACTGGTCACGAAGATCGCTTCGTACGATTTTTCGATGCTCACAGTGGTAAGTACACTGCCTGTTCTCAGTTGAACGCTTCGCGCACAATTCGCTGACTTCCAGTACAGGTCAATGCACGTACACAATGCTTGCCCACCCTTCAGCGATCTCCGCATTATCGTTATCGAAAGACGGCCGGGAAGCCGTCTCAGCTGGCCACGATGCCAGCATTCGTTTCTGGTCTCTCGAGAAGCGGATCTGCACCCAAGATATCGTTTCGCACCGCGCCATGCGCGGCGAGGGTGTATGCGATGTCTGCTGGAGCCAAGATGGCCGTCTTGTCGTCAGCGCTGGCGGCGACGGCGTCGTGAAAGTCTTTGTTCGATGAGCATGGGTCGAGGGCGCGCGCGATGACACCTAATTCACGGTTTGGCCGCCTTGATCGCATTGCAACGAACGGACGCACTTACCTCTTGTCATCACGGCATGTATAGAACCTGAAACGAACACCCCAACACCTGTAACCATATTTGCGCATGGGCATTTTTTCGGGATCGGCGCAGGATTTGCGAATTCACGAGTGGCGAGTGACGAGACATAGACTGCACCGCTGGGCGAAATTGTCGCTCCATGGCATGATCGATCGGCGCTTGTCTTCTCTGTATATCAAGAAACGATTTGTGGATGATGCTGAGGTACTATTTTTCTTACCATCGGCATTGTTCTTCAGCCTTCCGAAGTTTGTTCCGACTAATGTTCAGCTTTTCTACAAGTCTCTTCGGGGCGCCGCGAATTTCTAGGAATATGATACCACGTATTAATCTATCTACCGAGCCTGCCGTGCGATCATTGATGACCAGATTGCCTGTCTTTCCCCCAAATGCCGCACTGAAGCTAGACCTCACCCACAGCAGACACAATCCATGCCCAGGTGGACAAGCTTCACGGAGAGGACAAGCCAGCTCGGCCCGAAGGAGATCATTGAACGTTGATCAAGAAAACGAAGGAGAAGATCTGCGCAAAGGCATGTTTCAAAAGCGTCATATGAATGAGCTGATAATGGTTGTCTGAAATACATCCACCCCCGGGCACCTTCACAGCCTTCCGACACATACCTTTTCACGTGGAGATGATGATTGGAGTCACTTTCACGTGCATTCCAAGCGATTTCAGACAACAGCAGCTGGCTTGTCGACCCCATTCACTCTATCTAGCAGTCTTGTGAGCCTTTCGCGCATGTCAAGTCCTACGATTTCCATTCTTTCTTTCGAAACTCTGTTTCTCTCACCAACTCACTTTCAAAACCTTTACCAAGAGATCACAAAACGAGTCGACCAAACATGGCGTACGATTGGCAGGTCGTCAATAGCATCTTGAACGACAGCGAGAAGAATCGCTTTCTATGCTGCGTGATAAACAGCGATCAAGGCGCTTTCAACAGCATTGTGAACTGGGAGAAAGCTACGAGCGACTTCGGCTCCGCCAGTGTCGAAAGCATGAGGAAATGCCTCTCCAACACGCTCAAGAAGATCGAAAATGCGGGAGGCAAGATCGGCGTGTCTGCATCTGACGGCGCCGTCAATAAGACACCAGGAAGTTCGAGCACGGGGAAGAAGCGCAAGACTGCTGCTGAAGCGGATCCTGGAGGGAAAAGTGACAGTGGCACGCCGACTCCGAAAGCTAAGCGTGGACGACCGAAGAAGGAGCCTGCTGCTGAATCACGCAAAGGTATAATGCCACGAATCTTCGTATGCTAGGTCATCGATATATCATCCATGATACTGACATGCCCCTTTCAGACTCTATCGCAGACACGAGTGACAACATCAACGGTCTTCTGGCAGACGAGGGGTTTGTTAAGTCGGAGTACATTCTTGAGTGAAATGAAGCTCCAAGGGTCTCCACCGCGAGGATTTGGACACGATTGGATTGACAGATGAGGCAGACGTGCTTTGAGTGTGTCGTAAAACTTTGCGATCTGGCATGACACAAACAGCCGAAGATAGCCATTGGTCTATGGAAGCATTCCATCATGTATCTAGGTGGTGTGAATGGCCGGAATCAAAGCCTGGAAATGTGTCACATGCTAGCATGCATTCGTGATCTGCTTTTCACTTGACAGCCTATCTACGGGCGAGTTTGTTCAACCCTTCTCTACCGCTCCCCCATTGTTGCTTTTAATCCAGTACCACTTTTGTCGCCAACCAATTCTGCCCACAATATTTCCCATTCGCAAATCGCTTCATCAAAGCATCAAGGCTACCCCGAAACCATGTCGACCGAGACCAAGGAAGCGACCAACCTCTTCACGACCGCCGAAACCAAGTTCGTCCATGCAGTTCTCAGGAACATGGAGGGCGGCATCAAGGCATGTTCGTGACCAGCATTGGTCGCCTGCCAGCCTTCCTTGAACAGTACAGATTGCACCCAGGCTGACTATCTTTTCTATTCACAGTACAACAAGGAAGCTGTCGCCCAGGAGCTCGGTATGAAAGACGCCGGCAGTGTCGGAGCTCGATGGAATACAATCTTCCGCACCAAAATCGCAGCCGGAGCGGCGTCCTCACCGGGCTCTACCAAGGCGAACAGTAAGACCAAGACCATCGATGACAAAGACGAGCCGCAGACTCCCACGAAGAAGCGTGGTCGGAAGCCGAAAGCAACTCAAATCAGGAACGAAGACGATGATGAGGTGGCAGCTCGACCGTCCAAGAAAGCGCGGGCGGATTCTGTGGCTGATGCTGAGTTCGAGGGGGGGATCTTCAATGAGAATGCTGCATTGGTGAAGGAGGAGTACATCGAGTGAGCCGAGCTGTGAGATCTCATTCCAAACAGCTGTAGTCAGTAGCGTGCGAGCGATCAACAGACCTCCCTGTGTCTCGGATGACATGCCGAACCTTTGCTGTATTTGACAATCCACTGCAATCGCAAGAAATTGTTGAGCGTTGGAGTCTCATATCAAGCAATCTCATTGAACTTTTTCGTACTCACTTGGTGAATGTGATGTGGGAGAGCAACCTTCATACATCACGGGTTCCAGGCCCTTCATCTAAGGAGCTGATATATCGCTATCTAGGCCTGCCTCTGCCTTCATCATCCCCATCGTATTCAGGACAGCTGTCAAGCTTGGCCAAGTCCGTCTTCATAGGTCTATTACCACCGCCAGCCATGCTCGATCGCCGAGTCCGTGGGTGATCTGTGTAGCCTGACGGGTGGGATTGCTTGTGCATCTCAATCATCATCTCGAGAGGTTGTCTTATTGTCCTCGGCAGAGTGACATCCCACGGCCCGGCCTGTCTCCGTCGAGGTTCGCGTTCGATGGCGCAAGAGTCGGAGTAGTAGCTAGAGTGCTCATCATTTGAATCGTCCATGTGCAGCTGTGAGTCGCCGGGTTGAACACTTTCCGATTCACTGCTTGGACTCTCTACAGTGAGTCTGGGCGTGCTCGGCAGTGGCAATGGGTCTTTCAGGCTCACGTCATGATACTGATCATGCGTTGTGGTGTCTGCTCCTCGTTGACCATGCCTCTGAAGAGCCGCCTTCCGATCTGGTGCCTGTAATGCCTTGACATGGACCTTGCCGGCGATTGTATCCTGGACGATCGGCGCAATGTTCTGAACAAATTCCAGGAAAGGGATGGGCGCGTTTTTGTTCTGCTTTGTGACGTTGCTTTCCTCTAACCGGCATTTGGAGCGTTCTGCACTTTCGGGAAACGAAGTGGACATGGTCCCGGCTTAGTCGGACAGTACACACGTACTTGTTGGAACTGGGTAGTTTGGGCTTTACGACAAGAGTAGCAGTTCAGAGTGATCTGCCTTTCAGTATATGAGCAATCGTCAGGCAAATAAGCATCAATCAATATGTCAGCGTAGCAACAATCTTGGAAACTTGATGACAGCGTCTGGATTACAGTAAACGAAAGTACTCGGGCTCTGTGTTTTACCAGCTGCCACGTAGCAGCCGTATGCCCGGCAGTACCGGGGACTGGAGTGTAGCACTGCATCATCGATTACCTTTCTTGGTGACATCTCTATGGGCAGGTGTCATGTGGGATGAGTTCGAGCATCAACTCTTTGTTCTTGCGGCAGGTACTCAAGAAAGCAGGTGCTCGAGCTCCCTGCTGCCGACGTCCTTGAAAGTCAAAGTATGCAGGTGTCTATGGCGCCGGACATACAGCTGAGCATTCGACGCTGTCTGTTCCAGACTCTACGATTCTCTGTTCGCGTCGTGTCGGCTTGGAAAAGTCACTATTGTTGCCGTCGACGTTGCCATGGCCTGTTTGAGCCGTCGTTTGATCAGCTTCATCAGTTAGATGGCATACCTCCAGGCCAAATGTAAGAGCAAATTGTCTTGATCATGACGTGCAATGTGATAGGACGAAACGCGACCAGGGTGTTTCGGGAATTGCTCTGACCAGGCTTAGGGTTACTATCTCAATGGCGAGACTCTGTTCAAGTACATCGATCACTCAAACAGAGGAACAGGCAAGCTTAGCTCAGCAGTGTTCGACGAAAGCGATACCATGATCATTTCTCATTTATTCTTTTCGCAGATGGTAGTGTTATCCGTTTACAACCTTTACACATCTACTTCTCGTAGACCCAGTCGTGCTGGGCAGACTTCCAGCTCTGAACCTCAGCCTTGTCGAACCAGAGAGCAATCTCTTTCTGAGCGGACTCAACGGCGTCAGAGCCGTGGCAGACGTTGCGACCGACATCCTGATAAACATGTTAGCATGCTTGCTGTGCCAATGATGTTGCAGGAAACTGACAATGGCGTAGTCACCACGGATGGTGCCAGGGGCAGAGGCGAGCGGGTTGGTGGCGCCGAGGAGGACACGGCCGGTCTTGACGGCGTCACGACCCTCCCAGACCATGGCGCAGATGGGGCCGCTACCCATGTCTGCAGGTTGTCAGTATGATTCTTTAGACAATCATCGGTGTCCGCCATCACGTACAGGTCACGAGACCCTTGAAGAAAGGCTTCTCGGCGAGGTCGGAGTAGTGCTTCTCGAGGTGCTCCTTGGTGGCAGTGACGAGCTTGATGGCGACAAGCTTGTAGCTACGCGGTGTGTCAGACATGCCGTGATTCCACAAGGTTCAAGCTTCATACCCTCGCTTCTCGAATCGGCTGATGATGTCGCCGACGAGTCCACGCTGTGAAAAGAAAATGTCAATGCCGAGTTCGATCGATCGAATCGTTATTGAAATGACGAGATCCTTACCTGGACACCGTCAGGCTTGATGGCAATGAAGCTACATTATCATGCGAGTGTTAGCTAGTGGGTAGTCGAAAGATTGCGAGTAAACGTGTGTTGTTGACGCCATTAGCTTACGTTTGCTCGGAGGAAGACATTTTTTCGGATTGTTGAGGTTGGTTTTCTTGTTGATTTTCGAGGCGGGAGTTTGCAAGAAGAATTGATCTATCCTTGGGACCAAGTTTCTTAAATATGGGCGGTAAGTGCTCTTCAGCCGACATTATGCACCATCCGAATCTATCAATGGACTTTTTTATTTGTTGTCCGCTTGTTATGGCGGGGTCCAGGCGGTGGGGTCTCTTAAGCTTTCCATTGCGGCGAGTTGCAGGGTCTCGACGTCGTCAGGGTTCATTGACGTGCCACTCGTTCAGTTGGGCCAGAAGTCATTGTGTTCGCTCACAGAACTGTCTTCTGACATGAAAGTCGCAATGTACTCGATTAACAATGCCGACACTAGTCTTAATTCTTAGCCTCCATATTGCCAAGTATCATCGTTGTCTTTCGAAATACTGGTGAGCATATCGCAAGCTACTAGTGCATCTGAAGTATGATGTTTCGAGAGCGATTGACACTGCAGCCCTTCAGGGCTGGTACCTGAAAACGCATTCCCGGACACGACTTTTGTCTCCGAACGTCCAATGACCGAAGCAATAAAGGTCACTCGCACAACGTGTTGTCATTGGGTATCCTAAGTTGGACATTGGTTGCTGCTGTCAAGATCGAACGACAGTAGCAGCAGCAGCAATACAGGCCATGATCATGTCTTCCGGTTTCTGCTCTGCTAGGAACTGGCTGGGCTTTGTTTTCTTACTGCTCACAATATGCTCGTTATTATCACCGGCTGGTAAGCTCTCCTCCAACCTCCACACAGTCCACGATAGCTAAGCAGCTCGCCTCAGCGGCCGTAAAGCGAGAGAATTTCAAGACTTGCGACCAGTCTGGTTTCTGCAAGCGTAATCGAGCATATGCGGACACTGTCGCAGCATCGTCATCATGGACATCACCATACCGACTCGAGCGTGGAACAATCAAATTTGGCGATGGCATCTTGACTGGTGCCGTGTATAAAAAGCTGTCGGGTAGTGAGGAGAACATCAAACTTCCACTCACCATAACCTTCTATGAGTCTGGAACTGCTCGCGTCTCGATCGACGAGGAGAAACGGCAAAAGGGCCAAATTGAGCTCAGACATGACAGCAAGGCGCGCAAAGAGAGGTACAACGAGGCGGAGAAATGGGCGATTGTTGGTGGCACCTCGTTGAGTACGGGTGCAGCAATCAATAAAGAGTCGGCGAAGGGCACAACTCTGGTTGTTTACGGACCTGGAAGCAAATTCGAGGCCATCATCACCCACAATCCGTTCGGTATCGAGTTTAAGCGGGATGGAGAGACGCAAATCAAATTTAATGATCGTGGTCTTTTAAACGTCGAGCACTGGCGCCGCAAAGTTGACAAGCCGCCCGTCGAATCTAGCACATCGAGTAGCGAAGACTCAAGCGACGGCGGGAAAGCTAGTGAGACGCCCGCTGCGGCAGAAGCAGACAAAGATGCTGGTGAAGATGAGAGCACTTGGTGGGAAGAATCTTTCGGTGGAAACACTGATGGAAAGGCGCGAGGTCCGGAGGCCATGGCACTGGATATTGACTTTCCCGGATATGAGCATGTTTATGGTATCGCTGAGCACGCAGGGCCACTTTCACTGAAGGAAACTCGTGGCGGGCAAGACAAGTACTCGGACCCGTACAGGCTATACAACAGCGACGTTTTCGAGTATGAGATGGACAGTCCCATGACTCTCTATGGCGCGATTCCATTTATGCAGGCGCAGAAAAAGGACTCAACGGTCGGCGTCTTCTGGCTCAATGCTGCTGAGACCTGGATTGACATCACTAAAGCGACCTCCATTGTCAACCCGCTCAGCCTTGGTGTGTTGGGCAAGACGACGACACAGACACATTGGATAAGCGAGGCGGGTCTGTTGGACGTGTTCGTTTTCCTTGGACCCACCCCTCAGGATGTCATTGGCGCGTACGCCGACCTTACTGGATATACCGCTCTACCTCAACAATTCGCCATCGCATACCACCAATGTCGATGGAACTATGTGACTGATACGGACGTCAGGGACGTGGATCGCAAGTTCGACAAGCACCACATTCCTTACGATGTCATCTGGCTCGACATTGAATATACGGATGGCAAGAAGTATTTCACTTGGGACCCCCTGACCTTCGGTGACCCAGCGGGCATGTTGAAGCAGCTAGACGAGCATGGACGGAAGTTGGTTGCAATTATCGATCCTCACATCAAGAATGAGGGCGGGTACAATGTTGTCGACGAGATGAAGTCGAAGGATCTAGCTGTGAAGAACAAGGACGGCAGCATCTACGAAGGATGGTGCTGGCCAGGAAGCAGTCACTGGGTCGATTGCTTCAGCCCGGCAGCCAGAAAATGGTGGGCAAGCCTTTTCCAGTACGCCAAGTTCAAGGGCTCATCGACCAATTTGCATATCTGGAACGACATGAATGAGCCATCCGTGTTCAACGGACCGGAGACGACCATGCCGAAGGACAACTTGCACTACGGCAATTGGGAACACCGAGACGTCCACAACATTTACGGCCATTCCCTGATCAATGCGACCTACGAGGGATTGCTTGCTCGTGACAAGGCGGAGGAAAAGCGAAATGTGCGACCATTCATCCTGACGCGATCATTCTATTCAGGCTCGCAGAGATATGCGGCAATGTGGACCGGCGACAACCTTGCCGAATGGTCACATTTGGAGGCTTCCATCCCCATGACACTGAGCATGGGAATCAGCGGTTACCCATTTGCTGGTGCCGATGTTGGAGGCTTCTTCGGCAACCCTGACAAGGAGCTGCTCACGCGATGGTACCAAGCTGGCATCTTCTACCCATTCTTCCGTGCGCATGCTCACATTGATACTCGCCGCCGTGAGCCTTATCTGGCTGGCGAACCATACACAGAGATCATCGCCAAGGCCATCCGACTCCGTTACAGCTTGCTACCTGCGTGGTACACAGCTTTCCACGAGGCAAGCGTGACTGGCGCACCGATCATCCGACCCAACTATTACGTCTTCCCTGGCGATGAGAAGGGATTTGCGATCGACGACCAGCTCTACGTCGGCAACACTGGACTTCTTGCTAAGCCGGTCACTAAAGCGGACACGAAACACGCGACCATCTACCTCGCCGACAAGGAAAAATACTACGACTACTTTGACTTCTGGACTTACGAGGGTCCTGGCGAAGTCCATTTGAATGCGCCGCTGGACACGATCCCGCTGCTCATGCAAGGTGGACACATCATCCCTCGCCGCGACCGTCCCCGTCGCAGCTCAGGATTGATGAAATTCGATCCATTCACGCTGGTCATCGTGTTGGGACATGCCGGCGATGCCGAGGGAACGCTCTACCTCGATGACGGAGAGAGCTTCGACTACAACGAAGGCGGCTTCCTCCACCGAAAGTTCTCCTACAGATCTGCCACCGCATCGCTGACCAGCGAGGACTTGGGCTCTCCAGGAAAGAAGACCAAGGAATACCTCAAGCAGATGGAACGCGTGCGGGTCGAGAAGATCATCGTGGTCGGCGCGCCCGCCGCCTGGAAGAACCTCAAGGAGGTCGGCATCACCGAAGAAGAATCAAATGGCCAGAGCGCGGCGGGAGCTGTCCGGAATGCTCCCTTAGAGTTCCATGCTCCTGTGGAGGGTCGGGCTGCGTTTGCAGTTGTCCGCAATCCTGCGGTGCGCATCGGAGCGGGCTGGAAGATTAATTTTGCTTGAGAGAACATAAGATCTACATGTCTTTTCGTGTAAATCTCAATTGTAATATTCCTTGTCTAGCCGCTGTGATGAACACGTGGGCGATTATCTTCGTAGGTATCAAATGGAAGATGATGAGCACATGTCTATGGGGGAGATTGCGCGTGACAGAGGCCCTTGCCGTGTCAGCATGATAAATGCTTCATGCGAATATGTTTATCACATCCACATCTATAATTGGCATCAATTAAAGAATGTCTCTTTATGGCATGAACAAAAGCCCGTGCCGCATTTGGCGTCACGACAAATGCTGTGGCCCGAAGAAGAAACAAAAACGAGCCTGGACTCTCGCCAATCGTCTTTTCAGGGAGCGCTGACAAGTTTTCAACACCCAGACAGCAAAAGAATGAGTGTCTTCCCAGCGAGCCCAAATTCAGCCGATACTGGATTTTCCAGATTCGCCGACCTGCCGCCTGAACTGCGCGACGAGATCTGGCTCCATTGTCTTCCGCATCGCGTAGAAGAGTTCGATGTCGCTCAAGGCAAGGCTTTCTACCATAACCACAGGAATCCCGATCGTCTTCCGCTGTGTACTCTTAACGCTACGACATATCTGAATTTCAGACCCCCGTTAATTACCCAAGTATGCCGCGAAGCTCGAGACATCGCGTTCAAGACAGGCAGTTACGAGGAATACAAGCCCGTTCGGGCTCCGAAGGCCTATTGGGTAAAACCCAGAGACATTTCTCTCAGCGGAAAGATCTGGCGCTCGCGTTCGTCGCCAAAGCTGGTACATCTAAACTGGGACCGAAGCTACTCACTGCACGGCTATTACTCTGGCTACTCGGGGCAGACAGATCCGTTACGATGCCTGGAACGTACCGTATTGATGCGTAGCAGCCGTGGTTCGATGATGAAGAATTACTTATCAACATCGATCGGCCGGGATCGCCTCGAGGTATTCGATCAGCATCAACAATGGCTGGTCGTTATGCACCTCGTAGTGATACACGCACCAATCCGGATCGTCGCAGAATCGGGACTGTTCGGTCTACTTGGCGACGCCCCTATCCAAATAGTCGAAGTCGCTAACGTCGACGAAATTGAGGCGATGTACAAGTTCGCCGAGCAGTGCTATGAGCGCACACGGGAGCCATGCAAGAAGAGCGAGTTTCGGCGCTCAGGAGCTGCGCTTGAAAAATACCTAAACCATCTGCTGACCCCTGCTTACGGTCCTGATCGTGTCCCGAGTTATGCCACCAGCATCCGCGCAGCCGTCATGTTCCGCGTGTGTCGCCAGAATTGTTCGCCTCCAGACCCACCGCCTATGGAGTCGGGCCCTGTTGGAGATCGTACCAGGGCGTAGTTCTCTACAGGACAATCAGGATCTTGAGACTTTGAATACCGCGGCCAACACGATCGGCTCTTCGCTGCAGGCTCCCCAAGAGCCATTCATTGCCACGTCTCTTTACGCTCATCATCGGAAAGGTCAGATCAGGTCGCCAACGAGACACTCCAACATCTCGACTTCCACGAGACCACTGCCTTCTTGCTCGTTAACCACCCAAGACCACTTTGGTAATCGAATCCACCTTCGACGACAGGGCCTTCAAAGAAAGTAATGCCATGGTGAGCTCGGTCGAAACATTATGAAGCCCGGTTGGAGTGGATAGCAACACTCGTGAACGTCCGTGCAAGGCAGAGATCCACATGCATGGGCAATTCAGTACAGCATGTACTCTTTCCTACAAGTCATACTTTGCTCCTTGTTGGTGAGCCATTTCTTCAACCCGAGGATATTCATCTACGATTATTGGAAGGCACGATAAGTGGACATAATCGACATGCTACTTTGGACGTCCTTGAACAAAGAACCTGAATATCCTGCAATTCGTGCTCATATACATGCACAATTTTCATCTGCCTGCAAAACCCAGCCCTCCCCAACTTCAGAAGTACAGGGAACGAAAGCCAAGCCCACCGTCCAACCAGCATCTAGCACCCACCGCCGAGCCTGTAATAGCCGCCATTTCCAGGGTGAAAGCCAAAGGCCGTAAGCTCACTGCAGGTCAAGTCCTCCTCGACGAGGAAGTAATGGCAGTTATCTGGATTATCGCCCGCGGAGTCACCGGGAGGGTATTCGGTGAGGCTGACCCGGGTGGGACCATTGTGGCATGCGAAGTAGGTCCCGCCGTTCTGGAAGATGCCGTCGTTGTTGGCGTCGTAGTCCAGGGATCCGCTGCGGGTCTTGCAGTCCTGGTCGGAGAAGAAGGTGCAGTACAAGTCGGCATTGACGTAGCTGGCTACAAGGACGGCGGCAAGGACCATGGAGCGGAGCATTTTGAAAAGTTTGGATTTTGGGGCTTTTTGGGTGTGATGCTGGATGTGAAATTGTTATAAATTGTGGATAGGAAGCAATTCTGTTGGTAGCGACGGCGTCGATCTTTTATGGTTTCTTGGTCCATCTCACTTACCTACTACGGTTGGGAACTTCAAGACGAATCGCCCATCAAGTGGACTTGAGGATGACGGTAAATGATTCTCCGGCCGATAACATTAAAGGACAGGCGCCTGTCCTTTCATCTTGTGATCGACCGGGAACTCATTCAATAGCGCGTTTCAGCCGAGCGAACTCAGGATATTGGAAGTCCTGTGAGCAAACTCATCACTAACACTGACTTCGAGACGTATGATCTCCGTCTTTAGATCGACCCGTAAGGCAGCAACTAAGCATACCGTCATAACCGTACAAGCCTGATTTCGACTAGATCAAGACTGAGATGTCCTTCGTACGTGGATAATGTCCCCCGCGCAGAGGACAGCAAGCACACTCTCCCCGAAACAAGGTATCTCGGCATATGTGACGTGATCAGAGGAACACGGTACACATATCTGTCCTTCTTCCAGGAAAGCCGAGTATTAAGCTGTGCGCCGCGATGTTTTGAAAAATACGGATGGTCGTTGGATTGGGCACAAGTTCACAATGGATGGCACTGATGGTCTATGGATTTGCTGCGCAAACAAGACTTAGGCGAATGGCTATTGCGCAAAATCTCTTCTCATTCCAGCACGCATTTGGATCTCCTTTCGAGGCCTGCTCCAAGGCGAGCCCGTGGAAAAACGCAACGGCGCCCGGCTCGGACCTGGTGGGAGGCAGTGCGTCTCGGTGATGAAGCCCTTGAATGGCAGTATTCTTTCAGCCGATTGGGGAAGAATTTCGCAATCTACGAGCGTTCATGCTGTAGGAATCGTCAATCAGAAAATATGTCGCGTTCTTCAGAACAGAACTTGAGTTTCTGAGCAAAACTTTTCGATTCTCGACGTCTGCGCCTCCTCTCTTGCGAGCGAGCCGAGGTCCGGGAAAGGAGGCGTGTAGTTGGGAGCCAGACAGGCACAATGTAGTTTCATGAAAGAAGATTCTCCGTGGACGTCCTGCAGTGCGAATTTGACGTCTCTTTTGGGGCGCATGGGTCGACGCGGTATCGAGAATTGCACCAGGACGACATTGTTTGATCGTTAGATCGGGAGGTGGGCATCATCAGGGTACAGCAGCTCTCGTCGAATACCTCGAGCGATAATGCCGTCGGGGCGTGTGGCCGTGATCTCAAAGGATAAAAGCTGCCGGGTCGAAAGGCGATTGCTTCCCCAATCGACCTTCCCGATCTCGAATACTCCTTGCTTCCACCCCATCCGGCGAATTACCAGGAGCGATGAAATAGAGACAGACATGCTTGCGAATGCGAGGCTGAGATTAGATTTGCAACACTCGGGGGCCTTCCCCGGCCATGCTTGGGCTTGCTCCTCGCCTTTGTGAACATCAACATATCGACGTCTGCGACAATCGAGAGATTATGTAAGCACATAGATATGGGCACGCTCTTCAATGATTCCTGTTTCCTCCTCTTGCGTCAGATTGAAACTTGAACGATTTTTCCTGAAGCGTTTATCGTACATATCGACCTCGTGGGTCCCATCCCTGTCGTTCAAGGCCCAAGTACTCTTTCCCTCGTCTCCACCGATGCAGGCGAGATTTGTCATTTAGTTGCGCCCGCGCGGGGCGCTACCAACACGCCGCGGCGCAAATCCCGATCGGGTACGTCAAATTTATGCATGGCTAGGTACCTAGCTAGGCGGTAAACCATGCCGGTAGAGAAGAATTGTGGAAGCTGTCTTCGAAGGATTTTTCGCTTGTGTGTGTGACTATGTATACGACCTTGAATGTGTCGCTTCTGGTATGGTATATGGTGAGTGATCGTTAGTCTTTTAGATTACGACGATGGTCCGGGTGATTCTCTCTTAGGCGGAACCAGATTTCTGATGCGAAGATGATGTGAAATGCGTCACGCGCTAACGAATAGACCCGACGAGGGTTCTGAAATAGATCACATTTGTTGTATGTTGGAACTCCACGTGGTCGAGGACCACATTCTCGCGTATTCCGACGCTACGCCAAGTCAAGTTGGATTGGGATGTCTGTGGGATTCGGATCATGTTGAATCACCCATGCCGGTGTCTTTGTGTGATGAAGTTGACATCACGGCCTGGATGCCCTGCAAAATTATGCCCGTGATGAAAAATGATGACAACCTCGGAATGAAGTCCTGAATGCATGGCGTCGGGCCGACGCCCCGCCGTCGATTTGGAATTGCCGCGCACGCGCGCGCATTCCGTTCCACCAATCTGATCTCCAAGCACATGGGCATGATACAGTAATAGTGATACTACCCTCACTCTGCTACACCCACCCGCCAGTACATGTACACTTTGCATATCTAAAGTATTTGCCGGCTGTAAGACCACACCTCGGGGCTGCCCATACCTCCCAGGACCATTGCGAGATGCATTGTCCGAATCGGGAACTGGCATGACTCGCATGCACTCTGCGTGTGCATTTGATTTGCAATGTGCATATTTCCATGACGGCCATATCGATCTCTTCAGGGCACTCCGCCGAAGAGAAGGTCGCAGGGTGGTGATTTACTGAATGGCGGTCAAAGTTTTATGCAAATGATCGGAATTGATCGCAACAACGGATTGCTAGCTACTTGGGTAGGTAAGATATGATTGCATTATGACAACATGTCAAATTTACTTTCCAAGGGATGTCGAACTACTGGATGCTATTTGCGCATCTATCGAGTTTACTCCGATCCAAGGTTGGGGAGAGAATTTGGATTTGTCAAGCGCGGCCGGGGATCTGGTGTGTTTGCTGCAGGCGGAAGGTGGACACGACGTGAGACTTTTTGCTTCCCGGGCCGTTGGACGGGCGCATCGCATGATGATAATCAATTCACCTGCATGCATCAATCATCAGTCTAGATCCTCTGGCCTGCTTTTCTCTTCCAGATCGCGTATGCACGCCTGCATCATCCAGACAAATCATTTCCTTTTCAAGTTATGCACAAAAGGCTACTGGAGCTACGTTCCGATACTCCGCCATGGAGAAACACCTTGTGATGCATTTCCAGCTGGGGAAAGCCCACATCGTGACCTCGTCCGCGTGTTCTCCAAGATCCGCAGCGCGATACCTATCCCTGTCTCGACCACATATACCGAAGAACAAAATGGCTCGAACGTGTTTCGACCGATATCTGCCGTATATTTGACGACAATTTCAGATGCCATCGGTCGGTGATGAGGTGATGCTCAAGTCGAGAATACAAATAATTGTACCACCGGAGGACAATTCAAATAATAAAACGCCTTTTTCCTGTCTTTGCGCGATCGGTGGACTGCGCGCAAAGTTTGTGGGGCCGTTCGTGCGTCCATCGTCGGTACGATCTCCCGCTGCAGCGTCCTGTCCAGGGAAAAGCTCGCAACACAGGGCTTATTATATCACGATGCTCTGGCATCGTGATAACCCATCGCCATCACCACGATCGTGTAGAGGAGTGACAAGCAAGCAGTCTGACATGCATGAGATCAATCTCCGACCGTGGTACGGAATCTTCCAGTTATCGTCGTTAGATGCAGGCCAGGGACTTTTCGGACGTGCCTGTGTTGCAATTTGGTGTATTGACGGTAATCCCTCCGCTGGCCTCTATGACAATTAATTCTTTCCACCATAGGCCAAGGCGTGCAACTCGTTTCAAATCTCACCGCCAGCCATGTTTAATTTCACGATACCTTCCAACCCTTATCTGAGTGTAGATAATCGTACAGATCACATATCAAGTCACCATCTGCCCTTCCCTCGCTATTCCTCCGAAGTGTGATCTCGACCAACCTTTTGCTGCTGCAAACTCGCCATCTCTACCCTCGTCAACCGATATCCTTCTCTGCGACACTTGATTTAAATTTCGCGAACAAAGACCGCCAACAAAATTAGTATCATAAGATCGACGAACATTAAATCGAGTAGAGGAAAATAAAACTTGTCCTTCAACGATATCGACCAACAATGTCATCATCGTCCTCGACCACTTCATCAATGGCCAGCCAAACACGACAACAACAACAACACCGCTACCTAGGCGCAGACAAGGCTCAAGATATCCAACAATGGTCCGCAAATGTCCCTTCCAAACTCTCCGATCCTGATGTCGAGTACCAATCCGCCGCGACTCAAGCCTATCGTCAGGCATATATGGAACTCCTCCTCAGCACCATGGATGCGAAAAAGAAACGATGAGCGAATGATCATCCGTCATTCAACATCATAGCCTCTCTCCATCAAGTAGTCCATTGCGACGAAGACGACCGGAACACTCTCCGGTCCTCTATATATGACCGTCCTAGCTGATCGCCCAAGACTGCATTGACAGACCGCGTTGCTCTCGACTCATTCGATCGTCTATCAGGCATCACCCCTGAACCTCACAAGTTCCCAGGTCGCACATACTCAACAGCAGATTGATATATCTACCAACTCGCAATCGCCTTCGAATAAGCATCCTACGCGACCCCATCCATCGAGCGACACCAAAAGAGTCCACTCCAAGGGAATGGTGCCACTCCAGCGACACAGCATCGATGAATCCTCATGATCTTGCCCTGTCATCCCAATCATTATAATACCACAATTCTCCAACATCACTACTCTCCTTTACGGCCCATCTCACACCCTCCAGCAAGTATACGCAACAGCACCACAGGCCATTAGGGAGAAATCCGAATTGACATGGAAGCAAGCCGTCCGTTCGCCCGATTAATGACAACCTGCGCATACGAACAACGATGTTGCCGGTAAGATGCACTACGGCTTGCGCATATCGGTCGTCGTAATCTGGAGAGTAGTCGACGTATTCCTCGTCCGACAGAGCTGAGCCGTTCCCTGCATCACACATCGCGGATTCCGAGATGAAGCCACCATCCAGAAATCGGGTAATCACCAGCCTGGTTTCCATGTTTGCAAACAGAGGCCACAGCTCATCACTTCGATGGCTCTCCACGGCAAGCAGCCAAGTTCATCTGCGAATAGCAACGTGCAAGAAGTTCTTCAAAGAGGCAGGGTCATATTTGCAATTACCACGTTACTTGAGAAACGAATAGGTAAAAGATACGATAATGAGAAAAAAAAGATAACCTTAAAACATCCGTCTCGTCTTTCCGTGAATCATCGCAGGAACGAAACCGCCTCGCACCAGTTAAACCAGGCATTATCTCTTGTATCACCCATCAACATCCATCATCTCCGAGTCCTCCTCATCATCATCCTCATCCTGCCGAGCGGACAATAACTGAATCCTCGTCCCTTCCGCATCGGGCACAATCGCCGTAGTGGTAAACCCAATCGTCGTGTCGCGCATTTCCCGCTGTAATTGCGCCGTCACATCATTCTCATCGTCATCATCTTCTTCCTCCTCTTCCTCCTCGTCGTCATCCTCGGCCTTGACTCCAGCGGCGGAAACACCACCTTTCGTCTCCCCGGTCGTCGAACCACCAGCGCTACCATCCTCGACATCCTCATCACCATCCACCTCCGTTGCCTCACCAGCGGCACCACCACCGCCACGTTCCAGCGTCATGACATCATGCACAAGCTTCATCAGATTCTCGCGTAATTTCGCGAGGATATTCTCGCCGGTTTTATCCGTCGCGACGCCCGAATCGATGGCCTCGATGAGCAATTCCAGGATGGTCTTGAGTAATTCGGCGTCGCAGGTGCCCGCGGGGAGGTACAATTTGCCCAGCATGTTCAGCAGCGCCTTGCGTTCGTCGCGGTTGAGTTGCGAGGTCACGAGGCGTTCGAGGACGGATTCCGCGAGGATGAAATGCGTGCTTGCCACAGCAGGGGTGGTGCCCGAAGAGGGAGTGGCGTGGTTGTCGACGCTGGGAACGGGTTCGGTATACCCGACGATTTTGCGCGGATCGGTCCAGTCCAGGAGCATGTTCGCCACCTGGGAGATGCTGACCATGGCTTCGGCGGAGGCGCCGGCGTCGGCGTCGTCGTCTTCGAGGCGAGCGTCGCGGAGGGTGGTCAGGCGGGCGATGACGGCGCAGGAGATGGTCGCCATGCGGGCGGCGTTGTCGGCGCGGGAGTGGCAGTAGACGGGGAGGAAGTAGGAGAGAGATTGGCGGAGTTGCGGGTTGGAGACGCTGTCTGGGTCGAAGAAGGTGATGACCAGTTGCTTCAGCAGGTCGGTGTCCGTGATCAATCGGCTTAACATTGCTTTGGCGAGACCGGCGGCGCCGATGGCTTGCACAATCGGATCGCCGGATTTGAGCGATTTGCTGAAGGCTTTGAGAACGAGTTTGGAGGTTTCGTTGATCTCGGTTTGGTCGGAGGTGATGGCGCTGGTATCAGGGGCGTCGAGGTATAGGGATGGGTGAGCGATGAGCACGTCGGTGATGCATTGAAGCGCGATCACCTGGAGAGTGCCATGTCCTCGTGTGAAGCAGTGTAGGAACAAATTCATGTTCTCCGAAGCAAGTTTCTGGTGCGTGTTAGCATGAGATGTTGAAAGATGCTGACGGTTGGGCAGACTTACCTTGCTCACTAGACAGCACAATCCCAAACAGAACAATCCTCGCTCTCGAATAGGAGCCTCTTGACTCCTCACAGCTGGAACAATTAGACTGTTCAGCGTCATGACCAAATGCTCATACTGATGTACGTCACATTGGATGTTCTGCAACAGGCACAGCGCAATGTGCAAACACTTCAGGTTGACCATCAACTCCCGGATAGCCTGTTCTGTATCTGATTCTTTGCTGGACTCGACCGTCTTGCCGGCACGTTGGAGTCGTTTCTTAGCCAACATCAGCGTCTCATCTCCCGCACCATCGAACTGCGATGTCGCCGAGTGGAACGAGCCTTCTATGCTGCTATCGTCGAGTGCTGGATCATCGTCCTCGCCCATGATAGTATCATGAACTTCGGCAATGGCCTCCACCACCAACCGACAGAATTCCCGCTCGCCGTTGCTGTCCTCTCCACAAACGCGTCGGAGATTCTCAACCACGAGCCTGGTAGTCTCCTCGGGCAGATCTGGCATTGCGAGTGCGTCCCGCATGAGGATGTCCATTTTACGGCGTCCCACTTCATCGCTGTAATCGAAAGTGAGGGCCATGTGAAGCATCTGCTCTACCACAAATTCCCGCGCCGCGAGCTCCTCCTCACTTTCTTCGCTCTCTTCCATTGCAGCGGCTCTTGCTGCCTCCATGAGGCGGTTGAGTTCTCGTTGAAGTAAGAATCCAAATTTGGTGACCTCAGGTAGCTTCTCCTCCGCAAGGATGTCGAGTGAACGGGATCCGACGTAGCGGTCTTCCTTGTGATTACTCCGACAGAAATCGTTGAATGTGCGTGCCACGAAAGCCACCTCTGGTGTCAAGTCGCCCCAGAACTCGTCAGGAAATGAGACGTAGTCGACATAATCAGGTCGTCCCTCCCAAAATTCCTGCATCGCAAGCAAAGCAATTCCTCCTTCCCCTCCAGTGTTGACAACATCTATTCGCTCCAACAATTCTGACAAAGCATTCATGGAAGGAGCATTGGCCATGTTAGGATCCTTCGGTTCGGCATCTTCAGGGTCGCCTGCTTTGCGATTTGCAGGACGAGCAGCGCAGTCCTCAATCCATCTTTCTCGGAATATCCGTGCCATAGCCTTTCGAACATTCTCGTCACGATCTCGTAGACCCCATCGAAGCAACTTATCTCGGAAAGTCAAACTGAAACTTCGAAAGTCGCCCATCGCTGGTAGAAGTCTGGCGAAGAGAGCTTTTCTGGTCGTCACGTCGGCGTCCCGCGCCCGTTCGAACAAATATGGCAACAGCTCTTTCGTGAGCGGCAGGTTTAGAAGAAGATTGCGACGAACTTCGGCCGAGGGATCATGTTGGAGGACTAAGATGAGCTTCTCAAGGATACCAGATCCTGCGTCTTCATCCGAATCGGAATTATCGTCTTCGTCGTCGTTCTCGGGGTCTGCTGCAAAACGTGTCAAGCCGTAAATTGCATGCATGCGAACTTGAGCTTCTTTGTCGTGGATGCGCTTGAGGAGAGCAAGTTTGAGTTGGTGAAAGAGGCTGAGGTCCAATGTACTCAACGTATTGATCAGATGACTCGTCATCTGCGTGGCTCGGAAGCGCACGACTTTGTCCTTGGCCATCATCAACGGGATCATTGTGCTGAGCACGGCTGTGACCAGTCGCGAGCTAGGTGTTTCCGGCGCTTCTTCTTCATCCTGGAAGATCGCATTGTCCTTGGCACTCGCAGTCTCTAGGAATGCGCCCAAAAATCTCACGATTCGATCACCGACCGCCTCCGACTTCTTGATGGGCAACGCACGGAAGACGCATCGCAAAACCTCATTATTGAATTCATCCTCGTCAAAATCCTGATCTTGCTTTCCCTTTTTGCTGCTCGTCGGCTCGTAGCAACATGCCTCCTGAATCTTTCGTAGACTGATGATAGCCTTGCGATGTGCTGCAGTGGACTTTTGTGCGTCGGCGAACACTACGCAGATGGCGCGTCGCAAAGTCGTGTCGGGACCCTCATCAGGGACCTCTGCGGTTGATGCTGCCGTGGTCTTGCCTGCCGCCGCGCGCCCCCGTGGGGCTCGGGTACCAGCAGCCACTCGTCCAGGCATCACTTGTATCAAAGAGATTGGCGGAGATTTATTTGACGTTTAGGTGAGATTCGCATCGAATGTGTGTGTGAGTTCGTCACTAAATGCTCGGTGGTTACTCCACTATTTGCAGGTGTAAACAAACGCGGAACTCTAGCCGCGGGGCTTGCGTTCGTCGGCTCTTAAACCCTGTGGACCCTGACAGCATTAATCAGGCTGCTCTCAACCTTTGACATCCAAGCATTGCTGGCATCATCACACCTCGCCCAGTGCTCTTGGAAAATATCAAAAATGACCAAGGTGAGCATCGATTGAACGTTGCGCGAGCATATGAGCATGCCCTTGCCGCCGTCAATCACTCCTACTGGACTGTGACAGTCACTTCCCACTTGACACAATCGATCGCCTAGAAACCTCACTCCCCATCACCGTGAGACCGTGCGGCACAAGAGCATACAGTATCATTGAGTATATAGGGTCTCTATCAACGTCGAATATATATCTTTCATCGCTCGAAGTCACCAATCGTCACAAAGCATCTCGAACGCTACTGTTGGAACCTTGCGCTCATGGAGTAGGCCCACCTTTAGAGGCCTCATACTGCGTTTGGTCCCCTGAAGTCGCAACCGAGTCGACCTATCGAGAGCTGGCTATGCGATCTCCCTAGCCTAAGTACTCGATTGGTCGAGCCTGCGCGGTGGTAGACTACCGGGAAATAAATGGCAGATGTCTATTGTCATTCCCTTAACGGTGCCATTCTGATCTATATGACATTCGCGATTGTCAGTCTTCAAACGATAAGTCGCTTTGATATAGATGATGAGAGGCAAGAAGGAATCGCCGTTTTCACATGTGCACAGCCGTAGTAAAGGATTAGAAGGTCGTCCAAGAGACACAGGCATGTAATAATGATTCGCAGGCGAGCCATACTAACGGGAAGAATGTGCGGTATGTGGGGCACAATCAGGAAAAGATATCAATTAAAAACTTCGACATCAGTGTATGGGTAACAACTCCTCAAACTCCGCCCACACCAACGCCAACGCTTTCTCCTCGACGGTAGCTGAACAACAAGCTCTGGCTTTTGCACAATTCTGGTGATGACAGCAGGAGGAGCAAAACAACAACAACAACAACAACAACAACAACAACAACAAAGGGTCGACCAATAAAGGTGACTGATGTTTACTCGTTGATGCGATGCTGCCAGACCTCCTGCTCAGCACGAGCAGAATAAGTGCTAGCGGAGAGAATCGCGCGCATCTGCTCGACGCCGGTGAACATAATCTGGCGGGCGACGAACCAGCGGATGCCCTCAGTACACGGCGGGCTGGTGAGACTACCCTGGTAAGTCCAGAACTCGTTGAAGTGTTGAACGGCGTCGAGAGCGAGGCCCAGATCGAGGCTGATGTTCCGACGCATGCTGGTCTCGCGGAAGCCGATCATACTGGGGAGCTGATCGAAGAAGGTCGCGTTCCGGTTGCCCGGATCGAGGCGGAAGGCCAGCACGGCGCGCTCGATGCCGCGGTTGTCGTAGTGGACAAAGTGTAGCTCAGCCTTGCTGCGGTCGCCGCCGACGGAGTGGTCGGCGGGTGCGTGGATGTGCCAGCCGCCGAGGTAGAGGGTTTGGTTGTCATAGGTGAAGCTGGGGTGCTTGGTCCAGTCGCCGTCGTGGGCGACGGTGAAGGCTGGACCGTAGTTCCAGTTGTAGAAGGAGCCTTGGTAGGAGCCGGAATAGTTGAAGCGCGGGATGTGGCTGAGAGAGAGGCCGTTACTGAGCGAGAGGGCGATGGGGGATTGCTGGGTGCCGGACTGGCAGAGGTCATAGGCTGGATTCACGCGACCCCAGTTGTAGGAGGCCTCGTAGGCCCAATCCCGGACGGGAGCGGTCTTGTTGACGGCATTATTATTGGCAGTGTTGTTGGTCTCGCGTTTGTAGTGGGGTGCATGCTCCCAGTTATTGTGCTGCGGGCAAGCCAGGATCGCAGGCACAATCATCGCCGCGGCGACGATGAAAGACTTGGCGAACATCGCGAGAACGATTGATGGTATCGAAAAGATAAGCAGTGGTTCTGCGAGAGGGTCGCGAGTGTTGGTTGTTTGGTGGAGGCTGCTTGTGGCTATTATGTGTCGGAGAGTCGATGACGATTATGGCGATAGTGATGGCGGGAATATCTTGGATCGGGGAGGTCGAGGAAGGATGTTTTATATAATTCCGTTTGAGCTCACTAAATCTTCGTCCGAGTTCAGATCTCCCATAGCGCTCAGGTATTTAGATCCGAAAGCTTGCCTAGTCAATTTCTGATTGCAAATGCAAATAAACGTGTCGACCACGTTGCCGGTCTATCGACATCTGGACTGCGTCTTGTCCTATACGAAAGCAGGTGCCAAGGTGAAGGCGTCGTTGTGGTAGAGCACGGGCGGTGCATCGCCGCCGAGTTGTCGACATGAAGCCCGAGTGATAGTCAATGATACAAGTCAAGAGTATGTGTCGTCGAGCTACGATTCAAGGCTAGATTCCAGAAGGCTGCTGCCAAGTCTGCTGAGCCTGCTATCTGACCAACACGCATAGTGAACAGTCCGAATCGTGGATCACTTGGCAGACAGGCGCGTCGCATTGGCAGAGGCTATGCTCGGTCGTAAAGGTAAGAAAGGGCACCACTCCGGCGACGACCATCTCGTCGATTTTTCGATGGGCATTATCAACCTTGGCAATGTTTAGCATCTCTTGGACAATCAGGGACTCGGCCAACAACTGGGACTCGACACTAGATTGCCCAGGTGGACATTGTCGTGAATGTTGGAAGGAGTGCGGCGGCAATGTCACGTGCGGACTAGCCAACGCCGCCTACTGTTTGTCCACCTGGGCATGAAGATTCCATCCATTACCCCAGGATGTGGAGATAGGAAGGGCACCTGCATCATTTAATTATTCCCGAACACTCGCCCCCGGGTCTCTGGACCTTCTTGTTGGAAGCCTCGCCTATGCACTGCGACCGGGCAGGATTGCGCGCTGAGAAACTCACCGGCAATAGTAATCGGAAACATCATGATACCATGATTGTGGATCGCGAATGATGCGCCGTTATATGCGCGTTGCGGCAGCAAAGGACTTGCCGTGCAGGTTTGTCGGTCGTTGTTGATGAGTCACCATAGATGGCTCTGTCATGAGAGTGACTGTGATCACCAGAGATGTCCTCTCATAACATGCGTGTGGATAGGCATTTCAACTTCGAACAGCGGCAGGATAATGGATTTTCATTTTGGTCCGCCGTCATCTCAGAGACCGTCAAAACCTGCTACCTAGGCCTCAAACAAGCATCATGAGCAACCATGAATCCCTCTCCGAACCAATCGTCTCTTCCAACCATGGAGGAACGCAAAGAAATGTTCAAGTTCAGCCGCGGAGATTTCTTGGGCGCTATTCGTGGCGAAAAGGTACCGCAGGCCTTGGGTGCGGGCGTCATTGAGACTTGTCTGGTTCGAGGCATACGGCATCAGACCTCAATCGCTCTCACCGAGCAATATGCCAAGGAGCTCCATCGAGCCGACCCTATGTACATGCGCGCTGTCAATGCTCGAAGGATCATGAGTAATCGTATCGATTTGTTGCCACCAAGCTTCGCCTCCGACGAGATACCCTATTGTATCTGGTATCCTGATCTCGCGGAAGAGTCGACATACCGAGCATTGGCCGTTCGATACCCAGAGTTGAGATATCAAGTCGCTCGAGCTTGCGCAGTAGCTCATTATAACGATCTATATCGCGAACTGGACATTTTGCCTGAAGTCCATGTTGGAGAGGAGGCCCGAGAAAGTGGTAACACTGCAATCTGAGGGGCCATCATGGCAGCTGACACCCAATACGACATCATGGATGATTACTCACGAACCACAAAGGACGGTCCGCCGAAAGTGGGCTATCTGAATGATGATACCGCTGTTCGGCGCTTGCTAGATCATCATGTGAAAGTCGTCATAAACTGGCGAGAATTCGATGCTTGCATTGACGAGGATTCAGCGTCGTGTTACGTTCTTTGGGAGATGAGTTCGGTCGGGTGAGGAACCTTCGATATCACCGAGGATGCAGGAGTTGCCGAAGAGGGAACAGAATGGGAACCTCGTGATGTGCCCGAGCTGGCGACGCTGCTCTCGGAGCCTCTCCCGAAACACTTGCCGATCATCGAAAAGGACCTCCTCATCCAGATGGCGGCTTATCACGGGAATGTCGAGCGATACTCCCGCCTTCGCCGCCCTCGGAAAATCAGGGGTGAAACCGCGTGCCTGCTGCATGGGATCCTCCACCACGCCCAATTTGCTCGTTGGGTCGTCAAGCAACCCGATTTGTATGAAGGCGGACATGTGCCTCCCGCATGTCACGCCCGGCTCATTATGAAAAACATCCTCTCCTCAGTCAACACTCCCACCATCCGTCAGGACGAGTTACCGTATCAGATCTGGTATCCGGATCTCGCCGCAGAATCCACATACCGGGCATTGTACGACCTTCACCCGTGCATGGCATCTCAGATCCTCCGAGCGTGCATCGTCGGCCAGTATTATCCACTCTTCGAACATGTGCTATCTCGGACCTCCCCGGACGAAGCGGTCTTATACGAAGCCAAGCGCCACTTCGATCTCTATTTCCACGCACGAGTCGCCCAGCGCATCGCCGATGTCGGCGGCGAAGTCGTCCGAGTCGCGAATTGGAAGAGATCGCCGCCGCGGCTGTGGAAGGTCAACGATGCGTGGGTACCACACCGGATGGAGCGGGAGATCGGTACGGGATGGGACGCCTGTAATTCAAGTATGCACTGCACCACCCGCGACCTCGACTTCATGACCTGCGTGCCGGAAGAGTGGAAGCGCAACATGGACGGGGGCCAGGATGCGGACTTGCACATCGATTACGTCAATTGGCCTCCCGGATGGACGGCGATGACCACCACGCCCCGAACGCAGTAGGATGTGGCGAGATTGCGTCGGTCAGTGTGCTTCCTCACCGCTCGCGACAAGTCGCAAACCCTAGCCCCCATCACGGATGCTGAAATTGCTTCGAGGACGACAATCATATCTCATATACGCCGACTGCGCCTGTCATTTCTCCGTCTCGTCTATATATATGTGTGTAGCTCCCGATATCATAAAATCTCTCCTCAACAACACTATCAAACATCCTGCCCTCTCGCCCCTTCGTCAAAATCTAACAGTCCTTACTCCAGAACAGCCTCGCGTAAGTAGGGAGCGTATCGAAACTGGTGTATCCGCCCCCGGTGCTGTTCAGCACATTGATCCAATCCGTCGTGTTGCCCGGGAGGTACGCCGCGGCGGCGGCGGCGAAGTAGCTCGTGACGTAGACGTCGACGAGGGTGCTGTCGGAGATGTTGGAGACGCTGACGTTGGCGGCCACGTAGCGCGGGGTGGGGTAGTAGCCCTGGTCGTAGTGGAGGGTGTTGTCGCCGTCGGAGCCGAAGTCGTCCTTGGTGGCGTAGCCCGCGGTGGTGTAGAGGCCGGTGGTGTTGTCGTAGGTCGTGGCGGGGACGCTGCTGGTCTGGCGTTTGCGGTAGCGGGCGTCGGTCTGCATGTTGGCCAGGAGGTTCTTGGCCACGCCCCAGGGCGCCGTCATGTATTGCCAGAGGTTGGTGTAGGGGTTGGTCTGGTAGGCGTTGTCGATGGTGAAGGGGCCCTTGAGGAGGTCGTAGCGGAATCCGCCGGTGTTGGTGAGGATGATACGCGGGTGGGAGGTGGTGTTGCGGCCTGGGGCGTAGACCACGGCCGGGAAGACGGTGGTGGTGAGGTAGCGGAAGAGGTTGTTCGGGGCGGTCTGGGGCACGTATGACTGGTAGAAGTCGTCGGGGGAGCAGCCGATGACGTTGGTGAGGATCGGGAGGGAGGAGACGTTTTTGGTGATTTGCGCGGTGATGCCCTGGCCGTAGGAGGTGTTGAGACCCTGGCGGAGGGAGGCGACGTGCTTCTCGAAGGTGGGACGGTTGAAGTCGAGGTATTGGCGGGAGTAGGTCAGGCTGGAGTTTGCCCGTCGGGTGACGTTCAGAACGACTCCACCGGTCTGGTTGGTGAAGAGGTTGGGCGTGACTTTGATGTTACCGGGTCCCATGGGCGATCTGGCACGAGTTGCGTTGGTGGAGAGGCCGTCGATGGTAGCCCATCCGACAGTCTCGCAGTACCGACCGGCCGCAGTGCCGACAGCAGCAGCATCCCAAGCGACGGTGTCACGGATGTGGCGGTGACCACCAAAGATCTGAATAGGAGTGTTGGGGTGGTAGGTCCGGATGGCGCGGTAGATCAAGTTCCATTCCGCGGAATCGCGGAGGGTGATGTGACCGGTGATCAAGAACAGGTCGATATCCTTGCGCTTGGTCTGCTCAAGGAACCAGGACTGCTGGATAGCAGTACCTACAGGTGTGACAACAGTCGCGTTGCTGTTACCTGTGAAGTTGAAAAGGAAGGAGTAAGACATGATGCGGATGCCGAACTTGGTCTGCCAGTAAGCATAGCGGTTGGAGAAAGGCTTGCGGACGCCATTGTCGATGATGTCTACATTGCTGGTGACATAGCGACCGCCCCAGTTGGGAGCAAAGTTACGGTAAGTGTCATTGGCGATCTCGGTGGTGTAGAGTTCGTGGTTGCCAATCGACAGCAAGTCGTACGGCAATTGCTTGAAGATGGGAAGGGTGAGCTTTCCATTGGGAGTAGTCGCGTCGCCGAAACCAGTACCGTCGTGCAAGTCACCGGAATCAACGAGAAGGAGATCAACACCCAGGACATCGGCCTTGGACTTCATCTTGCGCACAAAGTCGGCAAAGTCGCCATAATCGGCACTGTAGTTCTCATCGAGCAGGTGACCGGCAAGCCAGCCGTGAGTGTCAGTGGTGGAGAGGAAATTAATCTGACCCCAGTGAAGCTCCTTGATCTGTTGCGGCAATGTTCTGAGCGCACCCGGCTGAACACGCTTTGCATGGTCGTGTCTCGACATCAATGCTTGGTCGAGATAGCCGCCGTGGACGGGCGAGGTCCAATCATGATCCTCACAGCCGATGACGGTCTGCGTGAGAAGCGCAGCCGCCAGAACGGAGAGCTTGACCATCATGGTGATCCGCTTGGGCTTCGGGTCGTGATGATGCAGCGGAAGATGTCCTGTGGGGAAATTTGATCTGCAAATGCAGGTCCGATGGCTTGAGATGACGACAAGCGCTAGATTTTATCCTTCTGGTACTGTCGCGACCCGAGACACTTTGCAGAGTCAGAGACACTTGGCGACAACCACAAAGGCTTGCGGGAGGGCAATGTTACTGGATTGCACCTCTTGCGAAGAGTTCCCGACTTTATAACTGCGCCACCTCAGAAGCAATACTAGAGAAGATGACGGTCTCAACAGCAGGGCGTGGGCGAGTTCATCATCGGCGCCCACGTGCTTGAAAGCACACTTGATGGGCGGAAAAAGGAAAAGCGACGGGCTGAATTGAATGTCCAGCTCCAGCCGGGACGTTAGAAGCATTGGCCGAACCTCCGACGCGTCGTCAACCAATGCGGTCCAACACGTGGGCGAGTTGACGTCGGCTGTCCTGCCTCAAAGGGTAACTCTGCCCTTGCCCAGGTCGGACCACCATCCGCAGGGCGTTCTCTATACAGTAATGTGTTGTATGTTGTATGTATGGTATGTGTTATATGCACAGTACTGGGGCGGCGATGCTTGATGCATGCATGGCGTTTGAAGAAAATATTGTTGACGTACATGTCATCTCATGGAAGTGATGCCGATGTACACGTCGTTTCATACATATGTGTAGATCCGATTCCTTATCGGTAGAGAGAGCTACAATTCTTTCGGGCTGGTAGATGAATTGGTGGCACTGGATTCTCAGGCACAGCCAACATATCGTAGGCTCTACGCATTCCCGACGCGGCAACATGGGAGGATCTCTCTATTTTTTTGATGTAAATTAGATGCATCACCCTGGAGTATTCCAACCTTCGTGTGTTGTAGACGCGATGTAGCATGTCTCGAACGTCGTGGTCGAACAAGAAATCATGGATCGCAACGGGCATGGGAAGCAAATTCATGACACCAGCCAAACCCCAGTCCGTGGCTGGCGCGTTCCGCGTCCGTCTGATGTGAGATGATAACCGCGCGCGGGGTCCGGGCGATCGTGTGCTTGCTGTACGTGCAGCATCACAGTCCGGCCGGTCGATCAAAACCGTTCCATCGCAACTCCATCACCGCTTGCCATGCATGACAGGACCGTATCGTGAACCATCGAATGGAAGGTAAAAAAGTATTGCCCATCACCGATCCCTCACAGGCGTTTGCGGCAGTGATGTGACGCTCATGGCGGAGAACCGAATGCTGAGCTGTGGAAATGGCCCCTCACAGCGCCGATCCACCAATGCTTCTTGATCCTCCTCAATCATCTCATGCGTGTGCGGAGCTCTCGAAGATGTCCGCATTCGACTTCTGACGAACTTTCGAAGCAATATTAAAATATTCTGAGATTTACATCTGATTGACATCATCATCGACGAAAACCCCTCTCGCTGCTTCGCATCAATCCTACGCAGAGATGGCGGCTCTTAAATCTCGCCTGAGGATAGGCTACATCCCCGGTACGCAAACAATAAAGATTCCCATCTCAGCTCCAGAAAAGAAACGCCACGCCGACAGATCATATATGACTCTGGACCAGACCAATCTCAAAACACAACACAGCTGACAAAGATAATCTCTGCTTGCTCTACAGAACATTTCTCCACCCCGCTCTTCTTCGCCCAGAAACACTTCCACCTCTCCGCCGACCTGATCCCCTACCCCACCGGCACCGGCGCCCTGACCGCCGCCCTCAAAGAACCCGACCGCACCAAGGGCATCGACATCGCCATCGGCCTGACCGAAGGTTTCGTCGCCGACCTCGGCAAAGCCCAAGCCACTGGTACGAAATCCGAGTACCGCCTCGCGGGAACTTACGTCTCGAGCCCGCTATGCTGGGCCATCTCGACGGGCGCGAACCGCGATGAGATGAGCGGGATCCCCGACCTCCGCGGCAAGAAAGTCGGCGTGAGCCGGATCGGGAGCGGGTCGTACGTGATGTCGTTCGTGCTCGCCGACCAGCAAGGCTGGCTGGAGGACAAGAGCGGAGGCGGTCAGCAGGAGCCCTTCTCAGCGATGATCCCGATCGGAGATTTCGCCGCGCTGAGGAGATCGGTCCGCGAGGACAGATCGTCGGATTTCTTCATGTGGGAGCATTTCACCACCAAACACTTCTGGGACAACGGCGAGCTGAAGCGCATCGGGGAGATCTACACGCCCTGGCCGTCGTGGATGATCGCGGCTCGGGAGGCTGAGGCTGGAGGGAGCGACGGTCGTGTCGCGGATCTGACGAGTAAATTGAATCAGGGCGTGAAGCACTACCTGGAGAACAAAGAGGAGGCGATCGAGTACATCACTTCGGCGATGCATTACTCCCGGGAGGATGCGCTGGAGTGGATGAAGACGGTGGAATTCGTGGCCGACACGCATGGCGTGCGGACGAGCGTGGTGGACGATGTGGTGGGGATTCTGCGCAAGGCGGGCGTGTTGGATGAGAAAGCCGGAGGGGGCGAGAATATGATCAGCATCAAGCGCGAGTGAAGGAGCGACTCGACACCGAAAGGAAAAGAAAAGAAAAGAAAAGTACACCTTCCTCACGTCGGGAGGGAGAGAATGATCGTCAATCAATCATTACGTTTCCTTCTTATCTTCTCAAAGCAAAAGGGAAATGTCTACCCGTCAGATCTCTTTCACACTTCCACCTCCGCTCATGCCGTCACAGCAGCCTTCTTCCCTCCCGCCGAGATGAGGTCCAAGAAGCCCTGTTTCGACATCTCGTTCGCCTTCTCCTCCCTCGCCTGCATGCCGACCACGCCCTCCGCCTTGGCCGTGCGCATCGCCTCCTCGCTCTTGACCTGCGCCGCGCGGACGGCGTTGAAGAGCTTCACCACACCCCTCTGCGCCGTCTTCTTGAGGCGCTTCTCCAGCTCGACGAGGGCGCCCGTCTCGACGTCCGGCGTGCGCAGCCCCAGCGTGTCCCGCACCCGGCCCTTCTCCGACGAGAGCTTCTTCTCGGCGCGGATCTGCGCCCGGGCTTTCTGCTCGAGTCGCTCGTCCGCGAGCGTCTTGTTCGCGTCGGCCGCGGACTTGCTCCGGCTGAGGACCGGGTCGCTGCGTTTGGATGTGCTGAGTTTGGTGTCGAGGATTTTGGTGATGCTGGTCGCGAAGGCGTCGGGGTCGTTGCGCTTCTTGCGCACGCGCACGGCGTTGGCGGAGGTGCTGTTGGGGTTGGACGCTGTGTCCGAGTCGGAGGAGTCGCCCGAGTTGTCGGAGTCGAGGTCGAGTTCGTCGTCGAGGTCGAGGTCTGCGAGTTGTTCCTCATTGTCGTCATCCTCGTCGTCTAGGTCATCCGTTTGGATGGCATTGAGGGCGGTATTGATTTCTAGTGTTTGTTCTTCGTCCTCGGTATCTTCAGCGTCCTCCTCATCACCGACTTCCTCTTCTACGACATCCTTGTCCCTTCTCGTTCCATTTTTTGACTCGGCGACGCCATTGGCTGGTTTTGTGTCCTTCAGGATTGGTCGTGGTGCGGAAGTTTTCTCGCCAGTGGACTTTGATGTTGCCGTCGATGTCTTCGTCTTTGACTTATTCTCTCGCTTGGGTTCTGGTACCGCGATCGGCTGCGTTTCTTTCACAGCAGGCTTCGGCGCATCACTCGCGCGCGGATGTGCTAGGTCATCATCTTCGTCTTCCGATGAACTGTGATAATTTGTCTGCTTTTTGACTTTCTTGACCTTTTTCTTCGGTCGCGCATGGTCGTCCTCCTGTCGCCTTCTCTTCGGAAACGCAGGACCCATTGTGAGAATTCTGCGATAAAGCGATTCCTGTACAGTGCAAGAGAAGGAATATCTGGGAGAATTATTATTTTCTGCACCTCAACTTTCACATGGAGACCGAAGCCAGCCAAAGAATTTACTATTGTAGACCCTAATGCCAAGCGAAATTGACTTTGGCATTCACAAGCGCAAGCGATCCATCGCATGGCGGCGCTGGCCGACGATTTGATGTGGGGCGACTCGGTGCGTGCCATCAAATGGTGGTGGTGGTGTTCTCTGGCTGACGTCGTGTGCTGCAGTTTGCCAGACAGGCATCTCTACACTCGTGCTGTCGCTTGAGGAACAACAGCAGCAAACATTCTACGATCTAACACGCTTTCCCAACAAGATGGTGTTGCAGGATCTCGGGCGGCGCATCAATGCCGCCGTCAACGACCTCACCCGCGCGCCAACGCTCGACGAGAAGGCCTTCGATGGCATGATCAAAGAGGTCTCCAACGCCCTCGCCGAGGCCGATGTCAACATCAAATTGGTCGCCACATTACGAAAGTCGATCAAAGCCGCCGTGAAGTTCCAAGAACTCCCGCCTCACGCGAACAAGAAGCGCATCATCCAAAAGGCCGTCTTTGACGCCCTCGTCGACATCGTCAACCCCCACCAAACACCATACAACCCGAAGAAAGGCAAGAGCAATGTCATCATGTTCGTCGGTCTACAGGGTGCGGGAAAGACGACGACATGTACGAAACTGGCGAGATGGTACCAAGCGCGAGGCTTCAAGACGTGCCTGGTCTGCGCGGATACGTTCCGTGCGGGAGCCTTCGATCAACTGAAGCAGAACGCGACGAAAGCGAAAATCCCCTACTACGGCTCCCTCACACAAACCGACCCGGTCGCAGTGGCGAGGGACGGAGTGGAGAAGTTCAAAAAAGAGCGCTTCGAGATCATCATCGTGGACACATCCGGACGGCACCACCAAGAAGACGCCCTCTTCGCCGAAATGGTCGAGATTCAATCCGCGGTGCAGCCGCACCAAACGATCATGGTCCTCGACGCATCCATCGGCCAAGCCGCCGAGGCGCAGTCCCGCGCCTTCAAAGAGACCGCGGATTTCGGCGCCATCATCATCACCAAGACCGACGGCGCCGCGGCCGGAGGAGGCGCCATCTCCGCCGTGGCCGCGACCCACACGCCCATCGTCTTCATCGGCACGGGCGAGCACCTGCTGGACCTGGAGAAGTTCAACCCGGAGTCGTTCGTCAGCAAGCTGCTCGGCATGGGCGACATGCAGGGGCTGGTGGAGCACGTGCAGAGCCTCAAGCTCGACCAGAAGGAGACGATGAAGAACCTCACCGAGGGCAAGTTCTCGGTGCGCGACCTGCGCGACCAGCTCCAGAACATCATGAAGATGGGCCCGCTGTCCAAGATGGCCGGCATGATCCCGGGGCTGTCGGGCATGATGGCCGGCATGGACGACGCCGACGGCAGCCTGAAGCTCAAGCGCATGATCTACATCTGCGACAGCATGACGGCCGCGGAGCTGGACTCGGACGGGAAGCTGTTCGTCGACCAGCCCACGCGGATCACGCGCGTCGCCCGCGGCTCGGGCACGTCGGTGCGCGAGGTCGAGGAGCTGCTCACGCAGCAGCGCATGATGGCCGGCATGGCCAAGAAGATGAAGGGCGGCATGGCCAACATGCAGAAGGCCCAGGGCGCCCTGGGTGGCGCCAACCGCCAGCAGCAGATGGCCGCGATGCAGAAGCGCCTGGCCAGCATGGGCGGTGCGGCCGGAGGCGCGGGCGCCGCGGGGGGCGGGATGCCGGATCTGGGCGCCATGATGAAGATGCTCGGGGGCGGAGGCGGTGGCGGGATGCCGAACCTGGGAGGCATGGACATGCAGAAGATGATGCAGATGATGGGCGGCATGGGCGGTGGTGGCGGCGGCGGTGGTGGACGACGGTAGGAGGGGAAACTCCGAGGTCGTATGGTTTTCTTTCCTTTTTCTTTTCCTCCTCTCCCGCCCTCCTTCCCTCGTTCTGGTCGATCAGTCCGGTCGAGGGGGCTGCCCTCCTACGATTTCCGTCTACAACGCTCTATTATCTTCTCCCCCCCTTTTTTGTGCGTCCGTGGAGGAAGTCGTTTTCCTCCCGGCGACTCGGGAATGGAGAGAGCGGGGGGAGAGAGAAAGGGGGAGATTTTCAATTCCGGTTTTCCCTGAGGGACGAGGTTTTTTTTTCTTGGATCGTAGCATAGCGATGGGCGTTAAATTTCCTCTTTTTCTTTCCCTTTCATCCTTGGCTTTGGCGGTTCGAAATTGCGTCCCGCGAAAGAGAAAAAAAATGACCAGAGAAGAAGAAGGGAGGTTCAAGGACGGAACCGGCTTCGGATTCACGACGATTCCAAGCCTCGGGTCGCGCTCCTCGCATCTGATGAAATGGGTGGATTCAAATCAAGAGACATTCGGGGTCGCGGGCCACGGTTCATTCGCGCGATTCGGCCTATACATGGTGTCTGCCGGGGGAAAGATTGGGGCATTTCGACCTCGCAGGCGCAGAAGGGGGGGAGAGGGGGGGTTTTATGGATGCATCGACAAGTCGTCGCGTGGAAGTTCGTTTTTCACATTATAAAAAAAAAGGAAGTCTATCCGCTTGACCCTTGGCAGGGCCGCTCATACAGAGGAGATTCCCCACAATCCCTCGAAACATCGGTTTCCCTTCCAACTGTTCATGCCCACTCGCACCTGGCTCTTCCGCCTTGAGTGCGGATCACGCGGATCGGGGAGTGCTCCTTTTCGATTCGGCGATTCAATCTCCATCGGAGAAAGAGGACGGTCTAGAGCTTGTTGGGCTCGATTTGGTGCTGAGGCCACTGGTAGCCGGCCGCGTCCGCGAATTTGTATCCGTACGATGAGGTGAAGTCATCGAGCACAGCGGGACCTCGAGAGCCTGAAGGGGGTAAAAAGGAATAGACTGTCAGCAATGTCGTCTCAAAGGAAGCGTGTTTCAATATAACGAGGTGGATGGAAGGAAGTTGGAACTCACCGTATGGGTACCCCATGGGGATGATCTCCTTGTTCTCGTCGAGGTAGTGAAGCAGAGGGGTGAAGATGCGCCATGACGCATCGAGCTCATCGTCGCGCACAAAGTTGGAGTGGTCGCCCTTCAGCGCGTCGAGGATCAAGCTCTCGTATGCCTCGGGGATCTTGAGGTCGGAGAAACGGCGGCGGTAGGTCAGGTCGAGCTCGGTGACGACGGTCTGCATGCTGAGGCCGGGCAGTTTGGAGTTCATCTTGATGTAGACACTCTCGTTGGGCTGGACGCGGATCACCAGCTCGTTGCGCGGGATGTCCTTGAAGATACCCGAAGTCACATCCTTGAACTGGATGCGAACTTCGGTCTTTTGCTCGTTCAAAGCTTTGCCGGCCTTGAGGATGAAGGGCACGCCATCCCATCGCTCGTTCTTGATGTAGGCGACCATCGACGCGAAAGTCGGGCATCGCGACTCCTTCGGGACTGTGTCGTCTTCCTTGTAACCCGGCTTGGAGCCGTCGAGCGACTTCTCGTACTGGCCAATGATGACGTTTTTGGGTTCGATGCTGGGCATGCCTCGAAGCACGCGGACCTTCTCGTTACGGATGTCCTCGGCGCTGAACGAGATCGGACGCTCCATGGCGAGCAGCGTCAGGATTTGGAGGAGATGGTTCTGCATCACGTCACGAATGATACCAAACTCGTCAAAGTATCCGCCACGACCTTCCGTGCCAAAGGGCTCTTTGAAGGTGATTTGTACATTGTCGATGTGGTTGCGGTTCCACGTCGCACCGAAGAACTCGTTTCCGAATCGCAGAATCAGGATGTTCTTGACCATCTCTTTGCCCAGGTAATGATCGATGCGGAAGATTTCCTCTTCTTTCCAGTTCGGCTTCAGCGCGTTGCCGAGCTCTCGTGATGAGGCGAGATCCTTGCCGAAAGGCTTCTCGATGATGATCCGAGCGATGCCGTTCTTAGGGTAGTTGTTCTTCTTCAGGTGCTCGGAGACGGGGATGAAGACCGAGGGCGGTAGGGCCATGTAGAAGACCCGGTTGGTTGTCTTTTGACCTTTCTCCAGCTCTTGCAGGTGCTTCTCGAGGTCTTGAAAGCTCTCGTCTTTGTCGTACTGCCCGCTGACATAGCTTGACGCTTTGCAGAAGTCCTCCAGCTGTTGCTCGTATTCCTTCGTAGGCGTCTTGATGTGTGACTGGACGCGCTTGAGGAATTCGGCGTGGTCCATCTTCGTTCGCGCATATCCGACCACGCGGATGTTCTTTGGCAGGAAGCCATTGCGCCAGAGACCGAACAAGGCAGGGAAGGTCTTCTTTTTGGCGAGATCGCCTGATGCACCTAGCACAATGACGACGGTGTCCTCCTTGAGCTCAACGGTGCTGCGAGCAAGACAGTCAGCAATGAGGGATGAAATTTCACCGTATGACTTTCGGAGTGGCAGGAAACAGGCAATTTCGTAGAGCTAGATGATGATGACGACGACGACAACAACGACGACGACGGCCTTGCTGCCATGAATCTCTTGCGGATGGATGGCAAGGAACGGAATCCGACTCACCCGGCATTCTGCTCGACGTCACTGTGAATCACAGTGTCCGACATGTCGAGTCGCTCACGGCTGATGTCAAGGTGGTTGAAAGTTCGCGCTGAGGATGGATGGATTGCGACGGAAACGAGATTGCGAGGAGAGGTGAAGATTTGGTAGGTGGATTGAAGTGGGTATAATAAGAAGGAGAGAAGTAAGACGAGGAGGATGGTGGTGGTGGTGGTGGTGGTGGTGGTGGTGAGGGTGAGGGTCACAGAGGTGGGATATCGGATGGACAGCAACAGCTTTGAACCAACACGCCCAGCGCGCATGCGTAGACGTCACAGGTCGGCGTCCCTCCTCTTGTCGTTATGATGGATTATTATATTACAGCCGTGGATGGAGATGTATCTAGTAACAGGCACACATAGAAGACTCCGGTGGTGAACTGAGGGCGCGCGGCGGGAGAAAATTGAACAGATGCAGGTGGGAGATGGGCGGATCCATCCATTCATCCATCCATCACCAACAGTAGGTACACACAGGATGCATATGCTAGGGAACATTGCCTCCGCAGAACAGCCGCAGACGATGATGATGATGATGCAGCAGACGATGGATCCCCCGGGAAAACAGGTGGATGCACATCACAAGCATCGCTACCGGAGAATGTGAATACCATCGAGACAAACGTACCTAAGCCCGCACTCGTACAGGAGGAGCAAAAGCATCGTATACTGACATGGAAACAGCGATGAGGGGTTCTGTGGATCTCAGAACCATCATCAATGCGGTGATGATGATCCTGTCGAGGCGGCGGAGGCGGCGGCACACGACGGCTTCTCAGCAAAATCCCGCCTGCATCGCTTATTATTATGTGTTCTATCTATCCAGTACATGTTCATACTAGGTATGCACGCGTTGCTGGACTGGCCTGGGCTGGCCTGTGCCGTGTCATGTCGTGTCGTGTCGTGTGCGATGTTCCGCCGCCGACCTGTCATTAAATCTCCAGACGACATCCTGGACAGATCCGTCAGGTAGATTGAGGGACTCTCGCTATCACGTCGTGAGATGCATACACGAGACGGCGGCGGCGGTGGTGGTGCGATGTACATCAATCTGTGATACGGTGGCATTCACACTCTCCACATGCACATGGGCTTTTCCTTCACGTTCATCAATGAGTCTCCACCAGCTGGCCGACACCGACGCCGATGAATAGTAATGATTTGGTGAATAACACGATGATGATGATGATGGTGGTGATCGGGATTGCATTGGCTGACTGCTACAGTAGGTAGGTATGACACAATCTTCCGGGCTCGCCGTCATCTCCGCGGAGGCCGGAGGTCCCTCTATTGGCTTTTCCACCAGGTTTGGTTTCCCGCTCCTTGTCGGATACTAGGTATTTACTGTTGTTATTATTATCATTATTACTGTAGTCTGGTCACACCGCACACCTGACCTTCTCCCCGCCTCTGGGACACGAACAGCAAGACCGGCCTACCCATGCAGCACTCACGACGCTGCCTTCGTCCCTCGGGAACGACGATCAGCTCGAGTCGAATGGTCGCGGCAGTGTGTCGTTCAAAGCGTCCTGTCGAGGCGGGTGGGAGGATTTACGTCATGTCAGCTGTGGGTGGTGCAGGTGGTGGTGGGGCAGAGAGGGAAACAGTGGACGCCGCCAGAATGGAGACCTGCAGCCGTTCAACGCTTTTTTTTTCTGTCGTCCGTCGCGGACGAATTCCGCCCACCTCACCAGCAGCAGTGGCCCTGGAGCACAAACGTACAGGCGATGTGAGAGAGAAAGCGGGCGGTCTATACTGTAGATAGCTCACTACAGTACTAGGTATCTGTATTATTAAAGCATTCGGGTATACATCTATCGCCCGAAACGTTTTGTTGATCGTGACGACAACAACCATAGGGAGGAGAGCCACTTCATCCAAAGGGTGCCGGTTCCCCAACCAAAGATTCGAGACCACCTGGCACCTGGAGCACCATAGCTAGACTGTTGGATGAAGTTCAGCCGCATACATGTACAGTATGTATGCATGTCACGCCCGCCCTGCGTGGAGCAGCAGCAGCCATAGCCATAGCCATGCCCCAAGCGAGAGCCGCACCGCACCGCACCGCACCCATTTCCACCATCCGCACGACCAACGGCGCGTTTTCACATCACACATTTCACCCATCGCATTTGACACACCACACATGAGTTCCAGATGCTTGTGTGGCTCCCTGTCAATGTGATCAGACGGCCACTTGCTTGCGTCCGATAGCGATGGTATCCGTGCATGGTTCGATGGGCAGGTCACATCCCATGTGACGAGATCAGATATGCCTGATCTGGACCGTACACACAGGCGTCCCATGTCACCAAGGACCCATCGATTGGGTACAGTATGTCCTCTGGTCAATGAATATATACCTAGCTATGCACTGGAGACGTACTGTTCGTCAGATGGGTCAGACATGCCCGGGTGGCTTCATATACAGTATGCAAGACATGTCGAGTTTCGGAGACTCAACGCCGGACGTAATCATCACAGTGAAGTGAGTCCCATGGATGAATGATCGTCTTATGGAATACCTGACAATTCACATGTACTGCGAACTCTGTGATCTCCTCCACCTGGGCAACCTTGAAAGCCAGCCTCGTCTCATGCTTAGTAACAGTGATCTGTCTGCCCCACGATGAAAGTCATGCCTGAGGCCCGACCAAGCCCTAGTCCATCCTCTTCCACTCCGCAGTGTGCACACTATACGGAAGCCGCTATCAATCTCCCTTATCGAAAGCCGTCCCAGCCCTTTTGCACTCCACACTCGAAATTCGTCTCGGTCTTGGCGCGCACATCCATTTGACTGTACGCTTAGCCAGCTGGTGAGCAATCTAGCGAAGACAACATACAGACCACACAAGACCGGCCATACAACCTCCGGTCCTCGACAAACCTTCGGATCTTTCCAATCGCCCACATCACAATGTCTGAGAGCAAGGGACACCGATTATACGTCAAGTATGTTGCCCTCATCGTCGACGCCGACGCCCGCCGCGCAGCCCGCCTCTCCGCAGATACTTCTTCGCGTTGAGCATTCAGAAAAGGAATGACGGTGGACCGGAGAAGGGCAGGAGGCGGCTTGCGCAGGCGGCTTGCGCAGGCGGACCGTACCATCACACCTCTGAGAGATCGGCCATACTGATGAGAACGCTGTTCACAGGGGCAAGCACCTTTCGTACCAGCGCGGCAAGCGCAACACCAACCCAAACACCTCCTTGATCCAGATCGAGGGCGTGTCAGACTCCAAGGCCGCCTCCTTCTACCTCGGAAAGCGCATCGCATATGTTTACCGGGCGAAGACGGAGATCCGGGGGACGAAGATCCGGGTCATCTGGGGCAAGGTGACCAAGACACACGGTATGTTTTCGAGCATGACTGGCGATGATCCCACGTCACGACCCTTTCCACGAGGAGAATATCCTCTGGGGAGTCTCCTGTGACGAGGATCTCTGAGAGACCACTCGCCCGCGCACACAAAACACATGTGACTGACAGGACATTGTTCAGGCAACTCCGGCGTCGTACGAGCACAGTTCCGCAGCAACCTCCCGGCAAAGTCATTCGGCGCGATGGTGCGCATCATGCTGTACCCCAGCGCGGTATAGATACGAAACTTCCCTCTCACATACACACATTCAACCATGACGTCTTTTTTTTCTCGAATGGAGCATTTGGAACCTGGCGCTGGAAGGGTCTTTGTGTTCGGTAACGTGGTTGCAAAGGGGGAAAGATGGGGAATGAAAGGATTGAACCAAAAAAAACTTTGACCAACCAAGAAGAGTGAAGTCCACCTCGACGGGGAATGGGAGAGAGGAGGAAATCGCTTTCTGTGATGCTGCTGCACGGCTTCCCGCGGCCTGAGAAGGAACGAAGTTCTTCGTCTGATCTGTTTTCGCTCTCCCTCGCTGATGCTTTTTGATGGTGCGGGTGTTCGTCTGTCTTGTCAATCTTGTGCGCCGTCGCCGCACGTTCACGCTCTACTTGCTTGCTTGCTTGCTGCCTTGGTCGTCGACCGAGGGTCGACATTCGTCCGCAAGATCCAACCGGGGCAGGATATGTGTGTGCTACGGCGGTCTCACCGGGTTTTTCTTCGACAGGGGGACTCCTCGCCTCTACGCTTCTGCGTCACGCCAGGGAGAGAGAGAGAGCATGAGAGAGGGGGAACGGAAACCACTTTCTCACACGCGCGCAACAGAACCGAAAGAAGAAAAAGAAAAAAGATTATATCCATCTATCGAATTCCCCCCTTGCCCAAACCAACCAAGAAACCTTTGTCCTGTCCTGCTGCTGCTGCTGCTGCTCCTTCGTCTTCGTCTTCTTCTCCTCGCCGACCGTCCCAAACACAAACAAACAATCACCCCGTGCTGTGCTGTGCTGTGCCCCTTTCCGTTTCCTCCCGCGCTCATGTCACCACCCATCGAGGTCGACGTTACCAGCATCAACCCACCAATCGCCCACACAACATCTCATCTCGTCCCACGCCATCTCATCCCCATGCCAGAAGTAATCCCGACCTGAACGTGACCGGTACAGGCACCCAGCTCCCAGCTCCCAGCAACAAGCAGTGCCCACAATGTGAACGACGAGCGTGCCTGTCTCCCGACGGTCTGGCAGGAATCGACCTCTCCTTCAACTAGGGATCCCTTTCGTCTACGATGGACTTATTACTCCTCTGATAGTCGCCTCCTTTCTCTTCCCTGCTTTCTCCCTACTTCCTCCGGTATGAGATTGAGAATGGAAATGGGAACGAGTTTCTGAATGATCTGGTTCTCTTTGCCCTTCATATTTATTTATTTGGTTTAAAATAAAAATAAAGATTATGTGATCAATCGCTTTGTTACCGCAGCAGTCAGTCAGTCGATACAGTCAATACAGTCCAGTCCAGTCGAGTATTTCGTGGGCCTCAGGTTGGATCGAAGAGTACCTAGGAAGCGCCAGGGCTTGTCGTGTGCCTGCCTGAGTTGAGTTGGACCTGGGAGGGAGCGAGAGATGCGTGCGGAATGGATGGGACAGGACGGTGCGAAGTCATCCATCTCTACTGTACTCGCCTACTGTGGTACTGGAGCGGATCTAGCAAGGACAAGAAGGTTGTTGTTATGGGAGAGGAGAGAGGTGGTGCTGGTGGTGGTCTTGTCTCGTCTTGTCTCGTCTCGTCTTGTCTTGGGCGGTCTTTGTGTGTGTGTGCGCGGGTGCTTGTCACCACCGAGTAAGCCATCACTCTTCATATGCGTACAGCACAACAGAGCACACCACAGCACAACACAGCACTACCACTTACTGCTGCTGCCGCCATGCTACTGTACTGTACTGCTGCTTCTCCATACATCACCTGGGCGTACATAATACATACATACTGTACATCTGTATAGAACATACCATACCCTGGAACAGCATCACCGTCCCATCCCATCTCCATCTACTTCCTCCACTCACTCCTCAACTATACCGACATTTGTTGGCTTCCATTTCCAATCCAATCAATACACCCACGCTTCACCCCATTCTCATCGCCTCCATTCTATCGACCATACAGTATACAACACCTTTCGCCGCCCCACACTCGAATTCTCGCACACTCCGCATTCATCGTCCATCCGCCAGCTCGGATTTTCACCCCGTCAAGTGCGAATCCCACTCCACCAATCCGAGGCGAGCTTGCACCCACAGACAGCAGGCCCTCTCTCTCTCCACCTTGATAATCTCCTCCACCACACATATTCCTCCCCAATGGACAAGAAGGATAGCGACAACAGACCATCTAGCATTTGGACTCGACGATCTACGTGAGTTGACAAACTCACCCCATGGCCGCCACATGGACATGACCAGTCGCTGACAGGGAGCACGCGACCAGAAGCAGCAAGCTCAACCTCTCCACCAACAACACCTCATCCACCGACCTGTCCGATGTCTCATCCGCCAAACGGTTCGGCGGCGGCGGCGTGAGCAAACCGGCGACCTACAGCTCGTTGGCGTCGCCCTCCACCCTCGCCGTCGCCTCGCCCACCGGCAAAGGCGGATCCTCCCCGTTTGGCCTCGGAAACGGAGCCTTCGGATTCTCTAGCGCGACCAAGACTGCAAAGGCACCCGGTGGAGGTTCGGAAAAGGCGGGCGGCGATAAGAAGGACTCTTCGGACGATGCCAGCAGCAGAGGGAGCGGGGACAAGCGGGTGACGGGCAACAAACCTCCCCCGTCGACCCGACAGAGCGCCGCGCCCGCCGCCGCCGCCGCCGCCGCCGGATCAGAGAACATGGCTGGCATCGGCGGCCGCGATCCCTCACAACCCTGGCCGCTCCGGCATCCCTGGATCATCTACTACCGCCCGCCCACCAGCAAGAACAGCGACTACGAGAAATCCATCCGCCCGCTCTGCCGGATAACCACGGCCCAGGAGTTCTGGAAGGTCTACAGCCACCTCCGCCGGCCCAGCGACCTCCCGACCGTCAGCGACTACCACTTCTTCAAGGAGGGCATCCGGCCGGTGTGGGAGGACGAGGAGAACCGGCGCGGCGGGAAGTGGACGATGCGGGTGAAGAAGGGCGTGGCGGACCGCTACTGGGAGGGCCTGCTCCTGGCCATGGTCGGCGACCAGTTCGTCGAGGCGAGCGACGAGGTCTGCGGCGCCGTCGTCAGCGTGCGCTCGGGCGAGGACGTCTTCTCGCTCTGGACCCGGAACGACGGCGGCCGCAACGTCAAGATCCGCGAGACCGTCAAGCGCGAGCTCCACCTCCCCGCCGACACCCTCCTGCTCTGGCGCAGCCACGACGAGAGCATCGTTCAGAAGCAGGAGGTCGACCGCGCGCGGCTGGAGAAGGTCAGCGCCGCCGCCGCCGCGGGCGGTGGTGGTGGATCCGGGACCGGCGCGGGCGCGGACAGGAGGAGGAATACGGTCAACAACAAAGGCGACGGCGGCGGCGGGACGGCGTAAGGGGAGGAAAAAAAGGGGGGGAAGGCTGGGTGGATGGACGAATGGATGGATAGAAGGGGGAGGAGAGAAAATTCGTCTGCGGTAAAAGCAACCCTTTTCTTTTCTTTGGCTTCTTTGGCTTCTCTTTGGCTCTTCTCTGGCTCTTCTCTGGCTTCCTGCGCTGTTTGTTCTTTTATGTCCTCTCTCTCTCCCCACCTACCTACCTATCTACCTATCTACCACCGCGGCCGCCTCTTCCGACGACGTCGCGATGTATCATTATCATTCTTATCATCTGTCTCTCTCTCTCTCCCTTTTTCCCATCATAATAGATTTCCCCAATCGGAGTAGGGGAAGTCTCCCTTCGGGCCTCTCATCGCACATCTTCCGAAAAAGAAAAACAAGGGAGGGGATATCTCAACCCCTTCACTCCTCCCCGAAGGGATAATTGAACTTCAAGAGGGAATTCAGCCCGCCGACCCAGTGGTCCTCGCCCTCCGCGGCGCCGCCGCCCCCGGACCGCACCACGATCGGCACCCCGCCCCGCGCCCAGTCGCGCGCCCCCGGCGGGCCCTCCGACCGCACCTCCTCGCCCACGACCCGCACCTCCATGCCCGCCCGCAGCCGCTCCCGCCGCCGCACCCCGTCCACCGACACCTCCAGCTCCTCGCCGCGGCTCGCGGCCTCGATGTACAGCGTGACGGCGCCGTGCGCGGGCAGCACCAGCGGCCGGAAGGACAGGCTCCGCGGGCAGATGGGCGTCAGCAGGATCGACGACACCAGCGGGTGCACGATCGCCCCGCCGCTCGACAGGCTGTAGGCCGTCGACCCCGTCGGCGTGCTGACCAGCACCCCGTCCGCGATCGCCGTCGTGAGCGTGCGCTGCGAGCCCGGGAGGCCCAGCTTGATCGTGATGTGCGCCAGGTGCGGGGATGCGCCTCGGTGGAGGAGCACTTCGTTCAGCGCGAAGACGTCCTCGCCGCGCGCCGGGTCGTCGCTGGAGTGCGCGAACGGCGGCTCGTGCGGGAGCCGCGTAGTCCCGTCCGTGTCGAAGAGCCCGACGCGTAGGCGGTTGCGGAGCAGGATCCGCGCGGGCCGCGAGGCGCCGAGGGATTTCCCGCGGAGGTCGTCCCAGCCGGGTGCGTCGTCGACGACTCCAGAGGATGGAGACGATGATGTCGATGATGACGAAGAGGAGGAGAAGGTCTTGGGGTTCAGATTGTTGTGCGGCGCGCCGGACATGTAGACTTCGCGGAAGGCGCGCTTGTATTCGTGGACTTTCCACTCGCCCAGGAAGCCTAGCGTGCCCATGCTGAAGGAGAGGATGGGCGGGACGCTCTTGGCGGTGGCGAAGAGCGAGGAGGCGCGGAGGATGGTGCCGTCGCCGCCCAGGGTGGTGGTCAGGTCGACCTTGGAGTGGTAGTGGATGCTGCCGCGGTGGTTCGACGTGTAGACCGGGAAGGGGAAGGACCCGTGGAGCTGTCGCGCGGCTTGCGGTTCGAAGATGATGGCGACGTTGGGGTAGGTCGAGTGGATGTGGTTGGCGTATTCGATGAGCGCTTCGTCGACGGTCGAGTCGTTCTCCTTGCGCACGAGGAGGATGTTGCGGATGGGAGAGGACCATCCGAGGGCGAGCAATTCATGATTACTCGTTTCTGCTCGATCATCAGGTCAACGGGATTGTTTCCTCTCTGGGGCAGGAATGGGGTGCTTCTGACGCACCTTGATATCGTGGATAGGTTCTTGATGGCAACTCTGCTATATCGCGGATTTCACGTCTCGCCGACGTCGAAGAAAAGGGACGACGGATGGCATGGGCCAACACGGGAGTCGTGTTCTGCCAACATCGCCATGCTCGCGTCATGTTCCCATGGTCTGGGTGATGGTCACGCACAGAAGTTTTGCAATCACGGGTTTCTGCGCGCAGAGGTGAAGAAGCGCATGAAAGATGAGGGAGGAAGTTCCCGTGCAAATGACGATACACGGAGAGAGAGACGTTATCATTAGAAAGCGCTTAGGGTATGGCGATACCGTCTGATACAAACCCTAACAACGACCAGTGCCTAGGTGCAGGTGTAGGTATGGAAGAAATCCATCCATGCTTCCGTGTCCATCTCTTTGCTGTACATTCGTGATCAATTGGACTGGCGGCGGATTTGTTATAGATGCCTACGGAATACAATTGAATTATTGCAGTAAATTTTCATTGAGGAGAGAGAGAGAGAGAGCACAGTCGTCGAGTCTTGCTGTCTGTTGCATGAGTCGCAGGCGTCGAGATGTGTAATGTATCCTGCCCAGGTGGACTGGACCAATGGTTTGGTTTGTGTGTCGAAACGGGCTATATGTCTCCAGTGACAGATTTCCTTCTTTGTCCAAGCCGTACCCATCCATATGCACTATCGCTACCAACAACAGTTATGGAATGTGTGTGCGGACGGGCCAAGGGAGAAGGACGAGATCACGACAGACAGAAACAACCATCGGAGAGCGAACCGAGCGGTTACTGCCACTTACTTGCGGGATGATGTGGTATACTGTCACGTGACTGTATAACTGTATATATACTCTGTGTGTTGCATGCATACCTATGTATATATACTGTGTCTTGTATAACTGTACTGTATAACTACTGGATATATAATATACATGTGAAATGCGGAGAAGCCGGCAGAGACAGACAGACAGGCAGACAGACGTATCACGACAGACAGATCACGACATCATCGCCGACCGTCAGCTGCACGCACACCTCGCTTGAAATGGGATGCTTACTGTACATGGCTCTAAACAAAGTAAGTTAATCACTCAAGTTCAGTTCAGTCAGAATTGCTCATGTGCCCGTTTCCCCCAAAGCTCTGGCCGAGCTAATTCTTGCGGCGAAATGCACTATATTTAGTCTCCACTGTCGTCACCCGATGATATACTATATATGATAATCATTCCCACAAGTTCAGTCAGCCATCGTGTGGGCGATCAGACTTTCCTCATCCGCGTCGTGATATACAAGCGCTGGGCGAATAAATCGAACATAATTTGCAGGTCTCATCTTGTCTCAGTCCCGGCGTGATCGTCATCATGCTTTGAAGCTACGAAGCATATCTCAATAGCCTCGCTTACGTTCGGGGCTTATTTCCATTTCTACCGCATGTCATCGCCAATCCTCCTCGAATCATACAAGAAGATCCATTAGAGACGTGTGGCTCCGAGTATCGGCCGAGATCCTCCAAGTCGTACATTCTGCGCCTCAAGATATAACACCACTCCCCGGGCAATCCGGATCATGGCCGAATCCGTGCGAGAACGGAACCTCGCGGCGGTGCGAGCCAAAATCGTCGCCAGCACCAAACCACCAGCTGAAGAGGCCTCCACAGACGATGTTCTCGGCAAGCGGAAACACGGCCTCGCCATGGAAGGTGTCCGGGTCGTCGCGTTCAGCGTCTACTTCATCACCAGCATCACCGCCATCCATATAGCACAGTTCCTGGGACTTCCACTTTACGCGTATAATCGCTCTTGGTATAATGCCTGGGTGGCCCTGACGAAACAGTATTTCGGTGTACACATCACCACCATGACCTACTGGTGGAGCCCGACGGTCGTGCGCATCAGTGGCGACAAGAGTGTCGCCGGCCTGTTGCGTCAGAACAAGGACGGTCTGGTGTCGCTCAATTTCGGCGAACGCGGGCTGTTCATCGCCAATCACCAGCTGTATACCGACTGGCTTTATCTCTGGTGGGCCGCATATGCAAACAACCCGCCCATGCACGGCCACATCTACATCATCCTCAAAGAGACCTTGAAATGGGTCCCCATCGTCGGTCCTGCAATGCAGCTGTATGGATTCATCTTCATGACCCGATCCTGGGCCGAGTAAGCTTCACCTTCCTCCATGAGGCCAACGTCCGCCGAAATACTGACCACCATCCTCTCTCCAGCGACCAAACGCGGCTGAAGCAGGGCCTCAAGCGGCTCAACACCCAACGCTCGACCTCAATCATCCCAGGCCAAGGCAACGCGCCCTCACAGCTAGATCCGATGTGGCTCCTCATCTTCCCCGAAGGAACCAACCTCAGCGCCAACGAAGTCGCCAAATCGCGCGCCTACGCCGAAAAGGTCGGCAAAGCGCCCCTGACCCACCAAGTCCTGCCGCGCCCCGCCGGCCTACACCTGCTCCTCCAGGAACTCGGCGAGACCGTCCCTTACCTCTACGACTGCACCATCGGCTACGCCCCGCTCCCGCCCGGCGGCTACGGCAATGACATCTACGGGCTCCGCACGGTCTACATCCAAGGCCGGCCGCCCTCCAGCGTGAACATGCACTGGCGGCGCTTCAAGACCAGCAGCATCCCCATCGGCGACAAGGCCGCGCTGCAGGACTGGCTGGAAGCGCGCTGGCGCGAGAAGGAGGTCCTGCTCGAGAACTTCTACGCCCACGGGAAATTCTCCCCGGCCGACAAGAGCGCCGTCATCATCGAGGACGGCCCCACCGAGGACGAGTTCAAGACCCCGTACATCACCGCCGAGATCCGTCCTGCCAGTTCGGTGGAGTACCTGGCGATTTTTGCACCTGTCGCGGTCGCGGCGGTCGCCGGGAGGATCGTTTGGCAGATTGCGGAGAGGTTGATGGGTTGGTAGGTAGGTTGGTAGGTAGGCAGGTAGGTAGGAGTGGATGAATTGGTCAAGGGATGAGTGGGAGGGACTGTTCTTCTGTGCGCAGAGGAAGAGTTATCGAGTTTGGATAGTGAGAGGGTAGAGTTGCGAATGAGGTGTAAAGGAAGCGAGAGCACGGTGATGTAAAGGTCTGTGAAATGGGCTGGAAGGATGAATACGAGGTTTTGTTCGAGTTGGAGTCGTAGAAACCTCTCCAAGACCAACTGTACGGAGAGGCATTGGACCTGCCTGTCACGTGCTTTCCCTCCTCGTCACTGTCTTCCTGGATGAAGGAGATACCAATCCCTGAGTTTATTTTCCCTTCGCGTAGACCCGTCCATGCTAGTGAAAGGTTTCTCGTTAGAAGCATTATCAGATCTTCAATTGCGGCATGTGATTGTGTCCATCGTCAGGTTCTTGTTGCGGAGTCGAAGAAAACCGCCGCCGGAAAGGGAATAGCGTGGATCGGAAAGCCCTAACCACGCCCGCCGACGTCTGATCTCGTCCTATGAATCTCTCCGCCTCGAACGCGTGTCATGCAGGGCGGCGGCGGAATGTCCGCACAGAATGATAGACAGCACTGCCTGCAGTAGTTGGTGGTGTCATGGCCCCCAATTCAACTCTTTGCCGCCTCTCTTGGCGATTGCCTCCACCACATGGTCTTCTCCGCGATGTCTGACAGGACAGCACCTCGTTGTTTACCTTTGCATAGCGGCAGATCTCATTCGCCGTGTCGCTGACTTCGTTTCGCTACCCGGATGCTGTTGCGCTACCCTGGCGTGCCCCATTGAGTTTCCTGGCCTTATGCGGTGAAGATCATTGGCGATCGGCCTCGTCGCCAAAGCATAACCCCATCCTCCTCGTCTTTTCGGACCTCTGGACGCTGATCGTCGTCAGTGATAAGGGCTGGAGTCGAGCTGGACGTGTTTGGAAGAGGGAGATGCTTGGAATTCAATTTATCCTTTCAATCTCGTCTTCCTTTCACTGTCGCTTATGAACATCTGCGAAAGAATTTGTTCGAAACCACTGTTCCCGCGGCGGTATCCTGCTCTCCTCGCCTGATGAGAACAGGCGCAGACTTGCATTCATAGCTCGCAGCCACACGCTCGTGCGAAATGGCGCCATCAAAGGCCACAACCCAGGTCAACGAGGCTGCTTTGGAGGAAGGCACCATTGGAGAGGCTTCTACTCCGGCTTCACAGACACCCACAGCCACCCCGTCGATTATCACATCATCTTCGAGAGACGCAAACAGCACAGATGCGCTGCAACGGTCCTCAATCCGCAATTCTGCCGACGACGACCTATCGAGGCGCGATCCTCCGATCTGGCAGAAGCGACTCGCCAATGCAGTCCCAGCGCCGCTCCGACGCGCTTGGGATGTCACAGTCCGATGGGTCCGAGGCCCTCAACCGCCACATATCTATCGCATCAAACCTTTCTTCCCGCGCGTGCAGCACTTTCCCATCCACATCGTCAACCGCATCGCGCCCAGGCCGTTCCACAAATTCATCCTCTTGGTCATCCTCTACGCCGCGTGGATAGCGGCCTTTGCGACTTTCGTGACCAAGAATTCTGCCGCAGACGACATTCTCGGATATGGTCAGCCATCTCGACTCGGATGTGGTGCGACATACTGGAGCGTCGGCAACGGTTGCGGACTGAATGGAGTGGGATGCAGACCTTTCTCCAATGCCACGCTCGCTTTCCGCTGCCCGGCTGATTGCCAAAAGACCCTGGTCCTCAACCCTCGCGCAGTCGGCACGCAGGAAATCGTCTATCAGCCGCTCGTCGTGGGAGGTGGACCTATGAACCAGTCGGTCGTGGGGTTCCAACCAGGAGACCTCGTCTCTGATACTGTGTACCGAGGTGACAGCTTCATCTGTGCATCCGCCATCAATGCTGGTTTCTTTCCGGCCAGCGAAGGAGGCTGCGGTGTGTTGACGCTTGCGGGAGAGCAAGCATCCTTCCCAGGCCGCGATGCGAATGGGATCCCGGGAGTGACCTTCGACAGCTATTTCCCGCTGTCCTTTGGTTTCCTCTCCGGCACGCGCGCTGACTGCCGAGATTACCGATGGCCTGCTCTTATTCCGTCAGTGATTTTCACCGCCCTGCTCAGTCTTTTCACCACGAACCCGGCTGTACACTTCTGGTCGCTGTTCACCATGTTGTTCTGGCACGTCGGTATGATCTCGGACCCACCGCACGATGGGGCTTCCAGCGCCGCCGCCCTCGCAAGCACCGCCTTTGGACGTTTCCTCCCAGCGTGTTTCTGCGCTGCGGTCATGTACCACTTCGCCATCCGTCGATCGCTCACAGGCCTCACGGCTCAGTTCGAAAAGACCGTACTCTGGTTGGGCCCCGCCTGGGTCGGCTCCCTCAACAACTACACCTTCGACAAGATCCCCATCCAGCGCCTGACACCCCACGACCTCGCCGCCCAACCCGGTGCTATCCCCGCGCTGATCGCCATCGTCGCCGTCATCCTCGTCGTCGCCCTCGGCCAAGCCTGGTTCTTCCGCCAAGAGGGCCGCATGCCGCGCTACCTCGCCGTCTACGGTGTCCTCGGCGGCTCGCTGATCATCATGCTCGCCTTGCCTGGTCTCAGCCTGCGCCTGCACCACTACATCTTAGGTCTCCTTCTCCTTCCCGGCACGAGCATGCAGAACCGCCCGAGTCTCGTGTACCAAGGTCTCCTCCTGGGCCTCTTCATCAACGGCGTCGCGCGCTGGGGTTTCGCGAGTATCCTCGAGACCCCCGCGGCTTTGCTCAAGGGCTCCGCCCAGGGCAGCATCCTCCCCGCGGTCGCCGTCATCGCCGCGTCGGCCGCCAACGCGAGCATCACCTTCAACCTGGGTCCTCTCCCCTTCACCTCGCAGAACTTCTCCTCCGCCGAAGACCCCGTCACATACGACGGCATCAGCGTGCTCGTCAACGACGTCGAGCGCCTGCACCTCTTCGCCGACGACATCTCCTCGACGGAGTCCTCCTCGGACAACGTCGCTTACACCACAAGCACCTCCACGTCATCAAACAACAACAACAACAACAGCATCTCCGCCCCCGCCAATCTCACCTGGACGTGGCACCGCCACCGTCTAGGCAGCGACCTCGCCGCTCTGATGAACTCCTCTTCGTCCTCTCCGGCCGGAAAGAGGAATTCCTCCCTCGCGGCGTCCCCCGAATATTTCCGCTTCGCGTACATGTCCAACGGCAACGTCGGCGACTACAGCCAGGCGGGGACGTGGGACAGGGATGGCTCGTGGAAGGCCATGGCGCCTGGACCGTCGTTGAGGAAGAGGGAGGGTCCGAGCGAGGAACGGGCGGAGAGGGTAGGAGGCTCTGGAGGAATTTAGATGATGTTTCTGCTTATATATAGAGAGAGAGATAAAGAGAGATTATTCCCCTTCCAATTTTCTTCTAACGAAAGTTTTGATGAATGAGATATAGAAAAGAAGAAACTACGACAAGTTCTCCCAGGGGAAGCCTTTCTGTTTCGTGATTTCTGCCCCCGTCATGTAACAATCCTTTGGAAAGGATCGAAGTTCTGGTTACGTCGAGCGGAAAGTTAGTTCCTGACGCCGCTTGTGAAGGCTCTTCTCACGGAGGCCGAGCGGAAATGAGAGAGAAGATTGAATCAGGACGATTTACTGATGTGTGGGAAACGATTCAATGTTTCCCCTTGATGATTCCATACACGGCTGGTCGTAGACTATTGATGGTACTTTCGTGGGTGCGAGTCTGTGTGTACGAAGGCCATGTCTCCCCCTTATCTCGGGCAGTGCGAATGCTCCGACGACCTCGACTTGGGCGGAGAGGAGGGCGTGGATCGTGGCATGAACGTCCCTTGGGGCGCCGCTTGCTGGAGCACACGCCCGCACTAGCCCCGATCTGCCGACATAAGATCCGCACTCGACCACTTGCAATCGCATGATCAGAGCGCCTACAGATGAAATTCGAGTGTTGTATATAGAGACCTACAGAACAATCGTGCACAACCGACGGGTTGATCGACCCAGTCTGAGAGGCGGGTATTGTCATCGGATTTCGGAGCGGGCGAACCATGCCCCCCGGCGTTAACCACCTTAAAACCGCGCGGGAATCCATCTTTACTAATATTCTCGACGACAAACAACGAAACATGAGGCACAGCAGCGCGCCGATGATGCATCGTGGTTCTCACAGCTCACAAGAGGATCACTCGTCACATTCGCGATGTGGTCCAGCGGAAAGGTATGGCGCTGACAAATGTTGAATCGTATCTCCGTTGTTAAGTTGGACCTGCAGCCGTAGACGACGTTCCTTGCATGAAATCTACGCCGCATTGAAAGTAGAGCTCGTAGGTCAGGTAACTCTGTGCATACCGTGGCAGCATGGTGAGACGAGAAGGCTAGCAGTGTATCGTAGACACTATAAATCCATCGTGCTCCATTCTTGCTGATTCTGACAATCATCCTTTCCCCTACCTTTTCTCTCACATCTCGGCATCGTCAATCTACAATTCAACAGCCATGGCAACATACCTCATCACTGGCGGCGCTCGCGGTCTAGGCCTCGCGCTGACCAAACATCTCGTCGCTCTGCCTGCGTCTCAAGTCTCCAAGGTCATCGTCTCTGTTCGCAAACCTTCCACCGATCTGGACCTTGTCGCCAAAAGTTCCTCTGGCCGTGTAAATGTTGTTCAGTTCGATGTTGCCAACGAATCTTCTATCCAGAAGGCGCTGCCTGCGGTCGAAGCGGCGCTAGGTGGAAAGGGTCTGGATGTTCTCATCAACAATGCTGGAATTGCGCAGTACGCCGAGAACGGCACCAAGTCGATGTGAGTCTGCTGTGAAGCTGGCTAAAACGCTTAATACGGTCCTGACGTATGAGCAGGGACACTCTTCTCGAAAGCCTGCAAGTCAACGTCCTCGGCATCCACTGGGTCACCCGGACGTTCCTCCCACTCTTGGAAAAGGGCCAGCTCAAGAAGGTCGCCAACATGTAAGATATTCCGCTTCCGTTTGATCGCGAGAGCACTTTCACTAATCTCGTCAGCTCCACTACTCTCGGCTCGATTGCCTTCGCTCCGACTTTCACCTGGGCAAGCTGCCCGGCGTATAAGATCTCCAAAGCCGCGCTTAACAGCCTCACCGTCCAATACAGCCTCGATCATGCTAAGGATGGCTTCACCTTCGTCGCCATCTCACCCGGTGTAAGTCTTGGAGAGGATTACCTCAGATGCAGGACGTGAAGTTCCACGCTGACACAGAAGCACAGTGGCTCAAGACCGAACTTGGCGGCGGCGATATGGCCGATCTCCTCCCGGAGCAAGGCGCCAAAGGAACCCTTGAAATCATCGGTCGGCCAAACTCCGAGACCAACGGAAAGTTCGTCAAGGTCTTTGTCGAGGGTTGGGACAATGCTGATCGACTGCATGTGTATGATGGAAAGGAGGCACCTTGGTGAAAAGTATTGTGAAAGGCCGATTGGAGGAAAGAAAAGGAAAGAGCGACGACAAGGTGTAATGATGGAGCTTCTGGTGAGAATGCCATACGTGTGGAGCTCTTCTTCCGTGCTGTAACGGTACAGCCATCATTGCTGCAATACGTCTTACAAACCGAGTCCTTCATACGCTCTCCAGACAGTCATATATAGATGATTCATCAAATGAGACATGATGATCAATGTCAAATAGGAACACATATGTGCAGGTGTGCATAAAGATCAATGATCCAATCAGAAGCTACTCAATTGAACGTCACCTGCGATTTCTGTGAGGCGGCTGCACAATTCATGCGATGACGTCATTGGCAGCGCGCGCGGCGCGTCCCATACTACTCTTCCACAAGGCGTTCATTGTACACCGACAACAAGTCCTTTACGAAATGTCTATAAAATAGCAAGCGGCAGTGTCAGATTGCTCAATTTGATTTCCTCAATCCTTGTAGGTTTTCAAGACAAGATGCTCGCTTCGGCGTGGTACACGACCTTGGTCAGCAGCGTACTGCTGCGCGCTGCTGCGTTTGTCTTTCTGAGATGGGTAGGAAACTCATGGCCGACAGGTCGAGAAATCTGCTGACGTTGTTGATATAACAGATTCCAGGTCATGTTCGTCATCCGTGATCTCCAATCTTACGATGCAAGATCCATGCTGACGAGGAATTCCGCGACAGCATTTCCCACCGATCGTGGCGACCTTATTCGCCGTGTACATTCCGGCATTCCTCTATAGCTGGCTGAATTCATCTCCTTACAACGTCGTCGCCGATCGCGTCGCTGTGAAAACTCGAGACGTGAAGAAAGAAGATGCCGCTCCAGGTGTCGATCCTCGCTATGCGGATCCCACCGTCGATCCAGGTCAGGAACTGTTCGTCGAAGAAGAAATTGTGCTCACGCGCAAAGACCCGCGACCGCTCACCACACTTCTGACTGGTCTGCCGAGCCCGTCGAGTCCGCTATACAGTATCGTCTCTTTCCTGGTAAACTTGGCGATTGTAGCTATGGTCATGGATCTCGTTTATCGTGCACCATTACTTCATCCTGTCCATGATCTCTCTTTGGCACGAGTCGGCTACGTATCCGACACGACCGCCAATATTCTGGTACGAGAGCCGGATTCTACTCAATTGCCCCTCTTCCTATCCTATCGATGGAATGATTACGACAGAGTCAAGTCAATTCGCATGTCGGAGACCTCCTGGAAGGCTGGGGGACGGATCGATGCCCTCAGTAATGCCACCGACTTTACCGGGACTTTCACTGTCACCGGTCTGTCCCCTGATACACGCTACGAGTATGTTGTAAGCAACAATCGTACTGGGCAATTCACCACAGCTCCCAAGGTCGGGGAGGTCTCGGCACACAGCTCCTATGGCAACATGTTCACATTCGTTCACTCCTCCTGCGTCAAGCTCAACTTCCCATATTCGCCGTTTGCGCATCCACTCTCGGCGCAAGGATTCCGCCATCTCAACTCTGCGTTGTCCAGTCTACGGGCCCAATTCATGATTTTCCTCGGTGACTTCATATATGCCGACGTACCTCACCAACATGGAAAGTCTCTTGAAGATTATCGTCTGCAATATCGTCAAGTCTACGCTTCGCCGGACTGGGCTGCTGCCACCGAACACGTGCCTTCTTGGATCCACGTCTACGACGACCACGAGATTCAAAATGACTGGAGTGCCAACACCACTGCCCCTTTCGAGTCTGCTTTCGATGCCTACGAGCTGTACCACACCTCCGTGAACCCTCCTCCTGTTCGCCCGAAGACAAGCTACTTCAGCTTCACCCAAGGACCTGCGACTTTTTTCCTCCTCGACACACGCCGCTATCGCTCCCCGAATTCCGAGCCCGACACCACCGACCCTTCCACCGGTGTTCCTACGAAATCCATGCTCGGTGCTCAACAGCGCGCCGACTTCCTCGCCTGGCTCCGCCGCCCCGAGCCCGCCGGCGTGCGCTGGAAAATCGTCGTCTCCAGCGTGCCCTTCACCATGAACTGGCAGCTGACAGGCGACACCTGGGCGGGATTCCTAGCCGAGCGACAGATTCTGCTGGAAGCCATGTGGGATGTCGGGGCAAGGGAGGGAGCCAATGCCATGGGTGTCGTGATCCTGTCGGGAGATCGCCACGAATTTGCCGCGACGGCATTCCCTCCTCCCCCAGCACCACCACCATCATCGGACAAGACAATCCTCGGCCTGAGGATTCCCGCGCGGAAATCCTGGCCGCAGTCCGCCACCGTTCACGAATTCTCCGCCTCGCCGTTGAATATGTTTTACCTGCCGGTACGCACGTATCGGGAGTCGACTACAGCCAAGGCCTCGAGCAGTGAAGACGATCAGGACCAGTACTACATTTCTGACGTCTGCATCAAGTATATCCCCGATGGGAACTACAAATTCGGTGCGGTGAGCATTTCCAACGAGCGAAACGTCGGGGAACAGTCCGTGTTGAAGTATCGGCTGTTCGTGGATGGCAAGGAAACGTGGGGCTACCTGCTCACGGTCGGCGGGGTGAATAGTGGCGCTGCTGGTGCTGGAGGACTGGGATTGAGCAGAGTCAAAGATGCGATTTGGGGATAATGGTTATCGAGCAGGCGATGGAAGGTAGAGCAGGAGAGACATGTGCCAGCTCCATTGGAACGATTGATTGCTGTAGCTGATTGAGCTGACGGTGTGTACCGCATGGCGCGAAAGACTAGTCCAGTACAGGCGTCCGGACGCAATGTACACTACAGAAATGAATGCCCCCAGATGTGGTCAACAGCCCAGCGAGCATGAAGGAATTTTCTGCAACTCCTGAACACGCCAAACGTGTGATATGCGAGACGACAGAGGCGCTTAGCTGGACGCCAATCTAGCGACATTATCATTGCTCATGTCAATGAGCAGAACCTGTTTTGCTCGGTAGGCCCGAATTGGCGATGAAGCTGGCTAAAGAGTTTTTCATTCGATGTGATACAGCTGTTGAGGGTCTACGAACCTCCAGGACAGGTCGGGCCAATGTCGAGATCAAATGAGTTCAGAGAAGCAGATATCATCATCGAGGCCATAGCGAGGCGCTGTGAGAGGGCAGGCTCCACATAATCCTTTTTTCGCTTTCACGCTTGTTCCAAGCGAGAGGGGACGCATTTTTGGAGCTGATATTGTCGCAGACCGCAGCTTGAGACTTCGTCCCTCGTATCGCATAGAACGTCGCTGCCGCTGTGGTTGATTTCGACTTCAATGAGGACGGGCGTCCGATGGTCTCTCGTCATATCGTTTGTCTCCGCCTCATCTTCAGGCCGAGGAAGTTCTATAGAAGCTCCCATTTTCGCGATTGTTATGCTTATGTCGAGGAGTCTCTAGTTTCGTTGACAACTCCAAAGTCCGCAAAGTCTCACAGGCCGGGATGCTTCCATGTGAAGACTCGACACTCGTCGCAAGAAACCTGCTCGCGAAATAGAGCTTGTGGTAAATTCATGGTTTTGAGCTCAGTGAATCAGTGCAGAATTCAATGATTGGACGCTTCGGGGAATTCGTTTCACTGGCTTCACGATAACTTCGAGGCATTCTTGAACAAGTCCAGAAGAAGATTGTGGGCCTGAGGAGGATTCTCAAATTGGGAAGACATGGGCTGTTGTGGTTGCCACATCGCTCCTCCCTGATTGGGGTCGTGTGAGGCAGGATGAGCGTGAGGCAGAGCTGACGAGTTGTACGCATGCATATTCGGCCCACTTTGAGTCGGCGTTTGAGTGTCAAGGAATCTCTGCGCCTCCATCTCAACGGGTGCCTGTGGTTTGGTGAAGAGCCTTGAAAGGTCAATCTGCTGTCCAAATTGGCTCTGAGAATGTTGCGGTTGCGGTTGCTGCGGCATTTGTTGATGTTGTACTTGTTGCTGCTGCTGTTGCTGTTGCTGATGTGCATAAAATTGGCCTTGCTGATACTGTGAATTTTGATCCTGCTGAGGTGCTGGGTTCCAGGCAGAATCCTGGGACACGTGATTTCCAGACTGTTGATATGCGCCTTCGCTGCTGTCATAAATTGGATATCCATCTAGCTCCGCCGCATGCTGAGTGTGTTCCTCTGCTCTGTTCGCGCAGTCCACAATAGTTGCCGCGATCACCTCCCGCATGTCTGGTACCTGCGACTTGTCTGAAAAGATCCAAATGCCAAAAATCTGCGGCGTTCCCTCTTCATCCGGAACCTGAACAATGACATACTCCGTCGTAATTTCGATATTATCCATAGACACAAGGTCCAGTTCGAAGTTTACCATACTCTTCCGGTTGAGAATAATCAGGCGATAGCGCGGATAACCTGCTTGCGCTTCCAGCTGCACGACGAACAGTACGCCCTCGGTCTCGCATTTGTTCCATTGTTGCGAGTCGGGAGCGAATGTATACAGTGTAGCGAATGGTGCGATAGCCAGGATATATTCAACCTCCGGGTACCATCGACGCAGTACGAGCATATTCAACTCCTCTGCCGAACGCTGTGGCTGCGCGTGTACCGCCATGTCGACATGATACTGGTTGTCGGTGAGGTTGGCAGTGTCAGTGTCGTAATCGGACTGTCCTGGAGGCGCCGACTGCAGATGCACCTGCCGTGATACCTTTCTGTTGTGGCTAGGCATTACCGCGACAACCCGTGACACACACGTTTGAAGAAGAGATGTGTGGTTGTTCGAGCTTGCTCAGTCAAGCATGGCCAGGGAAACCTCGACGGTCGTCGGCGTGGCTGACTGGAATACTTCAAGCTTGGGCTGGTTGTTGCACAGAGATGGGCCACGCGGGCAATCCCGGTCCCGCCAACATTGCATCAATCAGGCAAGACGTCAGGCGAGATCATACCACGATGAATCCACAATGTACCTAGATTCCCACGATTCCTACCGATAGTCCCTGCAGGGCTGACACGGCTGCCGCCTCCTACTGCATCATTACGTGCACGCGATATCTTTGACCGGGGAATCGTAGAATCCCACATACCACATACGTGGTTCGCTTTGACAAGAAGCCAAGCCGCCCGGTCGAGACCTAGGTCCTGTGATGATTGACAGTAATAAATCTTTCTGCTCAATTCTTCAATATTTCTCAAATCTGTAGAGCTTTGTATGTGAGACAATTTTAACTCTTCAAAATGGCCCCATCACGGTCGCGGCCGACGAGCACGTCGAGCAGCCTCATGCAGGATGTTCCAGGCTCCTTTCCGGCAGCCAAGCTTTACGAAGCTGAGGCTCGTATTCAGGAAGATGCGGCAGAAGCACCCGTGGAGAGTACGTATCAAAGCATCTCAAGCGCAGTTTTTGCCCGAAAATCGGAGTATGTTCGGGAGAAGCACGTGCGCATCAAAATCGGCACCTGGAATGTTGCTGGCTGCAAAGGGACCGAGAAGGACATTGGAGGCTGGTTCGTGGGAGGCAAAGGCGTTTCGGAAAGACTTGCAGGCCTTGAAGTGGGCGACGTGAATGAAGACCGCGAATCAGTTGAAACCCAGGAGTCGCGATATCAGCGCAAACGTAGCACAATTCCAGCCGGGGACCATGCGACCTTACCTGGAGATGAAGATGTTGGTCTTTATGTGTTGGCGTTGCAAGAAATTGTCGATCTAAGTTCTGCCATGGAGGCATTACGGCCATACACCGACCCTTCCGTCATCAATAAATGGAAAGACTCTATGGCGGCAGCTTTGCCAGCCGGCTATCAGCTTGTTTCCGAGCAGCAGCTGATAGGACTAATGCTACTCATCTATGCTGCTCCTGATGTTGTTCCGGAGATTTCGTCCGTCAGCACAACAAGCGTCGGGACGGGATTGATGAATTTCATGGGCAACAAAGGTGCCGTGACAGCACGAATTGTCCTGGGAGAGACGACACGCCTGGTATTTATCAACTGCCATCTGGCAGCCGGCGCTGACAAGGCTGCGTTGGAACGACGAAATTGGGACGCTCAGCAGATTGTTGCGCGAACACGTTTCGAGCCCATACAAGATGCTATGGATCTGTCGCAGACCACTGGAGAGCAGATTGGTGACGAGGACTTTGCTTTTTGGTGTGGAGATCTTAACTATCGCTTGGAAGGAATTCCTGGCGATGACGTTCGGAGACTGCTGATGTTGCATACCCGCAACGAGTACGATTTGAGTCAGCGAGCAGCGAAGAAAATCGAAGAGGAGCTATCAGAGGCTACAGAGTCTATTCATCAACGACTCCGTGCTTCATCGACCTCCACGGCTGAAACAAGATTATCGACCTCATCACATCGATCCAGCACGGATGCAAGGTCTAGCTATGAGAGCACACAGCCATCCACAATCCTTGACGAAGTCGCAGAGAGTGATGATCCGGCCTCTCTGCAAACAACGCTTGCTTGCCTTCTACCGCATGACGAACTGCAGCAACAGATCAAAGCCAAGAAGGCATTTCATGACGGCTGGCGAGAAGGCCCAATCACCTTTCTTCCTACGTACAAATATGACCTTGGAAGCGTCGGTGTATTTGATACCAGTGAGAAGAGGCGTGCGCCAAGCTGGTGTGATCGTATCCTATACCGCACGAGGCGAGATAAACTGCGCTACGAGGCACAAGTTCGTGATGAACAAGCAGCCCGGAAGAAAGATGCCGAAATGCAAGCCGATGGCACTGCGGATCTTGCCGCGCACGATGAGTCAATCCTCTACGACTATGACCCAAATACTGACGGCGAAAATACCACTCCCGAAGGCTATGAGTACTATGAATACGATGAGTACGACGAAAATGACGAAGACGACCAAGCCAATCAGAACAGCAACAGTCAGATTGTCACAACTCGGGAAGGCTTCCAAGATGAAATCACATTGGAATTTTATACCGCCCATCAACGCGTGCTTTCTAGCGACCACAAGCCTCTCGATGCCGTGTTCTCGCTGAAGTACGATGCAGTCGTTCCGGAACTCAAAGCGAAAACCCATGCGGCGGTGGCAAGAGAATTCGACAAGGCAGAGAATGAAGGTCGACCCAACGTCACGGTCGTCGTCGACAACAATCATAATGATACCGGCGAAACTCTACCCGAAACGGACGAATTTGAAGGTGTCTGGTTTGGTAATGTCCGTTGGGGTCAGACCAAGACTCGCACTTTGACTATTGCAAATACCAGCCGTGTCGCTGCAGATTTCTCCTTCATTGAACGACCAGTTGGTCAAGATCAAGAAGGACAGAAGACGCGCGAAAAGGGGATCGCACCTTCGTGGTTGCAACTCAAGATCAACGATGTCCCTCAAACGAGCTCGAGCGAATCGACGTCGCTTTTTCGTCTTGAGCCGGGTGAGACATGTGTGGTTGATCTCACGCTTACTGTCACTGCCTTGGAGTGCGTCGCAGCGTTCAATCACGAACACATGTCTACACTCGAGGAGGTCCTGGTATTGCGTGTCGAAAGTGGCCGTGACCACTTCATCCCTGTCAGGGCGCGATGGTTGCAAAGCAGTCTCGGAAGGTCAATTGATCGCTTGATCAGAATTCCCGAAGGAGGGATCAGAAAACTCCAAGGCCAAAAACCTGACGGAAGCAAGAAAGGAAGCAGGAGATTAAGGAGAAAGAAGAGATCCAATGACCCGCAGCAGACAGAATCGGACGAAGCGGTCGAGAACAGCGATGGCGACGAAGACGACGAAGAAGACGACGATCCCGTACGTTTTTCTGCACCCCGCGAGCTGTTCAGGCTAACGGAAGTGATAGAAGAATTAACCGCTCGTGTCATTGCGGAATGGGAGATGACGAATCCGGCGCCGATAACTATGGACAAAACTACATCTGCAGGACGGGGCACATCACTTGACACTTCCAACACGGGTCTAATGGATGTCACTTCAGCGCGACCTCCTTGGCACGACGTCCCCGCTTGGCCATTCGATGAGCAGAACTGGACAGAACGAAAGACAACGGACTGGCAAGAAGCGCTCAGCGCCGCATGCGACGCCCTAGATTCCGATCAACCATTAGAGGCATCCCTGCCGCCTTCTATGACAAGATCACAGCGACTTTACATCCTTGCCAATCTGCTAATGGTCTTCCTACAGGGCATGCCCGAGGGCGTGGTGCCTGTAGAGATCTGGAATGAGATTGAGAAGTATCTTGCTACACGGGACAAGAGCCAGAAAGGCGGCTCAGCCGCATCTCTGGACGATCAACGGATGGCGGTGCAAGAGATCATTTCTCAAAAGGGACCCAACAGCATCACGTTCATCTTGATCACATCTATGCTGGAAAGAATCATCTCTGAAGTCCCACATCGTGAAGCGGACGAGATGGAGCATGCTGCTCGAGCCGCCTCGCCGCTGAGTCCTACACAGAAACTCAAGCGATTCACGCTTCTGGGCAGTGGTGGCAGCAGTAGCAGCATTGCTGGTGTCAACAATGCTAAATCTGGCCCGCCATCATCTGCAGCGGATAGGAAAAACGCTGCCATAGCCGCTTTGGCGGAGATGTTTGCAGAGGCAATGATCAAGTCGACACCTGTAACAGGTGGTGGTGGTGAGAAGGCCAAGTCTGCGCTGCAGAAACGTAAAAGGGAGTTGGTCGAGATGTTTTTGAGGAGAGATGAATGATTGACGATAAATTTGTGGAGGATTGAAGCTCGTATCGCGTTAGAGATTTCATTATGAGTTCCTCACGTGAAAATGGCACGAAAGATGATTTAGACACTTACTCGAGAGTTCTCAGAAGTCTCTAACTCGAAGATTGACGGGCCTGTTTCAATGTGTCTACTGCCTGGATAGGGCGGGCATGGGGTGAGTTTCGCGACTTCTGCTTCCACGCCAGACCACGTTGAAGCACGTGCCTGGCTTTTCCGTCGTTGACACCAGCGGTCGCTTCCCATCATCACATTCGCAGGTCGTGCAATGCAAACAACTGCATCGAATAAAGAACTACGCGAAGAGAATATGGCAAAAGCAAGTTCATATGTGAAAATGCGCACCCACGTGCAGGTCTCGATTGTCCCGGACGGTTCAAAGTGTCGCTTTTCACTGCAGGCGCCCACGTTTTCGATAGTTTCGGAGCCGCCTTCCCCATCACAATGTCTTCCAGAAGCTCTTGGCAACCGCGCCTCATGGGATCCTAACCTTCGACAGCCAACAGCAGCTAGACCTTATGCAGTAGGACCCCGAACGCCAGCCGCATGACGCAGACCTTATCGTGCGCTGCCCAACACGATGCCCGGCAGAGGTGCAGAGGGAACGCAACCCTCGTGCTCAGGTCGCCAACAACGATAGGCTGACGCGGTTCCTGGACAGCTTCATTCGGAGCTCGCGACGAGGTTGTGGGCTTACTCTTCTTCTTGCATACTCTCGCGTCTCGTTACCCCATGGACGCCTCGTTCGGACATGATGCATGAATGCAGCAGAGCTCGCGGAAAAAAGTAAACCATAGCTACAGATGCTTTTTTGCCATTCTGGCGAGAACTGCGTGGCACGGCCACAATGCCGACGATCATGATGAAATCATAAATACTGTAGCTGCCTCATCTAAGTCTCTTCTTTCGCCTTGGCCAACCGTCCACCTCACACCTCCGCGGTCCAACACTGTCGTTGTCATCATCTCATTGTGAAAGCTCTGCGCAATCGCTGCCGTCAAGATGAAGACCTCTGTTGCAGCTCTCGTTGCGGTCCTCGCCGTCGCGCCAGCAGTCCAAGCTTCGCTCTATGGACAATCCAAGGACAACCACTCTTGTGTCTTGGTTCCCGACTACAAGTCTTGCTCGGCCAAGGCCAAGCCCGACCTGGTCGACAGCTGCTGCGTTGAGACCTTTGGTGGTCTCGTCCTTCTCACTCAGGTACGCGATGGAATTCGGAATGGTCGCATTGGATCGATGTAGGAGCGATGGCACAATTGAAAGAACGGGGCGGCCGCTGCCTGAATTTCGGGCGAAGCCGCCTGGACGAAACACCATCATCGTTTCAACTATTGATGGCCCATGTCTACTGTCTCGTCAATTGGCCTCCTTTTCAATCGACCATGGCAACACAAAACACAGCCGACCATGGTATTCTGACAATATGACATAGTACTGGAACACATGGGCTGACAAGCCTCTTCCCGCCAACACTTGGACGCTTCACGGCCTCTGGCCCGACTTCTGGTATGTGTACCCCTGCACGCTACGATATCAGCATAGCAGACAAAGACTGACTCTGACCCCACAATAGCAATGGCTCATACACTCAATATTGCGACTTGAATCGCCAGTATGACCCTGTTCCGGGACCCAACACCACCAACGGCCTACCCAATGGTACCGTCGTCCCTCCGTACAAGGGCCCTGGCATTGGCACTTTCCTCCGTCCCTTTGGCAAATACGATCTTCTCGCATACATGAACAAGTACTGGATCGGACAGACCGGTGCCAATGACGACTTCTGGTCGCACGAATTCAGCAAACATGCGTGAGTGACCCTCGGCCGAGTATTGATGTCGCGAGGACAATGTGACTGATCAATTCCACGCAGCACTTGCTTCAGCACATTCGACTTGCCCTGCTACGGTCCGCAGTACCGCCAGCACGAAGACGTTGTTGACTACTTCGAGACCACTATCGGTTACTACAAGAAGTTTCCTACTTTCGAATGGCTCTTCAAGCACGGCATCACCCCGTCGAACACCACCACCTACACTCTTTCCAAACTTGAGAACGCCCTGACTGAGGAGTCCGGTGCGATCCCTTACGTCGGCTGCTCAGGTCCTCGCTACAACGAGACCGCCGCTGGTCGTGGCTCTCTGGACAACGGCCGTACCTCCGTCTCCGAAGTCTGGTATTACCTTCATACCTTCGGTAGACCGCAGTCGCTCAAGGCTGTCCCTGTCGACCAGACCACCACTAGCAACTGTGTCAAGGTTCCCGGGGCCCTGAACTACTACGCGCGCACCGGTACCAATGCCACCATCGGTGTGCTTCCCTCCTGCCCTGGCGTCAGCACCGGCCCCAGCACCGGTGCCATGTCAACTCGCCCTGCTTCAACTTCCTCCAGCAGTCGTACCTCCACTGGCACCAGCACCCGCGCCGCAACTACCACCTCTACCCGTGCGACTACCACCTCCACCCGCGCCGCTACCACCACCTCCACTCGCGCGACCACCACCTCCACCCGCACCACCGCCCTGACCACGGTCCGCACCACCACCGCGACCGGGAAGACCACCACCGTCTCGAGCGCAAAACCCAGCACCTCATCCAAGCCCACCGCCGTCTCCAGCGGCAAGCCTACCACATCATCCAAGCCCGCCGCCACCGTCTCCAGCGGCCACGCCTCGAGCAGCTCCAAGGCCACCACCACAAGCACCAGCTGCACGACCACCACCAGCAGCGTCGTCACCAAGCCCACCACCACTTCCATCGCTCCCCCTCCTCCATACTACACTACTCGCGCGACCACCACCACCACCAGCACCGTGCGTCCTTCAGTCGCTCACTACTAGAGCGCCGAGTGAATGATCGCAGCGAATCGAAATACATAATCTGGGGACATGGGAGGAACCTGGCGTTCGTAAACCGGGGGTTTCGGGACGATTTGCTGTTTTCTAATGCACATAGACGGATGAGGAGTATCGGTCCCTTCACATAGAAGCGAACATCGAACAATACAATGATGAGAAAGCATGAACGATATCGGAAATTCTACAATTCCGCCGTCGAAAAGATTCCTCGCTGGCTCATTCATCGGAGCGGGTTTCTGCCTCTCCCTCGTGAAGTCCTCCAATGTATTCCATTTTCTGTATTCTTGTCTCCACTTATGAGCGGCCTCTTTATCGGGCGCTGTTTCCTGGGTATCTCTTGGGAAGTTTCGATATCCGAATTGATGATGAGGAGGAGAAGGAGCTTGGGGTAGTCATTTTGTGGATTAATCGGGAGACGTTTGGGGTCCGGAATTTGCTCAGTTGAACGGTTCGATGTGTCATCGTGGTCGTGCAAGACGTAGGAAGAGGGAGGTTGGACAACAACAAGGATGATTGATATGCCGAATAAGTAGTTCGTCATGATATATAAGATTACAATAGGTTCATGGGTATCGTCTGAAAATATAGTCATATGCGAAGATCGCTGATGAAACAGATCGCCAGTGAAAGACATGATGCTGATCGGTGGAAAAAAGAGTCTTGCGTCACTGAACGGAGAGCTGACGGGATGCACGGATTTCATCACTGCGAAATGTGCGCGCCAGGTAGCCGTTGCCGTAGACGCTCCAGCAGAGCGGTCTCTTCCTCCGATAGTTGGAGGTGAGATGGGACTTGGATGCCGTGGGCGTGAATGCGGATGTCGTTGGGCGACGGTACAGTCTCGTTGGTTTTGTTCCGCTGGAGATCAGTATGAAGGGTTCGGTCACTGTTAAGACGCGAGTTAGCATGGAGATCGAAGTTGGGGATTCAAGGTGGAAGCGGAAAGCGTACCTGCTTGCAGTAGAGTTTGAGCGTCGAGGTTGGGCATTACCCTCCTCGGCGGCCTTGTCTTGTTGCTGCTGCTCCTTTTCTTCACGTTGCTCTCTCCTGAGCGGAGCGCCACACTTCTCTGGTGTCCACCAGAAGACGGGGTATTGGCGGAGGATGTTGTTGAAGATCAGCGCGACAGTGACCAGCAGAGAACTACCCAACAAGACTACGGGAATGAAGCGCCAACCCATCCGGATGACGTCGACGTTGGTCGCCGCCAGCACTGCCGTGGCGCCACCTGGTGGGTGCACGGTGTTGGTGATGCTCATGAGGAGCGATGCACAGGCACAGGCTACAGCCCCTGCGACCCAATTGATCTCCTCAAAGGCTGGGTTCAGCATGAACAGCTTCGCGATGCAAACTCCGATCAGAGCGGAGAGGGTGTTGCCAACGATGGAATTCCGAGGCTGCGAGAAGGGTGTGCGGATGGCATTGAAATCAAGGACGGCGCTGGCACCGAAACTTGCGATGATTGTAGGACCCGACCAGACACCCATCCGTGGACCAAACCCGGCAGCGTAGTTATTGATTCCAGCAACGAGGCAGAGGCCAGCGACCGTGGCGAGGAACATGAATGGCCATTGTAGTGCCGGAGGAATTTCTTCCGTCTTTTCTGAACGATAGCCGAGAAATTTGGAGATGGGTTTTGGTAGATTATTGAGACGATTACGAGGGATCCATGGATTGAGGTAGCGGTCAATGTTGAAGTGTAGAAGCTGATACGACAGCTTGTCCGACTGGGATGAAGCCATCGCGACAATGTTCAGTGACGCAGCGAGTGTGGTTGTCGTAGGCTTCTCGATGCTCGTAATGTTCTACGAAAGAATGGATCTGAATATCTTGTGTGCTTCAAAGAACGACACAGCAGTTTGTAACACCAGAAGAAATAGGAAGATACATTTGTGACCGCTTTCCGGTTAACCGGCGAATGTGAGAGCGGGTCTATGGCGGAACCCATGATGATCATGCATCGTGTCATACCGTGAATTAATGTACCTGGCTGTTTGTACTTACCCCGGACTACGGCAATGGTGAACCAACCTGATGTTCGACATGACACAACACAATACATGTTTGTGCATGGTATTGATGTTTGTATGGGGACTGACACCTCACATGTTTGGCAAGTGAGTCTTCTGAGAAATACTCGGACGGGCTTGCGCGTCGCGGTTCCAATGGGTCCTCGCGGTTCTCTTGTGCACAATGGCAGGTTTCGCATCCGACGAATATAGTTCAGTCGATCCGTATGACATAGCGACGGGGTTCAGCAGAAATGACGTGCTGGCAAAGCTTTCTGCCGTTGAGAGCCGTCACGTGTGGGCCCTGCTTGGCTAGGACTAATCCGAAACTTGTACGTAATTCCTTGAGTGAGGGGAACTGCCATCAGATGGAATGTCCATGAGGCCGGGCGTTTCTCTTGTGACGCTCCGAATAAAGCGAACAATGAGTGGAGAAGTAGTACGAGGAGCAGGACTGAATGAGTTCTGGCCCAGGAGTATCGTAGATATATATCCACCAGAGAAGAGGTGATGTCGATGGGTCTTGATAAGAGAGTCGAGGCCATTGGCCAATCAGCGACAATGCGATATCTCCGGAGATGGTCGAGGAGGAAATTTGTGCCTCAGGCTGTCAAATTTGGTGCCGTCAGAGATGTCTGCCTCAGGTCACGAAATGGAGTTCGCTGGTGGACGCGTGCCCTATCACGTCTGGACGCGTTTCTGAAAGTGCCTCTATCCAATTCGCGTCCCCCAACATCTACCGGTCTTGTCAAATAATTGTGTGAACAGAATTAAAGAGCCGCCCACGTCTCAACACTACGCCATCCCCACCCGAGCCCACCCAATCGAAAGCTGCATACCAAGATGTCGGACTACGAAGACAACGATGAAATGGACATTGATGCGCCATCCAACTCCATTCAATTCTCTTCCGCGAAGGACAAAGGCAAACGCAGCGCCGCCAATCTTCCTGTCGAAGCCGAAGACAATCTTCCATGGGTAGAGAAATACCGACCCAACTCGCTCGCCGACGTCAGCGGTCACCAGGACATCCTCGCAACCATCAACAAGTTCGTCGACACGAATCGATTACCACACTTGCTTCTCTATGGCCCTCCAGGAACAGGCAAGACATCGACGGTGCTGGCGTTGGCGAGGAAGATCTATGGGAATCGGAACATGCGACAGATGGTGCTCGAACTGAACGCCTCAGATGACCGAGGTATCGACGTCGTGCGGGAACAGATCAAGACCTTCAGCTCGACCAAACAGATCTTCGCGGGAAGTTTCGACAAATCGGCCCAGGACGACATGGCGCACTACAAATTGATCATCCTGGACGAAGCCGATGCGATGACGAGCACGGCTCAGATGGCACTGCGAAGAATCATGGAGAAATACACGGCCAACACGCGATTCTGCATCATCGCCAACTACACACACAAACTGAGCCCCGCTCTGCTCTCGCGATGCACACGCTTCCGCTTCTCGCCGTTGAAGAACGCGGACATCCGGAGGTTGGTAGACAAAGTTATCGTGGAGGAGAACGTCAACATCGCCGCCGACGCCACGGAGAGCCTCGTGGCGCTGTCCAAAGGCGACATGCGGCGCGCTCTGAACGTCCTCCAAGCCTGCCACGCCTCCTCCACACCCCTCCACATCCCCGGCCAACCGGTCAAGGAAGGCACCGACGTCGTGCGGGATCTGATCACGCAGGAGACCATCTACGACTGCATCGCGGCGCCCCATCCCGCCGACATCGCCACCATCACCCAGACTCTGCTCACCACGTCGAACGTCGGGTCGTGTCTCAGCACGATCTCGACGTTGAAGAAGACGAAGGGCCTGGCGTTGGCGGACATCCTCACGGCGTTGAGCGAGCAGTTGACGGAGGTGGAGGTCCCGGCTCAAACGAGGATCGCGTGGCTGCAAGGGCTGGCGGATATCGAGTATCGACTCAGCGGTGGAGGGAGCGAGGGACTGCAGACGGGAGGATTGATCGGAGTGGTCCGGTCGGGTGTGAGGTTGATGGATTCCAAGGCGTGAACAGCAAGTGATGTGTGTGGGAAACTATAAACACATCTTGTTCCGGATGGCGACGAAAGGGATGCATAAAAGCACCAGGCGGGGGTTATTTCTTCCTTTTTCAAGCGTGGCGTTCGGGCGTTTCTTTTTCTTTTTCTTTCGCTTTCCTTCTCCCTCGACCAAACCCCTCGAGTGTCACAGTCAAATCCAAACCCCAGAATTGTAGACTCGGAGCGTTGACGGATGATGATGTGTGAGGTCACGGCAGAGCATACCTAGGTATGAAAGGGAGGGTGCGAGGGCGGGCTTTGTTGGACGAGAAATGGCTGCACGAGGATCTCCACAGTTCGCCGGTGGCATGTCGCGGCAACCGAGCGTTTGGCATCCACGAGAGACGTCTTGAAGTACGGGCGAGGAAAAGATGGACGCTCGTCATCACCGGGAAGCGTTGGTCCGCACGTCCATCACGCGACACCTGGGCAGGCCTGGAAGCAAGAGACACTCCCTAGGTACTCCATATCATATCGTGCAAGGTGACTTATCCCCATCGTGGAATATCCAATCATGGCTCTCGACTCGCACCATGGACAACGGGCAGTCAGTCGTCGGTCCTTCTGAACGCATAACAGCTCTGTGTTATCGCAACGAGCGTTTTCCACTACCGATCACGGCGTCCGATGGGGAATAGTCGCACCGGCGTCTTCGCCAGCGGAGCCCGGATGATGCTGGGAATCTCTGGCACCTGGGGATACCTTCGTCGCCGAGTGGGTGGTGACGCCATTGATGCGCCCGAACACACACACATTCTCTCTGTCTCTCTCCGAGGGGTTTGTCCTGCTATCGATGAGAACGGCGGATCAGACAGACAGCCAGACGGGATATTGTCAGGTACTGGAGATTTCCGAGAACGAGATCCGCCCTTGATGAATTCCCGCAGGTGGATTTCGTTGTCACGCGCGGTTCGATTGACATACACGCTGGACGGTACGGTACAGCGCAGTGCAGTACATAGCTTGAAAATGCCTTGTCTTCATGCCTCACCTGAGCGTTCCTCATTCCTCATTCCTCATTCTTCATTCTTCATTCCTCATCAACAGCACCAACAACCTTTTTTTGCGGTCCATCGGGGTCCATCCATCACATGAAATCAGGGTCCCGATCTAAACCTTTTTAGTGCCACGCGTGCGCATTTTTTTGCCCCGCCGCCGCCTCCGACGACCTGTCTTGGACCGGTTTGGTGACGACGAGATCTTGCCGCCACATCGAGCCCATTCTCGTCGAAGTCAAATTTCCATACTATGCCGTAGAAACGGGCAGGCAGATTCTCGATTGCAGCTCTCTTGTTAGCTGCTGATTGACATTGAAAAGTCCCTGCAGTCTGTCAATGGAACGGCAGAGAAAGGAAGGGCTGGTAGGTGAAGGCCCCCAATTCCAGTCTACCTGTGTTGATCCATCGCGGGCGGGCGGCCATTGGAGCCCCGCGATCGGCGGGCCATGAAAAAAGTCCAGAACTTTGTCTCATCACTCACGACATGGCTGAAATTTTTGCCAATGGACTCATCATCGCCTCTGCTCTGTCCACCAATATGACTAGACTAGACTGATCACGACGATACTGTAGCTGCGACGACACTGGCCGCTGATAACGAATGAATGAATGAATGAACGAATGAACCGTACGTGCGGACATGGGTCGATCTCACATTCTGCAGTTGGGTAAGCGTCATTGCCGCACGCCCTGTGGTTGTTGTTGTCATCATCATCATGGTGGTGGTGGTACCGGTGCATGGATGGATGACTACCGATGCCTAGTAGTATTCACTCAGTAGACATAATGGATAGATAGTGGGTGGCCATTCGCACGACTACTAAGTAGGTAGGTATCGATCTGCCTAGCAATTGATAATGCCGAGGACGGATCGTTGTTGCCATTCCTGTGTCTGTTCTTTCCCTTCGTCCACAACTACCTAGGCATCTATCTTTCTTTCCTTTCTTCCTCTTCTCTGTGACTCACCTCATCATCAACAACATCCCGTCCCTTGTCGATTCAGAACACCTGAGCACCACTCGAGACCTGCACCTGCCGTCGACATCCTGTAGGCAGTCACCATCACCGACAGAACCACATCTCCTACATCTCGCGACCTCCAGCACCTCGACACCATGGCCACCAACGGACACGCCGCCGAGAACGGCACCGCCGCCCAGGTCGCTCCCGCCAACGGCGATGCTCCCACCCAGTCCACCTTCGCCGTCAAGGCCGGTCTCGCACAGATGCTCAAGGGCGGCGTCATCATGGACGTGATCAACGCCGAGCAGGCCCGGATCGCCGAGGAGGCCGGCGCCTGTGCCGTCATGGCGCTCGAGCGCGTGCCCGCCGACATCCGCGTCCAGGGCGGCGTCGCCCGCATGAGCGACCCGGACATGATCAAGGAGATCATGGCCGCCGTGACCATCCCCGTCATGGCCAAGGCCCGCATCGGGCACTTCGTCGAGTGCCAGATCCTGCAGAGCATCGGCGTCGACTACATCGACGAGTCCGAGGTCCTCACCCCGGCCGACCCCAAGAACCACGTCGACAAGAACACCTTCGACACCCCCTTCGTCTGCGGCTGCCGCAACCTCGGCGAGGCCCTCCGCCGCATCCACGAGGGCGCCGCCATGATCCGCACCAAGGGCGAGGCCGGCACCGGCGACGTGGTCGAGGCCGTCCGCCACATGCAGACCGTGAACGCGGAGATCGCCAAGGCCAGCTCCGCCTCGGACGCCGACCTGCGCTCGATGGCGCGCGAGCTGGAGTGCGACTACGCCCTGCTCAAGCAGACCGCGCGGCTGGGCCGGCTGCCCGTGGTGAACTTCGCCGCGGGGGGCATCGCCACCCCGGCCGACGCCGCGCTCATGATGCAGATGGGCTGCGACGGCGTCTTCGTCGGCTCCGGCATCTTCAAGTCCGGCAACGCGGCCAAGCGGGCCAAGGCCATCGTCCAGGCCACCACCCACTTCCGCGACCCCAAGGTCCTGGCCGAGGTCAGCACCGGCCTGGGCGAGGCCATGGTCGGCATCAACTGCGACCACATGCAGGAGGAGAACAAGTACTCCAAGCGCGGCTGGTAGACAGAATCGCCAAATGCAAACCCCGTTCAAGAGATGCGAACGAGAGAGAGAGAGAGAGAGAGATTGGATTGGATTTCAACAGCTACTTTTTCCCATTGCGGGGGATGAACGGATCGGATGAACAAGGGAGGGAAATGGACCAGCGAAGCATTGCGGCGGCGTTTGGATAAAAGAGAGGGTCTGGGTCTTCTTGGGATATGCAGGATCGGTTTGAGTCGGTCGATCACACCAAAACAAAAAAAAGGTTCACTACAGAGGTTATTGTGCCTCGCCTGTACAGCGTATTGAGATCGATCTCCCTTCCCCCCTTCCCCGAAGACTACCCACTTGTAGGGAGGGAAATCATTTTACCTTCAGATGTGTGTGTGTGTGTGTGTGTGTGTGTGTGTTTCTCCCCCCGGGAATGAACGGGAATGTAGCGGCGTTCACAGCAGTCGAGATTTCAACCCCCTGCTGTAGAGAGAGAAAGAGAGAGAGAGAGAGAGACGGGAGGAGCGATCGGAGGAAAGAGAATAAGACGCGAGCGAATCGATTTAGCGAGGGCCCGCGAACCAAGAAAAATCAAACCAGCTCCAACATCTCCATCCGTATGACCATGTCCCCAAACCTCGAAAAGCAAAAACGTAGGGGAAGTATCTCGTCACATCATCACATGACATCCGGGCGATCGCCCCCTTTCCACGCCATCTCCCCACGGGTCTCCTCCAAAAAGAAAACCACAGATGTGAAGAAGGATCTCCAACGAAAAGGTCCTCAAACCAACTCCTCCAGAATTCCCTCCAGCTCCTCCCGCCGGAACGGGATGGACAGCCGCTCCGTGCCCAGCCCGTCCCGCCGCGACTCGACCATCTGGTGGTCGTGGAACTCCTTGAGCAGGGTGCGGAAGTTGACCTCGCTCGAGCACACGAACTCCTCGACCGCCTTGTGGTAGAGCGTGCGGTATTCGATCCCGAAGGTCGACGGGGCCGGCCGGGGCGCCGCGGGGCGCCGCGCGGGCTTCTTGGGTTTGGGCCGCGCGGGGCGGCCGCGGCCGCGCCGGGAGGGCGTCGCTTGTTGCTCGGCTGCTGCCTCGTCCGAGTCGGACATGCCGAGGGGATCCTCCGCGTCGGAATCGTCGTCGCCGCCGCCGCCGCCGAGATGGTCGTCGTCCCCCCCGCCGCCGCCGCTGTCCGCCAGCGCCAGTTGCTCCGCGACCAGGATCCGGAAGAGACTCCGGGCGTTCTCGGGGAGGGATTTCAGGACGTACCCGACGCCGTCTTTGCCGCCCAGGCGGCGGCTGCTGCGGCCGAGGAGCAGGTTGACGTACTCGACGACGTCGAGTTCGGCGGCGTAGGGCTCGAAGGTGGTCGCGTCGTGGTGCAGGAAGCGGAGCTGTTTGGACAGCGTGACGTCCCACATCAGGGGGAAGTTCAGCGTGTCGCAGGTCGCGAGGAGCGCTATGGCCGGGTGGGCGGCGAGCCGGGCGAGCTGCAATTGGCTGGTCGTTCCTTTGCGGAGGTTGGCGTGGTCGAGGCTGTGGATTATCAGGTAGAGGTTTGGGGAGGATGGGGGGCGGGCGGAGAGGGCGGAGAGGATGGCGTCGAGCATCGGACCGGGTTGGGCGGGGAGTTTGGTGGTTCTGGGGAGGGCGGCGTTTGCGAGACTGGTGAGGATGTCGCGGACGGTGAAGCCAGGGGTATATGCGTTGGCGACGATGATTTTCGGCGGGTCCTCCTGATGGTCGTGGTGGTAGAGAAATTCTGCGAATTCCATCGCGATCTTGCGCTTCGAACCGTAGCCGTAGAAACACAGATTGAAACCCTCCTCGAGTTCGAAAGTCCACTGGTCGAATGCGCGGCGGTGGAGGCGCTTTAATCGTTCGATGTCCGCTGCGTGGGGATCTCGATACTCGCTCATCTGCGCGAAGTAGTCGTCGTGGTTCAACAAGAGACCTGCAGGTAACATATTCGAGGAAGTCTTATTGGTACCCGTCTTGTTCTGGTAGAAGTATAGCTCATGTGGAGGGAGATCTTCTGGCAATGGACTCGGACTCTTCTCCTTCCGCCGTCCTTTCCGCCGTCCGCGTGCTTTTGTGCTCTTTGCGGCTGTAGGGGAACCGTCATCCGCTGCTTCAGTCACCACGATGTCATCCTCGTCTTCGTCCTCTCCGCCTAGGATCGCGATCGCCAGGGCTTCATCCTGTCCATCATCTGAGCCGTCACTGAGCAATCCACCTTCTGCCTGATCAAAAAGTGTCCGTTGGCTCCTCTTACGAGCCGAGCGATCGTTCTGACTTGCGATTGGAGTAGCCTCTCCCTCAGCTTCACTTTCGTCTTGCTCGTCTTCTTCTTCGTTGTCCTCTGGTCTCGTTGTCGTCGAGAAGAGGACCTTCCTTAAAGAGCTAGGAGTTGCCTGAACGGATCTGCTTCCATGGCTTTTCGACGGAGTAGTCTTCAGAATGGATTTGCGACCTAGAGGAGATTCGGCCTGGGGAATGTCGTCGTCGTCGTCTTCGTCGTCGGTCGCCGGGGTCCTACGAAGCTTTTTGGGGGTCGGACTATCCTCGTCACCCGAGTCCACGGGTCCACGCCGCTTCGACATTGTTTTATCAACTGTATTCTCAAATCATAGACGGCGTAGTCCACACTCTGAATTACTATTCGCATCAATCGCAAGTGAGGAGTGCTACGTCAATGCTAGGTCGACGCGTCGGAGGACGCGCAGCTTAAGAGGTCTTGGCACTCCGCATTGTCAGCGGGACTTTCCAAATAATTGTATGCGACAAGAGCCCGACAACCTCCAGTCTACATCCACGACATTCCCACCTTCGAGAGTCGCCTGTCTGGACTTTCAGGCTCACACTCTTCACGATGTTGTCCGGGGTGATGCTCTTCAACCAGAAGGGCGAATTGCTCATTCTGCGACAGTTCCGTCAAGACATGCGACCCCGCCTGGCCGATGTCTTTCGCATTCAAGTCATTAGCAACCCACAGATCAGGTCGCCTATTCTGACACTCGGGAGCACGACGTTCAGCCACATCAAGAGTGAAAACATCTACATCGTGGGAGTCAGCAAAGGCAACGTCAATAGCGCTCTGGTCTTCGAGTTCCTCTACAAGCTGGTCCAGCTTGGGAAGAGCTATTTCGGCCGATTCGATGAGGAAGCTGTCAAGAGCAACTTTGTCATGGTCTATGAGCTGTTGGACGAGATTCTGGATTTTGGCTACCCGCAAAACACAGAGACGGAGTCCTTGAAGATGTACATCACGACGGAGGGGGTCAAGTCGGAGAGAGCATTGGAGGACACTTCGAAGATCACAATGCAAGCTACAGGAGCGCTGAGTTGGAGACGAGACAATATCAAGTACCGCAAGAATGAAGCGTTTGTGGACGTCATCGAAGATGTCAATTTGCTGGTATCAGCCACGGGGACGGTATTGCGTGCGGACGTCAATGGTGCCATTGAAATGCGAGCATATCTTTCAGGCACTCCGGAATGCAAGTTCGGTCTGAACGATGCACTCATGTTGGGCACTCACGGGTCAACATTGGACGACGGGATTTCTGGCGGAGATGGGAGTCGCAAGGCCGCCGCGGGAAGCGTGACACTCGAAGACGTCTCTCTACATCAGTGCGTGAAACTGAGCTCCTTCACAACCGATCGGACCATCTCGTTTGTCCCGCCGGACGGATCCTTCCAGCTGATGAATTACCGCTGCTCCGAGAACGTCAATCTGCCGTTCAAGGTCCACGCCATCGTCAATGAAATCGGACGCACAAAGGTGGAATACTCGATCGCCATTCGATCGAACTACGGCTCCAAACTCTTCGCCACCAACGTCAGCATCAGAATCCCGACGCCTTTGAACACCGCTTCGACCACCCACCGGACCAGCCAAGGCAAAGCCAAATACGTTCCTAGCGAGAACGTGATTGAGTGGAAGATTGCACGGTTCACCGGCCAGACCGAGTTCGTCCTGTCAGCGGAGGCGGAACTTAGTGCGATGACCACATTCAAGGCTTGGAGTCGACCGCCGCTGAGCATGCAATTCAGCCTTTTGATGTTTACCTGCTCAGGTCTGCTAGTCAGGTATCTGAAGGTTTTCGAGAAGAGCAACTATTCCAGCGTCAAATGGGTGCGGTATATGACCCGCGCTGGAAGCTATGAGATCCGATTCTGAGCTAGAGGATATCCTGCTCGAATTTCAGCTTGTTCTTCATATTCTTCATATGAATTACACTCCATGATGTGCGCCAGCATACCTTTCAGAACAATTTGGTGGGATTCTCCACAGTATCTACAGGGCTATAGACGCAGTATGTCCGACGAGGTTGTGACAGCTCTGTACGTCGATCTCGCCTTGAGCTACTCGCTCGCGTCGGCCGCCAGCATCATATGGCATCTCACGATGCCGGTCCGCCCACATCAAAGCACAGTCAACGATCATCGAAATTACCACGAAGAGCCAGGCTTCCCCAAACGGCATGGTGTTTCATGCCGCGGACCACCCCAAGAAGCATGTTCACCCGCAGCTTCTCGACGTGGATGACAGGAAACTACTGAGGTCTAGCTTGTGAAGAAAACCAATGGCGCATGAAATCGCTCGCACGCGCAACCGGGACGGAAGCGCCAAACCCCCATCTGCCATTGCAACGAGGGAGGAGCGGTGAGCTTGATCGCAACGGACCCCCTCCGATGCGGGAACAATCGAGGCGAGATTCGGGATGGCAATCACGGCCTCAACGAGCACTGGATTGTCTCCCCCTCCCCCCCCCCTGATCAGTCCGGACAAGCCGAAAGGAGCGTTCCAGGGCGAAGCAAGACCAAGCCTGCGGGGAATGGATGACTGCTATGGCGTGGGGACATTGTGGACCGCCTCGGACCTTCCCTCCACCCTTCCATCTACGATGCACTTCTCCATTCGGTCGACGAACGGGTGGAAACGAGGGGGGGCAGAGGGCGCCATGACGGCCGTCGTCCTCGCCCCCAATGAGTCCGCCCGATATCAGGGAGAATGACCGAGAGAGAGAGAGAGAAAAGGAACCATCAGATAAAGCACAGTGGAGACTCTTCCACGATGATTAGGGAGAGAGCGGGAGCGGAGGGGAAGAGATCACGGGAAGGAAGTCCCACGTTGCAATCAAAAAACACTCAGCATCTACCATCAGTGAAGGCAAAAAAGAAAAAGAGGCCGTGGTTCCTTCCCACCCGTCATCATCCCTCCATATCCATCATTATTTCCTCCTTTTCTAGGTTGTTTTCCTTCTTTGTCGCCCTCCCCCCGATAGATCTGCCCTTCCCCCGTGACGTTTCCCAACAGGATTTCCCCCGCGCCGGTCGAGATGCCCGAGGGGGAAACGCTCCCCGTGTGAGATTTCCCATTCTCTATTTCTCCGCTCCGCTCTTCATCCCCGTCCGCCGCGGAAAACCTCGCGGCTCGCCTCCACCCCCCTTGGCCCGGCCTCGCTTCAACCTCGTCCGCTCATGGGGAGGAGAGGAGAGGAGAGGTGGGGCCGAAAACGAGAAATGCGTTCCTCGGGAGGGAAGGGGTTCGAGGGGGGGCGGGGGCTACTTTCTGTCCGTCGGGGAAACAAGTTGAGCGGGCTGGGAAATTCTCGGTGGGAGAGGGGCGGAGGGCAATGGAGAAGAGGACGGAAGAGAAAAAAAAACTCATGGATTTCTTCGAAGGAGGGGGGAGGGAGAGGACCTCCCCCGGGTTCTTCTCTCTCTCGATGGAGAGGGGAGGGGTGTGAATGAAGAGATATTTGTGAAATAGACCACCCGGGAGTGGGAGGAATGCCAGCCCTGCTGCTGCTTTCTCCTCTCTCTCTCTCTCTCTCTCTCTCTCTCTCTCTCTCTCTCTCTCTCTTGGTATCGCGTATCATCCATATCCATATTCATATAGCATATCCAAAAAAAAAAAAAGGATTCCTCTCTCCTGACCCCCACCCTCTCTCTCTCTCCCTCTTCTCCCAAATATCTCCCACTCCCTCTCCGTCCCTCTTTCCTGCGGCTCCGATCAATCAATCAATCGTCCAGATCCGGATTCGCCACGAACAACCTCCCGGCGCCCGTCATCGTCGTTGTCCGGTCGTCCACGCTGCCCCTCCTCCTCAGCTCATCCGCGCTGACCAGCTTCCGGGCGATCTGTTCCTCGGGGGGTGCGAGGCGGCCCTTGTGGTTCTGCGACAGGCCGGAGAGGGTGTCGAAGGTCTCCTCGCTGAAGCTGTTGCCGCTGCCGCCGCTGCTGTCGCCCTTGCCGTGGTCGCCGTGCGGGGCGAAGTAGTCCTCGGTGTCGCGGGGCATGGGCGTCTGTTCTTCGGTGGTGCTCTCGCGGCGGGGCCAGTCGTGGTGGCCGGGGTTGGCGTCGGAGGAGGAGGATTCGAGGGTGGCGGTGCGGCTTTCGATCGGGCTGTGGAGGGTTTGGGGTGGGCTGTCGCCGTGGCTGTAGGTGTGGTGGAGCTGGGAGTTGGAAAAGGTGTTCTTGCGGCCGCTGCCGAGACTGCTTCGGCCGGAGCCGGTCCGGGAGTGGTAGCGGCGGCCGCTGCTGCTTTGGTCGTCGTCGCTGTCGTTCTCGTCGACTTCGGAGGCGCTCAGCCGCATGGGCACGCCGACGGCGCCGGCGAGGTTGGCTCCGGTGTAGGCGCTGGCTTTGGGGGCACCATGGTGCCGGATTTTGCTGCGTACGCCGCCCACCATGCCGGCGCTGCTGGTGCTCACTCGCGACTGGGCATGGTTCCCTCCTGCGACCTCCGCCACCGCCCGCATCTTTGCTTGCCGCTGGGCAGCGAGTATCCGAGGGTCTTCGAGTTGTGCCCGATCACACCAGACGGTGGCCTTTTGTTTCCTCATCAGGGCGACGTATGACGAAGGTGAGGCGGAGGAGGAGTTGCTGCGGGAGGAGGTGGATCGCCGGACATCGCTGACGGTGCTGTAGCCTGACATGGTCGACGTCCGTTGGCTGCTGGGAGCGAGGTTGGGATTGTGGACGTTTGATGAGGAGGTGAAGGATGCTGCGCTCGATGGGTGTCTCTGACCGGCACGATCCGCATACTGCGCAGCTTGTGGGTGCATGTGTGGTGCAAGTTGTTGAGGCATGCCGTAGGCGGCCCGGGGCATGACGCCGGGGTGTGACATGTTCGGTGGGATGACGGTGGAAGAGTTGGTTCGAGAGCGCGAGTGAGTGATATGTTGCTCGGTGGGATATCGGGATTGCAGCGATGGATCGTACGATGGCGGAATGTACGCAGCCGACGCCGGCGTGTAACCCGGCAGAGGCTTTCGATTCAAGAGCATGATGTCCGATGTGTCGCGCGAAGGATTCTGGTGAGGGTTGAGACACTGGGTGCCGGTACGGTCAACGGGCGACCTGGGCGTTGCCGGTCCGCAAGCGAGTAACCACGGGAAAGAGCTTGTAGTCGAGAAAGACTTCGGGCGGTAGGTATATCAGGTGAGGTGCGGAACAGTGTGGTATCGTCGCCGGAGGATGTGAAGAAATGGACCCGCGTGTTCGTGGTGTAGGCTCCTTGGAGTGATGAAGCCGCAGAGAATTGGCTTTGGCGGGACGGGTGAGTGAGTGAGTGAGTGAGCGAGAGGGTGAATTGATGGGGTTGAAGGGGAGAGATATGAGACGGTTTGGTGCCCGCCCGGTGTATGTATGATAGGATGTATAGAAGAACACCAAGGATACGGAAGAATATGGTAGGATCAGATCGGAGTGGTATCGGAGCCAGAGAAGAGAGAGAGAGAGAGTGTGTGTGTGTGTGTATGAGGTGTGTGTGTGTGTGTGTGTGGTGTGCAGTCGGTGGTGGTGGAGGTGGTGGAGGTGGTGGAGGTGGTGGAGGAAGATACTGGGCTGAGGGAGTGATGCAAGTCAAGACTGGTTGATTGGATTTGGTTGGCCGACGGGGCTGTCTGTCTGTCTGGCGGGCGGGCGGGCTGGCTGGTGCTAGCTTTTTCGCTTCAACTTCTGCTTTTTGCGATGTACTCCCCCCCGCCCAATGGTTGAATGATGTTATGTATACAGCGAATGGTTCACTCTTTGGTGATGGTGGTGGTGAAGAGGTATGCTGTTGCGCATCAGCTGATGTGCCGTGATGATGATGATGGTGATGGATGATGATGGTCGTGGTGATATCAGGTCGTGGTGTATGTGGTGGTGTATGTGGTGGTGTATGTGGTGGTGTATGTGGTGGTGTATGTGGTGGTGTATGTGGTGGTGTATGTCCTCGGGGCAGGTAGTGTAGCATATCATATGCAGGTGTGCGTGCGGTAACATCGGATCGGAACAGAAGTGGGGTGAGTGCTGGCTCCTGCTAACCACGACTATCACTACGACCACGACTATCACTAAAACTACGACTATCTATCACTACTGCCACTGCCACTGCCACCACCAAGAGATGATACAACAGCTCTTGACGAACGTCACGTCAGGGCGGTCGGCGGTGATGGCCGGCGATGATAATCAACCCTGGCACAGATGTCACAACGTCCGCTCCATGGGATTGTGAAAGATAACTGTACACGCTAGTTGGACAATACCAAGGTGGTATCGCATGTCTTCTCTGCACTCCTCTTCCTTCCGTTCAGCTTATCTCTTTGTACACAGGTATACTTGTCTAGCATTTCACGTCCCACACTGGACGACCGCGACGTGAAACATGGGCATCCACTGCGCCGTACATACATATATATATATATATACATACACTCAATCTCCATCAAAGAATGTGGGACGGCGATGAGATGCATCCCAGGCCGGGCCCTATTTTTGGTGCCCTAATCCCGGCAAATCCAGCCCTGGCGCAGACCAGTCTTCGGGGCCGGAAGAGAGAGAGAGAGAGAGAGAAAGAAGCATTGTAAGGTTCGCACGGTTCAGTGCAGTTCAGTCCATCATCAGCATCTTCCTCACCAGCAGGTGGGTATCTTCGAAATGGCTCACAGCAGCGCAAACCCCAAGTTTCGCTCCCGAGGCATGATCATCTCTCCGGTCGCTCCCTGGGAATCGCCCCCTCGGATCGTCCTTTGTCATAATGATTATCGTTATTATCGGTCGTTTCCGATGGCTACACGGTAGAGCTGGAAGGATCTCCTCCCGCCTCGTGTATGGTTGTATGTCGTATGAGAGATTTATTCATCGCACTTGCCCCGTGCGCGGCAGATGTCATCGGCGCAGCTCCCTCGTCCATGCACGCCAGTCGCTTCTCGCGATTTAGCTTCGGCTTGGGATAGTGCCGAAAGTATCATCCATGGCACTAAATCGCCGCCCGTAAATCGTGTGTACCTAGGTATCTGGGGATGAGAGGCAGATGGTGGGTCGCATTGCACTGTGATGTGCTCGACATGTGAAGGGCGATAAAGGTCAAGAGGCGACGATGTCGGATTTCACGGAGCGGAGAATCGTGAGCGTCGTCCTCCCTCGTCCGTACGTCTCTCTCACACATATCACCGAGGCCTAGTGTTTATCGATCACGACACGGCGGGAGCCAAAAGAATACGGCGACTCCGGGATCTCACAATACGATGACGGCCTGCAGCTGCACGACCTGGATGGTTTGCGACATCCCCACCTTCACATGATTGCTGCGGCTTGCAGCTGCTAGGCCGTGGAACCAATGACCGTAGAAGAGATCGTGATACTGCACGACGGGTGTGTGCGATACATCTGCATTCACGAGGAACCGGACCTCGCGGAAGAGCCCGGTCTAGAATGGCTCGTGCAAACCCATGCGCGTGTTGCAATCGTAGCACACGGAGCAGAACCACGAGGCTGTAGCTAGGACATGCTGGCCTCGGGGTTGCTCTTTTGTTGTTTCGCAGTAGCTCCTACCGCAGGCTTGTTTCTTCGTCCCGGGGCCCACCCGATCCAACATCTGCAGCAGCCGGAATGGAAAAAGAAATTTTCCACGACCGCATCAGAGCTTCGCCGGCACAGTTCAAAGCTCTGGGATCCTGTAGTCACAAGCGAAATTATCCGGTACCGCAAAAGCAATGTCCGTCCGGGGCGGAGACGCTGTCCCAAGTGTCGAGTGTGGGCGGGAAGAGGGCCTAGGCTCGTCAGTGTCAAACGGACCGATGCCCGCAACCCGAAACCCAAGCCTAACAACGACCTCCAGGCACCCAGGACTGGCACTTCTATGATCATGAGTGAACAATGGAACTATCGACTGTCCTTCGTATGCCGCCCGCCCGCACCATCGCGGATGTCGGTGGGAGGAGATACGCCATGGGTGTTTCCATTGCACTGCTCCAGAGCTTGGGTGTTTTCGTGCCTCCCAGCAGCCTCGATGTGTGCACTGTTCTCTAGCTTATTCATGTCTGCCATCGGGTGAGAGAGGCTCATTTGTCAGGTTTCTCTCACTCTTTATGACCGCCGGCACTTGCTCTCTGGTACTAATCGGGACGGGACGCTCGAGGATCTGTTGCTTGATCATGTGCAAGAAGACGGACCGCGCGCGGATGTTTTGTCCATGTCGGGAGAGATGTCGTGTAGGACAATCTCGATAAAGTGTTTCTCACGGTATGCCAATCCCGTGCAAGTGTCGTGTGCGCCGATCTTCTCCTCGCATACAGTACGTGTGCCTCTTTCCCCAGATTTCTCAGTGGTGGTGGCGATTGGACATTTTGCCGCCGATTGATGGGTGGGTGGGTGGTGGTGCCCGCGGTGCAATCGCCGCCCGACCAGAAGAAATACGTCAGAGAAAGGCACCTGCAACACACTCGACGAGAGACGGCATGGGCATTGGCAGGTCGGCACACGCGGGAATAATAATAAAAGGTCCGAAAGGAACAGCGCGGGAGAAAAGAGACAGGTAGCTCCGACCACCGTCCAATTCCCAGTCGATGAGGGAATGGAGATCTCGTCATCGTCGGACATCCTTTGGCATCACATTCTCCTTTCGAATGTGAAACCCACGGACGACGTAATGCTCTACAAATTGCCCAATCGGATCAACACCGCGTATGTAACAGGAATGTCCTGTAGTAGTGATGATGGAAGAAGGTACCTGCTGGGCTGGCTTGGTTGGATGACCGGCTGGCCTCGTGCTGGTGGGTTGCAGTTCCAACAGCTCGAAATTTACGTCAAGTCCAAGAACGATCGCCGTCGCCGCTGCTGGCTGGCTGGGCAGGGCCAAGCCCAACGACATGCTACGATACAATGGCAAACGATATATAGGAGGAGAAAGATCATCATGAACGGGTAGTGCTGTGAGACTCGACCCTGGGGCAACGATGCGACATCTCGATTCAAACACGGCGCCGTGTGAATATCATCCCACAGCCAATCCTGCCCTGAACGACCTTGTCGTTGTCCATTTCCGGTCATCATCTACCACGCAGATATGTCATCGATGAGCTGATGATGGCGATGAAACGATCCGATCCACATGGCAGGCCACATGTGGAAAAAAGACGGGCGAACCGAAATTCCACAGTTGTTGATCGCGAACCCTCCGAGGGTAAGGGAGACGGGGAGAGGAAATACGAGATGCATTCCCTCGTGTCTTTCCAGAAATAACAATCGTTTCCATCAGGCGATGATGCACGCTGCAAGCCTCATCGCGTCTGTACAGACTGGCCCGGGGTGTTTCTTCGTCGGCGGGCTGGCTGGCCGGGGGCGCGCCGGGCGGGACGGAGGACTGACTGATGACCGACTAAATTCTCCTCCACTTCGCGCGAGCGAGCAGGCGAACGAAGCCCTACCCAGCGCGATATGAGCCTCTGTTCGTCCCACGTTACATCGCGTGGAAAGAGGAACATTAGCCGCCTTTCTCCCTCGATCGCACAGGTAGTGTATTTTTCTATCGAAATTCACATGCGCAGAAGCGATTCTCGAATTGCGATATCATCGCCTCGGTGGGTTTCCCGGCGTCGTTGATACATGTTGTGCTCGCTGCGCCTCCCTTCTTGTCCCGAATGGCTCGCTCGGGGATGGAAAAGTGGCGAGGTGGGCGAATGAGCTTACATCGGACTGCAACGCCGAACAGTGGTATGTCGCAACGAATACATGGTAGTGATACCTCCCTCCAAGGTTGTCATCAAATCGCACTGTGCCTTCGACGTCATTGAATACGTCAGGAGGATCAAGAGATCATCGCGCGACCGTCACACGTCGTGAAGCGGATAGCCATGCCACGATTCCTTGCCGAACGGAATAGACCAACACGATAATGCTTCTAAAATCTCACGGTTTTGAAATCTCACCGCAGAGACTTTGTTTCCACTGCACCGCAAAAGCTTATCAGGCAAGAAATGAGGGCTAGGACGTGCATATCAAGAAAAGGCTAAACTCTGCGAGACTCGCTCGTGTGCTACTATGCGAGAGCTACGGTACTTAGGAGATGTGTGGTCTGTATGCGCAACCTAGATCGACGGCCACTGCACGCGCCGGGGACTTCCACACGGCATGGGCTCAGGTCACGAGAAGCACTGAAAAGTCCTCCGTCGGTAGCGAGGGGAGATGCTCGATGCGACAGAGTGAAACAAGGCCCGGGAGAACTTCCCAGAAGGTGTAACGAACGAAGAGTGCGATGTCTAGCCCTGGACGGACGGCTGGCGCGTGGACTGCGGCCATGCGATTGCTGGTGGCTGGGGTTGAGAGGAAAGCTGATTGTCTCACACTATCGTGATTCTCTCTCTCGCTCTCGCACACACACACCCGGCTTGCTGGCCACGTGTTTGGGATAGTTCGAGCTCGGTTCCCGGTTTTCGTTCGCTGTGATGGGAGAAATGGTAGTTCCTGTTTCGTTTGCGTGCACCGTGTGTGATGGCGTGATATGCCATCTCGGCAGAGCTGCGTGGAGATTCGAGGAGGAGGAGGTTGACGATAGGCCTTGAAGGAGCATCACAGTCAAAGGCTGTAGGACGTGAGATCCGCGAATTTTCGAGACGGCTCAAATGGCAGTGTGACCATGGTAACAGGGCTCATACTTGATGTCGAACTCGAAGTGACGTGGAATGGGATCTTGAAGCTTGTCTGTTGTGTGATGTTCCCAGTTGTTGGTGTCTTTGAGGTTGGACATCTCCGTCTACCTAGGTGGGCTTGATACAAAGTTATCACATCGAGCTTAGTTTTATTGTCCAGGCACGTAGGATTTGACTTCCAGCTATGTAACCGTGAGCACCAATGTCCCAACATACGAAGTATTTACATTGAAAGGAATCTGCGATATTTCGTCATTGTCCACCTGGGCATGCAATGACAACCCAAACCCTAAGAACCACCGCCGGACTAACCCCAGCATCGACCCTATGGATTCCTCGTGGAACCTGTGAAGAGACGATTCTACAGATATCTATTGAGCATGACGTGCTATGAGCTCAGTCTTCCCTTGGGATCGTTCGCATGGACACGTTTCAGAGACAAGGTCCCCGATAATAACGAATCACGTATGAAACGAGACTACAGCATCGAGAAGCTGTGTGGAATAATCTGCGCCGACGTCGCAATATCTTCAAATTACGAGAGCATTGTCAGCTGCACCTTATTGCGCGCTAATGAATATTGAGCTGCCAATATTTATTTACCATATCAAACAAGCCAAGGCACCTAGATGGATGATCATCTCGTGGGTGTAAACCAACCAGAAGTCAGATTAGTAGAGCGGCTCCTCAGCGCCATGGTACTTCTCCGCAATGGTGCTCGAACAGAATGCTGGAAGGACCACCTGGCCAAATACACAAGCAGCAGAAGACCGGCCGGATCGGCACTATTGCGTGAGAACGACACAAATTCTACCTAGAAGTCTTGCTGATGACGACGAAGGATGAGGAGAACCACTGTTGATAGGTGCTCAAATGTGGAACGGATCTGTTGACAGACGCCCCCTATCTGCAGCGCTCAACAGGAACCTCCAAGGTCCTCAATCATCAGCTTTCCGGATGATGACTTCGAAACCTCACCAGCAAGAGTTCGACATATGGGAACCCTGGTGTAATAAATCTCGACTTCACAGACAAAACTTTTTCGTCTTGGTATCTTGTTCACTAGGAAACTGTTGCTCGGAGCATAAAACGCGGCATCCATGCTTGCGACCTGGAGCGTCCTCAATACCTTCAACGCGGCATGGCAAGCCTGGGAAATTGGGCGGTTGTGCAGAACTTCCACCCTCACCTGGGTCGCGCCCATGTCAAACCAGTATTTCGCCCAGTTCCCTCTGGATTCTGCTCTTGCTCTCGACAATTCCTTACGCCTGACGCGTGATTGTTGCTATGGTGTGCCCAGCATGACGGGTGAAAGCGTTATGCGTCAACGATGAACTACCTGCTCAACCGTGACGTGCTGACTGCGCAGCAATCCCTCCCACGCAGGAGGACAGTCCGAAGAACGGTGAGTGGACATGCGATTGAACGTGCTTGAAATGACATACACGTAAGAAGTGACGAGAGCGTTTGTATATCATCTTCGCCGACGCGTGATTGTAATTATGACCGCTCAACTTCCTCATCTTCCTCATCTCCCATGCTGATTTTCCTTTGACACTTACGTTGTTTAATCTCTCACCTACAGTCGCTCTTTAATACTCTTGTTCGCACTTCTCATTAATCATTTTAATTATCCGTTGCTCATCAACGTCCACTGTCGCTACGAAGAACAGCTCAAAAGCAAACACACTCGCTTGCCAAACAAACAACAACATTCATTCAAACAAACAACACTCGACAACGGGATCGTTAGGAATCGACTTGATCGACAGTGAAACATCCTGCCAAGAGATCTTGAGATCGTCAAAACATCATATTCGTTTAGCGATCGGAGCATCACTCAATCAAGGAGGTCGTCAGACGCCTGGAGAGGAGCATAGCTCGGCAGCGCCACCATCTTCTCGTTGCTCGGAAGATGCGCTAGGCCTCAGATCGTCCAAGATCTCGACTGAAACACAGCCATAGCTGTTACAACACTCCAAACCCTCTCGGACGCTACAATGTCCCGCATCATCCATTCGTTCGATGGACTGGCGTGGTGGCAACACCACATCCTGTCACGACGACAGGATGGACCAAGCGAAGCAACTTCGACATCGCCTGACGCCAACACGGCTACTCAAGACAACACTCGCATGCACCTCTACATTGCTCTCGGAGCTGCGATAGGAATCCTGATTCTTATTGGAGTCTTCTGTGCTATAGTTTTGATCAAGCGCCGCAGGCGACTAGATATCCAGGAACTGGAAACCGGCCATGTCGATTCCGAAGAAGATGTACGCTTCGGACAGGGCGTCATGGCTGGAAAACCAATCATATTTCTCGTCCCTCCACATGGCCAGATACCATTACCGGCGATGAATCAGCGTAATCTTCTCGATGATCCTGAGAAGGAGATGAACATCTTGTCCTCTAACCCTGCTCCGCGTAGACCAGCAAAAAAGACCGCAAACATTCTAAAGCGCATCTCAGAGCGCTACAGCACAGCGGGGGACGTCGGCGAAGCAGAATCCAATCCCACAGCATCGCTAGATGCTGACCCCGAAAACACGGGTCAACTCAGGTTTCCCCCTTTCGAAGAAGAGGTCAGGTTTGCTCATAACGCGACCAATCGCGCCAGACCAATGACCACGCCAAGAGCGAGGCACGTTCGAGGTGTATCAAGCAGGACTTTCTTCAATTTCATGCCAGAAGGTGCAGTGTTCAACTCCATCCCACGCGCATTCCGAAACTCACAAGTTGAAGGTGATCGACCTCCGAGTTTGCCTCCGTTGGGACAGGTCTCCCCCTTTCATGTTCCACAGTTGCGTCGTGGCCTGACAATGAAACGTTCGGGGTCCCTCCGCACTCGTCTCTCCTTCAACAGCGGTGGAAATGTGAACGCTCCCATCCTCCGACCAAATAGAAGGAGCTTCTTCGGCTCTGCAGACTTTTATCGCATCTCCAAGCACGATCGGACCATCTCGATGAGATCTGATCTTTCCACTCAGCGATCAACGCCGAGCACGATCAAAGCTAGACCACGATCAAAAGAGAGCAGGTCTGCGGCTGTCAAATCTCGAGCTTCTACCCGTCCGACTGTCTCTCGGTCAAATAGTGACGTCGGAACCTTCCGAACTGGCTCTGCCGCAAGCTCAGAACTTCCCGAGAGCTCATGGAATCGATTTTCCGTACACCGGATCGAGACGGCGAACCAGATCAGTATCAAGCGTTTGTCAGGAACCGGTCCTCTTATCGGCGCAGTTAAAAGCGTTCAGAGAATCACAGGTCCGATCAAGAGGCTCCAGCCAAAGGTCATCGTGACCGCAAATGGCTCACCGGTCGACCGCAAGAGATCCAGCGTGATCAAGAGGTTGAGCCTCGTTCGTGCACAAATGGAAGGCAGCCCAAATACAGCTACGCCTCCACGCCGGCGAACCCCCTCAACGCAGCTCCTGTATCGAAGCGTCGACCACAGTGTCTCGCCTATTACTCCCCCTAGGAAGGCATATCAACACAGGACCAGCCAAGGCAATCCACAACAGGCGCAAAAGTCTACCACTGCTATCGCCGGTAGCGGAAACGATCAGGGTGCCGCCATGAAGGCCGCTCAGATCAGCAACATCAGCATTGGAATTGCTACTACTACCAGACAGCCAGTGGCATACCCGGCTCCGGTAGCTTTCACCCAAGATGGTGCTGAAGATCCCTTCTTCCTCGACCGCACCATCTACTCACCGAGGTCTGGTGCCAGTCCCCGTAGCGGCGGACGCCGCAAGCGTTCCTCTGGAAAGCAAAGCCCAGTCAGCCCACAAAGCACCGACTCGACGCCCATGCGATACGCGTGCTCTCGTGTCATGCACGGAATTAAAGAAGAGGTTGAGAGTGATAATGAGGGTGAAGTCAGCCCTGCTGTCACGGTCACTCAGATCCATAGCTCGCCCCTCCCGCGAGCCACACCTACGTCAGGTGCTTGGTTGGCTGCCTCACCTACACTACCCACGGCTGCAGCTCGTGCTACATACAACTCTCCAGCAGTGGACCACCGGTCCATGTCTGCCAGGGCAGCATCGGTCACCTCGCGACAGTCAATGCGCTCTTCCGTCAGCCGATTGAGCATCCCTGAATTCCCATCAACTCCGAGCAGATTTCACGCCGGACCGGGCTCAGTGGTCTCCGAACCTGACCCGCTCCCAGCGCATGCCTACTCGGATCCGTCTACACTTTCCAGTGCCCGCGACAACGGCTCCTCCGTGGCGTCGTCTTCTCCTCCAGTGCCGACTACATCCAACTCCACTTCTACTCTTCCATCAAGTCCTCTCGATCTGCCCTCAAGCCCACCGATCATCGCGCGCAGTCTCCCGGTCCTACCGATCCAGAGCCCCAAAGCAGCATACCGCCTGTCCAAGCTCTCCAAAGACGACGAGGAATTGATCCCCCTCACCGCAACCTCCCAACCCGGTCCCCTCCTCCCCCGCACCGCAATGGAGAAGCCCAAGAAATCACGCTCCTCTCCCCGCAAAGCCGTCGCCACCGAAGACTCCAGTAAGCCGCGCCGCACCCGGCCCACCAAAGGTGAAGCCGAAATCGACGCCATGCGCCGCCGCATCACCCACGCCCTCGACGGCTACGGGTCCACCACCGCCTCTCCCAGCACGGTCCCCGCCGCGCAGGATGAAGGTCGCGCGCACGACAGCGGCCACGAGGAGCTCGACGGCGGAGAGCACCACCGCGAAGATTTCGACGCGTACGACGAGGCCGACGATGATGATTCGATCTGGGAAGCCCCCAAGTTGCCCGAGCTGGACTTTGATCCGGCGCCGCTGTTCACGAACAGTCCCGCGGCGAGCCAGTTGCATGCGCGGAGGATGCACAGGACGCCGAGACGGTAGGGGGATGCATCTATTTGATGTGACTGTCGACTGGATTGGTAGGCATGGAAAGGGAAAGGCGTTCGGATGGGAAGAAAGCGCAATGTTTCATGACTGTTTTTGATTTTCACTCTGGTGCTTTTTTCGTATCCGGTGGAAAGCTCCCCGATTTCTTTTTCTTTGTCACTGGACGGATTTCATGGGGTTGGATTGGGTGTCTAGGTGTTGTTAGTCCCAAAATTTAGGATTCTTCCACGAGTATGATTCAGAAATCTCTCTCATTCGATCAAATGTCGTTTTCTTGTGACCGATATGCCACATTTAGGAGCGAGAATCAGGTTCGGACACGATGCTGTCAACGGACTGGGATTCGTGACTGCTTTATGAAACCGCTCAACGTGAAAACCAACCCTAAGACTGGTTGCACTCGCGTCACCGACGATCGCAGCCGGATGACCTTTCACATCAGGAGGTAGATGACGACACCGAATCTACTCCTGCCTCCATTGATCTCATCGCAATAATGACCGCCGTCGACATCTCTACCGGAGAAAAAGAACCCGAAATGATCATGAAGTCCTCTGCCATTTACTCTCCCCATCACCACTTCCTGCGCCCGCCGCGCCACCCTCGCCGTCCAGGCCCGCCTCATCCCTCCTCCTCACCGATCCCGCACCACCGACGTTCCCGCCGACATCGCCATCAGCATCGTCATACGTGCCGGCCTCGTCGTCACCTCCGATCACCGTCGCACCCGTCGGCATCCGGAAGTTCCCATCCTCGTCCATGAAATCTGCCATGTTCTCCGATGTGATCCACCCGGTTGCACCGGGCGCGGTTTCGTCAAAGAAAGCATTTCCGCTACCGGTGCCGCCCATTTCGTCGTCATCGTCTTCGTCGCCCGGCAGGCGAGGGTCCGGGTTGAGTTCTTGGCAGTTGGAAATGGCATGGAAGAGGGATGCTGAAGGCGGGATGGGATGGGCGCTCGCGCCGTTTGCAGTCGAGGTGTTGCTGCCGTTGGTCTGCTCGGCTTCGCTGGTGGTCCCGTTTGTGGCGCGGTCGTCGTTTTCGGGGAATTCTACCGAGGTGGGCAGGATGCGGAGTTGCAGGACTTCGATGTCTTCGTCGGCGACATCAGCAGGGGAGAGTGTTAGTTCGAGGAGGACTTCTGCTCCGTCTTGTGCAGTGATTGTGATGGAAGGGTAAGAGACGGTTATGCCGATGGACTGTTTTGATGCGTAGAAGACGATGTATCTTGGGACTTGGTCAGTTCACTGCGCTTATAGACTTTTGTCCTAGATCATGGTGGTGGAAATTAAGAGTATTGAATGCGTATGAGATTTTGGAGAGGTTTACTTATTCGTCGCCCATACATCAACGTCGGGAATATGCACATTGCCACCCTCATCGGCTGACGTCGCATTCGCTCCGGCCAACTGCTTCAATTCTGCGTTTTGCTCAAATTCCGTTGTTGGTATTTTCACTGTGGTTGCTCGTGCAAGTTGATGTAGAACTCCTTTGCCGTCAAAGGTCAGAGGAGTTTGTGCATTGTATTCTGAAAGCGGAGTGAAGTCATCCAAGGCCGGCGGTGATGATGTTATTCGTAAAGCCATGGTGAAGCCGTGATTGTCAGTACAAAAGGAAGTTGTAGTCTATGAAACTGCTTCCTGTTGTTGCCAATCGCATCAAGCTTGCGTTCATTCGCGACTCCTCCTCATTGACAGCCCCACGCTTATCGATAATTGGTCGACCACCAACTGTGTGCCTGAGGCACAGAACGCTGGGACTGCGCGTCAACCACGAGAGAACTTCGACTGTTCGACTTGCTCCCTTCCTCGCTGCTGGTCCACTGCTGTCCGTCGCTCAAGCGAATTGTTGCTGACTTCCCACAGTCCGCTGAAAAGAATGCTGCGATTCTTTGCGCACTCGACGCGAATCGTTGCGAAATGACGATTGGCAAACGAAGACAGAACGGCGTTCATCTGGATGCCCATGTGCTACTTCGGACTCTCTGAAAACGCACACTATTGAGATGCTCGAATGTGTCCGCATAACCTCCGAATTCGTCTTTCGATGGTTTCTCGAGTCGGTTGTATTTGTTGTGCTTGAAGCGCGCGTGATATTTCCAATGCAGAACGAAGAAATTCCTTCGATGACTCGGGAGTCGTATGATGAACACGCCGTCGTCGCGTGAAGTTCAGAGCGTGGTCCAAGTCCCTCGCATATTCTTGACTTGGTCCCTGTTTCGTGGCGCGACCACACGTAGGTGTTTTCGTTCAACTCGAAGGATCAGCCATGAGGCCGCTGTCGCCAAAGTCGATCGCCGGCATACGCATACTGCTATGGAAATACCATAGCCATTGGCCATCTTCTTTCTTCCACTTGCAGACGCTCATACGCTGTCGCTTCACGTTCTCTGGTGCGCCAGTGATCTCGAAGCAGACGAGCACTTCGGCTTCGTTGTGTCCATTCGTGATCTCGGTTGACATGTCCACGATGCGAAGATGATATTTGGGGTACATGGTATTACTGGATTGGCACATTGCTAAATATCTGAGATAGTGTCAAATACTCATTCCGGGTTAATTGATGAGATGGGACATGTCGCGAGCAAAATGACAGCAGTCCAAGGGCGTGAGACTTACTCGGCTAAAGTGGAGCATGCTTGCACGTAATCGGATTCGAAGCAAAAGTTGGCTGCGATGTGATCAAGGATGATGGGACTTGTATAGTCTCGCTCATTGAATAGAGTCGTGATAGTACGGGTCAAGGCTTCCAGCTCATCGATGTCCGCCTGATCGTTTCCGGGCGTTGACGGAGTGTTGGCAGAGATTGGATCCGAGTTGACCGAACTGCCAGAAGGTGCATCGTTCCCGGGTGACCATTCAGAGCTACCAGTCGGGGGCTTGGGACGGAGTGGTCTCATGCTGGCACTTGAGCAAATGAAGAGGAAAAATTGAGGGCCGAGTGTTCACTAGGTATCAAGTGTATGGGAAGTTGGTGCTGTATGGCTCGCGCCATCGCGTTCTTATATATAGATAGATCTCTCGTCGTTCGAGGCACTCGCCTGGAGCTCGATGGCCAGATGGATGCGTGCGCGAGTCAAAGAACGTCGAGACAGAGCACCGAATCAGGTCAGGCGTCCAGGACTAGGCGACCAGACAGCGACCAGACAGTGGCTCGGTATCGTTCTATTTTTCATTGCACTTCGGCATTCTTCCTTTGATCATTGGGATGTCACGAGAGGAGCAACATCCTTGGGTATCATAAGCCACCCCGGTTGAGGAATGACGTAAGGGTGGCTGCATTGATCCGGCCCGGCATTTACCTATACTGCCCTATGCCATAGAATCACGATTGCTAGATGTGATGAATGACACGCATCGAAGGAATCAGGTCCAGATGCGGCCTGAATATTATCACGAAAGTGTCCGGTGAGGAGGAGGATTCTGGACGTTGTATGACTCTACTCAATGACACGCATATGCAATAGCTGCCTCGCAGTCGGTTAGATTCCGCGCGCCCCAAGCATGTGTGGAATGATCAAGCCAACGCTTCTTCTTTCCTCGGGCTGTCATCAATCACAGGTGAGGCTGAGAATGATTACCATCATGCACAATGGCACCTGCACAAATATCTAGGTATGTACTGCATCCTCAGCCGAGCCATATCCTCGACTCTGAGTGGCTGTACGCGTCTATTTCTGCTTATTGCCAAGGACGGATTCATCCTCGGCGGTTTATTCTGACAGAGGATCAGGTACACAGGATCAGGTCAGCTCTATAATTCAGGATACGCAATGCATCCGGAAGGATGAGATATGTGTTTTAGGAGCAGCCGCACGGAATCTGCTTATGCGAGGAATATGTTCGACGGAAGAGCTGAAAGGTGTGATGTGCCGGGCCTCCCAGCCTCGGCCAGCAAAACATCTAGATGATACTCCGAATCACTCATGCGGATTCAGGTCAGTTCAGTACAATCCACTCGGCATTTAACCTCACAATTATGTGTGTATTCATTCGTGTGTGCAGTTCAGACATGGTGGTATGTAGGCACATGCACCGGATTCCATCTGGACTAGCACAGCTGCGCACGTGTAGCGAGAATGCTATTTGTGTCCTTAAGAATTTTGAAGGAATCAGGCTCCACAGTAGTGGGTCACTTTAGGGGAGCACCTGCAGCTCAGCCCTTCGAAGGATAAAATAGGTACAGTGCTGTGTTCGCGAACATTCGAGGAAGACAATCCCGTGCTTTGTATGATGACAACCCCGGTGACTTCTAATCCTCTCCTATACCTACCTAGGCAGGTCAAAATTGTCGCCGCCATTTGGCAAGCATGGCCGGCACGTGTTGCAGGCCTCGTTTGCGAACCCGAAAGAGTTTCGATCAGCTACATGAACATCTGCATTGTCGCCAGATCATAGAAGCGAGACTGCGCCTCCATAGATCTATCATTCTGAAATAACCTGTTGAATTCATACTGTCGGCTCAACTGCCGTGGATTCATCGCTACATTTCTCAAAAGAAGTGAGGTGTCGCTTGTGAGCACTTCGCGACCTTCTTCCATGGAGGAGCCCTGCAGGGATCGAATCTACGATGAATGCGGTTGCGGACGAGAGTGCTCCGACATGACCGACGACGATACACGAGCGCGATTTATGCTGACACATGCGCAAGTGATGTACTGCACTGGGCACTGTAAGCGACTCCAGGATCCTGGAGTCAACAGCTGCGGCTGGAGATACAGCTGGAGTGCCCAGATGCTGTGCAGTAGTAGGATCGAAATAGACATTGCCTAACTCACTTCACATGAAAGTACATTAGTCTGGTTTGGGGCTAGCGTGTTATGCTTGCTTACCGTCGTCTAAATACTACCTAGGTATGCTGTGCTCTGACTTCTTTGTACATGACAGAACGAGCACGCACTCGATATTCAGTACCCTGCAGATGATGCAGGATACCATGATACTCGACCCAATCACAGTCCAGCCCACCCCGGTTGACCATTCTCAGGTCGTGGAGGCGTGCAAAGATGATCATGTACATCCCGACGGTCATCATGTATGCCCGGACGATCAATCTACGCCGCTGGTCGCCACATCATCCCAGACTCGCCTTCTGCGAGCAGATGCTGCTACTGTACTCCTGTCGTGGGCTTAGAAGATATTGTCACACTCGCGCTTTCTCTTCTCATGAAACAACTCCGTCACTCATGAGACCTATACTGCCTCAGCTACCATGATTCCTGCATTCAGCGCTTCAGCGTACTCGCACGTCGATGAGCAAGCGTCGGCAAGCTCAACGCATTATAAGACTGGTGCAAAAGTCGGCACAAGTCTAATTCATGACTCCGATGGCGACTCTGCGCCGAGTCCTGATCCAGAAGGCATTGCTGACGTTGACCACAAGCGTCGACGAAGCAAGTCCTTGATTTCGATGTGGCGGAAGGAAGTCATTGCATGCATAGTGCTGCTCGGCGCGGCTGTGGCGGCGTTCACCACTCTATATGTGCATCAGAATCTCCCACTCCCCGACTGGCGCTCTATTGTCCATCTATCCAGTAATGTTCCGGATGGCGGCGGATTGTTTACTTGCAGAGGGTCTCGCACAGCAGTATATGCACACATTATTACCCGCCGCCTCGACGAAGCAAAGGTCGTCGCAGCCTCTATCCTGTCCCAGAGGTTTATATACAAGACCGCCCCGGGCCGCAGGCGAAGGAATGAAGTCGCACGTCGTACTTGCGAATGGATCCCCATCGCGGTGGCATGGTGGAGATCCGACAATCACTGGCGTGATCGGACAGCACATCCAGGCTACGGAGGCCGCCTCAAGAGTGGTGATGGTTCGGCTGCGGCGAGACCGAAGCGACAGTCTAGTTCTAGCGTGTCAAGAGTGACTCGAAACAAATTCAGTCTCAGATTGAGCGGTAATGATAGACACATAATTCATAATTCGTCTTCTCTCCTTCCATTTTGCGACCAGCATCACGAGACCTCGATACTGCCCTCCGGTACACCCTTCACACTCCTTAATCTTCTCGAGAAGAACTGCATAATCGGCATCATCTCATCGCGATTGCTGGGCATGGAATCCCCGGGTTTTCGATAGCGCCTCACTTCCACAAATTCGAAATTCCGCTTCAATTTATCCTCGGAGGAGGGTGTGACCGAGGACTGGTCTGAGCCGGCGCAGACAAGGATGGGAGTTTTGCAGAGCGGGTCGAGTGAGGCGGGCGCGTCGGAGGGTAAGGCGGCGCCGATGCTGATTACTCCGCCGAATTCTTTTGAGATGGAGGGAGACTGTTGAGCTGAGGCTGATGAGTGCAAAGCGACTTGAAAGCCAGTTAGTGAAATTTTCCTACAAATTTTCGAGCCTGACAATCACATGATCTTGATGCACTGTAGGAGAAGAGAATGAACAGATGACAAAACTTACCAGCCAACCTCAACGCCGCCATACCTCCCTGTCCAAAGCCTAACAGGACAATCTCGCGATACTTGTATCCGCATTTCGCCACGAGCACCTCATCGACGAGCTGCGTCAAGAGGGCAAGCGTCTCGCGGAACCCAGCATCGGAGTCCAGCCCACCTGTGTTGGAATCGAATAGGATGTCATCGCCCCAGTGGAAACCTCCCAGGTCGAGGACGTTCTTGGGGCCTTGCACGGAGATGCATGCGGTTTCGGGAAGGTTTAGTTGCTGGCCGAGACGTGTGAAGGAGAGTTTGGTGTCGCCGAGGCCGTGGAGGAGGACCAGGACGTTGGTGGGTTGGTCATTTTTGGGAGCTGTACGAGTTAGACGCTGACGCGTGATCGATGGGAAGTCCGAATTTCATGGAGGAATAAATCACGTCCGCTTGGCCGTGTACAGTGCGTTGTGGGTATTGAATGCAATCACGTACGAGGGACGATATCAGCTTGAAGTGTTCCAGGCAGATCGCTTGCAGTAGGAAGTCGACCCATGATGGAACGATTCAGCGATTGTTGCCGTTGTCAGCTTGACTAGTGTTGCTATCAGTCCTCGCAGACATCTTAGTGGTGTGATGGTAACAGATTCAGGCACGTCAGGACTGTCGCCTCGCTCGCCTATGCACAGTAGTAAACTTCAAGTTGAGCCATACCTCAACGCCCAGAGTGATGATGACCAAACTGGGAAGTGATGAAAGACACTGAACGGGGTTGCGGATCCGGCAAGTCAGCGGTATTGGAGTCTACTCATTTGTGTATTCAGGAGCTTCAGCCGCTCGTTTCGAGAAAAAGCATGCCTGAGGCCACATCACGGATGGGATTCTTGCCGCGATTCCCCGTGCGTGCTACAGTACCTACCTAGGTAGGCATCAATTTGACGACGTCATTTACGTATTTCTGGCTTCTTGTAATAAGCGCCGTGAATACAAGCCCTCAATGGATGGTACAGGATGAATCATAATGAGAGCGGAGCAATGCTGTATGTAATGATCATGAGGACGTACATTGCTGTCGATCGATGTGTTCAACTCGTGGGCGACAGTCGAGTGTCATCTAGAGTACCCCTGTGGACTACGACCGATGGCTCATCCGAAGAGTGGTATACCAAGGCACTAACATTGCTTCGCAATGCTTGGCATGTAGTAACCTTGTCCGTGTTGTTTCCCCTTGCTGTCACGCGAATTACATCATCTGCATTTCGTTCTCAAGGTCGTTTGGGAGAAACCTCCTCTTTCTTCCTCAATTTATTGCGATCTTTGGCGACCGTGCCTGGGTAAAGAAGCTAACGCGTGGCTTATTGGGCTTCAAAATTGATGTGTATATTTGATATTGCACAGCCCAGTCGGTACCCTGGCGCGTTGTATATGGAATTAGGAGAGCCTCGACAGCTCTGGACCCTGTTTGGCGTTGGCGGGTGAACACCTCCGGTTGATAGCTTTGAGGGCCGGGCATCGGCCATGGACACAGCTAGCATGCCGACATCATAGTCGTAGCTGACGCGGCGGCGCCAATGGTAGACCATACAGATCAAGTCAAGCATGGCCCAGCTGCCTCGTTTTAGATCGGTTCGCTGCCATCGATATACCGCATGCGCCACGAATGTGATGCAATAGCTTACGACACTGAATGCACGTCCAGTCCCTTCGCTTTCAAAGGCGCCGGAATGTGAAACCTCTGTCCACCTTGTTGTCGTGGCATAGTCGTGGAAGTGGGGCAGTGACCCCGATCACACTGATGACTAGAGCTCTAGAGGTGTATATAAGGAGAGCTGTCCACTGCTCGAACTTACTTCGTTTCTAGCATCTGCCATCCCCAGTGTTTCTTGCTCTATCTATTCAAACTACACTCAACCAAACTTCAACTTTCTCAAAATCAATCATCATGTTCGGCTGGGGTATGCACCAATAGATACCTCATACGAAGTTGTCCACATCTGCTGACCGAAGCAATCAGACGAGGGTCGTGACAGCTACCAACAGAGCTATGAGTCTGACAACAAGGCTGAGCTCTCCCACGAGCTCCTTTCTGGTGGCGCTGGTTTCGCTGCCATGAAGGTCTTCGAGGACCACCAGCGCAAGGAGGGTAAGTGTATTGACACTCCCATTCATAAAGCGTGTTGTTTCGTTGTTCAAGAAACATGTACTGATCAATGATCACAGGCAAGACTGTCTCCCATGCGTTCGCCAAGGAGCTTCTTGCTGGCTTTGCTGCCGCCGAGGTCGATCGTCTCGCCGAGACCAAGGGTGCCGACTTCATCGACCGCGAGAGGGCCAAGCACGATGCGAGGAAAAATGCCGAGAACCTCTACGACCAGCACTACGGCGACTATGAACAGTACGATCCCAACCAACAGCAGCCTCACGGCCACCTTCAGTAGATGGCGCGGTACTGGGAGGAGATCACACGGTGAGAGCTGTGCGTGACTATGACTGTCATCTCCGGATATTTTAGACTTGCTTTACGATCCAAATGAAAAACGAATTGTTCAAGTCAATGCAATTTGCGCTTGATGCGACCGCTCCGATGGAGACGGCAGAGTGTTGAAAAGTCTTTGCCTGCTCCACTTGGTCCTATCGCGACACCTTCTGCTTGGATATCGAGCTTTTGTTCATCGTGACTCAAAGAACCGCCGCCTGATGTGAAGATGTGTTCATCATCTCCGCGTCTTCATCAGTTCGAACCATCGACAGGGTGTGCCAGTCTGCCCGTTCACCGCCCACTGGTCCATGTCGAATTCTTAGGCGCAACGCAAAATGGTTAATGAAGTCTGGGAGTTCAATGTTCAGACGCCAATGGAATTCTCTCTTCGGTTGGATGGCACGTGGAGGGCTGATTCCCATCAATTACGTAGGACGCGCCCCTCCGCCAAATTCGCTCGATCGCGTCGAATTTCCCCGAGTCGCGTGCCATGTGCCTGAGGGACGTGTCAAGTTCACCAGCCAGAAAGTCAATCGCTGGCATATCTATACTATCCAAGTCAAATCTAAACGTCGTAACGGCAACGGCGATCGGATCGCCTTCGGAACAAGGCGATACGTTTGCGCGCTCCTTACACGAATTGTACTTCAGCATACGCAGAGGAGGGAGATAGTAGGTGTAGCAGTGGCCCGTCATTCAAAAGCTCAGCTGTACTGTCATCCTTGATAGGCCTACGGCACAAATTACAGGACTGATCCCACGACATTCATCCACGCAACTAAGCTAGATTCCTCCAACTTCCACATTGTCCTATTTCCAACACCTCTTGCGCTTCGTTAGCACCTAGCATCGCCGGCGCATTGCCGCTCAAGCTGTAAATCATCGAACCTGGGTCTCGAATTGATTATCATCGCGCAACGAATGTCCTGACGAAAGCAACGCCTCATTCACAATGCCACCCGACAAATCATCATGGGCCGGCCAACCGCGCGTCATGGGCTCCACCGAGTTCATGCGCATGTTCCTCCTCACATTCAGCTTCATTGGGCTACAGTTCTGTTGGGGGTGAGTACGTGTTGGAATGGCAAAGACAAGCTGGGGCGCATATGGCGTGTGGACATTCGGAGAACATGCGAGGGCAGAGACATTGGTCAACCTGCGCAATGAATGAGGACAAGACCCGCTGACACTGTTGCGTGGTATCACAGAACGGAAATGACATATGCGACACCATATCTTCTCGCCCTGGGCCTCAGCAAGAGTAGGCTATCACTGGTATGGCTGGCGGGTCCATTGGGAGGACTCCTGATACAACCGATCATAGGGATGATCTCAGATAAGAGTCGGAGCAGGTACGGACGGCGGAGACCCTTCATGATGGCAGGCGCGATCTCATCCGCGATCTGCATGTTGATCTTGGGATGGGCGAAAGAGATTGCGGGCATTTTCTTCCGGGATCCCGAGCAGGTTAGTATCGAATGGAGGGTTACATGAATAAGGTGATGAGACGGGTTGGTAACAATTCGATTGTCTTGCAGCAACGGAAGATGGCCATCATCCTGGCGGTCGTGGATATCTACATCCTAGACTTCGTCATAAATATCGGTATGTCGCCAACCGTCCTTGTTTGAGTCTCAGCAAGCGAGAATGCTGACATCTAGATCGCTAGCACAATCCACATGTCGCGCGCTGATTGTCGACACTTTACCAGCTTCGAAACAACAGCTTGGATCAGCATGGTGTAAGTGAGCGCCATTCGGGTACTTCTCCCAATTCTTAAAATGAAACATGTCCTGATAATTTTTAGGTGGCAGGATGGCTGGGAGCGGGCACATGCTGGTTTATGCCATCGGCGCACTCGACCTCAATGCCATTCTGCCCAATTTCATTGGCGACACACAATTCAAGAAAGTATGCTTGATTGCAGCTCTTGCAATGGCGACTACACAAGGCATCACATGCATCGCAGTTCATGAACGGGTGTTGGTCTCGGACGGGTAAGCGTGGACATGGATTGTTCTCTGGCCGATGTGGAATCTAACAGACGTATTCATAGGAGTAAGATGATGCAAGGCAACGTCAGGAAAGAGCTATTCTCTCTCGTCCGACAGATCTGGCATGCATCGACGAATGTTCCAGCAAGAATAGAAGCCATTTGTCTTGTGCAATTTTGGGCGTGGATCGGCTGGTTTCCATTCATGTTTTATGGAAGCACATGGGTCGGCGAGATTTACCTTCGCCACGTACGAAAAGCAACAGATCCAATTGAAGACGCCTTGACGCTGGTCGGCCGCCTTGGCAGCACTGCTATGATCGCTTCTTCGACCATCACATTCCTCTCCTCGATCGTGCTTCCCTGGATCATCCGCAATCCAGATGAATCCGCCGCGGCCGCCGACCAACGAACAACGAAAGGTGGTCGACGCCTAAGCGATGCGCAACCGATCTCTCGACCGCGCCGCCTCCTCCGCCGCCTTCTCCGCTCAAAACCCACTCTGTTGAATACCTGGACCGCGGGAAACCTAATGTTCATGGCATCGATGCTCTTCGCGCCGACGGTCAAATCCATTGGCTTCGCCACCTTCATCCTCGCCCTCTGCGGCCTACCCTCCGCTGTCAATGGCCTCGCCACCGGCACCTTCATTGGGATTGAGGTGAACAAACTCGGCTCCTCGCTCCCCTCCTACGACATCTCCAGCGGAAACGACCGCCGCAACTCCAACGACTCTGTGGAATTACACATCCTCCATAACCACGGCGGCGACGACTCCGATTCCGACGATGACGACCCGCACCGAGGCCGCGGTAGTTCCGACGCCCTGCATCTCCTCCACGACGCCTCCCTCCCCGCCGCCGTGACGTCCACCGGTGAGCTCTCAGGGATCTATCTCGGTATCCTAAATATCTACACGACATTACCGCAGCTGGTTGGCACGGCGATTAGTTGGGTCGTCTTCTCCATCCTCGAGCCTGGGAAGAGTCCTGAGCTTGGCGGCGGGCCCGCGGTCAAGTCGGAGGGCTTGAGTGGGATTGGAGTTTGTCTGTTCATTGGAGCGATTGGAGCGGGCGTGGCGGCTGGGATGAGTAGACGCTTGACGTGGATCCAGTGATTGGGGAAATGCGAGTAGAATTATAATGTATTACGGATTCTTTTGGATGGGTGGTTTTTCCAGGCGCAGCGATGAGGGCATGGATTTAGCGATTGTATGAATTATCGAATAATTGATGAGGTTGTCATGCAATAGACTTTGTAACAAACGATATTTGACGGCGAATACGGTTTTTTTTAGATCTGGGTTTCTTGCCAACATAGATTTCATATCTCTGAAGTTTCAACACATCCCATCGCGCAGATTGCTGTATGACTAGATGCACTTTGTTGTTGTTCCTTCTCCGCCGCGATCGCGCACATTCGCCCATCGTTATCAACACATGCAAAAACGGACCGAGGACAGAGATCGTCTATCAGCCGCTCTGGCCATTCTCAAAACGAGACCATGTAAAACAGCAACGCCCTCGCTAAACCGCAGCATATAGAGAAAAAGCAAAATGTTCTCAAGCGAACAAAACGCGAGAATCCAGCTCGTCGACTTCGCGCGGACCTTCGCCAGACCGAAGACCGAGATCGCGCTGTCGTGCCTGGCGGCCTTTGGTGTCCTCGGCGCGGCGGTTGTATCGGCCAGCTTTGCTTTTACGGAGGTCAGAACGGATCTAGAAAAAAAATGAACGGTCAGTATGCATGTTGGGACAGCTTGAGTTTTGTCGCAGATGATTGCGGGACATACCTGGTTTGGCGAGATGAACTCCTTGTTCTCGTAGATGACCGGTCCACCGAAACTACCTTCGAGGATGACGATGGGCGTCAGAACGAGGCGCGGGCCGATCTCGACAAGAGAAATGGCGGTCTCTCCTGGCTTGGCTTTCGATGAGGGAAGTGTGGTAGAGGGTTTCGCTGCGGAGCCTGCCTTCTCCTCATCTCCATCATCTTCTGCCCCGTCTGCTGGCTTTTTCTTGCCGGATTCGGTTTCGGCGATTTGATAGCATCGAATCCATACACGACCGCCTGCGACCGTGAAGCCCATGACGTGATCCACAAAAGGCTTGACTTTGCGACTGGACTGCGGGACACCGAACGAGTGTGTCAACAGCTCCTTCACCACGCGCAAATGCGCACTCTCCTCAAACGTTTTGTCGAAGCTCAGGATTGGCCGTGAGCCTCTGAGGCAGTTGCCAGTGAAATTCAGCTCTTCCATTGTGTGGACGTTTTGACAGTGCATTTTCAGGGTTGGGCCGTTCGGCGGTTTGCTGAGCCAGATGTAAAGATCCTTGCCCTTGCGCGCTTCGAAGAACATGACATTGTTGCAGTTGTAAAGATCGGCGAGCTCGTTCAGCTGATGCAGTTGGGTCTTGGTGTCGAGTTTTGCGTCTTTTCGACTGTGCGGGAGGAGGGAGTGTAGATCGGACAGCAGATGGCGATGTCTATGTACACAGTAAAGTTAATCAGTATAAAGCGCTCCTTTGTTTTCTCGGCGACCATGAGCTTGTTTGCATTGGATACTAACCTGTATGTGACACCTCTTGAGCTTAGAATCAGCAACCTCTGTCGGTTTTTTGGTTTGTTGTCGGCATCTTCATCGCGCGCCGAGCCATTTGTCTTTGTTTTCGACACGGATTTGTAAACGGACGCCATTGCGGATATGTTTCCAATCGGGCGACCTTTTGTGTGATGAATCTCAACTTTTCGCCGACGCCAAAACTTTCTTTGCGATCCTGGATAAAAGATCTCTGTTATCGGCTTTTTGCGCTAGAGCCGATTGGTCTTGGAAGCCGCCGGGACCGCGGGACAGGCGTAATGCGGCCATTCCGGCGGCTGGCTCCGTCAACATGTGGGTGTGTACCCAGGTTCACATACAGCGCTATATCATCGTCGATAATGCGCATTTACATGTTCATCACGGCGCAGCTATTACCTCAGTCCCTGTGTCCAATAATCTTGATAACACACAACCATATTGTACCACGGCCAAGGAAAGACTTTGGTTTGCGCGCATCTGTGCCTAATGTCACGTGAGATGTAGTCTCTAAAATGAAGCTGCCAGTGAGCACACAAAGACAGCCCTGGACATGCAAGGCGTGCTGTTGTCAATTGGGGATTAGAGAGGCGGAACTGCTGCAACAGAATCCACACTCTCAGTACCCGCAAGTAGACGGACATTGCCCGCCCATTCAAGGTTGTACTCCAGGGCTGTACTTAGTAATATTGCAAGCCAACAGCAACTGGCTGAAGTCCCCAACAGGGAAAAGTTGTGCTGCGTACTGTATACTGCATCAAGTACACCACAGACCAGGGAGAACCGTCCAAAAGCTGGCCGGATCACGCTTGGCTGGTTTGGTCTACAGTACAGATTGCGCTACAGCGGGCGGCGAGGAGAGAGAGAGGCGCAGGAGAAGAAAAGCCCCGAAGAAAGAGGGATGAGACTCATCAGACCCAACGATGATGATGATGATAATGCCGCTCTTCCCACCCGACCCTATCAACACCCACGACTTGCACTTCACAAGGTCAATTCTTCTGAAACGTCTCGTCGCAATAACATCGCAGAATCATAAAAAAGGCACATATTTTTATATCAAGTACACCACTCCAGCTACCGAATATGGCGGCATTAGTCATGAAGTGTGTGACGTCTGCCCTGCGCGTGTGCGCGCTGCGACGTGTTTTCTCGTGTTGCAATGGCTGAGGAATCCAACGAAAGCGCAGCAAATGCCCACGGAATCGAACAAACTTTGAGATTATCGTCCATGCCGAACACAAACGCTGGCAAATTATCATAGCCGAACAAATATTCACTAACAATTGACAGACTAAATTCATATAGTACGGAATGATGATTCGTGTATAATAGACAATGCTGTATAAACTGGATGAGGTACGGTAATTATAGATAGTGATAATCCACTATGCGCAGCCCTGGGATGGTGGATGCTGGGATTCGTCGCCTCGTCGGCAAGCGAGTCGAATGTATGCTCAAAGCTTGCACGTTCATAACCAGACCGGCCAGCCAGCAGCAGCAGCAGCATCCCGCTCACCGTCGCCATCGTCGCTTTTCATTCCTTCCACCATTCCTCTTACCATATACCAAACTCATCATCACCGCCCTACCACAAATAGCCTCATTTCTTACCTTGAGTCTACAGCCGACACGTCGTACGCCAAGCACATTTGACGGCAGACAAGATCGTTGCTGCTCGTCAACGGCCAGAGCCCAGCATCATCCTCTTTGCCATCTCCACTACACACGCCAATAACGACGCGGCGTGCCACGTCTGCTATCCCATCGACACGTTTGCGCTCGCGCTCTCTGATGATAAGATATTCGTCCACGCCGCGATACAACTCGAATTCGTCCGCTTTTTAGTCAATTCCAGGCTCGCGACGCAAGGCACAACCGACCGTACTTGATTGCTGAACCGATGGATAAATGATCGGAATGGCATGATAAAAGAGACGGCTCGAATATTACGATCAGTGAAAATAACCCGTCTCCTCCGCGGCGACGCACAGCATGGACGGACACGGCGCTCCGCCCACTCCGGGCCCACGACACTCGCCATCACAGGTACACGCCTACATTCCATATTCACCTGCCGATCCGCACGCTCGCCATCGATCAGGATCCTACAACGGAGTGTTGCCATCGCCAAATTTCTATCAGCGGAGCATGCCGCCGTCACCTACACGTCAGCCACTTGTTCGATCACCCTCCGCTGTTCGTGATAGACCAACATCGAGCTACTACGATCCCACAAGTGAGGCACGAGCGAATATAACCGCCGCAACCTACCTTCCTCGTTCGCCTGTGCAGGTTAGTGAAAGACAGCCTAACATGGACACTTGGTCACTGACACTAACTAATTGAGCAGCCCCGAGTGCATCCCGATCACCCTCAATTGGCGCCGGCATTTCCTAACGGGCAGAGTATCGACGTGCGATCTGGATATGGTCAACAGTCGAATCACGCATCGCCTCCATTGCCATACATGTCTTCACATGCGCCACCGGCATCGTCAACAATTGTCGATGTGCGGTCACCGATTGTCCACCGCGAACCGCCTCGCAGCAACGGGGGCCATTCCCACACAGCCAGTGTCGATTCGACGGTGCCAGCTGCCGCGCCGCCCAGGAGCACCAACCCTATGTCGATGATGAATCTTCTTTCGGACAGTGCAGCACCGCCATCACCTGTTCCCAAGCCAGCACAGCCGCCGGCGCGCGCCCCTTCACCCGCTCCTGCGCCTGCAATCGCTGAGGCCGTACCACCTCCACCTCCACCTCCAGCGGCGCCGGTCCCAGAACCCGCGCCTACCCCGGTCGCGCCAACAAAAGCATCTCGCAAAAAGGAGCGTGCATCGGCTGCTTCAAAAGTCAAGCAAGAAGGCAAAGAGTCGTCACGGAGCTCTGCTTCCAGCCGCAAACAAGAAAAGGCAGCAGCGGCCGCCGCAGCCACACTCGAGAAAGCAAATGATGCAATGGACGACGCGCAGTCCTTGGCAAGAATGGGCTTGTCTGGACCTCCAGGCTTGAGTGCCGAAGGAACAGAGGCTGCATACTTGGAAATCGAAAACGCCGATCTATCGGACGCTGAAGAGCTTACCGAGGAATTCGCTGCTGCACGGAGTGACTGGCTTGAGTACCGTCGTAAACATGCGTTGGAGCTGGAAGCTGAGGAGGACTATAAGCGCAAGCGTCGGAGAAGAGCCGCGTTCCAGACTCAACACGATCACTTCTACTACGCAGCAGAGTGGGAGAAGTTCGCATATGTCGACAAGCACGAGCAGGAAGTGGTCGAAGAGGTTCGTCTTAAAGAGATCGAAGAGGACAAAGAGCGCAAAAAGGACCAACAGCGCAAGCGACGGCGCGAGAAGGCCATCGCAGATGAGCAGATCAAGCGCGACGAGGCCTTACAAATTCTAGCCACAACTACAGACGACGATGAGAGACTGCGGATTGAAAAGGAAATTCAACGACACGAGAAAAAGATTCGAGACACGCAGAATCGTTTGCAAGGCATCATACCTTCGAAGGAACCGCGTCACGAATCACCGCATCATGCTGCTGCGCAGAAATCCAAGGAACAAGATGTTGCTCTGGACGGCGGTCTCATGACGTCGTTCTATTCTGGAAGCCAAAAGGAAGGAGGCGAAGACATAGGCACGCCAGAAGTCGCCCCAGGTAAGAAAAGGGGCGGGCGCAATGCCGCTGCCGGGACAGGTCGTGCGCGAAAGAGCAAAGAGCAGAAGCTTGCAGAAAAGGAGAATGCTCGTCTGGCGCAGAGCATCATTGACCAGGGTCAAGATCTCCCTGTCATTGCTCCTAAAGAAGAAGAGAGATTGGCGAGCTATACTGACCGAAGATCTCGGGAGAACTCCGAGGCCTTTAGTGATGGGCTTCCCGGGTTGCTTGATGTTGCACCCACCGCTGGTCTCGTAGGCATGGCTAGATTTGAGAGCAAGGGGTACAACCAGATTTACGAGCAGATCACCCGCGAAATCGCCAAGAACAGTATGCCAAAGATTATTCGCATCAAGAACAGCAGCTACGACACGAAACAGTCGAATGCTCGCAAAACTGCTCAACTGGCGTCCAAGGAAGCCAAACGTTGGCAACAGCGAACTAACAAGGGTACCAAGGATATCGCTGCTCGTGCCAAGCGTGCGATGAGAGAGATGCTCGGCTTCTGGAAGCGCAATGAACGCGACGAGAGAGAAGGCAGAAAGGTGGCCGAGAAGCAGGAACTGGAGAAGGCCCGGCGCGCAGAAGCCGACCGTGAAGCCAATAGACAGAAGCGGAAGCTCAATTTCTTGATCTCCCAGACGGAGCTGTACTCTCATTTCATTGGCAAGAAGGTCAAGACCGATGAGATTGAGCGCAGCGGAAACGGGACCGGCCCTGTCGAAACCAGCGATGACAAAGTCTCCGATGACCCGAACGCGAAGCACGTCATCAACTTGCCAGATTCTGCCGCGAATCTCAAGGCCAAGGTCACGAACTTTGAGGATCTCGACTTTGATGCCGAGGACGAGTCGGCATTACAGCAGGCCGCGATGGCCAACGCACAAAATGCCATTCAAGAAGCCCAGGACCGTGCTCGAGCCTTCAACAATCCCCAGTCCGATGGTGCTGCCATCAGCGATGCCCAAGCCAGTATGGACGAAGGCGAGCTCAACTTCCAGAACCCGACTTCTTTGCAGAGCATGGATGTGGAGCAGCCCAAGTTACTTACATGCCAGCTCAAGGAGTATCAGCTTAAGGGTCTCAACTGGCTGGTCAACTTATACGAGCAAGGTATCAACGGTATTCTAGCAGACGAAATGGGTCTCGGAAAGACGGTTCAGTCTATCTCCGTCATGGCGTATCTTGCGGAAGTGCACGATATCTGGGGCCCTTTCCTTGTCATCGCGCCGGCCAGTACGTTGCACAACTGGCAGCAGGAAATCGCCAAATTCGTACCGACCATCAAGACACTGCCCTACTGGGGTTCAGCCAAAGATCGCAAAGTACTGCGCAAGTTTTGGGATCGAAAACACATCACCTACAGCCGCGACAGTCCTTTCCATGTTCTCATCACGTCGTATCAGCTAGTCGTGCAAGACGCTGCGTACTTCCAGAAGGTCAAGTGGCAATACATGATTCTCGACGAAGCGCAGGCGATCAAGTCGTCTCAATCGTCCCGTTGGAAGTCGCTGCTTGGCTTCCATTGTCGCAACCGTCTCCTGCTTACTGGTACACCTATTCAAAACAACATGCAAGAATTGTGGGCACTTCTACATTTCATCATGCCTTCGCTGTTCGACAGTCACGACGAGTTTTCTGAATGGTTCTCCAAGGACATTGAGAATCATGCGCAATCTAACACGAAGCTTAATGAGGACCAACTGCGCCGTCTGCACATGATTCTCAAACCGTTCATGCTGCGGCGTGTCAAGAAACATGTACAAAAGGAGCTGGGCGATAAGATCGAATTGGACATCTTCTGCGATTTGACGTATCGCCAGCGCGCATACTACACCAACCTGCGCAACAAGATCAGCTTCATGGATCTCATCGAAAAGGCCGCCGGTGGTGATGACCAGGATACTGCGACACTCATGAACTTGGTCATGCAATTCCGAAAAGTCTGCAATCATCCGGATTTGTTTGAGCGTGCAGAGATCTGGAGCCCGATGTCCATGTCTTCCTGGGCCGAAACTGCCTCTTTCATGCGTGAGGGCCAGAATGTGGATGTCGCATATAGCTCCCGCAGTCTTATCGAATTATGGCTTCCGAAGATGCTTGGCGAAGATCCTGGCAGGCTCGACGTCGCTGGGCCTGGAAACTCCAAGGCCGGCTGGCGAAATCGCTGGCTACACAGAGAGCTCAATGTCTGGAACAGCAAGAATATTCAAGACAGCAGTCGGAGCAATGGAGCTTTTGCATGGCTGCGATTTGTTGACAACCAGACTTCTAACGACCTCACGCGGACGGCACGAAGCTCCTTGTTCGATCGCGCTTTAGCCCTCAAAGCAAAGGGCAACCGCCTTGACAAGCTTCAAGTTGCCTACGACGATGAAGACGACAAGGAGAACGCGGGATACACTCCGCTCAGAAACATGCTCAATATTGTCGATCGCAATTCACGGACTTCACTCGTCAAAGCTACAGTGGAGGGCCACATGGGCAAGCTCTTCAATATTGCGCAAGACGGGATGGCAGAGAAGGGCTACAGCGTGATTGAAACATGCTATCTGCCCCGTGCTTCAGCGCCGCCAGTCGAGCTCGTATGCCCGAGCGAGCGTACTTCTATCGAAAGAGAGACATCATTCTTCAATGTGCCTCTGCGCCGTGCGTTGTATCCCGTCGATGCAAACACCGAGATGGCTTTGCTGCAATCGAAGGTGCCACCCTCAAAATTCCCGATGACGAATCTCTTGCCCAAACCCGCCTCGAATAAGCAGCGGTATACCAAGATTGAGGTTCCCAGTATGCGTCGCTTTGTGACCGACTCCGGTAAGCTGGCGACATTGGACCGTCTACTACGTGAATTAAAGGAAGGTGGTCATCGCGTACTGCTTTACTTCCAGATGACTCGCATGATCGATCTTATGGAAGAGTACCTCACCTACCGCGGCTACAAATACTGCCGACTGGACGGTTCCACCAAGCTCGAAGATCGCCGTGATACTGTAGCCGCCTTCCAGAGCACACCCGAGATCTTCGTCTTTCTCTTGTCTACCCGTGCGGGTGGTCTCGGTATCAATTTGGTCGCCGCCGATACCGTCATCTTTTACGACTCCGATTGGAATCCGACCATCGATTCTCAAGCCATGGACCGCGCCCATCGTCTCGGTCAAACTCGTCAAGTTACTGTATACCGTCTTATCACCCGCGGCACCATCGAGGAGCGCATCCGCAAACGTGCGTTGCAGAAGGAAGAAGTCCAGCGCGTCGTCATTTCCGGACAAGCCGGTGGCGCCAACATTGACTTCAACAATCGCTCTCGTGAGAACAATCGCACCAAGGAGATGGCCATGTGGCTTGCAGACGACGACCAAGCAGCTGCCATCGAACGTCGCGAGGCAGAAGTCCTTATGGAAGAGGCCAAGGCCGCAGCTGATGCGGCCAACGGTCTTGGAGGTAAAGCCAAGAAGCGCAAGTCGGGAATTGCGCCTGGCGCGCGCAAGGGTGGGAAAGAAGTCAGCATGGACGATATGTACCACGAAGGTGAGTTCGCCCCAGCCGCAGGATGATCCCCAGGGTCACCTTTTTAGCGCCTGCATGGATTTTTGTGGTTTTCCATCAATACTGACAAAAACCCGTGCTATAGGCGAAGGATCCTTCGACGACGGAACATCTCACGAGCACTCTGGCGCCGCAACGCCCAGCGGCGACAGCGGAGCTGTTTTGAAGAAGCGCAAGGGCATCAGCAAAAAGGCCAAGACCATCAGCCAACGACTTGCTGTCATCGACGGCGAGGTTGGATGAACTGGACCCTATGATTACTGATGCAAAATGGGCAGGGACGGCATGTGGGACGTTCCTTCACAGCTCCGTGAACAGCATCGTCATTGGGCGTAAATATACGAATCCACCAAGAGGAGTTTGTGTACGATAGATAAAAGGGCTTTTCTATTCGGAGAACTTTTGAGACGGTGGCTACATGTATCGAAAGAGAAAATTGGTGCAGGTCAAATCAATTCAAGAGAAGGCATGTGTGCATGCGTTTTGCTAAGATGAAGAGGAAGAAGCGAAGAGTCAGAGAAAAGGCAAGCCTGGCTCAGCGCTGTTTGCAATCGCGTCTACGCTACGCGATCCAGGAGAGGTTGGAATCAAGCTTTCCCCATAGAAAAGGACATCTTGACCGATCTGTACATTCGGTACGACTGCCTAGGTATCAATCACTTTATTAATTTGTATATCCTTAGAAATCACGATCCGTGATTCTTATACTTCTTCTTCGCCCTCTACTGTCGCGGGATTGGTCCGGGTTTCTGATGTGTGGCTTGACACCCCGCCACGTGCCTGCATGCTTCCTCCCATCGTTTGTACGCATCGCGATGTGATTCCCCGCCACGAGATCACTTTGTCTGCGTGTTGGGTAGAGGTATTCGGTCATAGACAGGTATCCTCATACTTAGGGCTTTCGCGATGCTGCAGATTGTAGGATTTGCACGTACTGTCTCTGTGCTGGAGACAGTACATCTCTGTGTGGATATCGCCGATGGGCCTCGGCTCTTTCCACCCCGTCGAAGTGGACAACAGCCTGTCCCGTATCGAAGCAAAGCAGCAGTTGGAAGATGATAAAGGCGTAGAAGATGATCAGAGGAGCACATCTATAAGAGGACGTCGTAGTCCTGCGATATCCTGCCCAGCCTTCTCGTACATAGCATCGTTTTCCAATTAATCTGGTGTAACTCGATCTCGAACTCAAACATGCTCTTCACAAGCTACGTTGCCCTGTTCGCCATGAGCATCATGGCCGGTCAGGTCGCCGCACTACCTGCGGACGAATCCAAAGTCGTCAAGGTATGTTCTTCGAAGTCGAGATAAGCTTGTCGAACATCGCCAGGACACTCCAGGGGAAAGGCCGCAATTGCTCACATGGGATTCAGCGCCTCGACAACGTCCCGGTTTGCATCCTCTGCTTCACCAGGGCGTGTTATTTCCCGGTAAGGCTCCCATCTTCTTCCATCGGCGCAACAGATATTGGAATGTACCATGCTGACGCCTCATGCGATGTATAGCAAGCTGATAGCTGGGACAAGTGTCTTTTCATTGGGCCTTGAGCGATGGTCATGAACAATTAACGTAGTGTGATTTGGGATATGAATCCATATTCATCGAAGTCTGTATGCTAATTTTCGTGGGCGTCTTGTTCTGCAAAGGATGGCCTTGGGAGCGGTATTCGTGGATTCTCTATTTTTGGGGGAAGCGAGACGGGGTAAATTTTCGCGAGGGGAGAGACAGGCACACATGGAGAAGGTGGTCATTCTTTCGTCGATTTTGAATTCTCATTGTAACAGTCAGACGAAATCTTGCGTTGTTGTGCTACCTTTTCTTCCTTACCATGTCGGAATCTTCGTCTCCGTCCTATGGTCAGCCGCGATGATTGTCCAAGAGAAAACAGATGGCAACATTCCTATTGGAACATTTGTTGAGCCAGCGATATCCATATCCATAAGGCAGGCTGGCCCACCCCCCTCACCACAGCGTTCGGTGGAGGCATACCGTCATCTTCAAATATCAAATTCTCGCGAGGACTTTCCAATGCGATTTCGGGTGAGTGAATTACTCGTAGGTTGGCCTGTATGAATGGCTTGGCCCGCATAAGGAGGATCCACAATTTTGAGGGGTGGAAGGTACTCATCGTCCCGTTCGCGCTCGGTTGTGGAGGACGGTCTTCAATCACCGCTCGAGCAGCCTCGGCACCCACAGCTCACGCACTGGATCTCCTGGTCCGCCTTGAGCTGTTCTCGCGGCACACGGCAGATACAGGTGCTGTTGAAGTTCGTCTCTTTGGTCTGGATGCAGCGGAGACAACAAAGCTTTACAGAAGGAGTCAGTACATATGTATGTGAAAAGCTTTGATAAGTGTGCTTACCTTCTCGTAGCCTTGTTTCTTCCATTTGGCGATGAGATTGGCGTCAGCATAGCCATTCTTGAGCAGCCAGTCGTAGAGCGCTTTACTGATGGCCTCTTTCTCGTAGTAGAGATCGTAGATATACCGCGACCCTAAGCATGACAGGATTGGTCAGCATGAAAGATCGCGTGGGTCCAGCATGGCACCATTCGGGGAGATCGAAGGTCAAAGTCCATCGACGGCCTCTCTCTCACCTTTCTGGCCCATTTCTGAGCCCGGGTCGCAAATGATGTTTTTTCTTCATCCAGAAGAAGCCATACACGATAGCCGTGTGGCAATCATTCCGGTATGAAAATGATGTTTCACGATAATAGGTACATACGCTGGTGAGTAATTTGAAAGACAGGCCAGAGCATTTCATGCTTCTTCTTGCCTTCGTGGCTTGCATTTTCGGCGTCTTTCATTTTGTTGGCGAATTCGAGAAGCGTGTCTTCGATGTCTTCGAAGCCATCTGGTGGTGGCTTGCGATTCTTTGACGTTCGGATGGCGGGCATGTTTGCGCACTGAGGGAATGACTTTGTGGTTGGTTTCACAACACTTGGCGGAACGGAATGGTAAGCATTCAATACTTGCGCCGAGCCCAAGATGTTCGCTTGATGTAGTGGAGAGGATGTCTAATCAATCATAGAGTAATCACAAAATGTTCTTGCACAGCTGCAGCCTTGTGATCAGAAGCCAACCCTAAAGACCTGTTGCGTCAGTCGGATGGAACCACGGGTCGAGCCGCAGCACGAAGTTCGCGTCTTGCAGATGTCCATGCCTGAAAGTGACGCGCGCAGCCTGCGTAAATTGGACAGCTTCGAAGTCCACCATTGCACTTCTATCCACATCACCCATTGCCCATTTTTTTCAACGCTACAATGGCAGACGATGACGACAGGCGTGATAGCCATCGCGGACGTAATCATGGAGGTGGCGGCGGCGGCGGTGGTCGCAGCTTTCACAAGCGCAAACGTGGTCGAGGTAAGCACCACAAGATCATCATTCCCCATTCTATCCATTCCGTTTGATGCTGACATTCGTCGCATAAAGACGACGACGATGATGGCGAAGGCGCGCGCCATCCACGATCACGACAGGAGCCTCCACCAGGAAGTCGACTGAAGAGAGGTCTTTTGGAGATTGCGGAAGATCACGGTCGCCTGCCACACGAAGTTGCTGCCAACCTCGCCAAACTCGCTGCAGATAATTACGGCGATGAATATGTAAAGAACACATTCATCACTGTAATCCTGAAACTCGTGGTTGAGCAGCCGTTCAAGATTCCGTTCGTTGCTGCTGTGGTGCTGTATGCCAATGTGGAAAAGTTAGAAATCGCACAGGATATCATCACCAAGGCTGGCGAGCAGACCCAAGCTGCCCTCAACGCAGGTTCATGGCGAGAGTTCAAGCTTCTATTGAGGTTTCTGGCGTGCTTGACGCGGCTGTACGAGACTGACGGCATTATGCCAATACTCGATGAGCTATTCAGCCGAGCCGCGGACTTGCAAACCGCCTCCTCAGAAGATGTAAGGCTATGATGGATCCTTTGATGGCTATACGCCCGCTGACACGATGTTTTCTTGACAGTCTGTCGGTCTTGAGCTTGTCAAGATCATCCTCCTGACCATTCCATACTTGTTAGCATCCGCTGCGGACACTACAAAACCCCTCGAGGCCCAGCGTGCACGAACGACGGATCTCGAAGCGAAGGTAGCTGAACTGCTGGAAAAGACGGACATCATTGCATCGACAAGTTCTACGCTAGAAGCTTTGGTCGACCCATACCCAGTATCAGAAGGGTCGCAGGAAAGCAGGCCGATGGCTTGCGCTAGTGTCATCTCTCTTTTGCAGGCCCAGCTTGTTGGCGAACAAGCAAGTGAATGGAAGCTCGCTTGTATTCCTAGGGTATTCCAGCTCAGCCACAAAACTTCCGGACAGGAGAGTGGAACCGAGGCAAATGCCAATGGCGATAGCAGTGCGAATGACTTTGCAAAGCTACAGTTCCCGGCTATCGAGGTTCCCAGTGAGATCGATGCAGGGACCAAGCCCCTGTTGCCTGAGATCTACTTCTCCCTCTTCGCCGATCAAGATATCGAATCTGTGCCATCAACCTCGAATATCGCAGCTTCGTTGCTTCGTGACGCTGTCGTGGATACTATCAATATCCTTGACTTCAACAGGAACATCGTTGCAAAGTTTCTGAACGAGATTGACTGCTTCTGGGCCAAAGATACGTTCGTCAAGCGATCGACCACTTTCGACAAACTGCGGGAGCTGCAAGAGGGTAGACCTACTTGGAAGCCAGAGGATGTCATCATCGACGCGGTGTTCTCGCAAATATTTCAGCTTCCTCAGCCCGAGCACCGCCTCGTGTATTATCACTCTCTGATCACTGAATCATGCAAGATTTCGCCAGCTGCAATTGCCCCCAGCTTAGGCCGGGCCATTCGCTTTCTCTTCCGCAACATTGACACGATGGACATGGAGCTCATGTATCGATTTATGGACTGGTTTGCGCATCACTTGAGCAATTTCGAGTTCAGATGGAAGTGGACTGAATGGTGAGGATTCCTCAAGAACGCGTCAAGTTGAGTTATTTGAATGCTAATTGATCACAGGATTCCGGAGCTTATCGCCTCCGACCTGCAACCTCGCAAAGCATTTATTAATGGCGTACTTGATAAAGAAATTCGCCTCTCATTCGCCAAGCGCATCCGGGAGACGCTACCACCTGCCTATCACCCGCTCATTCCGGCCAGCAAGGAGAAGGACATGCCGGATTTCAAGTTTGCTGCTGATGAGACGCCTTACGCGAAAGAAGGTCGCGAAGTTCTCGCCATGCTCAAGAAGAAAACGCCCGAGGACGAAGTACAGAAAGTGCTCGACTCTGTTCACGAGCAAGCGACTTCTCTAGGCGTTACAGATCCCCTCGTACCCAGTACCGATATCTATATGACCGCAATACTCAGCATAGGATCTAAGTCCTTGTCTCACGTTTTGTCCACAATCGATCGTTGCAAAGAACGTTTGCTCGAAATCGGCCAAAAGTCAGAACCTGCTCGTCGGCAGATCATTGCTTCAGTTGTGGACTTTTGGTCGGACCATCCCGGCACAGCAGTCAACATTGTCGACAAGTTGCTCAATTACACCATCATCACTCCTATGTCGGTGATTCAATGGGCGTTGCAAGACAACATCAGTCGTGGACGCGTGCTAGCCTCATCACAGATCTACGAGATGATAGCCATCACAATGTTCAAGGTTACAAATCGCGTACGACAAGTGTTGCGCGAGCGCAACAATACCAATCTATCTTTCGAGCAGCGAAAACAGATTGACGAGGCACTCCCGCGAGAGCGCACTGGCATGCGAGATCTCTTCGCCACGATCGAAGATACCGTAGCCTCGGTTGCCTCGGGTGCACAAGATCAAATGATTGAACGGTTCGATGGCTCTGAATCCGAGAACGAATTGATTATGCGCTGGGGCGTCCACTGGGCACGGGTCTGGCGACGGAAGGCCGCGGTGGAGGAAGCGATCGTTGGAGAACAGGTCGTCGGTCCTTTGGAAGAGCCACCTGCAGCAGCAGACACAGCTATGGAGAATTTCGATGAAGTGCTCTGAGATGGTAGACGGTCTGCTCTGAAGAAAAGAAGCCACCACACCAATACTGAACAATATGTTACTCTCAGGGACGAGCCTCAAGCCGCTTTCGCGCGCATGTGTTCTGATTAACGGCTTTGGTTTTTGGTAGCGAGATTATATGTACAGGATTCGCATATGTATAAGACTACAAGATCAAAGCGGATGCCAGAGCAAACATGCGCAGAGTGATCAAACATGTTCCAATCACGACGACCACCATGACCTATAGTGTAAATTCGAGTGGTATCGTGACAGATGAATTTACTCTCCATTTTTCGCGTTCGTTGTATCGGAACTCCGTGACGTGTCGAGCAGCATCTACATCTGCGCAATATCATCGTCGCGACCCAGTATGTGACCAATATGCGGTGCAGCGATGACAAAGGTCGCCCATGTCTTCTCCGCTCCGACAGGTAGGTCCAGACTCGGAACGAAATGTTTCCTGGAGTGAGCGGGCCGAGATACATGGACGTGGACGCGCGCCGCCGCGCCGCCACGGGGCGCAAAATGATCGACGTGCGACGAGATACGTACCCTTGCACTGCATGTACCTCTTCCCTCGTCAAGTCCAGACCTAAGATGAACTCGTATACGACACCTCTCTTAAAGTCTCGTAATTAATCCACCTCGAGGCATGGCTTACCTCGAGAGCTTGTTTGTTGTAAACGGCAGCGGGGATGGACGATGACAAGCATGGGTTTGAATGGCGGTGAAGGGAAGTTCCCGAAATCATTCCGAGGACTCTTGTAACTGCCCCGACTATCTTGAACGGGGCTGCTCGTCTTTCAACGTGGGCACGTAGACAATACTGTACACGTGAAGCCGATAACTATCTCATATGGATCGAACCAGGAAGCGCTCGGTGAGCGTCGGTGTGTGTATTGTTTTGCATGTATGACATATTGTAGGTGCACGTCCTTCCGCCCGTTGAAGGCAAATCTTCGGAGGACGTCTCCAGCGATGATGCTGTGTGGAATTGAAAATCGTGCCGAGGCGGCCCTGGTTTTGCGGCTCAACAAGGCTTGGAGGGGAGATTTGCGTCTGCGGCCGGGTGATCAGCGACTGTTGGGAGACGGCGATGGTGGCGCAAGTGGGGAGGTGGAGCGGGTTGGGAAGAAGTATTTCACATCATCACTGTTAATCTCTTGTCATTTGTGGCTTTGATCATTGTGCATGCTCATGAGTCCTCATCTGCCTCTACAGGAGTTTGATTGATACGAACGGACCCGAGGCTGTGCGGGAGGCAGTAGAGGTTCTTCAGGCCGGCCGTGGATGGATGTCCACGCGGACGTGAAGTCCCCATGTTGCGCATGCAGGCCGAGCCATTCTTTTCGAGATACACAGCGATGAGGATGATGGCGGCGTTGTTTCGACCGGCGAGAGACTTCCATTTACTCACAGCCAGGTGCTCGCCGCCTGATGTTTGCTTTCCTTAACACAGTATTCGAGCCGCATATCTCCAACAACGCGGCAGCAATTGAGTTTGAGTTTGGAATGACAGGTCTAAGGCAAAACCATCGGACGAGATCAACTTTCCGCCCACAGACAAGCCCGGCTAATCCCTAATACGTAAGAATCCTTAGTATATACCGGTACCTTGAGGGATGTCACATGTGTATATACGCAGGTGCACAGTCGTTGTGTGGATGTGGGTGGTGATCGTGGTGGTGTTAGATTGGCGCAAGGCACACCCACCCTTCTGTCCCTTGAATAGCGCCATCATCCGTCAGATCATTTCATTTCTCCCAACAGGCTATGCCGGTGGCCGTTTTGATGCACGGTGTGTAAAAGAGTGGGAGGTCTTCATCAATCATCAAACAAAGAGGAAAACTTGTGGGCGACTGCGACCGTTGAACTCTGAAACAGTGGCGTTTTCTGGGCTTTGTCTATAGGCTTGAGTAAAGATAGTTATCATCGCAGACAACAATGCTCTGTCAAGTCGTAAAAGGAAAATGGATGAGCAAGAGCGTCGTACGACATATGCGCGTACCGGCGACACTTTTGTCGCACCGGCACGAATATTGAAGGCATTATTCCAGCCAATGCCTTCCACCAGTGACGGGAGAGAATTTCCAGAGCCTCGGCTGAAGGTCAAAGGCCAAAGCACAGAGACAGAGACATTCCTTGAAGCTAAGCGCAAGTCCCGCCCCCAGAGTGGTGACGCTTTTCTTCAACGCCAGGTTTTGCGCATCGTCGACACACACTTGCTCATTGTCCCGCGATCACTCCATGCTGCTCGTAAGATGATAAATATCTGGTAAAGGCAACCCTTGTGGGCCGAGGTGGGAGAGGAGGGTTGGTCATGTTTGCCCGAAAACACGATCAGTTTCGGTCTCAGGCTCTGCATGGCAACATCGAGGATTTATCTGATCGACTTGATCTTCGCTTAGTCTTCGATCCATGAAGCATTTGTGCAGCGGCTGATGGATCGTGATATGCTCGACATAGCTGCGCTCATGCCGGGAGATACACAACGTGTGTGCACACACACACACATTACAGTCTCTTCCCGTTGAACTGATTTGATATCACCATGCTCGACCGAGTAAATAATCATGGTAGACGTCCGTGTGCCTAGAATGCCTGCATGAACTAATGGCCTCGGGCTTGTCACTTTGTCGCCCAGTGGCTAGCGGGATCAACGCCGAAATCAGAGGTTGAGTGCTGCCGTCCGCCAGTCCAACAATTTCACGCTTGCAATGACGACACCACCAGCGGCGTCCAGTAATTAGAGCATTCAACACTCTTCGGCGCTGTTTGCGCTGATTTCCGTATCGTCAGCCTGGTGGTTGCATCAGATGCATGAGGACATCTTTAATGACTTATCCTGGCATCTAATTGCAATCAGAGTGGCGTAGGACCTGTCCTGGCAGCCTGTTGCATCTTCAGCAGAGCCCGGTCTGATTCACATGCGATTGCTATCCATCGGCAGGACTGCCATGCAGTCGGCCATTGGAAGGCCACATGATGGTCGAGCGAAGTGCATTTATTCCACGCGAGTGACGCGACCGCGTCTTGTACACGTCTGGTAAGGTTTGCGCGCGCGGCGAGATCTGTATGTGGACGCTGCTATCTATCTACTGGTTGTCTCCAGTACAGCAAGTGTCACACAGCGGATTGCAGGGGCATAGGAACCTGGCGGCACTTTAGGCCCGAGTTCCAGACTTGCTCGAGCGTGGGCCACCCATCGTCGGATTATGCCGTGTGATCAGAGCTTCTCCCACGCCTAAGTCACTTTTGTCCACACCCTAATCCACAAAACCTGCAGGTAACGTTGGTCCGTCATTCCTGAATGGATTTCAGGCCGACACCCATGAGTCGAGAGCAGTGCATACTTCGCCAGAGACCAACACCCAGCAATTGGACGCCACTCACCCGCTTGTAAACAGCTGTCATGTACTCCGGCAAGGCCGGATGGTCCTAGGCTGTTGGTGATGAGCTGAGCCTCGAGGGATGTTTCAAGACGCTCTGGATGTGAACACGACAGGAGTATGGTTAGATCACAAAAGCTTGTGCTTCATCGCAAACACATTGCGTAGCGTAACAGCAGCAGCGGCCACGAAAGTTGCGGGACTTTCAACAGACGCACAGATCAGACCCTTGCGCCGCCTTACCCAAGCCGTCTGGTTCGCCGGTCAAACTGAGACCCCAGATCTCCCAGGCGCAATAAGCTCGAAAGCAAGTCGGAAGTGCAGAACGCTGTACCGCGACGACACTCGTGTGCACCGATTCCTCGAACTCGCATAACTCAGTACATTCGTGAAGATTGCCCGTTGATCGTGCAGGTCAGATCTGGTATCTCTCAGCTTGCACAAGCACTGGGAGCGCATGGCTCGAGATGTTGTGGCAGGTGCCAGCTCCCACGAATGTCTTGTGGACCGGCACAGTGCAGAGTATCTCAGTCGGCATCGAGCCGCGGTTGAGAGTCCCTTGACGGTCTGAGGTTGCGCCCGTTGCGCAAATGGTCTGAGCAGTCAGTTTACCTCCCTCGGCATCTCCGAAGATACCGGAGAGGCGCTTTCATGATTCGCCGTACGGGAAACACATCGGAATCTATCCACAAGGCGGATCTGATAACAAACAGTCTAATTGACATTAGGTATAGACTTTGATGCAACAGCTGTCGAGCATTGCATGGGCAAAGAATCGAGATAGAGACATGGCTGCCTGGTGAGATGGGCACCGCAGGGTTATGGACTCATGGTCGTGGGAAGAGCGTTGCTTACAGTGATTCACGGGTCGAGTGCTCCGGATCTGCAAGGATGATGATCTCAGCACACTCTCTATCCAGACGTGCCAAAATACAACCAATCCAAAATTCCACCTTTGCCCTCTACTGTCAAACAGCGCCAGAAGTGGATGGTGGCTGCATGCAGGTATTGGGGCGGTGGCGGCTCGATGGTGAAGTTGCGCTACAACGTATGCGTTTGAAATATGTTGTCTTCCGAGGGCCGACGATGTATTGTGCCCCCAGCAAATACTGTGGCACCTCATCACGGCGCATAAGGATAAACGGAGTGCAAAACATCACATCGTTCGTCATCTCCGATGTCTCTCCTTGTGCCATATCTTGATCTCACAAGAGACATCAACCACTGTCAAGTGATACTGTAGGATCAGCAGGATTGTCGCCGGGCAAGCCTGTATCCACCCGGAAGTTCCACATGCACGGGCTCCAGCCGCGCAGCAAGCTAGCGCACGTCGTCACTCCAACAATGTCTGCTAGGGCGGAGCGCTACGGAGATGGTTGTAGATTGTGCCGCAGGAGGGAGATGGCATGGTTGTGAGAGACACCGAGATCGCGGCATTGCGTTGCGCGTCATAATGTGGTGCCTGTTCATCAGAGAAGCCCTTGATCAAACACAGTATCGGCGATCGATTCTGCAGGTCGTGGCAGCGCTGTGTACGCATTTTGACGAAAGCACGCATGCACGCAGCTGAGCGGAATGTGGACATGTAGCATTTGGATGAATGACAGGCGGGCCTTGCAATATCTATTGCATGGGGATGCATGCGGGAACAGTACATCACTGGCTTGCTGAGGCCATTTCTGCAAGTCATGGACCTTTTGAAAATCGCCTAGGAGTATGGGTGCTGCACTCTGGAGTGTTGATTGGCTCACGGGCGGCCGCTATCAGTACGTCTGACGCAGCAAGGCACGACCTTCTGATAATCGACGTCGCTCGAGGCTCCAGGGTTCTGAAGTTGTGTTCGGTACGAAAACTCACACCGAAATTGGGAAATAATGCCAAATCAGTGCGAGAATTTGCCCAGTAATCTTCGGCGGCATCCGTAGAAGCAGATCTGCAGATCCAATGTAACCACTGCGTGGTTGTTCTATGGAGCAATGTATACCACATGCTGGGCAGGGCCGGAAGAATGAGAAAGGCGGATGACTTCGCTGGGCTTCGAAGGCCGCGTCTCCTTGACGCCTACCTGGAACATGTAAAACAACGCTCGGGCTCGAACTTTCGATCAGGAGACCATGATCAGGCACAGTGGACTATGAGCGGAGAATGTTCGCTTCCATGCCGTTAACGGTATCTTGATGTGAGATCGAAGACAGCTCGAATGTCACGAGGTATTCATCATTGCCAGGCAGGAATCCCTCCTGGCGTCGTCTTGGTACGCGCGCGACGGACGTCCAGAGCGAGCATTTACTCTTTATGGCAATCGCCCTGTGTTTGAACATCACATCGTGACGGATAGAATTCTACTTTGTAGATCCATATGGAGCGACGGGCACCCGTGGTCGACGGGGACAACGTGTTCGCTGTGGAGCCTCTGATCTGCATCCCGCGGTCTTAATTCCGGCGAGCAAAGACCCCAACGGACACTCCCAGCGACTCCTCTGACAAATGATGTTGCCATCTTTGAATCTCATAACGCGGTACGATGAGCGACCAACTGACATGGTCGACGACCAAGACCGAGTTCACCGGAATTAACGAGGTGACGAGCTACAGCGCGATACAGTCGTCGTGGCCGTGCTTCCAGCTGAGCGTCAGCTCATCCCGTCAGTTATTCGACACGAACGAAGCCCGAACGTTGTTGTTTCTCGCCCTTTATCAGGACAACCGTTTCCCGCTGCTGACGAGCCCTGCTTCTGCTCAGCCCGCACCAGAAGCAGATGAACCCCACTCTGAATCCTGGTCACATCGCTGCGGTTCCTAACGCGCCCATTCGCACAGCGGCCATTGCCAATTGCTTCGAACAAACGGCGATGAACCGGCTGCCAAACCCGCTGATATGGACGATGTCAAGGAAACTTTCGTTTCAGATGCGGGCTCGGAAACGCGCGCACGATGGCTAACGGATATTCTTTCGACCAAACTGAGCGACATGTGCGATCGAATAGGCAAAAGGCATCTTCCGTCGATTCGATACTACAGGCCACTAGTCCGCTGTCTGTCAGTCCTAACGACGCATTGTCAAAACGACGGCCCATGTCCGAAGTAGAGCGCCGGACAGATCCAGCATCAGTCGGGTCAGAATTAGTACAGATGTGGTTCCAATTCTGTCGAAATTGATGCTGGACTGCAGTAATGAAAGTGGTAGCAGCAGGCGAACCACGATCCTCAGACGACCAGCGACAGGCCTTCGTTTTAGTGTTGTCCAACTAATCGACGTCCGCGCCTACTACGCATTTGGTCGGTGGTCCCAGCTCCGGCGCATCCGCCTAGAACTGCTGCGCGCGCACACTCACGGGTCGGGCACCCACCACACACACCCCGAGGACGCGCACATACTCTCAAAACACCACCACACACCGGGACATGCATGCACATTCACATCCACATATCCACGGCCCCCATCAAATCGAACTGGATGGAATGCGGCGATGAGTGTGCACGTATCGGTCGTATACACAATGGCTACTTTGTGTCACTTCGCACGTTTCTCATAGTCACTCATCATCACTCTATCAGCGCATCCTTGCACACATAATAATCCACAACCAGTTCAGCCAGAGATACACCACACACACCTCGAAATAGCGTGAGGCAACTATTCCTCTCTCTAACCCTCCTCCGCACACCCTCCTTCCTGCCGTCCATCCTCCTCCTCCGCCGCCGCCGCCTCCTCCTCCTCAGTCCCATCACCATCATGATCACCACCCTTTGTCGTCAGCAGCAGCAGAAGTAAAACGGTTTTCTGACGAACGTTTTAATTCTACCCGCTCCTATCTACGTTCTGTTTGGCTCAGACCCCAATGGCTTTCCTACTAGGGAGGGGCCCTAGCTCTGACAGCACACGCACGACTATCATTATGGATCACGGCCATCGTCCGCTGCCTTGCTGCCCTCTAGTCCGTATTCGCAATCATTGCTCTCTTCAGTGAGATTGACACGCTCATTCACACCATCGTCGCTCTGCTCCTTGTTGATGTCGCCGTCCCTGCTGTTACCATCGTAGTGATCCTTTCGTCACATGCTTTCCCTTTTCCTCATCCACAAAGAGCGCGCATCATCCACCGCGCGGACCATCGTTGGACTCTGCACGTTTATCGGTGCCCGCTTGGTCTACACTCCGTCTCTTCTCATATTATTTGAGCTACGACTTTTACAAGGGCCATCGATCTGCCGTCTCGGAACATTGATCAGCACAGATCCCGCCGCCGGTACCTGCTTGATCCTTCTCTCTCACAGAACTTGTTCAAACTTTCAACCTTCTTCCAAGCCGAAACTCTCTTCGCTATCTGCTACGCCGGCGACCTCCAAGTGTCGGCTATTATCTTCCGGGCGCCAGCCAGGTACAAGACATTCTTCGAACCTTCGCTTTAACTTGCCTTTAACCTTCCGCAACTATATCGAACTCCGAAAACATCACGCTCCCACTGTTGCACGCCCTTACGCGCTGTCCTCATACGCCTGTATCCATATCCACACTCATCATCGACCGGGACGTTGTGAACGCAATCCAAAGTCGATCATCTTTCAGCACGTCGTTAACTGCGCTCTGAGGTTTGGTCCGGACTCCGCTTCGCGATCATCTGTACAACATCTACACATCGCGCAGCGATTCAAATCACAGGAAGTTTCGAAGACTACATGACATAATAAAGCCTTGTTCATCGAGCGCAAAAGCGCTTGCTCTGGTCCCGCAAATCTGACTGTGTTCGCTTCTATTCCTACCTGCGTTGAATCTTGACAGCTGTGCGAACAAACTCCGATCTAGACTGTCTGCAATCGCGAACATCTCAGCGAAAGTGGTGATTGAATCGCAAACATGAGCGGCGGTGGTGCTGGGCCTCTGGTCCCTACCTTTCACGGCTTTGTTCACAATAGCATGGACGGCCTGATCTTATTCGAAGCTTGTCTCAGCGGGAAGCTGCACCACGTGCCACGAAGACCCCACGATCGGGAGCGGAGTTCGTTGATCAAGAGTGGCAGCATCTTCATTTACGAAGAGAATGCTTCTGGCATCAAGCGGTGGACTGACGGCGTTGCATGGAGTCCCAGTCGCATCCTTGGTAACTTCCTCATCTATCGGGAATTAGAAAAGCCCTTTCCGCCAGGAGAAAAGAAACGTGCAATGAAACGCAAACGATCAAGTGCGCCAGGAGAGCCATATCCGCGTCGGAGTTCAGAGGTCACCGAGCATGAGCTCCCAACTCCGATCTCACCACCGATCCAGGAGGCGGGCGCAGACAGCAAGCCAACCGATGGTTCTGGTGCAGACGCGGACAAGGAACTGGAACGATCGTTGATTGGATCACTGGTCGACAGCTATGGGTTTCGCCCTGATGGTCTCGTCAAGAAGACCATGAGCGTGAGCATCAACGGAATCTCGCATCACATGGTCTCATACTACAAAGTAGAAGACGTCAAGGCCAACCTTCTCCCGCGCCCGAACCAGGACCAGCGTCTTGCATCGTTGACAATTCGGCCCGATCTTTACTGCAAACAGAACTTCAGGGCACCAATCGACGAATCGGATCAATATGCGCTTGACGGCCACATGAACCCACATCCATCAGTCATGTATAACTCGGTGCAAGGCGGACCCTTTGGTGTACGGCCAGGGACATACAGCTTTGGGCAGCCTCAGTACGGAGCAGGCATGTACAATATGCCTACCACGACTGGCGCAGCTGTTTATGGAGGCATGACGGGTACCTCGTGGCAGCCTCAGCAAGCGTCTGCCAGCGCGAGTCCCTACACACAACATCCACCGTACAACGCAGGACCGACGTACGCGCCAGCATACTACCCAGGAAAAGCGCCCGATCAGAACACTCCGACAACAGTAGCGAAGGTGGAGGGACAATCATCGACTCCACAGACGATGTCGTACGGAGGTCAATACTCGAACACATATCAGCAACAAGGGATGCAGAGGAGTGGATCAGTATCGACGACACCTTCCATGATACAATCACATTATCAGACACCCGTCGCGTCTGCGTCATCAACGTTCGGTTCCATGAGCTCTGCGAGTGGGCGGCACCAATCGTATAGCGGCCCGAGCATGAGCAGTCCTCCCACCAATAGTCAAGTTCAGCCTATCTATAGCACCGCCCCATCACAACAATATCCGTTACGATCTCCACCTCAGAATTATGGAGTTCATAGTGCTTCCCAGAGTGCTGTTGCGCATTCACCACACGCGTCGATGGAGCCTTCACATCCTTCACATCATAATCCATCGAGCCAATCGCTCGGCCAAGATCCGAACTCACAAATGCAGAACTCCCACATGTCGTATCGTTCGGCATCGTACGCCGCGCCTTCGGGGCACTCTGCAAACGACATGGCAGGACTGGGAATAAGCAACGCCTCATCATATGCGCCACAACCGCCGCAGGTCTCGAGCGCACAGAGCTATGGATACAACCCCAGCACGCAACCTTTCCGCGCCGTCAGCGAAGCCACCGTCCAGAGTGCTGGCAATTACGTGTCCTGAATCCAGCAAGAATAGGAACCCTTATGGGCATTCCTCAGCACTTAACAAACGAATGGTTCGAGCTTCCCACGTGAGCCGTATGTTTAGAAAGAAGCTCGCTCACGTCGAAATTGACCGACGTCGGCTCGCCGTGTGGTGTCGAATGCGCCTGGACCGCAAGTTTCGACACCTACAACATTGGAAATAGCATGCGATCCTAGCATCGCTTTGGACAAAAGCAGCGCGCTCTGCTTCATACCAGAAGCCTCAAAGTGAAGCCAGATGTCTACATAATGCTGCTCGTCACGTGCACTCCATCATTTGGATGCTTCCGACTCGAATCTGTTGCAAATACCATTACCGTCGCCTCCACCGGAGAAATTGGCTCATACCCCAATCGGCATCAGGATGCAGACCACGATTTGGAAACCCATCAGAGGATCAAAAATATCACTTCGCGCATGTCGCGCAGTAGGCCTTGGGGCCGCATCCTAGAAATAGAGGGGACTGGGAACTCGGGCCAGAACAAAATCGGAGAATGGTGAAAGACAGAATAGACACAGGAGTTCGAGAATCGGTGGGAAGCGTATACGGTTCATTTCCACGAGATAGCGGTAATAACAATTTAAGAGAAACGCGAAAAACCTTTGCCATACATATCCTCATGTTGCCCAAATAAACTCGTGGCATAGCGGTACATATCGCAAAATACCCGAATATTTGTCCTGAAGTATGTGCGACTGAATGCGACAACAAATTATTATCCAGTGTACTGGACCAATTTTCGCGTGCATCGTGAAAGATTTATGCCGAAAGGGGTTCGCCGGCCGTATCACCAGCGCGTTCGGGGCAGAATTGCATTGTCATCCGACGTCACGTCTCCCACCACCACACGTCGGCAAGTCCATCTCTCGATCGCGTGAGCCAAATTCATCGTAGTTGGACAGAGACATTTTCATCAGCACAGCAAATATCGTTCAAGGAGACATCACGAGCGGCTCGTCGTCTACCCGAGCGGGAGATCATTCGCTGATATTACGACAGATCGAGAAGTCTGTCTTGCGCGTCGGCTCTCAAGCCGTTCAAGCAAATTTCAACCCGTCCGAAGCACCATTTCTGGCGGAGTCTCTCCATTGAGCTGTCCGGTAGCATTCAACAACCATATCATCACCAGGAACTTCACATTTGGTGAAATTTGGGTTGATGCTCCGCACCTGGGTTGTGGACTAGAGAAACTTGAAGCTTCTTCAAAGTCGAAAAATAGCAGTCCTGCGGGGTGCACACACGATGCATCGCTTGACGGCCTGCCGGCGCCTGGCATCTACAACATCTTTCCTCACACCGTATGCACAGACATCGTCTCGAAAAATAAGCGCGAGATCGACTTCACTGTTCATCGATCGTTTTTCGAGCCCACAAAATCGCACATTCCCAATTCTTACAAGGTTAGATTTTAATATCCGTCCCAGAATCCATCGCGCTGACGTAAAGAAGATGTGCCAAATTGTCGGCGAATACACATATTCATAACCTTCGTTTTGCATCAAATCATTCTGAAAGAGATGTTTCAGAGAAGTCTGCGTCGCCCACGCATGCAGAGCTTGGAAAGGTGAGCCCGGACTTCCGTTTCATGACCCAGAAGAGGTCACCTGCAAGCAAAACACTAATAGTCCTTTGGAACGAAGACGCCATCGAAGAATTCGTCCTCATCAAAATTAGCATCGACGCCCGCAGCGCTTCTCGACGCTGCTCGGACGCGGACCACGGAGCTGGGAGCAAAAGTTCGATCTTCACTCGAAAACATCACACCTCATGAGAACATCTACAATCTCCCCAATTTCTTGACCGTCACGCGCCTCATTGCCGCTCCTGCAACAGCATATCTTCTACTACACGATCAACATACGTGGGCGCTGGCCCTCTTTGCCTATGCGGGAATTACTGACCTCGTTGATGGGTGGATGGCTCGCCGATGGAAACTGCAGACCGTTGCAGGGAGCGTGATTGACCCGATGGCGGATAAGGCACTCATGATCATTGTGACGGTGACTTTGGCAATCAAGGGTGCTATACCTGGTGAGTAGATCGCGTTTCACCCATTTCCCACTGAAAGTGTTTATTAGTTTACTCGCTCGCCAGAGAGTCGTGCTGACTCGTCATCAAAAGCGTACCTGGCGACACTCATTTTAGGTCGAGACGCCGCACTTGGAATTGCGGCATTTTACTACCGATATGCCTCGTTGCCACCTCCAAAGACCATGATGCGATACTGGGACTTCTCCCTCCCTTCCGCCGAAGTCCACCCAACCACCGTGTCGAAATACAATACCTTTCTACAGCTCGTCCTTATCGGCTCGACGCTAGCCCTGCCCGTAATTACGGCCAGTGCTCATGGCGCTGGAGCCTTGAACGCAATCCACTTGGACGCAGCTCACCTCAATCTTGGCTTAACATACTTCCAGTACCTGGTAGCGGCGACCACTGCCTGGAGTGGTCTCAGCTATGCTTATTTGAAGAATGCTGTCACCATCCTCGGCTCAAACGAAGAGCTCAAAGCCAAACAGGGCGCTCGAGGCAGAGCCATCATCGGTGTTACCTTTGGAAGTCTTGTCCTCCTTGCTGCATGGCAGCACATCAGGGGTGATGGGGATGCGACCGAGGAAGTGGCATCGCCGGCTGATGCTCGCGCTACATCGTAGCTTTGAGGGAATTTTTCTGAGTCATCAAATATCCCGTGATCGGGATTGCCATGATCATGCCGATGCTGCTTGAGCTTCACGAGGATTACGCACGAGGTGACACTGCTTGTGTAGGATACCTTTCATGTATTAAATTTATGTAATGTAACAAGCCATCTGCATGTCAGGAGCCATACCCTCAGGTATTCTCGGATAGTCTAGGAATCATCTCGGGAGCTTCAGTCGCTCGGATATCATCATATTTGGGCCCCATATCCGCAAGCGCATCGATGTGAGTCATTGCGTCGTGCTGGGTCTCCAGTCCATCAGCTGGCCCATTCTGGTCTGAGTCATCATCTTCGTCCTCACTCTGCGCGCTGAGCTGACTTGAAGGTGTCGGCGGCTCAAGTCGAACTTCCAAACCCTCCTTGTCCGAGTCGGTGAGATTCTCACTCATCGGCTCCGGACTAGCTCGCCAGAGCTTCTGTCGAAACAGGCTTACCGGACTGCGACTCTCCGGCGAGGGGCTCCCGGGCGGAGACTCCCAGCTAGTCCGTAAGGCGGCCGTCGAGCGATTCATCATTTGTTGCATGATCGGCATCTCAAGGTAGCCATTGTTGCTTGTGCGACCGAATAGCACGAGGGCCAAACATAAAAGCAGCAAGGTCGATTGCAAAATTCCCATGCGCTTCTGCCAGACGAGCTCGTCGGCCACCATGGTGAGACGAGCGCTCATGGCCAGCATTTCGTGCTGACTAAGTTGTCGTTGTCCCTCCAACTCAATGACTGTGCTTTGCCATAGCTGATCATATGCTGTACGTAGTCCTTGTAGCTCAGAGATGACCGTCTGGTTGAGGTTCGCCAGGAAATTTGAAGTAGTAGAAACTTGGCGTTTCTCGACTTTGGTGAATGCGTCTCTTAGGATTCGGGATTGTTCTTCTATGTACTTCAGGCTTAGAGTACTGTTGCTCTCTAATTGTTGCAGGCGTTTATGAACGGACTTGAAGAACGACTCCTGTGTAGATTGTTGTGGCGGCTGCGAGCTCACCACCGTCGCGCTTGCAGTCCGATTTGTGTTTGTAGTCGGGATAGTGTGATTCGCAGACTTGGAACCACTTGACGCAGTCGTTGAATTTGAAATTGGTGCGGACCCCTGTGATTTTGATGATGCTTGTGCACTACTTATGGTTGACGAAGAAGCTGTCGGAGACTTTTGTGAGGTCGCTGTTGATGACTCGGTCGCTCGAGTCGCCGCTGAGGTTGGCACTGAGCTGACTGTCTTGCTTTTATTCTGGCCTGTCACCCCCTCTTTCGAGTTAGCTTGTTGCAATATTGTTGCTGCTACTGTTGTTATTGTTGTTTCTGTTGCTGGCGCCGCCACTCCTGGACTTGAAGCACGTGCGACCTCAATGGCCTCGCAAGTCGTGTTCAGGTTGTCTATCGGAATGCGAGTGCTGCTAGAAGTTACGAAACCATCGTTTGCTGGCTGGCTGGGCTCGCTAATGGTGCCATTTGTGACGGTCACGGTGGCTGTGGCAGCAGCGCTGGTGTCCGCAGGAACATCTCGTCCGACACCTATGTCGGAAGAATCCTGCTTCTCATTCTGCAATGGTGCTTCGGTGCTGCCTTCTACGGCGCCGTTTGAGATGTGGACAGAGCTTGCATCTTCAATAGCTGTGAGAACGATCGCCGCCTCCTGAGTGGCCTCCTCTTCATCGCCTCTGGCAGCGTCTTCTTGATGCCTGAATTCCTCCAACATGGTAGTGCCATGCACTCGGAGCAAGCTTACAGGGCAGTAGTACTCGTTACCGTAATGTGTCAAAAATTCGATTCGCAGATACCTCGCCCATATAAGCGGATTCTGCACCAAGAATGCCTGAATCTCGCGGGTGTTCCGAGCTTCGTACGTCCCGAGGTCTTTCCATTTTTCAATCTTGACAGGATATCGATCCGACACCGAGACTCGGAAGTGACGGAAACTTGAACTGAAGAATTCATAGTTTGCAAGCACGACAGTGTCGACCAAGATGTCATCGCAAAGCTCTATGATGATGAATTTATTTTCTGCAGAGCATTTGTTTAGTAGGTAGCTGTCTTTGTTCTCCACCAAAATCGCAGATGCTGACTTGCACTCTTTATTCGATTTCAATGCGGTGGCGGCACAGTCGAATGAGGCATAGTTGGTTCTTTCTTTGCACGTTTTGCCTGCATCTTTCGATCGTACGGTGAGGGCGGGCGGCGATGCATGCTCGCTGTCAGAGATCTCAAAAGCCGCCATGGCGTCCCTTTGCGCGGCGATCGGGACTGTGGGACTAGCTCCGCTTCCAAAGCCCGTGAAATCGAGATTGATCTCGCCCTCATCTCCAAGAGCATCCAATGCATTGGTGAGATCCGGTCGAGGTCTGTTGATGTTGATTGCCTGGCCACGGCCGACATGCTCTGGCGATTGGCCTGCCTTGACTAGATTTTGAACCTTCCATTCTTCAAATGATAGAAAATTTGCATTATCTAGTGGCGACTCAAGGTCTTCTTCTTCCAATAATGCTATATGTGTGAGAGATTGAGAACTTGCAATCGCAGGGTTCGCACTCTCGACAGGGCGAGGTTGCTCCGAGATTGACGCGCCGAGAATTTCGCGTTCAGAGGGAATGCTTATGGATGGAGATCCGGATGATGTGATTGAATCGACTGTATTTGTTGCATACTGTGTACTCTCTGTAGAGCTCCGGAAATCATAACTCGAGATCGACGTCGGGGTGGCTACGTAATCTATGCTCATACACGACTGTGGGCTGGTATATGTGATATAATTGCTGATGGTTGTTGGACAAGTTGCAGCTGCCGAAGCTGCACGATTAAGAGCGTCATGAAACATGACAGAGGTAGCATCGAATGATTGCTTGACACTTGATCTGCGATCATCGTTGACCGAGTCCATGGGTCCATCGTGAACAGCGACTTGGGCTTCACCGCCACGGAGCAGAACGAAGAAGCATAGACAAAAACGGAGCAGCCCTCTCAGGACGTTATCGATAGCCATAGCGTTGTCGTAGCATTTTCCGTCGCTACGTTGCAAATACTTGCCGAAGAGAAGGCAATAATTCCCATAATGCGACCGGGAAATTGTCGCGGTATGTTTGTTGCTGAATCGTCACGGAAGAAATGCATTCGCGATATGACCATGAGGCGTGACAATGTGGCACGTGTCCAAAAACAGAAATTGAGCCTCTTTCCCTGCCAAATTTATTGGTGTGACATCATCCTGACTGGGCCATGCCCAGCTTTCATATTCGTAAGAACATCGAATGTTACAATGTTATACAGCCGTGAGTTACAATATGGAGAGGGAGTTGCTAACCTTCCATCAACAACGTTTGAGGAATAGATGCATGTATTTCTGGCCAGCGTCAAAGAGAACTTCAAGCTTTGAAGATGAAATTTGATGATGAGAGATTGAGATGCGCTTGGGACTGGATCAATCTCCCTCTCAACATGGACAATGCGGAACGGTTCCAGGTCGTTTTCCACTGCAAGATGATGTTGTGGGTGCATTTCTTTTACACTGGATCTTCACATGCACCAATAGCGGTTGTTCACACAATGATCGCGGCTATCTGGTCTGAGAGTTATCGTTTAATACGATATCAAAATTTGTCGTGATATCGGATGCTCCGTCCGTCATGAAGTGAACATCATCCACCGTCTTCCCGGACTGCACGTACAGATTATTCGCGAACGCCCCCTGTTGCTCTGCTCCACTGCGATCATTCTGTTGAAGGTGCTGCACGTGGACAGAACACTGTACACACCGCCCGAATACATGCCTTCGTGCTTGGTTTGCATCCGTCGTAAATATAAAACAGCTTGACGGGAGACGGGCTTATTTCGCAATGCATGTGTGCGCACTACGTATTTCCTTTTGTCGAAGACGTGCGTGTGAACGCAACCGTAGGTCTCAGGCCGAGCTTACTTCTGGAAACTAGAACAATCCATGAATGTTTTTGACACGACCAAATTTCTTGTGATCAGAAAATCAATTCCGCAACAAGCATATCATCAGGAGAAGCACATTCGAGAAGAACCTTCGCATCATATTGACGACAATTCCATTGCCTTCTGGCTGTGAACTCTGCACCATTTGGCAGAACGCCAAAGCGACTTTCGCTTGGCTCAGTCGCTCATGTTTCTCTGACAGGCATCGCAGGCGAGCATTGAAGAGCGGAAGTCGACTGAGCCCGAATTTAATCCCAATCATCGTCGTTGACATCCTCTTCCTTTTGCTCTGTGACCATCCTTCGACGATCATCATCCTTGTTCATTTTGGCTCTGACCAGGACACCACAAGCAAGCAGCCGCGCCTCGAGCTCACTGGCCGTAAATGAATCTGGCTTGTAGCCGATCCCCTCGAAGCCGATAATACGGTCCACACCAACGCCGTCAATGAATGAGATGACACAGGGCAGTACTTGAATGCCTAACTTCACCACCAGAAAGGATGCATTTTCTACGTTGATGCTCACGAAGCGTGTGTCAAAGTGCTTGGATGTGAGTCCTCTCAGTTTCTCGTCCATGATTCGACAGCGATTGAAATCTGGCTTCATAAAATGTACAACGCAGAGCTTTGTTGATGTCGTGATTTCCATCAATTCTTTCTCATCCTTGATTTCAGAGTAGGTACCGTGTGAGGTCTCTCTCATTGTCTTGGCACGTGTAATCTCAGAATGTAGTTGTTCGAGACGACGCTCGCGCAAAGCAGTGAAGGCGGCATCGTCCGCCTCCTCCAGTTCGGCGATGAGCGCATCCTCGTCCTCATCATCCTCCTGCGACAGGCGGCTGTCAAGCACCTTTGCAACGCTTTCGTCAAGAACCATGTTGTTGAAGTCTTGAGATGTCAGTGGGTTGTGCGCCATTCTTCAATGTGAGGCTGCCGAAACAGGTAGGGAATGTCCGAGTCCTAAGGCACAAACGAATTATGCAAGTGCGCCACAGCCGCCATTCAAAATTGTTGAGCCCCTGGTTATCATTGCCATAATTTCTGTTGGCCCGAGATAGGTATTGCGCTCTGGAAATTGGGCATCAGATTGACCATACTGTTTGATGGATCTCCGGGACATGATGGAAGGCAACCTTGGAACACACGATCCTCTTTACATCCAGCGATATACACATGCATGGTAATATCTTGTACGGTGCACGCCTTCCGATTTCTATATCTTGCGACCATGTCAATTCCCGCCCATGTGTAGTCTGATCAGCCAGATGATCAACGATAACGTAGAAATGCACACATGTGGGTGAATGGGCATCGAAGCAATCACACCGGAACCCATACTGGAGGGTCCTTCACGGCGTTTATCTACTGTACACCAGGAGATTAAAATCATAGAACGCAGTCAAATTGGAAGCACAAACCACCACCTCGCTCGACCTCGGAAGGGCGTGCTCCAGGGCTCGCTTCCTTCCGCCGATCCATACCAGCTGGGAGATGCGGGCAATTGATCAGCGTTCGCATGCCGTATTTGACGGGTCGCGCGGTCCCAGCCCGCCCCAGTTTGTTGCAAGCGATCCTGTGGGGATACTTGTGCACTTCTTCCACGTTATTAATGATAGCGCGGCCAATCTCCTCTCATCGGACAGCTTTTTGGTTTCGAACAGACTGATAATAATCTTTTGCGCCGCAAAGCTTCTTCTCTCCTCATCGACTTCAACACACAACCCGCGACACTCTTTTCTCCTGCGCTTCGTGCGCATAACACCGTCACCACGACTACCTTCGTAGGCGTCAAATCTTCCTTGGGCCCAAGTCGACCCTGGAATCAGGCCCATTCACCCCTTACCAGCCGCGCCAATCGCGCCCTGTCGTCTGCTCTGTCCACCGTCCTCAACACGATGAGCGAGGGCAAAAAGACGGAATACGAAGAAGAGATTGAATTGGCCGAAACTGCGAAACTCAACGAGAACTTCTCCCTTCCACCTTCGCGCGAGGCATCTCCAGCAATCATGCCTCAATCCACAAGCAGCAAAGCCCTCGACCTGAACAGCCCCGTGCTGGCTGTTCTGTCGTACTGTGGCAGCAGTATTCTGATGACCGTATCGAACAAATACATGGTGAATGGCACAGGATTCAACCTTCCATTTGTGTTGCTGGTTGTCCAGGTAAGCTAGCCGAAAGGTACGAATCTCAGTACTTTTAACAGGTGTATTGACCAACTTTAGTCTGCTGTCTGTATCGCCGCCATCTCCTCCGCCAAAGCCCTCGGATCGATCACGTACCGTGACTTCAATACCGAGGAGGCCAAGAAATGGTTTCCCGTTTCCATTCTCCTCGTCGGTATGATCTACACGTCAATGAAGGCGCTTCAATTCCTCAGTATTCCAGTCTACACGATCTTCAAGAATTTGACCATCATCTTAATTGCATACGGCGAGGTGTTGTGGTTTGGAGGATCGGTCACACCAATGGCCCTGCTCAGTTTCGGTTTGATGGTACTTAGCAGTGTCATTGCCGCCTGGGCGGACATCTCGCACGCACTCTCTGGCAGTACCGACTCAGATGCCATTTCGACCTTGAACTTGGGATACCTCTGGATGGGCGCGAATTGCATTTGCTCTGCTGGTTACGTTCTCGGCATGCGCAAGCGTATCAAGCTGACGAACTTCAAGGATTTCGACAGTGAGTAATAATAACATACCCCAGGTCTCTGCTCTTGCAAATGCTGACGATTGACAACAGCCATGTACTACAACAACCTTCTGTCTCTTCCGGTCCTCATCATCTGCTCATTGGTAGTTGAGGATTGGTCCGCCGCCAATATCGCACGCAACTTCCCACCAGGACGCCAGTGGCCCATGATCGCAGCAATGGTTTTCACCGGCCTCAGCAGCATTTTCATCTCGTACTGCAGTGCGTGGTGTGTACGAGTCACCTCTTCTACCACCTACTCGATGGTTGGTGCCCTCAACAAGTTACCGATTGCCATTAGTGGTCTGGTCTTCTTCAACGCACCGGTCACGTTCGCCAGTGTTTCTGCCATCTTTGTCGGTTTCATCTCTGGAATGGTGTATGCTGTAGCCCAAATCTGGAAGAAGAAGGGCCAGGACGAGAACAAGAGCGTGTTGCCTACAAGCTCGAGTTCGCAAAGCAATCGCGATTCGCTCAAGGCATAGATATTGACAAGCTGAATGCTTATCGTAACTTTGTTGAGGTAAAAATCGTCCACACAGTTTTCCCCTTACAACGGGCTGAGAGAATGCCTATGAACACGCAATGAGGAAAAGACAGCGTGGGATTGTCAAGCAATACGCTCCTTGCTTGAATAGAAATCAGTGATGTTGAACATCACAGGAGTACTGAGGATACCTATGTATATGGAGTTTACACTGGTCGATTGGCCTAGCACTTTACCGCCATGTGGGCTGTCCAAGCTCGACTTTACCATGTGGGAGACATACTTCCTTCCTTGTTGCATATTCGTGTTATATAAGAGCTTTGATCCCGTCTTGGTCATAGATGGCCTATGTTCTAGAATTTGGTTCAAATGAACAGGCCAGTCCAGAGTTGTTTTCCATTCTCGAGAAAAGTACACCTGCGTAACGTCGTAACATCGGTCTCCGGACACGATAATATAGTAGAACTCAGCCGACGACAACTTGAACATGGCTTCTCCAGCAAACGTAAGCGATGAAATTACATATGTCTCTTCCTCTCTCCAAGATCAAAAGTGCTCACTATGGTTTGTTGCCCCGCGTGAAATGTCATTAGTCCTGGTGACGATGGCGGGCGACAATGACAAACCTTGGAGCTCTCGTTGACATGTCATACTGTAGGAAATGTTAAATAGCTTGGCATTTTGACGTATGGTATCCCAGCCCGCGCAAGAATGGATGGATTCCAAGCCAAACGCGCTTTATCGCGATCACCCTTCATTCAACAGAACATTGCACACACTTCATGCTGACATTGCTACCTGTCAAGTGCAAGTCTAATGCTACTGCGATCCTGATTGGACTTTTTCTTCGCCGGGCGAGCGTCTAGTCATACTTTCAAGCACGAGCGCATTGCACGACTTCGTCCTGTTAAGCATCATCAAACGAAACCTTCTGGCGCGTTCCTTCCCGTGCAACATCTCATGCGCCTTGATGTTCACAACGATATGAATCGCAGTCGTTGCGCTGCTGAGCCACCGTGATTTGCTTCTGTGTCTTTGCACACCTATCATTGTCCGCACACTCCGCCTCGACGAATAGGCTTCACGACGCTGTTGAATTCGGGGCCACTACAAATTTCCAACTCTTGTCGGGCGCGAACCGCGTTCTACGACTAAGATGCAACAACCGACGCCAGACCGCAAGCCTCCTGTTTCTGGGAACACTCCGATCGACCAACGCGCGACGATCCAGCAGCAGACTCCAGCATCCTTCCCACAAATTTCCGACACTACTGATTACAGTGCTTTCAACTTTCCGAACCCGTACGCTATTGACCAGACCTATACCGAACCTTCGCTTGTTGAGAATTTGGGTCAAGAGCAAACTGTCGGTTTCAATACCAATAACGGTCCAATCTCATCTACGGACCTGGTCCGAAGGGGCCGACATCAGAATGGGCCACAAGAGCAATGGACTGGAGTCGTTGATGCCACGGAGCAGTCTCAGGAGGAGGATGAAGAGGATCTAAACATGAAAGTGGCAATGGCGAAGCGCGATCCTCAAGGCAAACGAAAACAAATCCCGCCTTTCGTTCAAAAGCTTAGCAGGTATGCTCATCCTCGTCGTCGTGTGCGCAACGCTGCTAACCCTTTTGCGCAGCTTTCTCGACAGCGGTAATACAGCATTGATCCGGTGGTCAGACGACGGCCGATCATTCATTGTGTTAGATGAAGACGAATTCGCTCGGACGCTCATCCCTGAACTCTTCAAGCACAGCAACTATGCTTCTTTCGTCAGGCAGCTCAACATGTATGGGTTCCATAAAACAGTCAACATCACCGATGGCTCTTTGAGGCAGTCCGAGAAGGCGCGAAAGGGCGTCAAGCCGCCAAGCATGTATTCACATCCATACTTTCGCAAAAACAGGCCGGACTTATTATGGCTAATCCAAAAGCCGGCGGGAAAGTCTACTGCAAAGCGGAAGCGAGAAGGTGCAGATAGCGATGATGATTCGCCCGGTCCTGATAGCAAGGCACATGTAGACGTCGGCACCGGGGGTGGATCCGATTTGACATCTATTCCGCGAAACGAGATGGCTTCTGTACGACAGGAGCTGAGCAAATTACAGCAGCAACAGGAGTTGATATCAAGAATGATCAGTCACATCAAGAGTCAGAATGAGCAGTTTTATCGACAAGCCACTGCCTTTCAAGCTCTCCACGATCGGCATGAAAATTCCATCAATGCTATTCTGACCTTCCTGGCAACCTTTTACAACAGGAGTCTGGACGGGCATGCCGGGCAAAACCTGGTTAACATGTTCAGCGGTCAAACTCAAAATAACCAGACACATGGAAGTGTCGTTGAAGAGTTCCCCGAGCCCGCAACCAGCAGTAGTGGCCACGTACAGCGATATACAAAGCGGCCCCAGCTGCTATTGACGGGGCCATCTGCGTCTTCTCCACACGTACCTACGGGCAATCTGACAGCCGAGCCAAACTCCGCCCGTCCCTCCTCCTCTCCGTCCGCCGCTGGAGTGAAAAGAGAGGGTCGGAGCAGTATGACGCCTCAAAGCCCCGGCAACTCGGGTGGGAGGAGATCTGAAACTCCAGTCATTAAAACAAGTGCGTCACCTCCTAATCAGCTTCCGGAGAGTGATCAGATGATGAGTCTCATCAAAAGCGTCAACGCTACCAATGCAAATGACACGAGTACCAATACTCCAACATTTGATTTTTCGTCTGCGCTTGACCACTACCAGAATGCGAACGGAAATTCCCCACTAACCCCACAGCAACGCGATGACATGTTGGCATTGATCAACCAGCACGGTGGCCAGGGTGCCGGCAGTAACAATGAGAACAATGCCCTTGTGTCGCCAAATCCGCCAGCAATGCCAGACCTTGCTCACTTCAAACAGACACAGCAACAGCTAGAGATGTTGACGAACATGCAAAAACGCCAGGATGCCAAGGTACAAGACCTTCAGCGACGCCTTCAGCCCTTGTCGCCGACTGGATCGATTCCAGGACTACAAGAAACTGAAAACGCAAATCCATTCGATGCAATCGGCGCAGAGTACGATCCTAATGCGTTCCTCAATTTTGATAACTGGAACGACAACTCTTTGGGTTTAGAAGGTGCAGTCCCTTCAACAAATCCATTCGATCCTGGCAACTACAGTACAGATTTCAACTGGGATGGATACGACGATTCCGGGGCTACGGACGGTATGTTTCAAACTACCAACACGACATTGCCACTCGTTGATCGTCCAGCGACTGACGAGGATGGCAAGATCGAAAACATGAGTAGTGGAGTACCGACTCCAAATGTGGCCGATCAGATTTCAGGTGGATACACGGGTGCGTCACAGCAGTTTGCCGAAACCGGCGAGTCTAAATCGTCGCATAAGAGGCAAAAGACGGGCGGGTGAGAGTAGGTGTGTGGGAGCTGCTGCACCTGGCTGCAATATCATCCGCGCAGCATCTCCGAATTACGAAGTCACGATATTACCTAGTCGAAGTAGATATCCGGTCACATTATCAAAAGAGAAGCTCTCACTTGAAGGAGAGTCGGGGTAATCTTTCACACCAAAAATTGCCTGGGCGTGGTGCATGAGCCAGGCATCATGCCGTATCTTGTGATTCTGCCCTATGTTTTCCGGCCTTGCCCCAGCGCCATAGGCAGACATGTCGACGTGAGCTTTTCATGCCGTATAGACTATGCAGGAAGCTTCCAACCATACAGCAGTGAGTGGCTGTTTCATCGCGAACATTTTTACTTTTGAAAAGCATTTAAGGATAATGGTACGGTGACTGATACTGCGCACCTCTTGACCCACGTGGGCGGGCTACCTTAACCGAACACCGCACCTTTGGCCACCCTTCCGCTCTTCATTCATATAGATCATCGACCATTGTACCGGTGCGGCGACTGTTACGCCTTCATGTCAAAACCATACTCGCTATTCCACCATGAAGATTGCCGTACTTCAATTCAGCCCGTCCTTGGGGATGGTTGAGCAGAACATGTTGCGGGCGCAACAGATTCTCGAAGCACATCCCGGACCCATGGACCTGCTCGTACTTCCAGAAATGGCTTTCAGCGGCTACAACTTTCCCAGTCGCGATGCCATCTTTCCATTTTTGGAACCCACGACTGCCGGACCTACGACGCAATGGGCGCAGAAAATCGCTCAGCAGAGGCAATGTACTGTCATTGTCGGGTATCCCGAGTTTGCCAAAGACGAAACAACCAGCAAGACGACGAATTACAACTCCACCGTCACTGTTGGCCCAGATGGACGCATTCTCGCTAATTACCGCAAATCGTTCCTTTACTACACAGACGAAACCTGGGCCGAGGAAGGTTTTCGATCGCAACGCGCGGGCAAGCTTTTCTTTACTGGGTTTATCCCACCACTAGGCGTCAATATCGGTCACGGCATTTGTATGGACATCAATCCGTACCAGTTCACTGCTGACTGGGCCAAGTACGAATTCGCGACTAGCATGCTCACCAATAATGTGCGATATGTCATTCTAAGCATGGCATGGCTGACACGACTACTTCATGAGGATGTGGTGGCCGATCCCAACCGGCCAGACATGGAGACGGTAGCGTACTGGCTGGAGCGCTTTTGGCCTTTCATGGACTCGCAGCCTCGAGAACCTATTGTGGTTGTCTTTGCAAATCGGTGCGGGTCTGAGGGCACGCAGACGGGCATGATGAAGCTCGAGAATGGTAACGACACTCCGCTTGGCGATCGTGTCTCGTACGCTGGCAGCAGTTGCATCATGAGATTCCAAAGTGGGTCTGTCAAATTGTGGGAAAACCTTGCCAGCGCGACGAAGGAAGTAGGACTTATGGGAAAGGGAGAGGAAGCCATGCTGATTGTCGACACAAACATCCCTGCGAGTTTTTCGCTCCAGAATTCAAAGCCGCCAATGGGACAAGCAGGAAGACGATGAAAATTCCGAGCTCAAGTACTTGTTGTATTCAATATTCTGATGCTGTTGACCAGCACAAAGCACTTTCATGAGGCACATGTCGAAGTCGCACCGCAGGCTGTATTGTAGCTGTTTGGAATAGACGACTGATCCAGGCATGTCCGGTTTGATACCCGTAGTTTTGAAATTTGTTTGAAATTCATGGTCAGGCCATTCTTTAGTGGCTATTGTCCAGATGATAGAGCATACCGTCGCCCTCGCGATCAAACGCCGTTGGTCCCCATTGCAATGCGTAACACCCACTGTTCTCGACACCAGATGTTCCCGACTACAGTGCCATCGCTGTCGCACTGCAACCCATTGCCGTGAACCTCTTCCCAAACTGTCCTTCCAACGAATTGTTCAAATACCGATGCGGGTCTTGCGCCAGTGTCGTCGCTTGGCGTTGTAGCTGCATTAATGCGTTAGTACTCATTCTTTCGACTCCAAGAAACTCCCATTCTCGACAGGACTCGGGGCAGGCGTACCGGATGGTGTTGCCAGTTCGGAGACGGATCCACTGAGGAATAGGTCGGTTCTGCTTTTGCGCCTTGGCAAGCTTTTGCTTTGTGCGGAAAGATTTGTGGGACTGTTTCGTTCTGTCAGTAGAGCGCGAGCCTCAGAATGACACTCGACATACAGGCATCTTGACTTTCTCGTTGTTGGTAGTGATCGTGAAAAGTGCCGTCGTCTAGTGACTCTGTCACGAATTCGATGCCAAAGTGCGGGAGTGATTTGACAAGGTCCGTGCGCATGACCGGCTTGGCACTCCATGCCTCAGGCTAACAGCACCTCCATTGACTCCCCATCTCGTCCATTACATGTCTGCTACCCTAGCAACGGAACTTTCCGTATTGTCGTTTCACAACAACTCCGACCATGTTATATAGACTAAGTATACGCAATACTGCACGATTCGTTCGATATCTGAATACAATTGAAACACTCAATACCAGAACACTGCACAAAACAGAATGTCGACTGCCCTGCAAGCACGCGACGTGAACTTACCGATGGAGCAACCCGTTGCCAACGTTCAAGCCAAGTTCGCTGCAGGCACTCAGGGCAAAACTCAGACCGTGGAGCCAACAATGCGCAAGACGGTTGTAGATGATCACAAGTACGCCCAAAATTGAACGTGTGGGACGAAAGACTCAACATTAACGCATTCTCAGGAAGCAAGCAACTGCCTATGTCAGCCCATCAGACGCGATTCAGAGCCCAGCAAGTCAGAAACTCGCAGGCTTTAAGCAGAGACAGATCAATAGGCAGTAAGCAAGAACATGACAGCTGCCGTGATTGTCCACTAAGATTATTCTTCCAGGATGAATAGCAAGAAGCCTGCGGCACGAACTCTCTTTGCTCAGACTCTGAATAATAACGAGTCATGCGTGAGAGCACAGGACCCGGAGGCTATGAAGGACCAGCAGGCTTGAGAAGCATCGCCGTATTTATGATTGTATGACCTCTTCTATGCAAGATTTTTGACATTCTTTTAATGTATTCCAAAAGAGCAATCGACTTGCTATTGTTCAGATGTTCGTTCAGGTATTGCACCAGTTCCATAACAATGCCAAACCAAGCACTGGTCGACCTACTTTTTCTTTGGGGTCAGGCATATCAGATCAACCTTGAGTGTTGGGTTCAACTGTCAAAGATACATGACATCGTCAAGTCGCGGTGTCCACTCCTGAGCAGACTTCCCCGTGCTCTGCGTACGCTTGGGCATGACATTTCAAAGATATCACGATTCGGGCGCTCTGACCGGAAGTGATGATTGTTCCATCCCGCTCCGCCGAGCTATGTGCTGCCCATTCCAAGCGATGTGACCATCCGTCGGGTGATCCCTCATCACACTGTCAAAAGTTGTGAAATATCGCCTCGATCGTCGAACGCGTAAAGGCGGCTGCAGCAATTTTAGGAAACCACGACAACAGCTCTGGAGTGTAGTAAAATGATACCTCTCTGTGTGATTAAGAGAAGGAGCTCCCGTCTGTACTTTGAAGAGTTGAGGGTGTCGTCACCTGCCCGAGGTGAGCCCGCGCGCGTCATCATTGTTAGGGTTGCAGCCATTCACGATCAGAGAATCATGACGCACTTTTATTCCGTTACCATTCATCTCTTTTATTCTACATGTTAATGAACGCTTTGAAGAGATACTGCTGCGTCATGTACACTTGGGCAGGTGGTCTTGACAATCCTCATTGTTCTTTATTGTACGAACGAGAACGAACTTCCAGAATTGGCCCACAGTGCCATATTTTGAAAACTACTGCGCGGATCATACTACAAGGTGGTCGAGCACGCGAACTTCCATAGGTATCCGCTCTGATCCGAAGCTTTCACCGGACAGGAAGCAAATTTGGCAACGTCGTAGGTCTTATTCGCGCTTTCTGAGGGCTTAGGGCCCTTGAATCGTACTGCACAAGGTTGTGGGAGCTATGCTCTCGGCTCGAATGCTTCAGCCGGTTGAGCTGAGCTGCTGACACTTTATTATTTAGCAAATCCGTGCTTCTTGGAGAGACTTGACTCTGGTGCTCTGGTCCACGGACAGCTTGTGGTCACTGCAGTCTACGATGTGTCGAGCTCGCTCTTTGTAAATGATGATGGCAGAAACTCCTAATCATAAACAGATCTGCGCTCCGTGATCCCAGCGTACCAAGACCTTGAAACTGCGAGCTAAACCCGCTATCAAGAGACTGGTGATTGATCTCAAGAAATGCGTTCCTTCAAAAATAAGCTTGATGCATCCGAGCAGCGTGCGACAAGATTCATAGCAGACGAGTAGGACGACATGGCGGACATCATGCTGCGATGCACGTGCACATATGATCATCGCGGAAGCATATGGAAGCAGGTCTTTTGATCCAGTAGTACCTAGGAAAGCGATTATTATCCCAGATCACGACAGCAGTCACAGTCAACGCTATGCCTCGATAATACGGGCTGAAATCTCGTCGAGAATCAGGGTTTTATTGATTCATTTTCTGAACCTCTGAGACACTCTGTATTTGCAAGATCGAGCCTATAACAATCTCCGTACTTGAGACGCCCGCGGTTGCAAACCCAGCCAGCCGATCATTGTCTGACTCAGGCCTGAGCTGGTTGATCATTCATAGATCGCAAACTTGAAGCATCTTCATGTCTTCTCACCCCTGGGGAACTTTCAAAAGAAGGCCTGAATGGCTGCATCAGGTACACTATCAAAGTGGCGCGTCCTTGGTGCAGCCGTCGCTCAAGTCTGACCTCACCAATGATCTTCCTCCGCTGTTTCCAGCTTGACTTTGCGCTTCTTAGCCTGTCTGGCTGAGCCCTGGGATACCTTTGCTGGTGTGTCGTCGGGTGCTTCTTCCTGGCTGTCATTTGGCGCCACACCCTTGTCTTTCTCTTTTGGTGCACCCGTGAGGCTTTTGGCGTATTTCGCCTTCAGGCGACGAAGACGTATCTGGCTAGGATAGGTGTCAGACTGGATGGACTGCAAGCAGAGGGGCGACATCGATTACACGGCTCCTGTGGCTGCGCTCATGCCACATTCCACGCCGATCTGAGCAAAATTGAACTTTCCATCGATATTGTTCAGGCAGCTGAGCAAGAACTGCTCGTCTGAGACAGGCATGCTGGCAATGCTGCAAGATTTCTGAGCGATGACGTGTTGTCGACTTTCTTTGTGAGTGAAGGACTTGTGCTATAACGATGACGATGAATGGTTCGATGCTGATCATGTGTTGTATTGACCGAGGTAGATGTTTGCTCGCATGTACCTTTGCGTGCAAACGCTGCAAATGCACCTTCAAGTGTGGTGAGCTGTCTCATGACTGCCACGTGAGAAGATGACATGAGCTGGCAACGACCTTTCACTTGCAATCACTTGCGCGCTGGCACGCGACCGATTCCTATAAGATGAAATACGCGATGGACGCCAATTTGCTGCACCTATTGCTGGCCGGCAGCATTTACGCATTGCATGTGAGAATAGTCACCAAGTACTTGCTTGACTAGCCAGGTACCGTACAGACATTCCCGGCTTCAGCAGCTCACCAGCAGCTCATCGGCAATTACCGCTTGCATCTCCCATGTCAGCAAAGTGCCGGCTTTGAAGTTCCTCTCTAATCGGTGGACGAAGTGTCTCACTGGAGCCCGCATTTTTGCAACGGAGGCTGTTCCGGTACCTACCTTCTCCACACATGCTTTCGCCCTTGACGTTACACACGAGCCTGACGCTCTCTCTTATTCGATGCCTCGGTTCACATGACCAGATGTGTTATGTCGACGTTTCCCAGCTCATTTCGATCCATGACGAATCACGATTGACACGAAAGGTGCCGGGGGTTTTCACATAAGACATGTCCTTTGTGACGACGATGTGATCGATGCGCAAATCGGACCTCCACATGTCATCGGGACCACCTTTTGTGTGCAACTTTCGGATTTCAGGATCATCGATGACTGTACCTCCTCAACCAGATCACAAGAAGGATTTTTTGATTACGCAAGGCAGCAATCTGTGGTCTGTTTTTGAATGTCGCACGCAATTTCAGCCAAGCTTTCCCATGTAAACAACACGACTAGCATACATATTCCAGACTGCGTGACAGCGTTGCACGCCGGATGCGATCGTAGCGACAATTCCCGAGCAAGGAATCTGCTGTGGAGCCACGAATGATTATCACGTTGCCAATTACACTTCCAAGAACACTGTTCGTCAGCGGAAGCTTTACGCTTGGATTTCTAGACTTTGGTACTACAAAAGACCAGCTCACGAGATATATCGGTTGCACCTGCATCACCACCGGGGGAAATCGCATTCAAAAATCGAGCTCTGGCTACTTGAACTCCTTCACAAGATACTCACACACTAGTCCTACACTTCTCGCGTGAAAATGAAAACTTCCAGAAATTCAACCACTTACTCGAACCAACGAAAGGATAGCAAACACAATTTGGACATGACTTTCCTCGACCACTTTGCAAGAATCGATTATCATCAAAGCGAATATCTGATCGATCGCGAATCAAGAGACCCACGAAAATCAGAAACGGGCAACTTTCATATGAAAATGACGTTCCATGATGCTAGCAACTCCGAGGAGACCGTCCACCGCAGCTTTTCACATGAACCGCGCGCGCCACATCTCCGCCGAGTGCCCGGCCATTCAAACATGGCCGACGAGCTCGGCTCGCAATTCAGCGACATCAAATACGACTTGTACAGCACCGATGACGACACAGAAAGCCATCTCGAAATGTCCCGCCGAGGAAGCCACGATCGAGAAGAAGCACACAACTACGTCCTCGCAAGCGACTTGATTACACCAAGGACGTCTGACCTGGAACATTGGCGCTCACAGATACCCCGGAACGGAAGTGTCGATGAACCCGTCACCCGACCACCTTCAGTGATTGATGGCATCGGCAGCGGGGTCTCCTCGGGTGCTTGCAGTCCCGTCAAGCGTTCTAGCTTGGCTTTTGCGAGCTCGAACCCGCCGACTTCGAAGAACGGACTCGACAGGAGCGATGTGCGCGCGAAACCTCGGGCGGGATCATGATATCCATGGTCTTAGCCACCAAGCGCGATCCCAACGCCTGATGATCGCAGATCAAACTCGTCTGAAAACAGGCCGATTGAAGTATACTTTTTGGAAATGAAGCGGCTCTAAAATTGGGATGGCTGCGATTGCACTGTCGCTGCATTATCCATTTTGGCAATATGATGTGTCGATACCGCCCGCAATTGTCCCCGGAACGCATATGTCTAGGCGAGTACCGTGGAACTTACAGCCACCACGGGGGTGTTGATCGATAGTATGACGAGGGTGTGTGCACGGAAGGAATCTTGTGATACTATGGTTTGATATGATAGGAGTGTGCATTCAAACGAGGCGCGTCCCGCTCGGAATGACGATGCGCGAAATTTCTTGTATATTTTCTTGCTTGAACTCGTGGTTCCTCTTTCAAGGCTGTTTTTACCACATTTGAAACTTTGAAAATTCTCAGGATTAGCCCAAAGGCGGACTTCGGGATTTGCAAAGATTCGTCCAAGGTCACTCAAAATTCATAAGTTCGTAATATTCAAGATCGAGACCGAAGCATACTAGCTCGATCCAACGGGGTGTTCAAGATTGAGTTCGTCATGCAGATCTTCAGACCTGATCCCCAGTTTCCTCCACAGTTGTCTCATCCGCCACTCTAAAAGTAAGACCCGCCGCGACCAGCGCCAACACGCCTCCAAATCGGAGCACCCACGCAACACTCCCATCGCCCGCCTGACCACGCGGTTTCTGCAGCGCCTGAAAGATGCCCGCACTGATCAAAGTAGCCACGACCTGTGGAGCGGAGATAGCCACATTGTGAATCCCCAAGATCAAACCTGTCTCAGTGACCTCGCCGGACTGAGGGTCCGCTGCCCCATTGATTTCATCTGGAGCGATTTCTCGCGGTACGGATCGGGAGCTTTGCCGGAGCTGGTCGCGTTTGCGGACTTCGGCGGCGATGAGGGCGAAGGGTGCCCACATTGTGATGGACCAGGGGATTCCGATGAAGGCGACGAGGACCGTGGCGGCGGTTGTGCTTTTTGCTGCGAATGTTAACAGCATGAGGAGGGCGAACATGACGTGGGAATAGAGCCATGCTCGACGGAGCGTGAGTCCCGGAATAGTGAGGTCGATGTCGGACTTTGACGAGAATGGATGTGATGTGTAACGCCGGAAGAATGTGATGTATCTTGACCTGGGATCAGAAGTAGGGCGGGTGTCCCGGTCGCTGAAGTAGTCCCCATGTGAGTCCGTGAGAGGCTCAGTCGAGGCAATAGGGAAGGCGCCCGCTGGTGTCAAAGGTGTGGTCGCGGCAGTCTTGTCACGCGGCTTATACGGATTGACAATAAACCAAGGGATGACAATACTGGCGACCAGGGACGTAACGGCAAAGATAAGCAGCGCGAAAGTCCCTATTCTTGTGCCCTGCTCCCAGACTGCGTCGACCTCCTCAGGTGCCATGTTTGGATTCTCGCGGAAAATAGGATCGACGTAGATTTCACCAATGTAAGTGGATCCATAGAACAAGAATGGAAACCACCCCACCCAAGCTGCGAGCTGCACCTGACAGACACGTTTGATCTGACGTGGGAGATAACGAACCGAATGGAACAGTGTCTTGAAGAATGTGATCAGACCGCCCTTTGCTGGCGTGGAGCCTGCAGGTTTTCCGTATGTCTTTTCCTTGATGGAGAGACATGAGACAAGGACCGTGATCATGAGGCCGACAGATGCAATGACGCAAAGGACCTTGAATTGCGTATTGCCGAAGAACCAGAGATGCCGGGGTAAATCGATATATCCGAAAATGTAGAGAATGATGTTACCGACGTTGGACATGCGGTTGGCCCAGGCATTTGCGGTATCCTGCTGGTGCAAAGGCGCGTTATCGACGATGAATGCTCGGATACCGGCCTGAATGACATTGACGCTGAAGTCTAGGACATATACCATGATGACTGCAAATACGATGGAGGTTGTCTTGACTGCTTCACCCTCGCGGGAAGCGCCAAATGCTGAGAGTAGTGCGCCAATAAATTCACGAGTCCAAGCAAGGAACATCAACGAGGTCACGGTGGCGACAGCACCACCGAAGATGAAAGGGCGCCGTCTGCCAAATCGAGAGCGACATTGATCCGAACGAATTCCAACATATGGCTGTACAAGGACACCAGAGAGCGGACCTGCGATCCAGACCAGGGCAAGCAGAGACTTTGATAGACCTAGACTGAGAAGATACGGACTTCCGCTGGATAGCTCGACCGCCCAAGCGAGTTGCAATCTGTTCACAAGTCAGCTTCAACAGTCACTGCCTTGCACAGGTATTTAGGCCATCTGACCCGCCAAGAGAGATGGTGAGCAAGATGAGATACCAACTGCTCTTGCTCTCGGGAGCTGCGGCGCGCATGTCCGCGTTCCATGGAGTCCCCACACTGCTAGGCTGAGGACTTGGGAGTGCAGAGCCTATGGGCGAGGTCTCTGCTAATTCGGTGCGTAGCGGTCCCAACAGAGGCGATTGTTCGTGAGGCTTGCCGCCGGCTAGACCACGGTGTTGACCATTGGGCTGTTGCTGATCCGAAGGCCGTACATCTAGTGAAAAGCGAGACGGTCTTCTAGCCTGGACGCTCTTCGGGTGAACTCCTATCGCTTGAATCATGGCTGGAGGAACGTGAGAGCCTCGGCGCGAGGGTTCACTGTTCGTTGGGCTTGGAGGATATTCCATGCTAGCTCAAAGTCTGTATTTGCATAAAAATATGCAGCTGCGAGAGGGCGATAAATTCCAGGGCGCTCAAGACATTTGATGTTTGCAAAGGGGATTAATTGTCCAAGATCATGAGGGTTTAGTCTGCCGCTCTACGGGACTTTCTTCAGAGAGCAAGCCGGTGTTGCACAAATCTGCAGGATAGTGACCAGGCCCAGAGGTACCGCAGGCAAGTGTTCCACGCAGTCCTCGACTATGATAATAAGTCCCGGCCGGGAATGAAGGTTGATTTGTTCTTTGGGCGACACGGCGCCGGTCTGCATGGAAGGAGGAAAGGACGCGTGGAGTCGGACGCCAGAGGCAGGTGGAATGCACCTGGGCAGGTGTGAATCTGATTTGGACTAACTGATCAGGTCAGTTGGACTTGACACGCGATCAGCAGCAGCGGCAGTGACAGCTTTGGACGGGTGACGTGATGTGCTTTGACAATCTTTGGGACCACGCTCAGCCAGCCAGAGCCAGCCAGCCGGGCGCTCTCTCCCCCACAGACACGCCAGGTCGGGTTGATTGAGCTGAGCTGTGAGGGAAACCGCGTCTTTCATGCTACTGTAATGATAACATTCCTACCATAGACCCTGTCGAAATACATGGCCTGATGATGGTTGTCTAGCGATAATCGCAAGGAGAGCTAATCCGTACCTATGTCAGATTGTAACAGTGTATATATACATATACTGACTCTAGGAGAAACCACCATATATACCGTCCACGGGTCCGAGTGGTCCAGTCCACAGAGAATCGCGCGCAGCCAACGTCAAGGGGATGACGACACACGCGTTCGGGGACGGAGGTTTGCAGCCGTTTCAACATTTTATTTAGAAATGGGAGGAAATCCCCCGATGCGGATGACCTCCGCATTCCCATCCATTCACTCGATCCCACGCACTCACAGACGGAATAATGGATTATTGAATGGGGAAGACGCAGGAGAAGCTTTTGGCCGTCATCGACAGGGACGTCAGCAGCGCAACAAGTGTCCAGTGGAGAATCCAGTACAGCTCTGTACGGCACTGCAGAAGTATTCGGTTCGTCTACAGCTGCCTACAGGTCACAACACACACTTTGCTCTCTCACCAATTGCGATACGTACAGTCCATCTATCAATTGACGAAGGCTTACAAGTCCGTCGTCCTTGTCAATTACCTCTCCGCCCTTCTGCTCCACTGGGCGCACATGCAACACAGCCAAACCCTCCTCTATTGCGCGCGACCGCTGTGAGACGTGCCGGACCTCACATGAACGGCCCCATTGCTATCACCACCCTGAGCATGCGATAGCAGCACACAATCCCGCATTGCAGACGACATGGGTGTCTCTCGCTATGCTGTTCCTGCTGCCCTCTGGCTCGCCGCGCGACAGACTTCAGACTCCGACGAAGATGAGAATCCCGAGGCGGGCCAGAAGGAGATCTACGCATCATGGTCTCTCCTGATTCTGATCGTTCTGCTTATCCTGGCTCTCTTCACCAGTTACCTTCTGCAGAGCAAAAAGATCCAGGCGTTTCATGAAACGGTTGTGTCGATTTTCGCAGGAATGTTTGTCGGTCTTATCCTGAAGTTGACCAGCGTCCGGACAGTCTTGGATGCAGTGACATTCGATTATCAGTTCTTCTTCAATCTCCTCCTACCGCCTATCATCCTAGCGAGTGGTTATGAATTGCATCAGGTCAGACCACGAAAAAATGAGCCATGCGCTGGAAGACAAAGCTGACTCTGACCTAGGCCAACTTCTTCCGCAACATTGGCACCATTCTCACCTTCGCCTTCGTTGGCACCTTCATTTCCGCCCTCATTCTCGGTGTCATTCTGTACCTGTGGACGCGTCTGGCAATCGATGGTTTATACATCTCATTCGTCGAGGCCATGTCCGTCGGCGCAACTTTGTCGGCCACCGACCCAGTCACCATTCTTGCCATCTTCAACACCTACAAGGTCGATCCGAAGCTTTACACCATCATCTTCGGCGAGAGCATTCTCAATGACGCGATCGCAATTGTGCTGTTCGAGACGGCGCAGAAATATAAAGCTGGAGAGGCGGCTGGAAAATTGACAGTTTTGAGCTTGTTTGAGAGTATCGGCATTTTCTTGCTGGTTTTCTTTGGTAGCTTGATGATTGGTATCATCTTCGGCCTGGCTACCAGCCTGCTGTTGAAGTTTACACACGTCCGCCGTTACCCCAAGATTGAGAGTTGCTTGATCATTCTGATTGCGTACGCATCATACTTCTTCGCCAATGCCATTCACATGAGCGGTAAGCATGCGTGCGAATTTGGTGACGTGGGTATAGCATACTGATTATATTCTCTAGGCATTGTTTCCTTGCTCTTCTGTGGTATCTGTCTCAAGCACTACGCGTATCACAACATGTCGCGAAGATCGCAATTGACAACAAAATTCACCTTCGCGCTGATGGCACAACTCACGGAGAATTTTATCTTCATCTACCTGGGACTATCACTCTTCACCGAAAGTGGACTCGAGTACAAGCCACTATTCATTCTTGTCACGTTGATCGGAATTTGTGCTGCACGCTGGTGCGCCGTCTTCCCTCTCAGCGCCTTGATCAACTGGGTTATACGCTATCGCGCACGCCGCCGTGGCATTGATAGCCAAGCCGAAGAAATTCCTAGAAACTGGCAAATGATGCTTTTCTGGGCCGGTCTTCGAGGAGCAGTCGGAGTTGCCCTGGCCGCAGGCCTGACTGGTCCCAACGGACTAGCACTCCGAGCCACCGTGCTGATTACTGTCTTGTTGACTGTCATCATCTTCGGTGGTACTACGGCGCCCATGCTTGAAATCCTCAACATCCGCACAGGCGTGGTCGAAGACATCGACAGCGACGACGAATTCGACATCGAGCCAATCCCGCAAAGTGCCAACGGCCGTAAGAACGGCTCCATCTACGGCCACAACGCCAAGAACAGCAGCAACGGAATCGACCTCAACAATGTCCGCAACAAACGTCGTGGCCACACCGCAAGCTACAGCTCCGGAAACCAAAGTCCCCACGGCGCGCCAACCCACCACGGAGACGGCGAGCGCGGCACTTCCCGCCCTCGTCGCGGCGGAAGCAACACAGGCGAAGCCCAGAGCATCGCCGAGGAGGGCCTACTCTCCTCCCACAGCAACAACGAAGACTACTTTGGCGACGAGTACGACCAAGACGACCTGGACCTCCCACCGGCCGCGCGGCGGAACTCACAACGCGCGCTCGGCTCGGACGGCAGCGGCAGCAACAACGGCAGCGCCGGCGCGGCCGCGTCACAGGGTAGCAGCACGACGCTCACTGCGCGCGGCGCCATCTCGCAGATCCTCAACGCCACGAGCGAGGACGCGGGAAATCTGTTCACACAGCTGGATGAGAATTTCCTCAAGCCACATCTCCTGCTGGACCCGTCGAGCGGGCGAGGCGGGGGAAGCGGCGGTGTATAGAGATAGGCTGCGGGATAGATTAGGAGATTCAGGCGTTTTCATGTTACTGAAATGGGAGTCGATTATGCTTTTTCTTATCCAGGTATTTCGTTCTTTGGAGATCTGACTGAGCTCATCTCGTTCGAGAGGAGAGACTCCTCCCATGGGATCATCTTGGGACCAGGGACATTGGACATGTAGAACAACGTATTGATTATTACGCATGGATCTGACGATCACGGCCTATCCAGAATTCCATCAATCCTTGAAATGAGATATCCGCCTGGCCTTTATATGATCGGTCGGAGAGCAGAAACTCCCGATGGATGTATGAAGGCGATGGGGAAGAGCGAGGTCTCGATCTCGTTACTTTTTCTATGCCAGCGACGAGCGGCAATTAATTTGCTTTCTCTATATGTTCTAATGTGCCGCAGCACGTTTTGTTTGGAGATTGCCATACAAAGATATAGTGAGCAGTCTCTTCAACGTTGCCTGCTACACTCGTGAACCCAAATCACAACTCTCACTGTGAGTTTTGTTTCCAACACGGCCAAGGGAGGTCGTCCTTCCACCGCACAGTTACTGCCGTGGGAGCCTGGCTGAGCATCTCCAGCTCGTAAAACACCGAACGCCTCGCCAGCCCAAGATCGAGTTTGAAAACAGAGAAAAGGAAATCACAATCACATTCAAGAGAAATGGTTTAAAAAAAGAGAAGAAAGGGTCACGAAAATGAAATAAAAGTCTTATCGCCGTGAGTCGGACTGCTCAATCGTGTTTCGAGAGCGTCGGTCCAGCCGAGAGCCCGCTCGCCAAAAATCGAGCCAGGCTCCTACGCCTTGTCCTCGGCGGCGGTGGTGGCTGTGAGGTACGACTGTTGGTGCTCATGACACTGGCCCTTCGCGACGCCAGACTACGAGCGTCCATACCGACACCAGTTCCGCTAGCGTGTGAAATGACAGGTTCCATGTTTGCGCCATTACCTCCAGCGCCGGGAGCCGCAACGGTGTGACCATGCTGGTTGTGCTGGATGGGCAGGCCGTATTCATCGAGGTCGTACTGAGAGGCGGAGAAGCCGATGCTGTTGTTGCGGTTGTAGCGGCGGGCGGCTTCGGCGGCTTCCTTCTGCTGGAGTTTCTCGCTAGGTAGGAGGATGGCGCGGTCGAGGGCGTAGGGGAGACCGCGGTGGCGGCCGCGGATCATCATGGCGCAGATGACCAGTTTGCTGATGACGCGGAATTCGGCAGAGAAGGATGCATTGATGCCTGGGTAGCCGAGAGAAAGACCGACGGTACCGTAAGCGGAAATGATCTCGAAGAGGATGGCGAACATGGTGAAGCCTGGCTGGTTGGTGTCTTCGATCCGGTCACCTTCCACCCAGGCGATGATGAATAGACCGAGGAAGATATACCACAAGTCGAATGAGAGCTGTCGACGCAAATGGTGACCGACGTAGCTCGGCTCGCCCTCTTCGTTGAGCTCCTCCTCGCCGCCGAAGATACCCAGCGACTTCTCCTCGTAGACGTTGGTTCGACGGACGGAGATGGCAATAGGGAACACGGAGATGTACATCATGATCATGTAGCTGACCTGTACTGCAGGATGCAGCGCGGCAAGATTGACACATGCGAAGCCGGCCGTGCGGGTCGACACCGCTTGGAACCAACCATTGAGAATCTTGAAGCCGGCCGATAAATCCGAGACTGGGGTGTTGTTGAGATCGAGGACTACGAAGAAGAGCAGGTCGATGCCGTTGAGCAGCACCAACACCCAAAAAAGCCACCACGTAGCCTTGGAAGGGAAGAGTAAAGTGAAGCAGCGTCGAGGGTGATCGAGCAAGAATTCCAATTCCTCCCAGATCCCACTTTGGAATGGAACAATCTTGGACAGGACCCATATGATGAATCGCAGCATGCACGGGAAGCCGGTGTTGCCGATGACGATCAAGAAAGCGCCGAGAAACAATGCCAAGACCGAGTTTTGGAAGCTGACCATGGAATCCGGCGTGAGAGTGAAACCCAAGTCGTTGAACATGGAAGCCGGAGTGAAAATACCCCACCAGACCGGGTTGAGACCAAGGCCTGAGACAATGTCGGTCCACGGCGAGGTCTTGACGATCCAAGGGGTGAAAACCACTACGCCCAGAATGTGGAACCCAATGTAGTAGCCTAGCAGGACCGTAGCGAGCGTTTTCAGGGAACGGTACTCGATACCTCCGAGCTCTTCTCGCTGCTCCTCGGTCAGACCAAGGAACATGCTGTTGCGGCCTGTGGTCGCCTGCCAACTCAAATATGGCGAGGGCTCCTCGACCCGATCTCTCGTGCGCACAGAAGCGAGGCTATTGAACGTCCTGGCCAAACTTCGACTCTCTCCTAGCTGTAAGCTACGGCCGCTCCGTTTCCGGTGAAGGATATCGTTCTTGACTCGTTCCAGACGTGAAGTCGTTGTCGCAGCAGGGACTTCTTCGCTAACGCGATCACGATGGCCTGGGTGTTGTGGTTCGTTGAAAGAAATGCCTTTGCGCTGGAGCATGTCGCCACGATTCGAGCGATCGCCCTCATCGTGCGTATCCTGCTGTTCCGATTGACCTGTCATTGAGTACATGGTGGTAGGCCGACGAAGCATGACCTGGTCTTCGTTCAGCTCTTCGGGGCGATGTCCACGATCAAAATCTCTCGGTCCTGGAATCCGTAAAGCGCCGCTCTTCTTGGCGTTATTTTGTTGCTGCTCGAGGAAAGAGATATGTCGTGTCATGTTGGACTGAGGGTTCGCTTCTGGGTGCTCTTGTTCTGTCGGCGCTGGAGGTGCCGCGGAGTCGACCACAGGGGCGTCCTCGTGGACACTATTCGAAGCTGTGCTCAGCGGCGATTCCGATGCTTCTTGATCGGTATCTTTACCGGACTGCGCAGCTTCAGGGAGCGAGCTTCCGGAGCTGGCCTCGCCATCTTGGAGGCTATTCGATCCGCTCGCAGCGGGTGTGGTTTCAGTCGATTGAGCGATCGAAACCATGCCATGCTTGTCCTCCGAGCGGTTTGGCCCGAATCCGGACTGGGCTGTAGGCCCGCTCATTCCGTTTGGTACAGTAGTTTCATGCAGAACCTTGATGGGTCGACCATTGACACCCTTTTCAAGCATGCTAGGATCCTGCTCGCTCTGGTCCTCTCTGACTCGACTTTGCGATCGGGCACTTCGGAGCGAGCGAGTGCGCGTCTGGCGCTGGCCGCGAATTTCCTTGACAACGTGTTCGAAGCGCTTCTCGAACCAGTATAGGCGCACGAATACAACGACGGTGTGAATGAAGATGGGTGTGCATAAGCAGGTCATCAGCATCATCACAATCTGCTGATAAAGAGTAAGGGTATTGATGTCGATGGTGTTAAGACCCGACTGTGTTGCCATGCCAGCAGAAAAAAAGAGAGCATCGATATAGGGCATTAGACCCGCAGGGTAGAGCAAAATGGAGCCTATGATGGTCATGCCGAGAATATACAGATAGTGAACAGTGATGAAGTTCAGCCGCGGTCGCTCGAACTTGGTATTTTTGCTGGGGAGACATGAGTAGATCCATTTGAATGCTTCGACTACGGGTTCGAACATGTTGGGCGAAAAGTTTGCGCGTCCGGCACAATGCTGACAAGTGACGGCGGGAAGAAGTTGCGGCGTGGACGAGATGGTTCGGTCTCCGATAGATTGTATAAGGCCGATATAAAGACAAAGAAAATGGAAATGAATTATCGAGGTCGGTTTCGAGTCGCGCGCAAGATCGTGGCGATTATGACAAAATTGCGCGTCGCCTGGAGGGTCGCGAATGGCGGACCGGCAACATCAACCTGATGTTATTGAGCCATTCGCAGAACGACTCGGTGGTTGGACGGAGGAGAGCGTTGTAGTCGCAGGATAGGTAGGACGATGAAGGTCGGCGGAGAAATTGTGTGATCGGGGCGCGTGCAAGACAAGCGCGAAAATGGCAGGTGTGAGAATTGTCCTGCTTTAAAGTCCCTGTCGCAGGATATGGTATTTCGACGCGATCGGATGATTGACTAGACGGACAAATCTAGAGTACCGCAGTGGTGGTGGTGGTAGTAGTAACGATGATGGCGATCATAGTATCAGGCGGAATTAATTGGCGAGAAAGTCTCAGGCGCAAGAGAAAGGATGACGACAGTTCCGGGCAGAAGCAATGAAGAGGTGGAGCAGGGTGATACCAGTTCAGGACGGTCCACAGGTAGTAGGATTGTAGTTGTTGGGGGGAGGGTCCGAGGATCTACGAGGATAAAATCCTGGAATGTCTCAAAAGGAAAGACACGCGCGGAGTATTCTATAGCAGCGGGCAGTGCATGGTCGAGGAATTTGTAATGCTGCTTTGTTGTTGATGATCCATGGATGATGATATATTCTTGCACTGGAGGAGGAATGGACATAAGCTCAGATGGTGCAGTGATTCTGGGTTGGGTGGGGCTTAAATCGCTCGCTGCGTGGGGCGCTTCCTATAGATCCTGATCGTTCATGATGGACATAGGAGAAATTAATGAGACGTTCATTGGGCAGTGCACAGGATGTCCATTCCACTTCCTTGGCACGACGATTATCTCAATATCATCATAATTATAATACAGTGTGGTAATGTCTCCATTCGTTGACCCATTGATGGTCGGTGAGGAAGCTCCTGTTGCTGTTAAACGAATATTCGACCCACGTGCACCGATATCCGTGGCCATGTGGTGTGCATGGTGCAGTACATGGACACGAACCACTGCATAATAGTCGATCTCGTACTGACTTCTCGACCGTACGTGGATCTTTATCGGTCCACCGGTATTGCGGGACTGCTGCCGGGACTCCTGCATGTCCATGCATCGTCGTTCATTGATTCGGAAGAAGGGAACACAGGAGCAGACACTCGTGCCGACGGCGGCCGCCGAAGGAGAACATGCCACGCGAGAATACGGGTAGTGCTGGAGCAAGGCAATCCTACCACTGTGAAATGATGATGGAAGGAACCTCAATCAGCGCACGGAATCCCAAATGTCCCGGTTGGGCAGCGGCCACAACAGTGAGAAACCCTGTCAGCAACAGCCAATTCCACCTGCATGCTGGCGCTCAGGGCAGCAATTGTTCAACAACAGGGCCGCACGGTTTACACGCGGCGCATGCACCCACCGAATGGAGTTCCGATCAGCTTCCAGAAAATCCAGAAATCCAGGAATCCCATGCCGTGATGCCCGCGCCAAGACAAATCCAAGATCGCCTGTGCTCCGCCTAATCTTCTATTGGTAGATACTTCACCACAGTGATAAAGGAGTTAGTGGATCCTGGGCAGATGTGGCATCCGCGTATAGCAATCCTCAAGTGGAAAAGCAGTAAAAAGCGGTGACGGCGATCCGTGGTCCTGTTGTGTGCTGAAGGATGGGAGGCTCATCAATGGCGGCGAGTTGGAATGTGATCTCGCGAGCAGAACAACGGCAGAAAGGAGACTCCTCGCTTCTGCTCCCAGACGAAGCTCCCCTCCATTCGGCGTCTTCCATCCTGACAAGGCGACGATGAAAACCTTCTTGGTCGCGTATCACAAACTCGTGAGAACGGATGAGGTTCACCACTTGCCTGCTGCATGTACAGTAATCTGACACCCTTGGGCAGACCCTTGGGCGGTTCACAAGCAGGGCAAAAACGGGCGCGCGTAAATTGCTTCTCTCCCCACGCGAGGTCATCGAAATGATTGATGAGTATCCAGGTATGTATACACTTTATTGTGGACACGGGATCAAAACATCCCCTGAGATTCTGCCGGCACCATCGCAGTCGTCTTTACTGTGTCTACACATGCTTTCAGCACAGGTAAATTGTACATCAGTGCCGTATTGTGCACGGAGTCGAGATCCGATTACTACATACCATGCAGGGAAACGTCGTGCGTTTTGTACCATGGCCGGGCGCGGAGCATCGGCCACAATGATGGTGGAGGATCCAATGGTTCTAGCAGCATGTTGTCGAGCTGTCCACTGAGAGCGAGAAACAAGCTTTTGCTCATCGTGACCTTGGACCATTTCAAGAGGCTCCGTATCGTCGAACTCTACATGTAGAAATAAATCACTGGACTCGCAAGTTTACTGGCGCACCACTCTGAACTTGGCTAAACAGATTCCATGACTATGTACCGCATCTAATATACGTCCCCCCTCAACTTCATAACCAACTCACCGTCGGTTATAGTTCAAATACCGACTGCCCAAGAACAAGAAAATCAAATTGCTCCCGATGAACGCCGTCAGAATGCCAAAGTCGCGCCATCGGTGCTCGTACTCCATGCCGAACGGCTTGAAGAATTGATCACCGATGCTGTATGCGCAATATGCACAGTCCGATGTGGCGTTGTTGACTAGATAGCCCGGTCCGCCATCTGCAAAGAATGCCTGCATGTACTCGCCGCAGGTCTGGCCTGGTGGCGAAGTAAAGCGATTGAGTTCACTGTCGCGGCAATTGACGGGGAGGTTGTGTAGCTCGTTTGTCACAAGCGCGGAGACAAGTCGGGTGAATCTGTTGTGAAGATAGTCAGCGGGGATACTCCTTTCGAGACTGATGAGATTTCTGAGACAAAAACTTACGGATCCAGTTCGTACAGCCAAGAGCGCCAGAATGCGGGCATCTGCTGCGGCGGAATGGCGACACCACAGAATAGTGAGAAGGTGATGATGATGAATGGATTGAAGAGCACAGCGATGAAGGTGCTGGGCGTCAGTGCGGAGATCATCTGTCCCAGCGTTACTGAGAACAGCTCGGTAATCAGGACTACGAGGAAGTAAAAGCCGGCGCGATCTGGGGATGAGTTGAAACCGGGGATGAAGTAGATGGGCAGGAAGAATGCCACGGCGCATAGAACGCTGTATGGCAGCTCCGCCATGACCATGGACAGTGCGAAGGGGAGTTGCTTGTATGTCTTCGAGGCGGCTTCGCGGTAGTATGTCACTCGGGAGAGGTCATATTTCGGTTCCACTTGTGCTAGAATCAAGGCTGGCAAGACCGTAACCTGGAAGATGATGAAGATACGATACTGCAGCGATGTTCGCGAGTCATCCAGCTGCAAGAACATCAGACCAGTCAACAATGCGATGATAACGTGATTGAACAGTCGCGTAAATCCGTAGTTGGGTGAGCGCCAAAAGGCCTTGTGCTGCCGAATTTGCACCAGCTTGATCTGGTGCCAGAGCGGCGTAGCGTACTCGGTTTGTTCTACCTTTGGCTGCGAGCTGACCGCCTTGAGCCGTTCCTCCTTGATCCGGATGATTTCGGACTTGGTGGCGGCGAGCTCGTCCGAGTCGCGCCAGATGTCTGCCCAATCGCGGTTACCGATTCGTGCGGCCTGGCCGGCTCCGATAGCGTCCAGCATCCATTCCGCAGGGTTGGCGTCGGATGGACACACGGCTCCGTGGCGTTGGAAGTACTCTCGGAGGACATGCGCATCCTTACCAATGTCGCCAAAGTAAACGGTCTCTCCACCTCGCTGAAGAAGTAACAAACGATCGAAGTTCTCGAACAGCGAGGCGTTGGGTTGATGAATAGTGCAGAGAATCGCCTGTCCTGCAGCGGCAAGCTTGCGCAAGAATCGAACAATATTGAAAGCTGATTGTGAGTCCAAACCGGAAGTGGGCTCATCAAGGAACAGTAGCAATTCTGGCTTTGCGGCAAGTTCAACTCCAATCGTCACTCGTTTACGCTGCTCTACAGCCAAACCGACAGCTGGGAATCCGATGATCGCGTCCGCAATGTCCTCCATCTCGAGCAGGGCGATGATCTCTTCCACGTATGCGTGCTTTTCCGCCAGAGGGGTTTCGTATGGCTGGCGCAACTCAGCGGAGAAGCGCAATGCCTCGCGCACAGTCTGCGTAGATTCGTGCACATCGAGCTGCTCGGCGTAGCTAGTACCACGCTGGAAGCCAGTCCCGGGAGGCAATCCGTCGATAAGCTTGTCACCGCTGATGACACCAATATTCTTTCGAGATGCCAAAACGTCGAGAAGTGTTGTCTTGCCAGCACCAGACGCGCCCATCAGTGCTGTCAATTCACCAGGCTTGACATATCCATAGATGTTCTTCAGCAGACGCAGTTGTCCTGAAGGAATAGGAACATCGTAGCAGACGTCCTCCCATGTCAAGACAGCTTTGGATGTGATGGATAGTTCTGAGGCATTCGCATCTTCGGCGCCACGGACTCGCTCCTTTTTCTTCTTCTTCAAGGCCTCGTTGAGCTGCTTACGCTCCTCGTTCTCTTTGGTGTAGAATGTAATGGTCTTTCCGCCGGCACCCCACCGGAGTACCTCTCCAAGAATGACGTTCGTAGATAGGAAGAAGATAATCAAGACGACGATGATCCCCCAATTCCGCCATTTCTCCGATGGGAAATACAGAAACGCAGTTTCGACATAGTCACTCCCCGAAACAAAGCTGGAACCAGCCTTACTACCCGGCAAAGTGCATACTTGATGTGCAATGTCGCCGTAAGTAGGTCCATAGGGAATGAGCGACGCACCCTCACACGTCAGATCAAGCCTTTCGAACTCGTTGACCATCATGGACGAGAAACCAAGACCGGCGGCGTTGATGTAGAAAATCCATCTCAACCACACTTGTTGTGAACCGTATTGAATGAGATATCCGGATGTGAGAACAAACAATGTCACGATAGTAGCCGCAAATTTGATGGCAGAATCGAAATCAGGGCATAAGCAACCCATCGTTCGGAAGAAGAGAGACATTGCCAGGTATCCAGTCACGATGACCAGGTAAAAGGTGAAGAACGCTCCCGCGTCGTAGACGAGGCCGCACATGAAATAGACGAGTATTGAGAACAGCAAGATCTGCACGGAGGCGAAACTGATGTCGACGGAGATCTGCGCGGTCCATAAAGCACCCGGCCGGTAGAAGGTATATGCGCGGTGCTTGTTGACGATGCTTCGGTTGATCATAGTCGACGCGAGTTCTCCGAAGGCCTGGAAACAATTGAACAACAGGGCGATGAAGATGACACCTCCACGTGTGAATGCGCCTGCGCTAGTCTTGGGCAATTGCAACCAGGTGGTTCCCACAATGATCGCGACGGTAATGTTCGTGACGTACGAGACCGTCAGCGTAAACTTGTCTTGCCATTTCAACGTGGCCTGGCGCTTTGCAATCGCCGCGACCTGCAAATGAAATGGAATCGAATAGACAGATCGGTTGGGCGCATGTCGCTTGCCTTGAATGACAGCAGTCTTGAAGTCTTCGTAGACTTGCTGCTCCTCTGCGACCACTTTCCTGTATTTATCCATCTCATCCTCTAGTTGTCTGGCATATTTCGAATTGTTGAATGCCTCCGCTAACTCATCTGGCGACGCAGGTGCATTGGTCTCATCTCGCCCTTCTTGATACTCGCGCTCGAATGAATCGGTGCAACCGGTAAGGTAGTCAGGAGTAGTCTGCCTGGGCTTAGGCAGGAAGCCCAGCCCCTCGAAATATGCTCTTGCCTCCTGCGCCGGACCGAAGAAAACTTGTCGTCCTTCATCAATTACCATGACCTTGTCAAATTGAGTATAGATGCTTTCGGATGCTTGATATAGCGAAACAAATGTGGTTGTCCGGTAGATGTTGGTGATAACTCGTAACGACCTAGCGTAATCAACCGCAGTAGATGCGTCCAATCCTCGCGTGCTGTTGTCATGCGAGCATACCGCTGCACCAGTAATCATCATCTCGGCAATGGAGACTCGCTTTCGCTCGCCACCAGACACGCCTCTGAACTGAGCGTTTCCTACGATGGTGTTTTTGGTGTGCTCGATGTTGAACATGCGCAGCAGCATGTTCACAACCTTGTCTTTGAACTGGGCAGTGGTCAGGCCGCCTGGCCGAATGCCCGGTACTTTGGTCTCCAAGGCGAACCCCAATGTTTGCCCGACAGTCAAAGTGGGGAAGTGTTCATCATCTTCCTGGCAGTATACTGCCTCTCCTCTGTACCGCCGCGCGAACTCTTCTGCATTGAAGGGTCCGTAGTTGACGTTTCCATCAATCCCAGTATAGCCGTCTCGTTGGTTCGCGATCACTTTCAGGAACGTGGTGCAACCTGCACCGGGTCTGCCTAGGACCAGGACCATCTCGCCTGGTCTCACGACACCCTTGAAGTCTTTGAGAATGTTCACAGGCTCGCCTTTCGGCGTGAGACCCAGGATGTCCTTGACTAATCGATATGGATATCCGAAGAAACCTGTAAAAGCATCTGGAAAGGTCGGCGCAAAGATTTTGAAACCGCCCATGCCTTGCACGGTGAGTCCCTCCCATAGAACGCCGATCTGCTTCGCCTTGATTCCTGCCTCGTCTTCTAGGCGTTTGTTTCCACGGAGAACATCCTCCAAATCGAAGGGTTCATCCTCGTCACCTTCTGAAGGCACTGCCTTCTCAAGATCTTTCGCTCCGCTCTTTTCAGCATTATGGTGGTCACGTCGTGCAGACGCTCGTGATCTTTGACTGAGTCTGCTAATCTCTCTTTGTAGCTCGGCAAATTCTTTCTCAGCACCGTCGACATTTACTCCGAGGCTGTTGTGTCGAGCGACAGATTGCACGCCTTCATGTGCCTCTGATTTCGTGACTTCGTCGGCGTCGTGGCTCGAGGTGGACTCGGCCGGCTCGCGAGGTTCTTGAAGATCGCTTTCGAGGTTGGTGGGCGATTGGTGGAGCTCCGACGCATGATTTAAGTGAAGTACATGTTCGGCCTTCTCCCCCAGGGACGACGCCATGGATTCGTCAGAAGCCGAAAGGGCAACGCAGGGTTGTTTCAGGTGGATGTGGCGCACACTTTCTCGCTTCACGAATGGCAATTGCTGCGAAGTGAAAATACCATAATCAAATAGACAATTTCCAGTGCTGAAGTGAACTACCGAAGGCAAAAAGAGATGAACTACATTAAACACACTGCGAGCGGCTCAGTTGTCTATCATATTTCCGAATGCTACGCTATAATGCACGCATAGAAGATCTTGCCCTGTCTGATGAGCAAGCTTCTTCGCGCACCGTTCACCAACCACGCGACAGTTAGTGCCATGCCGGTCGCTGAGTGCCAGCTTCTTTCGACACGATCTCGGACTGGGGAGATGCCGTGCAGCCCTGGAGGGTTCAACCAATATGTATCCGAAATCTCACCGGGGCTGATTATTGCGGCGTATTCATGGCTTTACAGCACAAGTTATGTCAATCATACACAATTCCTTCGGAAACAATTTTTATGCACCTAGGCAGTCATCATTGTTGCCTGCACTGCACCCCGGGCACTTCTTTCGGGTCAAGTTCAACAGAGCATCGTCCACGGCTTTGGTTCAGATCCGCTTTTACTGCTTCGGATACGCCATCCCGAGGTCATTATTGCTCGTACAAGTATCTATAGCTGACATTGACTCACGCCTCCAAACCCAATTCTTCGAAAGGTGAATCAGAAACGAGACCATGTTAGTTCACATGATAATGCGATGCATAAAATAGTGGACGATAATGAGTCACGAAATTAGCATACATCACTGCAGGTGATTTTGTGAGAGAGCGCAAACGAGAAACGGCGGCGGCGTCTGTGGCGGCTTTGTGCCCATGTGTCAAAGCTTGACACTTCTTTACCTGCCTGTCCAGCACGAGTTCCAGGTAGGGCAGCACGGATTTCGGGTCAAAATCATCCATCCCCTTTGCATTGGGATGGTTGTCAATGCAGTCAGCCCCAACAGTTTGTTCCGCAGTATTTTACCAACACGAAGGCGCACTGATGCCTGGTCAGTACTGTTCGCTTTCAGACATCGCATCCCGGAGATAATCCGGTGATCCTAGAATAGACACCGCAAGACTTCGGTGCGGTGGAATGCAGGTGCCGCTCCTCCCAACATCCCGAGCCAAGCCAAGGAGGAAGATGTGAAAATAATCGTAAATTGTGCAATGTTACGACCTTGGCTGGGGATTCCTCCACATGGCGTTGGGATGAATGCATTGTTTTCAAGGGTGTGATGAGTGATCGTAATGTTGATAAACTACATGCTCACGGTCACAATAGCAAAGTATGCCTGTACGAGATGCGAGGCTGTCCTCCAGAATTTTCACCCTTTCCAACGTTTTGTCGGAGCCAACAGACCCTTGTCTCTAGCTGGTCGCTGAAACTATCCAATACACAGGCGGCATCGATTTGACATATGCTGAACCCTCGTAATCAGCAGCAGACTTGCCAATCGCGCACATGTCATATGTAACTAATTTGACCCCGGGTCCCACGCAGACCGATATCTAATGCTTCGGTGGCTCCATGTTGTCGCTCATATCGAGACGAGTCGAGGTGAACTTCCATAGTCCACGTGAGCACTCAAGGAGGTCGACATGAATGCGTTGCGAATTGCAATATTGCCCGGATCCATGCCACGAACTTTGTGTGATAGAAGACACAAATGTACAAATTCATGGGGGCTTTGAGTGCTCGAGAGCGTATGAGTGCGAATTGCATGTACAGGAAGCCGGAGTTCCGTGAAGTTGCCCCCCGCAAGTGCCACTAAATGGCCCCGCTTCTTGTAGCGCGGTGTGGGCACGAATCAGCATCGCCAGGCTTGCATCACGGATAACGCCTCAATGCCAACCCATAATTTACGCAGATGAGGGTGAAGCTCGTGAGCAGATCGACATGCCTGTGTCGCCTTGCTGCAGAGTGGCGGATGTTCGAATCACAGCAGCAGCGGCGTTTGGCTCGTCATGCGATGCAGATCACATCTGCAACGTTACGGCGATTAGACTTGCTTCCATCTTTGCTCAGAAGTAAGTGCACAATGCTCGGCCATAGTCGTCAGGTCTCAAGTTTTGTGAATGTCGCGATGGTCGTATTGAACTGGCTGAGCTGGCTCCGCATCTTCCATGGGTTCGTCAGCGGGCGCAACTTGGTCACGTCTGCCCACGCGCTCTAGCCATTTCTCCGCGGATTCGAGTGTGGCTTTCATGACGCTGCTCACTTGCGTGATCATGTCCAGACCCTCTTTCGCAAAGCCGATCATGCGCTGTGCACTCTTGCTGGTTTCGGATTCCGCCGCAGTTGGCTCGCCCGAAACCACGCGCCAGCGCTGTGGTAGCGACATGAGTTGAGTACGGACGAAGTTCCGGGCATTCTCTGGCAAGGCACCGCCCGCGTATTCCGAAATTTGATTGACTACGTGCTTCAAAGTCTTCATGATGTTCTCGCTCTGCATCTTGATCTGGTCTGCCAATTGACGTGTAGCGACGTCTTGTTCGTTTCCGCCTTGCTCTAGATGTGAGCCGAAATTGCCGTGCCAGCCTTTGCGGTGTTGCTCATATTGCTCGAGAATACTCTTAAGGGCGTTTGTGAATTCCGAGACGCGAAGTGCCGAGTTGCTCAGTAATTGCAAGCAATAACGAAGATTGTCGCGCGAAGAAGAGCTTAGTGCGACCGACAAACCAGATGAGGTGACAAACAGCCCGGAAGACCAGCTCCGGATAGGCTTCTGTCGTCCTTGAATTTGCTGAGTAAACCGAGTGGCCGAAGCTGGACTTTGTTCTTCGCGATAGGAGGGCGGTCTGGTCGAGCCATAAACCGGCAATGGCTCTGTGAGTGAGTCAATAGACAATTTTCGATGGTGAAGCCGGGAGTCCATGTCCATAGCAAAACTTCCGTTAACGTCGACACGTCCTTGTTCAACATCGTTCGGACGGTTGGCATCTAAGTAGCGGCGAACAGTGTGATCGACGCCAGTGTATTCGCCCACGCTTCCCACAGCACTCGCGACAGGAATCGCAATGTTTCTCTCCACCAAATTGGCGCCATATTGTACGATGCGCGGCGAGTAATGCTTTGTTGTTGAGTATGCGAAGGAAGCACCTTTGATCGTCGTTCCCACCCATGGGTGTGCCTGCGTGATCAGCTGTAGTAATGGTTCAGGCTCTTCTCCGGAAAGCGTCGCTTGCATTGGATATGATGGGGGCTGAGCGGGTCCGCCTCTCTGAATGAAGGCTATGTATATAAGTCAGCGTGTGAAAACGTATTGCCCTCCATCGATTGCATTCACCTGGATTGCCAAGCCCGGATAATGCTTGTGCTGCAATCAGCACGTTCTCGTCCTCCACTGAGACCACGCTGCGAGGTCCACCGCGATCGTCCAGGCTCATGCCACTGGCTGTTGTCACCGGACTGGCCATTCCCGACTCGAGAGATATTTGCCTGTCCAGCATGTTGGTGAATATCGGATCGATTCGGGGGAGTGGGACATGGGAGCCTGGCGACGCATGATTATGCTGATGGACCTCTGGCAAAGATGAGAGCGAATCATAGTCATTGGAAAGGACTGTTTTGAGATCTGGTAATGTGATTTTGCTCGAAGGATGTGTGGTCTGTTGAGCAGATACTGGCAGAAAGTTCGTCACACAGGGCAGCGGCGTCGTATCTCGCTGCAAGGGCTGTTCCATAGCCATGTCAATTTGCTTGCTGTGAGGTCGATCAGCGTCGTCAACGGCGATTGTCTGTGGAAAGGCACGAATGGTGCAAACAACGAGGCCGAGCTGGCTGTCGCGCGTCCACAGTGCGTGAGGGTCGGGGTGCAGAGAGCTGGATCGCCCAGAAGTGCCTGAACAAGTCACGCCGACACCAGCGCAGCAGATCGTGAGGAATTCGCCCAAGGGCCCTCTGACGCTTTCTGTCACATGCTCCGAGCGGCTTATTATTTGCCCTAGGCAAAGCTCATCTCCTTGTTTTGCATGTGCAAGCAGCCCATCCTCCACCACTCCTGTACAAGGATGGGGGTTGCATCATGGGGCATCTAATGGATGGGTAGGCATTTATTATTTTTACCTGGGAGTTTGATTATCATTACGGTCATCATGATCATCATCCAGAAACGCGGGTTATCATCAGAGAGGGGCCGCTGGCTATGTTGTGTTTATTCTTGTTTTATGTCCTATGTGCACCGCAAGAAATACACATGTGCAGACTCACGCCTCGTGACCATGCGCCAGCTCGGATGTGCTGTACTGTTGCGTACATCATCACACCGTGTCCATAATTTTCATTGTGTGTGGTGGGATCCCTGATGAGAATTTCTCCTTGGTGTTGTCCCTGTGCACGAGACTGTCCTGTACCGAAGTACCGCGATCAAATTGGCATTCCTTCCTCCACTTGGCAGGCAGTCGCCCACGCATTTGCTGCACACGCCCGCAGCCTTTTCTCCAGTTGCGTGGAGGCATTCGGATCTCCGTGCACACAGGAGACGCCGGAGGAATTCAATCGAATTTACTGTGCTGCTGTCTACGGAGACGTAGCAATCTTGCATTGGAAGATGGAAATTTCTGTTCATTGACGGGCTGCTGAGCACGTGGACCATTTGGTAATTGGCTAATTGCTTCAATTCCTCTGGAAACGTAACAGCTGCGGTAATGTCATGTCCAATTGCGTGTCCATTACCTAGGTAAGTTTGGAGCCATCTGATGTCAAATGTTGACATGGGTAAATGCGTCGCGCAGCTTGACGTATGAAGCAGATGATCGGCTTTGCTGATGAGACTGCCGATGATGACATAGCCCTGGAGTGTATCACCACCTACAATGCATGCACTTCTTGAGGCGACATGTGTGAGATCGCAGATTGACCATTCCGGAATACGACTCGGTCCTTAATGCAGGAAGAGCACTTTGCATTAAAGTGCATTCTGCATGCTATTTTCTCTTCGATTAAGCCCGAGGTAAGCAATAGTGGTCAAGTGGGTGAGGCATACAGAAATTGAGCGTTTCGCGCAAGATCTGCAGAATCTTCACATGCGCGTTCAGCGTGCCGAGCACTGCATCTTGCCGGCTATGATCATCTGGTCCCTCATCAATGGCACTGTGTCAAATTTGATTACATGATCGTGCATGTGCAAACACACCTGGCCATCGATTCGACCATTGGCGGGGTACTTGTACATATTTCATGATGAGAGGATCTGATCAACCTTTGACGCCCTGAGATGAGCGTATGTTTCCCCGCAGTGCTGTTACATATACAGTCCGTCATTGAGAGTCGCCTTCCTCTTGCGATGAAGTACATCAACTCCGATGATTGAAGTGCCGACTGATTTTCCACTGTCACATGCATGTCCCTTGGCATCATCAACATATGCACGTGCAGAGCCATGACGGCGAGAAAATACATCCCATGATAACAGCGAACATCGTAGCCCGTGTCACATTTGCCTCGTTGTCGAAGTAGGCTCGTCCAAAGCGCTGTTTGCGTTGTCCGTCTCGATACTCGGTTCAGTTGGTTCAAGCGGTTCCTCTGGGCGCAAAGCTGTTGCAACCGGGTGGTCGACCAGGTGTGAGCCCTGCGCCTGAGCAATCGCCCGAACATCAGTTGACATCCGTGCAACTCGTTTTCCATACTGCCTCTCGGTCATGACAGCCTTGTGTATGTTTGCATGATGCAATTCGTCTGGACAGGCTAATATCGGAAGATAGTCTTCCTCCAAAGGCACTTCACCAGCAAATAGCAACCTCATTTTGTCTTTCATGATCGCGCGGGCTTTGGCGAGTGTGCCATTGTGGAACCAACCGAATCGGTGAATGTCGCAATCCACACGAATTTCATCCGTTTGAAATATTCCTTGCACCAGAGGGTCCGTCACGTCGCAGATCTGCCAGATCTTCCCGTTCGTAGTGATGGATTTGCCGTCGAAGATGTGAGATGTTGGATTGTCTCTCTGATGTCGTTCCGGTCGGAGCCAATGGCCGTACACAGAGCCCGACGTTTTCATCGACTCCTTATCGATCATGAACATCAGAGTTTGATACGTGCGATATTTGGGGTCCTTGCGGGGGTCTACGCCGTATTTTATCAAAGTATCACGCCAGGGGCCTGCGCTGAAAGAGTACCCTACGAATTGCGAAGCTTCCTTGAATATGCTGTCGCTGATGCTTGGTATCGTGTTCAACGCGACTCTCTTGGTGATGAGAGGCCGCTTCTCAAGTAATTCCTGTAGCTGCCTAACCGCTCGTGGTAATAGCAGGCCATCTGGGCTCGTCAACGGAATGTGGTGAGGAGGACCTTGAGGTACCTCGTCAAGATCGGGAGGTAGCGCCCACGTCACCTTTCTCGCAGGCCCATGGACGTTTTTCGCAATTAATTTGCCATCATCACCAGGTATGACAACAACACCAGGGGCTTGTTGGTACTCGTATCGATATGGGATGTCGATATGGGCAAAACTTGGCGGTCCAGGAAACGCTATCGAGCCTCCTCCGGGACTAAGATCTGGTTTGAATTCTCGCAACGTTTTGTAATCCGGCGTAAGAATGTTATTTCTTAGAACATCCATGATGGGCTGGTCAGACCCACGAAGCTGAAAGTCTGGAAGAGTGCGGAATCGATGCGTTTCATTCACCACTCCGATAACTTCGATTGTGTACTTCCTCTGATTGTCATGCATCTTTCTTAAAATGTCCAAACTTGTGACGCTGGTAGCGTTTGCCGCCTCATTGCTCAAAAGGCGAAATGGGTCTTGAGATCCGCGCTTTCTTTTGCGACCTGTTGCTTTTGGCAAGGTGACTTTCACGAGGACATTACGCGTCTCAATGCCGACAGATGGAATTTTCTTTGCGAATGGGTCGTCAGGTCGCAATACCACTCCGGCGACAGGCTCCGGAAGGAGATTTTCTTTGCGCCCGACCTTACTATCGCCAACATGGTGCTCCAGGACCTTGTAGCAGTCAATTTAATTTTTCGATCGATACGAAAGGCGGCGTGACTCACGTGTTTCAATTGTGCCTCGCCTCCAAGGGACTTCAATCCGTTCTTGACGTTTTTGACGATACACGGGTGCTCCACTGCGACAACTCGTGTCGACGGAATGTCATACATTGTTGTCACGACTTGACTGTCTCGTTCGCTGAGGTAAAGGCCTACCTATATCACGCAGAGGTTGGTATTCGAGCATGGGCAGTCAAACAAAAGAAAAGCCGAAACAACGTAGTCAACCGTATTGGTCTCGGTCGTCGTGAGACCAATTGCAAGTCTACGGATTCAAATGAAGCATCGTTGCTGCGATATTCTCTGGTAACTACGTAAGTCTTGATGATCACACTATGCGTGCTGAACAACAGGCTTGCTATACTGGAACCTCGCAGTGTTGTAGTGGGTCAGTATGCTTGATGTACCTCGAGAAGTGTTGGATGGTTTCGGCAACGGCAGAGCCAAATTACCATAAAGTCAGTTGTTACTGGGTATATTTGTGAATGATACTGAGCGGTTCCCATACCAGGATCGGCCGCAAATTTGGCCTCAGTTCTGCCGCACGTTCACTCGCCCCGTGACATTGCGCTAGATGGAGGTCTGGGAGTGAGAAGCCCAGGTGCACAAACCATGGATTGTCGTCACTCATCATCCAAAATCCCCCTCATCACCACCTGGGCAGGGCACAGGGCACTTTGCCATTCCACACAAATGATTCGTGCGGTATCATACTGGGAGATAATGTGACTTCCAGTGATCAACGGTGCACGTTCCTCCAGTCCCGCGCCCACAAGCCCATCTGCCCGGACGCTTCTCTCCTCCTCAAATCACCTCGCCGCATTGTACGGACTGTACTTGTAGTCCACGGCATAATCACGGTGACGCGACCATTGAAGTGTTTTGCATTGTATGTCTTTAGCTTCATAGTCAATTAACAGCGTGATGATCGTTGGACAATAGTAAACCGTTATCCAGCACTGTCCTGTATATGTATACCTCACAACAGTTAGGACGCCGCCTCCGCCTCCTCCGCTGCCCGCCCGCCGCCGCCGCTGCTATTCATCTCATTCACACACGTACGTCGGCTCATCAGTGTGCCCTGCGTGATTGTCTTTCCAACGACGACCCTCACTGAGAGCTGCTCGAAGTGTTTCGCGTCGCACTACACAACTGTGCGCTGCACACCCAACTTCATCGACTCCACCGCAGTACCTACGACGTGCATCTTCGCCCTTCTCAGCTGCACCTGTGGACCATTCCGCAGACTCCTTGGCAATCCGTACCCTAAGCCTGAAGCCAACGAGCCTCAGAACGTCAATTGATCTCGAGCACGCGCTGTCGCCGCCGCTATCCTTCGCTTCGGCAGCATCGATCACCACCCACTTCTCGCCGTTTTGTCCTCGCCATCACCAGGGTGTGTACCTTGAGGGTGCCTCGTCCCGTCATTTGCGATCTCGCATCCACTTGTTTGAAGAAAAGAGCTCGCTTCTGCGCAGCATACGCCGGTGGGGCATACCCTGTGGCAGTCAAGGTTCGGGTCGTCACCAATGATGAAGGGCTTTCGGCAGCGGGTTGTAAGTCATGGCCCTCGCGTCGACAATGTGGTTGTGCACACGCGTATTGATCGTCATGTCTGACAGCAAGAACAGCTCTCGAGAGCGAAAGATGGGAACAAGCTCAACAAGAACAAGAAGGACAACAACTCGGGCGCCGTGTCTCCAAATGTCGGTTCCTCGCAGTCGCCGGCAGGTTCTGCGCATGCCACACCGACCTCATCCACAAGTAATCTTGTCGACTCGCGTAACAAGCCCTTGCCGAGCGAGACCCCAAATGCCACTCACGTATCAACAGCTCCAGTCGCGCAGACAGGTATAAATCCTGCACTTAATCAAGGTCATTTCCAGCCACACAGCATAGGTGTAGCACCTGGAGGCGTCACAAATCAGGGTGCTATCACTCCCGGTCGACATGGGCAGCCGATGCCACCAAGTGTTGTCATATCACCGAGCGCTCCTGTAAGCAGATGTTGCGGTGTCTACTGTAAGATTGAAACTGATTACGTTTAGCATATTCCTCCTCCTGGTGCCGCCGAGACCATGCCTCATGACCTTGCACCTCCGAAGGCTGGTCAAAAGAGTCTGTTGTTTGATAGATTACAGACCACGCCGAAAGACACAGTGCCCGAAGGCATTCGCACGCCCAAAAGACAGCATTCCTCGCGGTTTGACATCTCCGACCAGCGACAGCGCGAGCTCGAGAAGCTCCCTGGCTTTCACGAAGTGCCTCCAAACCGGCGGCAAGAGCTGTTCATGCAAAAGCTGGATCAGTGCAACATCATATTCGATTTCAATGATGCATCCGGCGACATGAAGAGCAAAGAAATCAAACGATTGGCTTTGCACGAGCTTTTGGATTACGTCGCGCAAAACCGACAAGTCATCTCAGAGCCCATGTATCCACGAGTGGTCGAGATGTTCGCTAAGAATCTTTTCAGACCAATTCCGCCGCCGATTAACCCTCAAGGTGAAGCTTTTGACCCGGAAGAAGACGAGCCAGTTCTGGAAGTGGCGTGGCCGCACATTCAAGTGGTGTATGAGTTCTTTCTGCGATTCATTGAGAGCCAAGATTTCAACACCAACTACGCCAAACAGTACATCGATCACGGCTTCGTTCTCCAGCTACTTGAGCTGTTTGATTCTGAAGATCCCAGAGAACGCGATTTTCTCAAAACGACACTGCATCGGATCTATGGCAAATTCCTGAATTTGCGCTCGTACATTCGACGCAGCATCAACAACGTATTCTTCCAGTTCATATACGAGACTGAACGATTCAATGGCATTGCAGAACTCCTCGAAATCTTGGGCTCCATTATCAACGGATTTGCCTTGCCTCTCAAGGAGGAACACAAGCTGTTCCTCACAAGAGTGCTAATACCTATGCATAAGGTCAAGAGCCTCAGTATGTATCATCCGCAGCTGGCATACTGTATTGTCCAATTTTTGGAAAAAGATGCAGCTTTGACAGAGGAAGTCGTGCTTGGCCTCCTTCGATATTGGCCAAAGGTCAACAGCACAAAGGAGGTCATGTTCCTCAACGAAGTGGAGGACATCTTTGAGGTCATGGATCCGGCAGAGTTTGCGAAGGTCCAAGAGCCTTTATTCAATCAGCTCTCCAAAAGCGTCGCAAGCCCTCATTTCCAGGTCAGTCGCAGCATTGAGCCTGAACACATTCTTATCGCGATACTAACACTCTCTAGGTTGCTGAGCGAGCATTGTACTTCTGGAACAACGAGTATTTTTGCAATCTGGTGAGCGACAATGTCGATGTCATTCTTCCCATCATGTTCGCGCCACTGTATGAGAACTCTAAAGGGCATTGGAACAGGTAAGCAAGCTTGACACAAAATGTCAGTATTCCTGCTAACCGCGTACGCTAGAACGATACATGGAATGGTATACAATGCCATGAAGCTCTTCATGGAGGTCAATCCACAATTGTTCGATGAATGCTCGCATGAGTACACCGAGCAACAAAACAACGCGGATGCCATCAAGGCCAATCGACAGGCTAAATGGGACCGCTTGACTCAGCTGGCCGCATCCATGAAGTCGAATGGTCATGCTTCCAACAACACTCGGCCCCCTCAAGGGAACAAAGGAAAGACGCCTCTACGAGTCGATGACGGCGACCCAATTCCAATGGACCGACTACGGTTACAAGACGAGCGAAGGTCGGACAGACCAACGAATTCTGTACGTTGAGCGTGCTCTCACGTAGATCCATGAAAAATACTGGCACACTGGTCTGCACATTCTTTCTTTGTCTGCTTTTCTAGCCTCGGGCACGCCGCGCCGTTGCCTTTGCATAGCGTGTTAGATTTGCTTCCGGCAATCCATTGATGGTGGTGGACGGTCGAGAATTTGGTGCACGGTAAATGCGCTCGCGGGCGGCATTTCCCATCGCAGGGTTTTAGGCGCAATCACAGGAAAGTGATGAGACGAGAGAAGATGAAGAAGCTGTGGGGTCGTTTGGCCTTCTTTTCAATGCCATTCGTGCCCCTCCGTGTGATCGCGACATCACGTCCTCGACCTCCTCATTTGCATCTACTCTCGACGACATTGCGTTGATTGGCCGCCGCTGTCACGCCACAACCTTGAAATCGACGAGTCAGAGCCGTAACAAAATACAAGCCCTCGCGGAAAGCAGACCGATTCGCCAATAAAACCAAATTAGATAGACATGACATCAACTACATGATGCCGTGATAATTGCATGTTGTTCTTGAGTGTACGCTGCCAATAAAACATCGGCAGTTCCTGAAATATGACGGGTGGTCTTGCGGCGGACATTCACACAGTCCAGCTTGCCTGACGATTGATGAGCTGGTGGCACTTTAGGTTTCCTCCTTCCGGCTAGCATATATGATACATGCCTACTAGGTACCTTGAGACGCTTGGTTCAAAAGATAGGTTGCAGGCGATATGGACCCGTGAAATTTCCTGCATTGTGCTCATTGAAGCTTAGCGCGGGGACTGCTGCGGGACATGGGCATAGGAATAGAATTCTTAAAATGACGATGCACTTGTTGAAACGATCTTTTGTTGACGAGTAGTCTTCCTCTCGTATAGCATAAGCTAAACATGGTCGCTCCTCAAGATTCATATCGAGCCTTTGCGGGCGCATCGGCGTTCTCTGACTTCCGTCTCAAGCGAATCGCCACGGCCATCGACGCCGTGGATTTGCAGGCGATCTGGGTCCATTATGTGTCTGCGAACGCCCATCTACCACAGGAGACAGTAGCCGTACTGGATCAATTGCTTGAGTATGGCAGTTTCCCAGTTGGCCACGAACTGTATAACCTTCTTTTAAAAACCGTCATCACAGGGAGCCCTCCTGAGGACCCAACAATCAAGTTGTTCTACGTGCAACCTAGATCCGGCACGATATCGCCATGGAGCTCAAAGGCAACGAGTATCGCTCACGTCTGCGGTCTTGGAGAAATCGTTAAGAGAATCGAACGTGGAGTCATTTTTGCTGCAAAATTCGCCTCGCCGCCAGACGGAGAGTCAATCCCAAATCCCGACATGCTGCACGACCGCATGACGGAGAGCATCAGCGCACAGCCGCCAAATCTGAATGCCATGTTTGCTCAACTTCCGCCACAACCTTTACAACGTGTGCAACTATCCCAAAGTGCCGGTGGGCCCCGAGCTGCACTCGAGGAGGCCAACAAATCGCTTGGTCTCGCCTTGGATGCATCGGAGATGGAGTATTTGATCGAAGCTTACACCAATCAACTGAAGCGCGATCCCACAGATGTCGAACTTTTCATGTTTGCTCAAGTCAACTCCGAGCACTGCAGACATAAGCAGTTCAACGCGGACTGGACGATAGATGGAATCGTGAAGTCAAACTCCTTGTTCTCAATGATCCGCAACACCCACAAAGCACATCCCGAACACGTGATCTCTGCTTATAGTGACAACGCAGCAGTTCTTGAGGGCTACACAGCCGGCCACTGGGCGCCAGAGGAATCAACAGGCGAATGGAAGCAGACAAAGGAAGTTGTGCATTACCTGGCAAAGGTCGAGACTCACAACCATCCAACCGCAGTTTCGCCATACGCAGGCGCGGCTACAGGCTCCGGTGGTGAGATTCGAGATGAAGGCGCAGTTGGTCGAGGATCCCGACCGAAAGCTGGCTTGTCTGGATTCAGTGTCTCCGACTTGAGGATTCCTGATCATATACAACCTTGGGAGCTCGATATTGGCAAACCAGCTCACCTGGCAAGCAGCTTGAATATTATGCTTGAGGCTCCCATCGGTAGTGCGGCGTTCAACAACGAGTTCGGTCGACCATGTACAACAGGTTATTTCCGCACACTGTCACTGAACGTCCCGATCAGTAATGATACCACAGAGGTACGAGGCTACCACAAACCTATCATGATCGCTGGAGGCGTCGGTACCGTGCGACCAGAACACGCACTCAAGACCAAGGGCTCTGTCAGTGCTGGTGCACATCTGGTGGTTTTGGGAGGTCCTGCTATGCTCATTGGCCTGGGAGGAGGTGCTGCATCCAGTATACAATCAGGGGAAGGTAGCGTCGAACTGGATTTCGCAAGCGTTCAACGAGGAAATGCCGAGGTTCAAAGACGTGCACAGGAAGTCATCAACACATGTACCTCACTGGGCGCTGAGAACCCCATCCAGCTCATTCATGATGTCGGCGCTGGCGGTCTTTCAAATGCTCTGCCGGAGTTGGTCGAAGACGCCGGATTCGGCGCCCGCTTTGAACTCAGGGAGGTCGATAATGCCGATACCAGTCTGAGCCCACTGCAAATTTGGTGCTGCGAAGCTCAGGAGCGCTATGTCATGGCTATCGCGCCGAGCAAACTTTCCGCGTTCGAAAAGATTGCTCGTCGTGAGCGTTGCGGATATTCCATTGTCGGCACTGCGCAAGAGGAAAAGCGTCTGATCCTCCTAGACCGAGACTCGGTCGATGAGCCAACGCCAATCGACCTTCCCATGCCGATTCTTTTTGGCAAACCGCCTAAGTTACACCGCACGGTCGAGTCTCGAAAGCCGCAATTGCCAGCATTTGACAGCAGTCTCGCCACTCTGTTGCCACAAGATGCCACCGAGAACGCGCTTGGCACAGCAATCGACCGAGTCCTCGCTATGCCTGCTGTAGGCTCGAAATCATTCCTGATCACCATTGCGGACCGTACGGTAGGAGGACTCACTGTACGTGACCAAATGGTTGGTCCGTGGCAGACTCCGGTAGCCGATGTATCGGTGACTGCAACATCATTGACGACTGGTATCAGTACGGGCGAAGCTATGGCTATGGGCGAGAAACCCACTCTGGCACTTATCTCGCCTGCAGCATCTGCGCGTATGGCAGTCGCCGAGTCGCTGATGAACATTGCTGCAGCCAGTCTTCCAAACAGACTTGGCTCCATTCGATTGTCAGCCAACTGGATGTGTGCAAGCAGTCATCCTGGCGAGGCAGCTGCCCTGTATGAAGCCGTCGAGGCAATTGGACTAGAGCTTTGTCCAGAGCTCGGTATCAGCATTCCAGTCGGCAAAGACTCCATGTCGATGAAGACAAAATGGGAAGGGAAGGAAGTGACAGCACCACTGTCTCTGGTCATTACTGCTTTTGCCCCAGTAAACGATCTAGCAAGCACATGGACACCAGCCTTGAGGCGGCCCGAGGATGTCGGCGAGACTCTTCTCATATTTGTCGACTTAGCAAGTGGCAAGAAAGCCATGGGCGGATCGGCGCTCGCTCAAGCGTTTGGTCAAGTTGGCAACGAGGCTCCAGATGTCCGCGACGTCGACCACATCAAGGACTTCTACCACGCAATAGAACAATTGCACGAATCGGATGTTGTGCTTGCCTATCACGATCGATCAGACGGTGGTTTGTTCACCACACTCGTCGAGATGATGTTCGCCGGACGCTGCGGTATCGACATCTTGCTCGACAAGATTGTGACTTCAGCCAGACCGAAGGATGTTATTGAGACGCTTTTCAATGAGGAGCTCGGTGCCGTTTTCCAGATTCGAAAGAAGGATGAGGGCCAGTTCCGCGGTGTGTTCGCGCCCATGACACCGATTGTCATCGGCACTGTGCCAGCAACTGGCAAGCAGGACGCATCAATCTACTACGGTGCTGAATGTATTTACCGTGCGTCGCGGAAAGACTTGCAACAGAAGTGGTCTCAGACATCGTGGGCAATGCAAAGACTGCGAGACAATCCACTTTGCGCAGACAGCGAGAAGGAGAACGTCAACGACGACAAGGATCCCGGCCTACAGTTCAAGCTGACGTTTAACCCGAAGGATAACATCCTACCACTTACTACTTCGCTCACATCACAACTTCGGGCCAAGCCGAGGGTCGCTATCCTCCGAGAGCAAGGTGTCAACGGTCAGGCGGAGATGGCTTTTGCATTTTCTGTCGCTGGGTTCAGTCCTGTTGACGTGCATATGACCGACATCATCTCCGGACGCTTCTCACTGGCTTCATGTGTTGGCCTTGCAGCTTGCGGAGGTTTCAGCTATGGAGATGTTCTTGGAGCTGGACAGGGATGGGCCAAGAGTGTTCTATTGCACAGCAACACGAGAGCTGAGTTCAAGGCATTCTTCGAACGTAAGGACACATTCACACTAGGCGTGTGCAATGGTTGTCAGTTCCTGTCAAGGCTTACAGAGCTCATCCCAGGCGCAGAAAGCTGGCCCACATTCGAACGCAACGCTAGCGAGCAATATGAGGCGCGCGTCTGCATGGTGGAAGTTTGCAACCCTCCACACGCTGCGCCTAGCGTGTTCCTCCACGGCATGGAGAACAGCTACCTGCCTATCGTCGTCGCTCACGGCGAAGGTCGTGCGAGCTTCGCCGCCAATGGCACTTCGTCCGCCGAAGGACTCGTAAATCAGGGATTGGTGTCGATGCGATACGTCGACAACTATCTTCAAACAACGACCAAATATCCTTTCAATCCCAACGGCAGTCCTCTAGGAATTACTGGCGTACGGAGCCCTGATGGACGCGTGCTTGCCATGATGCCGCACCCAGAGCGAACTATCTTGAAGGATGTCAGCAGCTATATGCCTGTAGGGCAGGCGAAGGAATGGGGTGAGTTTGGACCCTGGACTCGCATGTTCAAGAGCGCCCGACGCTGGGTGGGATAGACAGATGGACAACTCCATTGAATTCATACAGGCAAATAGAGACTGTGCATGATACAATCATCGTCAATTTGAGCGCGACTCATTATCAAACTCGTACGATTCTGATGCAGTGGCGGTCTGCTGTGAGTCGGTAGGCCACTTCACATACCATGAAATACTTCGGTCTCGGGTTCAGCAGCATGCGGACTAAACCAGATTGGGGATCCGCAGCTCTGGTGAGCCGCCAGTGGATAATGTGATTTATGCACATCTTTGATACGGGCGATCCTGCCCAGGCGATCAGACCTGACTCATTCATAGCGTGAACCTGTGCAGTTCCATGCAGTATAGTACATCCACAAGTTGTTCCGGACACACCGGCTGAGCATCGGAAGATTATAATGGAAACCTGCCTGCATCAGCCCTGGGGGTGCTGCGAGCTCGCTAAATTTAGTGCTGACGTGCAGGACATCCGTCTCGGACGATATCCCACATGGTTGGTCGTCGCGTTGTGAAAAGTGTATATAGTCAGGGCGGCACCACCACGTCACTTTTCGATTCCCTTGCTGTATGTCACTGTTTCTGTATCACCAAGTCACATTTTTGTTGACTGACAAGGCCTGATATATCGACCACCATAATCGTCATCATGTACACCATTGTGACGATCGTGGTCGCTCTGCTGGCGATCATCTTCGCACAATCTATCTACAACTTGATCAACAATCTAAATGCCGCCCGGCGGTCGAACTTGCCACATTTCATTCTCCCCTTTGACCAAAACGCCTTTGTCTGGGTGGTAGCATCAGTCCCGCTCCGGCCATGGCTGAAGAAGAACTTGCCAGCATGGTTGTACCATCGCGTGGCGATGACTATCTACGGCTTCGAGTTCAGTGAGAAGCGTCGCATGCGCGATCCTACCTCGACGCCGCGTGCAGTCAACCAAAGGACATATGCCTTGGTCACCACTGGCCATTTCGAGATTAACACGCGAGACCCCGAATTGGCTTCGGAGATTCTGCGTCGACCGAAGGATTTCCAGCAGCCGGAAATTATCACGCTGTTCCTCAACAAGTTCGGACACAACCTTCTGACGAGCAACGGTGAGGACTGGAGCCGACAGCGTAAAATCATTGCCAGCGCAATCAACGAACGCATCTCCAAGACCGTCTTCGAGGAAAGTGTACAGCAGACTCGCGGTCTCTTAGAGGAGATTGTCGGGGATGCACAGTCCGCGGACACCACACGTATGTTTGACGCCATGAAGAAAATCACCATCAACGTTCTCAGCGGCGCCGGCATGGGTGCCAGGGTACAATGGCGAGAAGACGTCAACGAGAAGCCGCGGCCTGGTTACAAAATGACTTACATCGAAGCATGCAAGACCGTCATCAACAACATGAACGGTCCTATCATCCTGCCTTCATGGTTCCTAGCAAATTATCCATCTTCATGGCCTGGACATGATTTGTTCAAAAGGCTTAGTTACGCGGTGAAGGAGTTCCCCATTCACACCAAAGATCTCCTGGCTCAGGAGAAGGAGAGAGCAGAGGCTTCTGGTGGCGAGGCACGAAACAATATCATGAGTCAATTATTGCAGGCAACCAGCGCCGGAGCGGCAGAGAAGAAAGGTCTCACTGACGATGAAACTATGGGCAATCTCTTCGTCTTTACCGCTGCAGGATTCGACACCACGGCAAATACTCTTGCGTATGCGATCATGCTCATGTCGCGGTATCCCCAATGGCAGAAATGGGTCCTCGAGGAAGTCGATGAGATCATGCCCAAGGATGAAACCACGAAACTTGATTATTTGACCGTCTTTCCCAAGGCGACCCGAGTAATGGCAGTGCTATTCGAGACACTCCGTCTCTTCCCTCCGCTTGTCCACATGACCAAAGAGACCAAGACGGCGCAAACACTCACGAGCTCCGCCGGCACGTACTACATTCCTCCTAAGACGACTGTGTACGTCAACACGGTCGGTCTGGCGCTCGATCCGGAAGTGTTCCGCAACCTCAATTTGGCGGAGGGAGAGGTGCCAAGCAAAGACGACGAGCTCGCATTCCGCCCAACAAGATGGATCAACGCGGCAGGAAGCGCACAAACTTTCTTTCAAGCGCCGAAGGGCGTCTTCATTCCTTGGTCGGCAGGCCCACGCGTTTGTCCCGGTCAAAAGATGGCGCAGGTCGAGTTCACATCGATTTTCTTGACCCTGCTGTGGAAGCATCGGATCGAAGCCGTGCCGATCAAGACTGGGTCGGACAAGTCACAGGAGACAAGCTCCCAGGTCAACGCTAGATTGGAAGCGCTGATGTCAGACAGCAGCCCGATCATGACGTTGCAGATGAACGGTGTATATGATGTCGCAGATGAGGTCGGAAAGGGAGTTCCCATTCGCGTAATTCGCAGGAAGTAACGCGAGATAGAGGTGTGAGATGTACTGTATAGATCACCACTCAGTTCTTTTTACAGTTTCAACCGTTCCTTCCAGATTGTCGCCGTGTCTGTACGCGGATAACGACATCGTGCTATTTGATTAAGCTTTGCCGACTCCTTATTCCCGTTTTAGTGAGATGTTACTGATGCGCTGGGCAAGGGAGTTTCCGACCGCATCGATCGCTCCCTTGGGGCTTCGAAGAGAGATCTCCTGGGTAGAGGACGAGCGCTTGAACAAGACGATGTTGGTCCCGCTGTAGAGGCCGCCGATACCCTGCGAGACTTCGGCTTCTTGGATATAGATTCTACCCCACAGCTCTGACATGTACCAAACCCGGGCAACAGAGCTCCACTCGAAGTTGCTCGGAGGCTCAGCAGTCACTGCAGGTATCTCTACGTGTATTGTAGATTCTGAAAAATCTGTTAGCATCTTGACAACAAACTGAACCACAGAAGCACTTACGCAAGGGTTGCTTAGAAGCGAAAGATCCAGCGTTTTGAGAACCTGAACCTGGAGCTGTATTGGTGAGCTCAATGTTCGCACCTGGAGTGAACTTCCCATCATTATGTGCATGCATAGCCTGGTCAATCGACCTCGTTGTTTTTTCAGGAATCCCACCCCCGATTTTCGCCTCGTTTATCGTCTTGAAGACCGTAGACAATGGCAATGTTTCATACCAACTTTCTAACCATTCCTGCGATGGGCGGAATGGTTGTGATGTTATTGTCGAGACTGTCGGCAGACTGCTTGCCGACGTGGTCCGCGATAATGCCATGACTCGTGAAGCAGGCTGTTTGCCACGTGCTTTCTCGCTCATCTGGTGCAGCTGATCAGCAGACTCGTCGAGATGTGGTGTACCGTTGTGCATATCATTGTCGACGCCTTCAATTTCGTCACCATCATCGTCACCGATGTCGAATCGCTCGTCTTCTGGGACCTCTTCCAGTGTCGGTGTTCTTAATGCGCTAGGACTTCTTACGCTGTCCATCGAGGGTCCACGTGAGTAGCTCTGGCCATTTCCACCGTCAAGGCCGCGATCTTTGCGCTCCTGTCCTTGACGGTTGAGCTCCGCAAGCGCGCCTTCAATTGTGAGTGTTCTAAGTGCCTTGAAGCGAGCTCGACTGCCGACAAGAACTTCGACGAAACGCGGATTATCTGCAGATTTCCGAACGTGTTAATCCACGAGCTGCTAATAGCTGCTTGCTCTTGGCAAGATGGGTCGCCTTCCAGCAGTTTCGCGCTGCTTACCTTTCACCGTGTTGTCGAGGATGCCATTGATCGCATCGAGCAATTTCATGACCAGAGTGTGATTGTTCTCACTGGCAAGTAGGAAGCTTGGCGAGGAAAGGAGAGTAAATAGATCGATCATTTTGGAACTTGTAGCACGCGCGAGACCTCGCTGGTATGGTGCGATATTACTGATGATACTCAACAATGCTGGATACACTGCTTCGAGTCGACCTTTCGGCGTGGTGAATATCGTATGTATCGACTATGCAGCGATTAGTTCGTTGAGCGCTTGCAACATCTGAAGTCGGTAGCGACTTACGCAGATCAAGAAGTCTCCATATGAGCCATGGAAGTTGGGAATACGCATAACAGCTGGCAGAGTCTCGGAGTGCGCGAAAGGAGTGTTCAGCTTGGTGGCGAATGGGGCCTCGACGCTGAGCGTTTGCAGGGCGAATATACTCAATCTCAAAGTACCGTGCCTTGTGGAATGATCCTTTGCGTCCAGAGCGTAGAAGAGGAGAAGTATGACATAATCAAGGGCACCCCCTGTGTCGTTCAAATACCTGCGGAATCGTCTATTGCATTGCATGAGCTCCCATAGTAAGCTCAGCATTTCCGGAGCCCAAGGAAGCGCTTTGTCCTTGTTTTGAAAATAGCTCAAGTTGGCAGACGTCTGAACGCGTCAGCAAGCGTGCCAGGAGCGAGCAGACATTGGAACTTACAGATCGTATCGGATGCGCCAGCACTTGGCTCAGTCCCTGCTGGATGAATTGGAAATCGTCTGCGCGGTGCAACATGCTCAGGGCATGGCGAAACTGGTTGCGCTTATCGTTGAGCGGCGCCTGATATGTTACGAGCAGGAGCAGGAGCTGCAGCGCGTACATTACTAGTAGCTTCTTGGGATCACTTATTTTGGTCGTGAGATCGATGGGAATATTCCATGCATTCGGATTGTACTTCAGAACCTGGCATGATATTAGAGAGTGTCTGATTTGGTCGTCGCAGGATCACCATGCAAAGGTTGCATACGGTGGCTCGTTGCGACAGCACACATGCATGTTGTAGGGACGACGTACTGTGTTCAGCAAAGAGCATACTATGCCGTTGGTCACTCTGCTTTCCAGCCGGGTTGTCATCCATGTGAGAGGTTCCACATCGCAAGTCGCCACGGCACCTGGTACACGAAAGTTCAGCATTCCCCATTCATGGCCATTTGCGCTTGTGAACCTACTGGTCTGAGTATACATCGGTTTGCTGGAAAGCGCAATTAGGAGCCGCAATGTCTCCATCTGATGTTTCTCGTGTTCCTTCGTGCAATTCAAGCTCTTATTACTCCCTATTCCACTCTGCCAGACCTTCACCACGATCTCAGTATCCAGGGTGCCATCTTCCCGCACTCTTCGAGGGATGGCAAAGCCTGGAAAGAAGAGGTAATCGATGATAAGCTCAAGAAGTGTTTCGCCGATGGGTGTGCCGATAGCCTGCTCGATCTCGTCCCGCTGGAACTTTTTGCGCGGATCTAACCCATCGAAGTATATCGGTGTTCTGCCGTCGGTACCACCTAGAACGCGTGTGGGCCGGCGCGGCTTCCAGAAGAAGTCTTGCTGCCAGTCTTTCAAATGATCTGCTTCGTACAGGTATGGTAGCAGGCGCGTTAGAATTCGCATGCAATTGAGAATCTCGGCAACAGGCGTGAGTTGCGCATTGTCGGAGTCCTGAGGACGCTGAAACGCCTGTAGTCGTGCGATCGTTGTGTAAATGAGGGTTTCAAGGTTCTTTCTCGGTGCGATCTGGGTATGAAGTGGAGGTCGGAGGTCAACGGTGTTTCGGGTGAGCGCTCGCAAATCGTTCGGTGACCAAAGTGCGAAGACATCTTCTGCACTTTCGGGAAGAGTATAGAACTGCGACACAGCCAGTGAGCAACACAACCCTTTCCGTATGTCAAGATCGCTTCAATATCATCAGTCTGCGCCGGTACGCACCTGCGCCCACAATGGATCGAAGGGTGAAATGTCCTCGTCGCCAGCCAGCAGGAAGACGCTCTGCTTGAAAGCAAGCTTGCTTTCCGATGCGCCCATTATGACATTGCCGGGTGTCTGACGCTTCTAATCTGGCGAGGGATTATATATAAGCAAGTTGTGCTGTAGAAGAAAGGTCGCGTTCGCATCGGTGAAGCATCAGGTCAGGTGTGCAGAACATACATTGGTTCAGCCTTTAGCATCCATGGATGTGCATCACTAAAGTTACCTGGGCTATTACGTAGTGCCTCCCAGGGTTCGTCGAAATGGACCCTTCGAGTTCATCTGCAACCAGGCACCACCTTTGGTGAGCCTGGTGCAAATCATCAGCCCACGAACCGAACTACAATGTTCCTGTCAGTTCCTCAGGTCATTCCATGGTTGTCGATCAACGGCATATCCGGGTTCAAGAAACGTTGGCAGTTCCACCTGGGGGTCACGAAGCCAAAGAATAGAACCATTGCCAGAGAACCATGCTCGTCTTCAAACAGCTTGCTGTCGGCGCATAATCAACATTGGTTCTCTCATTATTGGAACAATTATGCAGGGTATGAAATTGCGAACATATGCGACTGATCGAATGGAGAAGTATTCTAATGCTAGCATTTCTGGTTTGTATTTCATTGGACTCATGCGGATCTATACTGTCTCTGCATGCGGGTATTGCAGCATCAAATCTTCAATGTATTTTCGGTCCTGGACGAGTGGGATTAAAACGCTGATCATAATTTGGCTCCCAAATCCTCGAACTCGGTAATATCTTTGACTGGTTGTAAGCCGGCACTCAAGGCCAGACTGGCCTTGAATGCCTTCACATCTGTGATGCGCACCGACACCCGTGTCGATGTCTGGTTTGATTCTCCAGCTGTCGTTGGCGCCGGAGTAGACGCATCGGTAGTCGTAGCGGTAGAGCTCGCAGCAGATGATCCTTGTGCGATGAGGTGTACAGAGACCTTGGCCCGCAGTTCTGAGCTGGGGTTGAACTTGAGGCGGAAGAATTCAATGATGTCGTTCTTGGATAAAGGCTCGAGGGCTTCGACGTCTCGGCGAACTAATTGCATGTTAGCTTTACAGAAATCACATTCACGTCTTTCGACCAGTCACAAACTTACCGAGCTCGAAATCAAAAGCCTCAGAGGTGATGTGGTGCCACATGCGACCACTCTCCTGGTTCAAGTTTTTAAGCTTTTCCAACCGCTTGTTGATAGTGCCGATCTTGTGCGCCTCAAACTCTTGCTGCGGCATCTGTTCAAGCGTGTTCGCGAAGCTCACAAGGAAAGCATCGATGCGCTCCTCGAGGAATGAGCACGGTTTCTCACTCTGGACCAGTATACGGTAGTGAGCTGCAGCGCCGTTGAACTGTGGTCCACCAGAGCAGATGTATCCGAGCTGCTCCTTGGTGCGTAGGGTATCAAATACGGGCTCCTCGAGCATCTGCGACAGAAGTAGCAGCTTTGCGCGAAGAGAACGTTCCTGCGGATCGCCGACATGAAGGATGTACTCGATACAGTGGTTGACGTTCTCGGGGTTTGCAAGCGTGCGCTCATATAGGTAGTTGCAGCCAGGTGGAAGGATGAGATTCCGGCTTGTGCGCCACTGCGCTTGGGGCAAAGGGCGCGGCTTGAAGACACTCTCTACCATGTCGCTGATTCTAAGAGCATCCTCTTTGTAGAGATTTCCATGCACAAGGAGTTCGATATGCATTTGCCGAAGGATCTGAGGATAAAATTGTCGGACATCCTCGACAGTCACGGCAGGTAACTCTTCCAGCAGTTGATGCATTGACCACACGCGTTCCTTACCCAGCCAGCGACTGTAGCTGCCGATCTGACGAAAAGGCTCCTGGAAGTCGAAGTTGCGTAGACCACGAACGAGTCTTTCTTTGATGACGTCAAATCGGTCTTGCTTAATCTCAATGTCACGCATCTCAATCAGTACCTTTTCGAGCAATACATGCATTTTGTCATTGTAACCGCCAATGCTGACAGCGAACGCTTCAGACATCTTTCCGATATCGTAACCGAGTCCAGCAAGCTCAGCATCGTACGCATACTCGATAAGGCTGTCGTTGACAAGTTCTTGATATAGCTGTGTAACGATGGAAGTGAAAGGCGTGTCGTTGATGAGTGGTGTTCGGAGCAAGACGTAGAGGTTCGCCTTCGGAACCCAGAATCGGTCATCCTTCTTATGCCAGACGCGAACATTCGCATCGTGTCGCACAAGTTTGGGATGGTCGAGGGGCTCTTGCACTGTCTTCCTTTCGACGTCCAACCTTTGAGGGACGAACTCGTTCTTGGCGGGCAAATGCAACCCCCTTGGCAGTTCGCTGGCAGGGGCTTGCGTGACTGCAATGAGCTTCTGCATAAGTCCTTGCGGTATCTTCTCGCACTTGTAATCCGTCCCATACCACTTCTCCTTCTGATCCCAATCTCCTGGGAAGTCCTGGCTAGCGACAGTGAAACGGAAGTTATCAGGACGAAGGGCATCCAGACCACGACGGATAGCCTTGGGATCGAATTCACGAATGAGAGACTGGCCACTAAGAAGCCAATCTCTGGGCAGCGGCTTCTGCATCACACCGCTGAGATGGCTTACTGTGCGAGAAGCAGGAATTTTCTGCATGAATTTGAAGTTCACCTCCGCGAGCTTTTTCTGCTCTTCTACGATCCATTCGTGCGGCTCTTGGCTTTTGAGCATAGCAATATACTGAAAGATCGCAACTACAACTTGCTCGTAGTTCTTGAGTCCTTCTGTCGTCAGCCGAAGTGAAATGGAGAAAAATGCAGTTCCGGGGCAAATCGGCGAGGCACCAGCGCTGAGTTCGTTCGCCCAACCCTTGACTTTGAGATAGGTCAGCAGGCTGCCAGGGCCTTCGTGGCCAATCAAGTGGCTGATGTAGCGGCTTGGTTGCGAAGCGAACAAGTCTTCCTCATCGGGGTATGGGAACGTGATGTCCAGTGTCCTCGTGTCCATCACAGGCTTTACGAAAATTTGCTGACAGAGCTCCTTAGCAGATTGGGCCACCTCCTCATCCCAACGAAGCTGGGGTAGGTTTTGATTTGGTACATCGACAAAGAATTCCTCGACCCATTGCTGTAGCTCGTCGAGAGACTCCCGACCTAACACCACAAGCTTCATTCTGTTTGCTGAGTAGTGCTTCTCGTAGAATTTGATGAACTCTTCCCGAATCTTGACACCTCGGGCGAGTGGCTCGTCGTGCAGCGTCTGATAATTTCCAGTAGAGAACAGATGGTATGGATGTTTGCTATTTGACAGGCTCTTGTTCAGTTGCATCATTCGCCAGGTATCGCTCTGCAGGTTCTTTTTATTCTCCGAATCCACAGCTCGAAGCTCTCGGTCCAAAGTATCCTCCAGAAACAGCGGTTTCACAAAGAATTGTGAGAAGCGGTCGAGAGCACCATACAAAGGAGCATCTTGTTTTGATATGGGCGTCTTGGCTTGGCTGCCGTCAGAACTCGAAGCAGCATTGCTCGCGGTGGACGTGGCGGAAAGCTCGAAGTAATAATTGGTGGATGTTGACGCAGTGAAGGCGTTCGAGTAGCCGCCGTACTTGGTCAGGTAGGCGTTGTAGTCGTTTTCTCCTGGATACTATATCAACTTTATCAGAAAACGCAGCTCGAAAGGCAAACGTCAATGTGCACTCACCTTTTCAGTTCCCATGAACAGGAGATGCTCGACCGCATGCGCCATCCCTTGCATCTCTTCGGGATCTGCCATACTCCCCACATTGACATCCATGGCAGCTGCTGCCTTGTCCGTTTCAGAATCATGAATCAAGAGTGCCTGAAGCTGATTACCCAGTCGTATGACTCGGTACGTCCTCGTGTCCAACAATGGCTTCTCCAGCTGCTCAGCCAGTCGCTCAGTCGCGACCGGCCGATTGTGTAGGACATGTTCCATAGTCGCAAAGACACGAGACCTGTTTATCATCGTTGCGTTGACAGCCTCTCTTAAGCCGAAGGTGGGAGATTTTCGCTGGAAGACTGAGTCTTGGACAGGAGCTGCGAAGCAGGCACGCGAGCTCGAGCTAAAAGCTGCTGCTGCAGTGGTCGTGACGGCACAAGATTTGTTGGTCGGTATTCTCGATGTCACAGCCCAGGTCTGCCTTGATACAGAAGGTAAAGCCGTCAAGCTATTGTAACAGTACGTAGGACCAGGACGGAGGCGGGAGAGGGAGCACATATACATTTAAGTCGGAAGTGCTTCCCAGGAGGGGCGGCGAAGGCAGCTGCGGCGGAGACAAAGCACAAAGCAAGGACGAGATGCGCGAATTCAGCGACCGGGACGCATATCTGGCAAGTGTTCACACGTGTCGGCCAGCAAATGTAAATGGCCAGGTCCAACCAACTGCTGGCTGAAGGCGGCGATGATGCGCTGTCATGATACTTAGTATCGCCGTCATCATTGATGAAGGGAGGAGGCAAGGCGCGCGCTGCGGGCGGCGGGCGTCAACCCAGAACGTTTCATGGTCAAACCGTCGACAAGCGGGCAGAATACAAGCGCACCGCCTCGCAGCGCCGGCGGTCATCCATTCGGGACGGGCGGCGGCACAACTTCAGTATTTGCTATTCAGTGCTGAACTACATGTACTCTACAGGGCATGAAAGGCACCTTGATGGACCACCGTCGCACATCGCGTTATTGGTCGAGTCGGCGAGGGTCAATACTTCTAAATAATGTAATTGTGTAAGGATGTACAACAATGGGAAGTATTGGTCATCACGGTACTCCTCTCGGGCTATCTATCAATTTACTCGCTATTTTGTGAACGCATCTTGATATTTTGCGTCTTGTTGCAGGTGTGTATGAGTTCTTGTTTCATCATCATTACTTGTGTACAGTGCATGTCGTAAGCAGCGCCAATACATGGATGCCTCCAGAATATAGCCGTATGCGTGACAAACCGAAGTTGTCTCCCAAAAAGGCGGGACACCTCTTCAAGAGTGCTTGGTGTCACGGCTGTGTAACAAGATCTGCTCGGATGTATGCTGGGGCTTCGCGAAATAAATTTGTTGTCTGATTATGAAATACCTGGAACGCTACACCAGGGTCGATAAGTCGTGGTGACTTCACGAAGTCCGAAATGCGGCATCAAATGAAACGGCAACTGGGAAATGCAGCCCTACCTTCAAACTGCCATCCAGAGGATTTCCTCGGGCTGCCTGCGTTCAATAATGGCTGCCGATGTATCTCTACGGCGTTGAATTATGATCCGAAGGTGCCGTTCAATCATTCATCGCTCTCGTCCGAGTCTGAGTCTGCTGGCAAATCATCATCTATCTTTGCCTTTTTGACGTAATCCTGCTGGTGTCCAGTTCTCAATGTAGTCCCTACTCGATGCAGCGTGCGTACAACCGGGGATTCGATAGCGGTCGTGCGGCCACTTTCTGCATCGACTGCCGACGCATCCAACGACGTGGAAGACGAGGCGGTCGGGTCAACTGCGCCATCGGCGGGGGCCTTGTGCAGACTTTCTGTGTCATAGGGAAGGTTGAGGCTTCGAGTGGCCTTTTGTCCCATGATGTTGGTGCAGTGTTCGTTCTCGACTCGAAAGAGCGTCCATAGTCCGCGACGGAAAACCTCGGACAAGGCTACCAGGAATGAAACGAGACTGGCGTGCTGAAGGTCTGCCCGGAAGATGACGTAGAAAATCCAATTGAATCGCAATATCGGGTCCACGACCATTGCCAAGTAGTACAGCCATGCTTGCTTCCTGTAGGACAATTGCCCACGTAGTCCGCGGTACTTTTTCTGCTTGAAATTACCCAAACCTGTTCGCCAAGATTAGTTGAGCTTAGTGAGAATTCCATCTGGCACACGCATGACTTACTCCAATCGTAATTGATGTCCCACACAATGCAATAGATGCTATTGATGGTTGCTGCCACGATGAAAAATACCAGTGTACCGGGGGTACGGTCGATTCGATATACTGATAGACTGACGTACTGCAAGATCGTGCAGCAGTATTTGCCAAAGTTGAACATATGCGGAAAAGCAGCTCCTGTGTTCGCATATCGCCGCACACACTGTATTGCACGCCAAATTCCTGGCAGGGCAGTGAAGAATCCGAGTAGCCTGCTTCTGCTCGATGTACATTGTGCCGTATCATAGGTGAACTGTCGTGCGTAAAGGCAGAAGAATAGCTCGATGTTGCCGAGGGAGTACGTGAGTGAGCAGAACATGTCACCCAGAAAAAAATCGCGGAATTCGATAGTGTAAAATCCTGACAGAGCCAGCCGTCCCTAAATCGTCGTTAGCCATGTTTGCCGAGCGCCCAGAGTGAAAGGCACTTCGAAAGTTCAAATCTTACCAGCGACCGCAGGAACCATATGCGTGTCTTGTAGTAAAACAGGCGGGCGGGAAAGAAGAACCAGCACGCCGAAAGTGCAAGGAGAACCACGAACCACCATTGGAACGTAACGTCTCCGCCTGCATCAATGCTGAAATTGAGCCACATGGCGCCGCCAAACAGGAAGAAAAATAATGCCGGGACTTCTGCCAGCTGCCGCCAGTCTAATCGCGATTTTGGCTCGAGCTCGAAGATTAATGGGTAATTGACCTTGTAGTGATCGAACACTGCGGCGTCCAGAACGAAAAGTCCTGTGAGTAATAACATGAAAAAATAGCCAGCATAGAGCTGCATCAGAAACGATGCAGTCTGTCGGCGAGGTGAATCTGGTGAAGTAAGGATCTCCGCGCCATTGACGAGACCGTAAAGCGCCATGAATGTACCGACGCCGAGCAGGAAGCAGGTCCTACCAACTGAGCCAGTGTAGTCGCTAGCCTTTGCACTTCTGGCACGTAATTTCGATACGGCAATTTTGTGGTTGCCTCGCTCGAAATATCGAGAGTACAATGACTCACTATCAACTATTAGCATTTCAAGCTTCTCCGACTTGACAAAGTACGACGGGTTGACATGTTCGTCCATGAATTTCGATTTCTGTCGTGAGCGTGCAGTCTTATCGTATTTCTTGACAATCTTCCGGAAGGCAGTGCGGTTGACCGTCGCATAAGATTTGATCAGCTCTAGATATCTGTAATACTCTGCAATCGCTATCTTCATCTTTCGCTTAGCAGTGTGATGAGAGACATCTGGCTGTCGGGTCCCGTAATCACGCTGGTCTGGTCGCGGATTCCAGATTCCAGTCGGAGTCCCCAGCTGCGCCATTGCCGTCGAGGTCTTGCCAACATGGCCAGTACGGACGCGGTCGAGCGTTTCTTGTGCGAAACCTACTGAGCTTGACAGTCGACTGCGGGGGCGTGATGGAGATTCAGGCTCATGCTCACGATGATGCATAAATGGGAGGCGGAAGCGATGGTCGTGGCCCCCAGTTGTCTCCCCTGCTGCTGCTGCTGAAGATCTTCCATACCTTTTCAAATGCTCTGTCTCCGCCAAACGCCGCTCTCGCATGATGTGCAGCTGCTCGCGGAGGATGGAAAGCTGTTTGACTGCATCTTCTTCCTTGGCTTTGTAGAAGGCGTTGATCTTCGCAAGCTCCAAATTGAGGAAAGCGATAAATTCGGCCTTCTTCGCATCCAGCTCCCGGTAAGCTTCAATCGCGATGTCGTCGAGTGGAAGATCACCTCTGCTCTTCGCTCCAATTTGTCCAGTGAAGGACGTGAAGGAGAAAAGACGTTCGGCAAGAGGTCTCGAAGCCAGAAGTCTTGGTGGTGAATTAACCTCATATGCACTTGTAGGTCGCTCTTGTTGCCACATGATAGCGCGCGGTGGAATTCGGTGTAATCCTCCCACGGAAGGACTGGACGGCTCGTCCTCAATTTCGTCGTGCAGTGGGACTGCCGGATTTGGGAGGCGCAGCGAAGTCGGTGACTCCTTCAAACTCAATTGGCTGTTATCATCCTCGTCACTGCCAGGAGGGCTTCCGATAATGCTACCATAGCTTCTGAGTTTCGGGGCTTCGTGCGGTAGGTCGCGGAGCGCGTCGCGCTGCTGTTCACTTCTCAGAGCAGTACGCTCGTTGGCAGCAGTGGCCGGCCTATTGTTTCGAACAGTATTCCGATTCTCGTTGGAAGCGATAGCTGGTGTGAAGTCGGCGCCTGTCGCTAGGTGCGAACGCAGAGGTTGGTCTGACGAATCACTCTTGGATGTCTGCACTGGCGGTGCATTGTCAGTCGTCCCACCTCCAAAGGTCTGACGTCGTTTCAGTAGCGCAGATACAGGCGCGTCGGTAAGAGACGATCCAGAAACCTTTGAGTCTCTGTTGGTCGGCGGGCTACTTGGAACATTCCGTACTGCCTTTCCGACTGCTTTCAGCTTCCTTTTGGCTTGCTTGTAGTCAAAGTAATTGGTTTTCCATTCAGGAATGGCCTCGTCGTCGAGAGTTTTGGCAAACTTCATGATGTCTGTAGGTCCGACGTTTGAAACGTGTTGCAGCGCTGGCAAGCAGTGCAAACATATATGTTTCTTCACGCATCGATTCGCATGTTGTCTATCAGACCTTGGGTCAATCGCTCAGCATGTCGATCGATGAATTAATCGCCCGGGTGATGGGTACCAAATCAAGGAAGCTGGCTGGAGCTCGGTTGTTGATAGGGTTGATCGAGCAAAAGGTAACCCCAACCCTACCGGAGCAAATCAAGGGAACCGCTGACGTTTCTCATTTTACAGTACCATTCGGCATAACTTTCCATGTATTCGACATGGCCATTATGTCCATGGCTGCATCGACCGCACAGCATGCGACAGCATTGCGACTTTCCCGAAGAGCAAGAAATGTCCACACGTGAAATGGAGAAATCTGCATGCCGTCACTTCGGCGACTTGTGAAGATTGTGGCCGGCATGTGAAAGACATTGAGATCATTCCTACTGTAAACCGCCGCGTCGTGAGCTGGTCTCGAAAAGAACCAACCCACATTGGTCATGGGCGGTAAAGCTTTTGTGAGAGCGGTCGCCGCCGGTCACTCTTCTCCTGCGACACCCCGGATGTCACCGGCAGAGTATTGTCATCTCGTGGAAATTTTACACACCCGCCTCTGTGTTACTTTTCCCGATCGGCACGTTACAACGCTCATCCAAGCCCCAGAGAAGACATCTCACGGCGACATCGATTTCCTCGTGTCGCGTGATGGGCAAGAAATTGATTACATGAAAGTGGCCCATGGACTCGGAGCCCATGCGATCATTCTTTCGACAGGGGCCTGCTACCTTGCATGTCGTAGAGATGGTCTGCGGAGTCCGAATCCTGCCATCGTGTTCACGGAAGTCAAAGGTGGACCGATTGTTGAGCAAGATGCTTCAGAAACCGAACCGGAAATTTATGCTCAAGTTGATGTCCGATTTATTGCGTCACAGGATTTTGCGTGGCACATGTTTACACATGCTTATGGCGGTCTAATTGCTATTCTTGGCCGCATGGCAACACATGCAGGCTTTCGAATCGATGACAAAGGGCTCTCAATACGCCTGCAGGCGTACGACGACACGAAGGGCCGCCCACATCTAAAGGTGCCTGCCACCTTGGGCTACTGTCTGCTGTCGAACGAGCCCGACAAAGTCATGGATTTCTTTGGTCTTTCTGTTCAAACCTACCACGAAGGATTTCCGACCTGGGAGAGCTTATTCACCTGGTTGACCTGCTGCAAATTCATATCGATTGAGGTGAATTCTACTGACAATGGAGCTAACGGCAAGCCGAAACCAGAAGCATACTTGCGCTTTTACAAGGACTGGCTGCCTGGATTCATCGATGATCAGAATCGGTTGAACAGCGAGTGGCACATATCTTGCGGAACTATCGGTGTGGTCGGTAATGAGAAGCAGCGGCAGATCTGGAAGGATCAAGCGCTTGAGAGGTTCGATAAGCTCGAGGAGTACACACAAGGCTGCGCGCATTTGGAACAGGAGATTGCAGAACAAACAGTTTCCCATTTGCTGAAGCCGATTGTTCGCAAGGCAACTGGCCTTGCAGAGTCGAAGCAGACGGAAATCTTTCGATCACTTCGAAGATGGGTTGCAGTGGTTGATGGCAAGCTACGCGTCTTATCCGAAAGTCACAGCGACCATGACTCTCAACTACGATACCTTCTTGCAGACGATACAAGTTCGTTGCTAGACCAGGACATGACAATGGATTGGATTCGAGATAATTGGGAGCTTGTCAGAGCTCTGGAACGCAAAGCTAAGCACAAAGGTACCTAGGTAGTAACTATGATGCATCACAAATTGGCAACGAACACAACATCTCGGTGAACCGCCATTGAAATGGATACTGGATCAAACACAATATGTCATGGCACAACTTCCACGTATGCTGTACTCGAAGGTAATTACTTCCGCGAGATCGTAGATCGTCGAAATGGTTGAGGGACAAGTTAGAGAAAATATTTCCCCGCTTGGCAACATCGAACCGAACAACTCCATTGCCTACTCGCAACATTTCCCTTGGCTGGCGAAAGTAGCTATTGAGATCGACGTGTGGATCACGGCGACGGGTAAATCCATGTTACCATGTCAATCCAAGCTCGTGGTGATCTACATCGGCGACTTCCATCACATCGGTCTCAGGAATCACAACCATTTTCATGGCCGAAACCGCACAATCATCTTGTACCTGCGGGTTGAGATTCTGCTAGATGCGCCTCAGGTAATGTGTTTCAGCGGTTCCCGCAGGAACACCTCTGTCCTGAGAGCACTGCCCCCACGGAGGAAACCATCGGCGGCTCATCGGATGCGTTGTACCGCCGCCGATAGGGAACAGGTGGTTCTCGGGCCCAGGACGTCGGAACCATCGTTTTCGGACAAGCCTGCGCGCGAGCTCGTATTTCCATTTACGTCAACAGACGACCGACGACGCATCATTTACATGTGCAGCAGGCACTATGCAACGTCGTTGATTACCGTGAAGGCGATGTTATCGGATAGATCATCGCGAGGAAGCCGTTTTCCTATTTTCCGTAGGGTCAGCAAAGCCTCGTGTCACCCCACTACATGCGCGGGGTCTATCGATTCTCCAGCCAGGTGTGACGCAGCGTCCGAATTCTTGTCTTCATCGAATTGATGCCTTGCCCACACAGACCACAACAATACCAGTCATAAGTCATATCCCGCGGTCGAGGAGTCAAAGTCATGTAGTAGTCACGTCATAGATGCCCGCAACGCTGATGAGAGGTCCCTGCGCTATTCGTCGTTATCACGAAAGGAATTTTCTTATAAATGCCTACGGAACGGCAGTTATCTGTCGCGAATTGATGGGAGGCCTAAAGAGTCTTCGGCGTCGAACCCCGCAAAACAAATCGCGTCATCCGGCCGGCTGCCCGATGCGAGCATTGACGGGATAATGACCTGTTCAGATGAATATGTGGAATATTTCGCTCGTGGTCACGGCGCACAGGGGCTCGTCAACGTGTCATGAGCGGTGAGCAGTCTGCCATACGTGTCCACGTAAGTACTGCGCACGAGAAAGGCGATGGTCATGATACGTCCTGGGGACGCTGAAGGCCTTGAAGCATAAGGAATGTAATGATTTCTGCACCAGGAAGGGCCCCATCGAGATTGACCGGAGCATGTTTGGAAAGCGGCTAGACGTTGGCAATATCTCTTCTAGTGCTGGACAACGAACAAAGAGATGTACAGTGTATCCCAAGGATGTTGTGCACTAAATTACTGACCGAAATATTCATGTTATTATTACTCTGGTCGGTCACGTCGCAACACCCATAGTTGGTTCAGATAGCACAGTTCCAATCCAGGCACATGATGTACGTACACGACGACAACGACCATGCCATGAAGAGGCTACATGCAGACCCCTCACGGCAAGTAAACAATAGCGTTCTGGCCGCGTACACGTGCACGGTATTGCCATTCGCTTTCGCTCCGTCACTGACATCTGCTTTGCCCTTGTCTTCGATATGAAACATCGTGATGCGGAGGAATAGCTCCACGGATGGATTGTGGAACCAATCTGAAATCTGAAATTTGTGAAATAACCTTGGAATGGAGAGGAAACGGCGATTGATCGGCTCGATCTCGGATCTAGCAACAGATAAACGGGTGGCCATGCGTTGTGTCAATCTCCCACCCGCTCTCGTCATCACTGCTCGCCGTCACGATCTAATCTGCAGCATCATCAACGAAAACCATTGGGAAGCGTTGTTCTCGAGAAGGGAAATTTCCGGACTCATCATGACGCCCGATGTCGTGAGCTTTTTGCTGCTGCTGGGGGGCGCGTGCCGCACCAAGACTACGCTGGTGACTCTGCAAGTGAAAATATTATGTAAATTTTTGCACCAGGCGGACACGTTTCGACCAACAGTCTTCTACACCGCACAGAAACGTGCGAGGAAGGAACCTCGTCGGTCATTTACTCGCTTGCTTGGCAGTCCGCTATCGATGGAGCGATGAAGACAGCGCATACCCCGATCTCGCCTCGCCACCACCATCAGGAAAGGACTGTCGTTGCGAATGTACAAGTACTGTATGCATATTTGACGGAGTTCCTAGGAAGAAGAACTTCTTATCTCACTTCTGTATCAGAGACGCAACGAGCGCGCTCCGAGACCGCAAGCGGCAAGCGGGCCGTTTGGAGATTGATGAGTATTGCGCTCTATGGGGCACTGTAGTTGCGTTCCTCGGGAATATTTACGATAATGCACACTAGGCAGGCGTGGAGCAATTCGACGATCATTTATTACACCTGCATCAACATGTGGTCTACATGAACGAGACGACATGGGCATGCAAATGCTAGTTGCGGGCGGCGATGTTTCCTCCGCCATAACATGTGCAGAATTTGGCTGTAGGTGTGCTACAGGATCTCGTTCGTCACCAGCAGCTCTTGATGATCCGCTCCGCAGGCCAATAGATGCATCCTGCAGTACTAATGTTCATACCTCCCGTGTGTGTTGTCTCGCATGGATGAGGAAACCGCATCAGGCATTGCTATAGAGTCCATGGCATAGAGTTTTCGGCTCCGCCGCCAGCTCTGTTCGAGGTCCCCTCTCTCTTCGTACAGTATACGCCGTGCTGGATGATCACGATGCTCGCCCCCCAATCGTCAGCAGGGCGTCGGCGATGGCGGCGGCGGCGGACAGCACGAACTCGCAGACGGCGCTGTTGTGCGACTACAATAGCGAGACACGGTACATCACATAGATGGAGTGTGTTGCGATGCTGTTGTACAGACTTAGTTACTCTTACATATCCAACTGCAGTGTATCATCACGACAACATGGACCATCAAAAGCCTAACACATGTCCGCCGCCGTAATAAAGCTTTGTGTCGGGCTGCATCTGCATGGATTAGTCGCTTTCTTCAGACGCCTCGAGCTCTTTCTAGCTGCCGAGCCGCCCGACGTTCTCACCTATTCCCCTTGACGACATCACACAATTACCCAACAAGGTTGGCCGATCCAGCCAAGTTCGGGGCGCGCGCGTGTGTATTCTGTTCTGCTCTGCTCGCCATGGCTGCCAAATGATCAATGCGAAGAGCAAAGTGGTGGTTTCTGCGTGTGGGTGTTTGCAGACGGGCGTCTCACAATCACCTGCCCTCACTCATCATTCATCGCACAGACACACTCACACCTACCTAGTACCTAGGTATATTGACAAACCATGACACACACATACATTGTACAAATCCCAGTCAATACAGCACCTATCTTGCTCACCACGACGCCGGCAGAGATTTCGGATCTACTGTACATACCTGGATGCTTGACCAGAAACCTGCCTTGCCGCTAGTGCTTAGTCGCACTTGTAATATGTAATAATTGTAAAAAAGCTCCAGGTGCAAGCTGCGATCCCTATCGGACGGCTCGTGTCTCATTATCCAGCTTGCCTCGAACAGGTCGTTGGCTACATCGCTGGCGCCTTCTTGATCCCACTCCGGCTCCAAACCAAACCACCCTTGACAAACACCGGATCCTCTGCTAGCTAACAACGTGATCTCCACAGAACCGGTGCCGCCGTAGAAAATTTCACGGTAACCATTGCGGTGCAGCACCCACATCGTGACAAACCGCAACTCATCTTGCACCAGGCTGGCCGTGGACTCTAATAACAGAGCTTGAACACCAACACTCCTCGCGACTGCCGCTATCTTGGATTGCGTGTTTCAAAAACGCCCCTTGTTTCGGTTGACGTCTTCTGTCGAGATCCTCCACGTCGTATTTTCCGTCATCAACCAATGCCGCTCTTGTAATGAACGCGAAGACTGTTGCCACCATCAACTCGACCGGAAGACAGGCCGCCTCGTTCGTCCGTGCCGCGTCCGCCGTCGGCTGGCGAGTTCGCGCACAAGTTCGCAGCAATGAGGGTCTCGTCGCCGAGGAGCTGGCGGAGCTGCCGAATGTCGAGTTGATCGAAGGTGACCTCACCGGACCGAATCTCAAGAGTCTACTCGCCCGCCTGTTCGAGGGAGTCAAGATCGCATTCATCAATACCACGCACTGGGGAGACGAGGTCGCTATTGGAAAGGCATGCGCAGAAGCCGCCAAGAAGGCTGGCATCACCCACTACATTTACTCTAGCATGCCGGACCACTCATCCTTTGGCAAAGACTGGAGAGGCTTGCCATTCTGGTCGACAAAGTTCGCAATCGAGAATTACGTGCGTCAGATAGACATTCCTGCAACGTTCATCTACACCGGAATTTACAACAATAATTTCACTTCGCTTCCCTATCCACTTTTCCAAATGGAGCTACAAGAAGATGGCAGCTTCGTTTGGCAAGCACCGTTCCATCCTGATGACCCACTACCTTGGCTTGACGCGGAACACGACGTAGGCCCAGCTTTGCTACAGATCTTCAAGATGGGCGCCAATCACTGGAAAGGACAAAGGTTGGTTCCAAGTCCGCACTCCCAAAGACACAATTTGCTGACTATGTCAAAAGAGTGACTATCGCTTTCGAGAAGCTCACACCACCTCAAGTTTGCGCTAAATTCGCGCGAGGTGTCGGACGACCTGTCCGATATGTCCACGGGCCCGTCAAAATCGCAGTATCGACACCCAGCGGCTATCGCGAGCACCTCGAGATTCTCCAAGAAACGCTCGGCTGGAAACGCGCGCCGTACTTTGGACCCGACCTTGAATATCCTAATGAGGGCCGGAGCGTTTGGGAGGGATTCCGCAGCATCGAGGAGTACGCCCAGGAAGCATTTCTAGACGAAGAATATGCCAACGGGCTCCGCTACATGGTCGACGAGGACAACAACTCTCGTGGCGAGACCAACGGCTTCGGTGACAACACTCCGCCGGCCACGCCGGGAGGCTCAAGCACACCCTTGCGCATCGCTGGAACTCACACGCCGTATGCTCACCCGGAGAGCGGTGCTGGCAATTTCTTTGTGGGAAGTTGTTGATCGCAAAGTGAATTTGGAGGGGACACGAGAACTTTTGGAATCATTTTGCTTGACTCAACTATGCAACTTGAGCCGCATATGCGTTGCAACAAGCCGTGGTCACCTTGACTTGCTGTACCTCTGCGCTATGCTACGACGAATTAATGGGGAACCAGGGCGACCGCGCGCACTCTCCTTTGGGAGTTGGGTTTGTTGATTTGGCGGCTCAGCTGGCCAGGAAGGAAAAAGCGTGGTGATTGGAATCTTGTTCGAAAAAAGCTTGGAGTTTGTAATGCGGGCCTGCTCTCATGAAATCATCTTGGCGAGTGGAGATATACTTCTCATCTTGGTTTCAGCGAAGTTCCTGTGTAATCGCAATAAAGAACGAATGTTGGATTCGACTGTCGAAAGCGCCATAGAGATCGCAACCGGACGACTCAACGATCAGAGACCCTTGCGTTCGGCATTAGTAGGAGAATGATTGTTTGGTGTGCCGACACGTGTCCCCATCACCGCAATTATTGGGAAACGTCAGGAAATTATTACTTTTGTGATCCTAGAATGCTATCTGCAGGCAGCTCCTCCGAGCGACTTGTTCGTTTGATCATGATATCATGAGAATTCGCATCCGTCGACTCATCCTCTATGGGCAGCCTCATGCGCATCTTGCGCGCAGGCAAAATTAATTCTTCTGCTTCTTACTTGAAGGGCCAATGTCGCTGTCACGCTTGCGACCCTTGCCGACCAAGGCGCGGATGTCCACCGGCTCGCCCTCATCATCATCGTCATCCTCGTCGTCGCCGTCCTCGAATTCCATGTCGGACATCTCTTCGATCTCCTGCGACATCGTGAAGAACTTGATGGCATTGGGCCAGATGTCGTCCGCAAAGCTGATGGCTAGATCCTCACCGCTCTCGTGCACCTCAACGTCCGAATCATCCTCCTCCTCGCTTTCCTCCTCCGGCACATCCACCTTCTCGCCGCGCTTGCGTGCTGCCTGGCGCGCCGCCCACTCCTCGTTGGCATTGGCCGATTCCTCTGCGCTGACCCATCGTCGTGTGCTGACCCAGCCGAAGAAGGTGAAGAACGAGGTGTTGGCACCGTTCCAGTGCTCTGTCTTCTCTTTCAAAGCATCGTACTCGGGAATGTCCTTGGCGGTCATGTCACCCTTCTTCTTGCGCGCCTCGAACAGTGCCCATGCACCGTCGGTCAAGCCTTCCGTCAGGTCCTTGCCCTCTTTCCATGTGATCTTGACCGGCTCGGAGACCAGCCCAGTTGCGCCGTCGCGCGCGCGGCGGTAGTCGAATTTCTTCTCTAGTACGGTCTCTTCAAACTCGTCGTTCGGCTTGAAGGTGAACTTCAGCGTGAAGCTGCGGGGAGATCCGTTTGAATTGTTATCGAGCTCGTGGCGAATTACGTCGATGCTTTCAAGGGATTCCACGAAGATTCTAGAGTCGTTGGGCTGAATGTACTGATCGACTTCGAGAGGGCTTTGCTCGATGACGAGAGGCCAGAAGTTGGGAATCTTTGCAGCGGCCTCGGCGCGCTTGGCGTAGAGCTCCTTCGTGAGACCATATTGCTTGCGCACTATTGAGGAGTCAGTGTTCCGTTACCATGCGCGGAGACGGCTAGAGTGTGATTACAAATTTCCACATCAACCTCTTCGAACTGTTCCTCGAGCAGAGCGAGGTCTTCGTATGAAACTGGAATTGCGTCTTCGGCCATGTTGTGGTGTATACTTAGATATGTTCAATTGTATCGCAGTTGTATAGGTAGTTAGTTGCTCGCACTCGAAAATGAAAACGAATCTTAACACAGTCTTTGTCAATTCTTGACGCTCCAAAAAATTCGCGAAGAATAAATTCCGGAAGCTTTGAAGCTCAAAACATCATCATCAGGGTCCAAGTGCTGAGAGCGACAGTGATCCGTGCCCGGTAAGGGTGTCACACAACGGCCCACTCTTCTTGCATTGAGCCCACCCATTATTACGTCGTCCTTTCTCCTCCAACACGGGAATCTGAAAGACAGCCTCCGGTATCACCAGCCGCTGTGTTACGAGTACAAAGAGATGCGGAGTTGGAAGTCATAAAATTTCATTCGCATATGCTACGTAAAAGGGTCATTCCACATGTCATCGACCAAGGTAAGAAAGCTCGAAATATCGCGCAGGTATGTACGTCAAAAGCGTGACGACGAAAGTCATCTGATTGGCGACGTCACCGCCGAAATCACCAATGAGTCCGCCCAATGGTCCAACGTACCTACGAAGAGAAGAGTCAGAAGAGCTGGTCAGGGTATTGGAGGGTTGTGAAACGGAATGGGACTCACCATGATTGAACCATGCCCATGACCCAGGCAATGACCCCGAGAGAGAATGCAGCAAACGCAGCATAGCCCCTGGGCAGGCGTGCAGGATCGTTCCAGCCGTCAAGATCGTAATTGCCAAAGTCGGCTCGTCGGAACAAATAGTGCTCGGTGAAGACGATCACGAAGTAGGACGTGCACCAATATCCCAGAAGTGCGAGAAAGTTCTCCAGGTAGGTCAGCAGGTCATTACGGCCGGCAAGTGCCAAGGCGATGATGACACCGAAGCAAAGAAGCGTCCAGAGGAAGCGTGGTACCTGCGCGCAGGGACGCGCGAATTGCTGGCAGGAGATTGCGGCGGAGTAGGTGTTGATGATGTTCATGTTGATGCCGGACAAGACCAGGAGAACGAGAATGAGTTTCGCGAATCCAAGGGGATAAAGCATCTCCTGAACCAAAAAGCCTAAGCCCTGTTCGCCATATACTTGAGCCAGATCTATACGAGTGTTGAGCGTAGAAGCTACGACAGCCCCAGCCACCATAGCGAAACTGGTGGGTAACGCGATACCCAGTGCCGTCATGATGAAGATCTTGGTGCGATTCTCTTTGACTGGGTAATGTGCATAGTAGTCGGATGCAATGGTTGCCCAGCTGGCAGATGATCCGTACACGATCGCGAACAGGCTCAAAATGGTCCCGCTAAGGGTTGCGCCAGTGATACGAGCCGACTCGTCCATGACCGCATCGTTGGCGTATCGACCAGTCTGGCCGTAAATGACCAAGAAGATGACAAGGTAAACAAGCCAAGCGTATCGTTCGTACACCAGAATGGCGCGCAGTCCAACAACACTGATGGTCGTTGAACACACTGCAATGACGATGATACCTACCGCGATTGATATCGACCCGTCAGACACGGCAGTCAGTGCCAGACCACCCGTAATGCAGCCGACCGAGCTCCAGCCGATCTGCTGAATAGTGTTCAGGAGCGCTACGATCTTATTGGGGTACCATCCCATGCTGAAGCGGCCAATAGAGATTTGTCGCAGGCCAGTCTGCGGACCCATTGTCGCGCAGAAGCCGCTCACAGCACCACCCAACAGCGACGCAAAGACAATGATTAAGATGCTCTGCGTGAGGGTCAGGCCGAACTTCCAGCCTAGGAACCCTGTCGCGAAGCAGCTCAAGTTCATCGTTCCACTGGCCCATAGACAGAACATGCTCAGCTTGGCAGCCCATGAGACAGGCTGGCGCTCCTCGGGAAGCTTGCGCACGATGGCCTCAGACTCGACGCCGAGTTTCCTATCCATCAGCGCCTCGAATGCACGCAGGCGGGCCAGGATGCCCCGCTCCTCTTGAACTTCTTGCCATTCTGGAGCAGAGCTGTCGCCTTCGCTGGATGAGCGGCGAGGATTGATGTCGATGCGGGTCGCCTCAAGCTTCTCCGCTGCCGTCAATGGGCGTTGAGGTCGCGGAGTCTGGTCTTCGAAAATCTCCTGCGGGGCGCCATGAGGCACTGCCTTTTCTTCGTCGAATCCCATTTCCCTTATTTGCTGTGGGCTGGCACTTGCAAAGGTGCTTCTTGGGATTGACGTCGCACTTTGCAAGGTGGGATCACATGTGATCGGGCAACGTCTGCAATGCGATCTCGAATGTAATCGGGCAACTGTCAGATTCTTGTACTGCGAGCGTTGCCCAGATGGTTGGCACAGTCGCCGGCCGCCACGAGGGATGCAGCGTGGAGACGGAAACTAGACCCAGAAAGGGAAAAGTGAGGGCGAAGATCTCGAATGCTCGGGCCAACAATGCCAGCTTATCTCCTACCAGTCGTGCGTCCCGTGGTTCTCACGCGCGACTCCGTCTTTTCCTGCCACCTGGGCAATCATCACTGAGATGATCAACGTTCATGCTGTGTGTTGTTTCTACACGTCCGATGAAACGGCGATTGCAGCATCTCTTGTCGATAGGGCCGTTTAGTGTACAGTATGTATTCAAGAAACACGCCATTGTGAGGGTTTCTAGAAATGCGCACGGAAGGAAGGACCATGGCTACCGTCCCATCCGCCGCCTGTCTGCAAGTGGACAGACCTCCGCGCGTGATGAATTTCCCTTTGCACTTTCTGCGTATAATAACAACAGTTCTGGAGCAATCCTCCCCAATCTCCGAACCTTGAAAGCTGGACGCCTATTACTATTCATCAGCGGGAAGCAGTGGCAAATCTATCGACAGCCACATCCAGATAAGGCGTTTCCCTGCTTCTGACGCCAGCGTTGCATATGTGGGTAGCGTTACATTGCTCACTCGCGCGATCCGTTTTGCTGATAAGCAGGATTTTTGCGCAGTACCATGTCGCGGCACTGTGAAGTGAAGAACCTTGGAATGTGTTTAACAATTATTGTAGCGCCAGTGCGTGACCCAACACAGTCCGCTGTGTGATCACTGGTGACTCGTATGCAACCTTAGGACTCGTCATAACAAGCGAGCGAAACATAGAAAGACAAAGGCATGTATATATGTTTTCCGACAATAATTCCTCGGCATCCATACAGTCCTCCACTGGGTATCACAATCCCGACATGTGCCAAAACAGTAAAAGTGCGTCTCCTCAAATGTACAATTGCGCCAGCGCCACTGTATTGTATATGTCGCGAAGACAAACCATGCCTCTCTCAAGTGCGTAATCTAGCATGGATAGAAGTCGACAAGATGCGAACACGATCGATGCTAGAAACTGTCCATCTCTTCCCGCTGGCGTAAGAACTCGGTCGCCAAGGTATCACCGCCTTTTGCGCTGAGGCTCATCCAATGATGAGCAACGCACATGGTGACGGGATCATACCGCTTCGGATCTTGACTGCGACGCCACTTGGTTTCTAACTCTTCTTTGAAAACCTCACGTGGCAATGAAAAGGGTGCGATGATTAGGTCCATGACTTCCGGATGCGTCAGGTACAGCGTGGCTAACTCGCGCTGAGCGACGGCATCACCCTCCTTTGCCGCGATTTGCAGCAAATATGCAGCATCGGCCATACCATAGCGTGTAATGTCCGCGGCTGGCGGCGTGCGTGCCGGCGTGCTGAAGACTGCTTCATCACGTTGCAGCTGCGCGGTAGACGACGCTCGCTCATGACCCCGGCGACTCGTGACATGCGCAATGATACTATCTGCGGTCTCAATCATGATGGTTCTGGCCTCGTGCTTGAGGTCCATTAGCGCAACAGCAGCGTTGCAAAAGGCCTTGCCAGAGGCAGTGTTCTGCAAGACCGAGGAGGGCGTCAGAGCTGCAATGAATTGTAGATCGCGGAAAATGGTCAGCGGCCGCAGGGAGGCCTGGGAGAAGATATCGCGGAAGCCGCGTACATTCGCTTCGGTCGTGTATTTGGCGCGCAGGCGCGATTCTGAAGTTGGTGTGGCGCCCGAGGTGCTATGCGAGGACTGCGACAGTTCTTCGTCCAATCGCTCGGCCATGTACGGCACAATCAATCTATCCATATCATACAAGCAAGCGAGCTTCGTGGCAGGGTTTGAGAAAGCCGAAAATTTTCGTAAGAGTCCTGCAAATGCAGCGTTGTAATCAAACTTTGAAATCGACATAGGTGATGTTGATCTAAGATCTGCTCCGGTCTGAGCAGCGTAGGCGTTGAACCGAATTTGTGTGGTGGCACGGCGGTGTTTCTCAACAATGTCGGCTGCAAGACCTGTGTTGAAGGCGCGATCTGTCTCGCTGCCATCGACAAACAAGTGTGCTGTGAGGTCGCTGACCAAAAGGCTAGTGAGCCTCTCCCGGAGTCGATCGGCTGCATTTGGGTGCAGCAGCCTATGTCTGCCAGATCGTCCGCGCGCCGTCGGGGTATACGCTGATTGAGTGTTCGAAGTACCCATGCTTGTGACGCTCGAAGCAGTTGCCGCTTCTGTGGTAGCATTGGAGTACGTGGAAGAGCGCGTGGCTAGCGTCGGGCTGCGAGAGTCGAGATAGTCGCGGGAGCTCATGCTTGATAGAGTATGAGAAGCGTTTGAAATTGCATCCAGGCTTCGAGCGTTGCTGTGCAGGTTGAGCGATCTCACGGTCCCTGTAGAGTTATGTTGACTGCTCAGAGACAGCATTGACGGGGTAAAGTGTAGAGCCGGCCGAGGTGGTACAGAGCCATCCCTAGCGAACAGAACATTCCCGCCCAGTGAGCAATCTTCTGCTGCGTCCTTGGCCGTGCTAGCATCGACACATTTCCTGATCTCCATGCAGAGCTTGTGAAGTCGCTCCTCACCTGCGCAAAGATTGTCGATACCTTGGCGCTCCATCCAAACAGAGGTCAAGCGAGCCATATCGTCGGTGAGTTTGTTCGGACCGCCGCGCGACACCTTCGCACTGAGCAGCTCAAATATTTGTTCATCAGATTTCAGGTGCAAGCTCACCCCCAATGGTCTTGTGGAGCTCCATGGTCGTGCGGCAGACGGAATATTGGAGTGAGCACCTTTTTTGGCTTTGCCCATGGTGCGTAGCGCTTTCATAACCGCAATGGCATCGTTGAACTGTGCTGATGCCCTTACGTCAGCTACGTACCACATCTTGTCCCTTAAACGTTCATTGAGATCGGCAGTCGAGAATATAAGTTCGCTTCGGAGTTTGGTCAAAGGCCGTAGGAGATATGCCCAATGTTCGCATCCTGCCTGGTGGATTTGAAATCGTTCCATAGACCGCTGGACAGATCGTGCGATGTCGCCAAGCAGAAGGTGCACAAGCTCTGGATCACTGCCTACTGGGGCGAAAGCTAGGAAGTCCTGGAGTCTGCAATGCCATGCATGGGACGATAGAAACTCGGAGCCTTCTTGCTCGTCAGATATGATCTGGCTGAACAATGATTGAATTTGGTCATGCGGCTTGCTATCGTGTTCAGGGCTTGGTGTGCTGTCCATGTAGTCATTCACGGTCGCGTATTGTAGCATTATGTCGACAGCTTCTCTCGCCGCATGGAACGCTTCCCCAAGAGGGAGACCAATGGGGCTTCCCGGCATGTCCGGGCCATTCAAATTGTCTTGGACGATAGTACCGTCAGAAAGGGTGGCCCATCCCTGGTGCATTGTGCATAAATTTGGGCTCCGAGAGCGCGCGAGAACAACGTTCCAGTATTGCCTTGAGGTCCGGGTGGTTATGGCAGCAACTTCTTCTAGTTCCATATAAACCTCTGGCTTCAAGGCTTGTTCGGGCACACGGTCTCTTCGCGTAGGTTCGACATGCGGCGGAATTGCAGGCATCCACGAACTGGAAACTTCGCGCGATTCCATTGACTTGGCAGGGCTGCCAAAAAGTGATAATCCCGATATTGAAGATGCCGACGACCCTGGGCCTGATCTAAAATGCTTAGAATTTGAGGAGGCGGACGATGGTCTTTGCCGTGGATAAAGCGCATTGACGATAGAGAGAGCTTCCGTCACAGAGAGAACGAGAAATTTTTCCGCCCGTATCGGCTGTTTAGGTGACAGTCGAACGGATTGCACCGCGTTCAGACTGACAGCGGACGGCGAGTGTCGCAGTCTGTGCAGTACAGCATGCACAGAGCGGGTCATCTCTGGCGAGACAATGCCGACAAATTTTCGCCTGTGCTCATCAGCATAAATTCCGTAAAATGCTGAACATAGCTTACCATGAATACAAGACATTATATACGACTTCCCGACACTTCTTCGCCACTTCAAGAAGAATCCGTTGACGAGCCACATCGGACAAATGATGGTCAGTCAACATTCCATGGGCCTGTCTACGTCAGCTGTGAAGAAGCACATGTATGAAGGCTTCACTTACCTCAGGTGCCACAATAGCGTCTATCAGGAAATCTGAAGTGAGCCATTTCAATAGCACTGCATGTGAGTAGTCATGTTGTAATTCGGGTGATGCCTGTAGGTTAGAGCTCGTGGCGCGACATATCCTTAGAGCTCCCGGTGGCAGGACGCTCGCTCCATTTGGGTCGGCCAGTAGCTCCAGTAAAGACTGTGCACTTTTTGAATAAAATGCATCCTTGCGGGCATCATACTCATCTCCGCCGTCCTTCTCACCTTCCATGCGGGCGCGGAACGTCCTTGGTGGTGGACCTTCCAGCAGGAATGCTCCCTGCTGGAGTGTTTGAAGCATCCAAACTTCAAGACGTTCCTTTCCAGGCCAGGGGCACATTCGTGCAAAAACGTCGAACACTGTAGAAAGGAATCTTTCACACACCGGGTTGCGATCGGTGATCATTCTAGCACACACATGGGACCAGACCTCGGTCGACATATCATCTTCTCCTGGGTCGGTTTTCGTAACACTCCTCGGGACGTATATCAACATTTCTAACGGACTGCCAAAGCCCTGCGATGCTAGCAGCTCCATTTGAGACTCCGCGAGAGGACCCAAAGCGCTGGAAGCCCGCGGACTGACCTTGGACATGCCACCGAAGATTGAAGTCTCCGTGGAACGAGGGTTGCAACGATTAGAAAGTAATGCTGTAGCCTCGCCTTGCGTAAGGGAGGACAAGCGGTCAGCAACGAATGCTCCATCATACCTCAACCTGGACAGCAGGTCCAGAACTGTATCACGAGAAGGAGAGGAAAGGCCATCGAGGAAAGATACACCGGGTCCTAACAGCGGCGTTTCGTGAATATCCAAATCGACGGAGTCGGCCGGGAAGAAGCAGGCATCGGAAGCATCATGGAAAGCATATAAAAGATTGGCAAAGTTGGCTTTGTCTTCCAGTCTGATACATTCGGCGAATGTACGATGGGCCGAGCGTGCAGCACAAGCCAAGCGAACCGTTCGAGCCGCGGCTGTCTGGAGCCGGTTGAGGTTTTCCTGAGCCAGGTGGGTCTTTCGTCGATGATATCTTTGCGAACGAATTAATTGACCGACACTCATGACGGACAAATCAATAAGAGACGGTTGGGCCATCGCTTCATCGCTCGACCTTGGCACTTGTGTCCTGGGAGAGTCCTGCAAATCTGCGACCGGAGCTGCCACGGCACGTTCGTCCGTCGGCGTTGGAACCATCGTGGAGGCATCCATCCTTTCCTCGGACATCCCGGGCCGGCCACGCACCTCCGGAGGAAATAAAGACGGTATCCTTGGGGAGGCCGGAGATTGCAGGGCCGGGGAGGGAGAGCGGAGTGCAACAGGGACGGCGGGAGGAGGAGTGGAGAAGTGAGAGAGGGAGAGGAGAGGTTTGAGGAGATGCGACGGCGTGCCATCCAAGCGAGAAATACCGGGCGATGATGAACGGGAAACATGGCGAGATATTTCTTGAGGTGTTGAGGACGAAGCTGCAGCAGACGCAACATTAGCCAGCCGCTATGGTTGGATAGAGAGATGGTTCTGCGGGCGCGCAGCGGTTGCCAGCTCATCAACATGTACATGCTCCGGATACAGTGAGGTGTCAGAGGACGACAGCCGACATGGGTGCTTGATTGGTTCGTGCAGGAGCGAGACGAGCATAGTGCAGCAAACTACCGCACGACAAGTAGGGTATACGGCAGTCAGCCAGCAAAACAAGCTGGGCGAATACGTGCGTGCAACACTACCGTAGAGGTGACGATAAAAAATCATAGGGCAGAATGAACCTCGTGTACAAGGGCAGGGGGAAAAGCCAGGCAGGGACGACAGGATGGGGACATACGAAATGCGTCCAGCGGTGACGGCGGCGCGGATGCGGGTACGGGTGCTGATGTGGTCGACGCTGCTGAGACCGGAGGCAGCGCTGCTGTCGCTGGCGCCGACGGTGTTGACGCTTCTTTGGCTTCGTCGGCTTCGTCGCTCTCCACCACCGCCTCCGCCGTGGTCATTGGTGTTGTCGTCACGACTGCTGACGCGGGCAGGGCTGCCTCTTTTGACGATGGTGAATCCTCGTTGGGCATCGCAGCAGGCGCACACGAATCAGACCATGTCGCACGTGGCGGTTCGCAGAAATGAGTATACTCGGGAAATGTGACCCGACGGGCAATTGTGCGACGAGTTGGCACCGTCGAGCGAAGATTCAGGAAAGTTCGTCTAATTGGAAGGAAGAGGCAACAAACGGACCGGTGATGAGGCGTGAGCCTCTATGTACTGGCCTGTCCAGTGTCGTGGGGTCTCGTGCGTAGTCCGCTGGCATCAGTCATCACCATACCCAGGCAATGGTGATACCTGGGTACCAGTGTGTAGGGTAGAGTCAAAGAGACGCGAGTGACTTGCAACTTTCTTCGTCGCACGCATCGCATGTCACCATGAAACCGGGCATGCTTAATGAACAGACACGCCTTTCCGCAACTGGCCGAAGCTGCTGCTGCAGTCGGGTAGGGGCCGAGTTTTCGTGACAGCTGCATCTCCACTCATGGGCGCCAGCAAAGCAAGCCTGGACGCTTGCTTCCAGGACCGTCCACAATCCAAGGTTATCATGCACTGTACTGCCCGGATGCATGTACTCTACTATTGTATGTATCGCAAGTGCGAGCGACTCCTCCTGCTCTTCGATCAGAGCGTCTTCCCAACCTCCTTACATTGTAGAAGAAATCGGGAGTGCAGTATTTGTTATTATACGACAGCCGTACCCTCGCATGTCGTGTAATAAAATAATGAATGATGTTTTATCTTGATGACAAAAAAGCTGTTTGTTGGCATCGGTGTCGACATGCACACGCTGCATACAGTACTTCTTTTTCATCCACCTACGTACGTGTCCACGTAGCGACACAGAGTATACAGAAACCCAGAAGCATTCATGCACGTTGACCGACTGATTTGATTACCCCCATCATATATGCAAGTAGAAAGATCTACTGTGAAGACTGTGCTTTTGTTCATACGGCGGCGACTTCGAAACGCGATCACGAGGTTGCGATGACAGATCACCAGGTCAAAAACGCAGCTGTGCATATGCATACAGCAGGCATGGAGACACACCTTCACTGTTCGTTTCTCACCGACCGCCCCGCCTGCCTTGGAATTTCCACAGTTCGCTTGCACTGGAGGTTTCGATAAGGCACTGAGGTCTGCGGGTAGACGACCACGCATGCGTATCACATTGACACTGGCTGGTCTTCCGCTTGACTGCCATTTACCACTAGTAGACACATATTCTCGTGAAACTTGGAATGCCGGAGAGCAGACTGGCAGAGCTGGTCGACGACTGGACAGTGCCGTCCAGATTGGAGGATGCATGCATCACATCAGTACTAGCGGGCGAATGACGCGCTGCAGACCAAGCCTGCATGGTCATTCTCCCGGGTCCATGTCGGACAGACTGCCAGCGAGGGAGCGGATTGGCTGAAAATCCCTGAATTATATTGCCACGGTATTCGTGGCAAGCTTATGATGTGCCCCAGATATCCCGATAATAGGTAGTTAGAGAAGGTCATTTCAGGAGTAGCAGGCGGCGACCATTGCCAAAAAATGCCAATAGCCTTTAACAAACCCAGCCCGTAGCCCGACTTGGGAATTTGCCACAGGCTGACAAGATGGCGACGCCAAGCTTCGCATGCTGTGCCGCAGCACTTGCATCCGTAGGCAAGCTTCGTTACGGAGTTGCCTGATCCATCACTTTGTATCATGCAAAGTTCTACAGTCATTCATCGCAGCTTTGTTGATCGCTCACCTTGCCGCGTTTGTGAATGGTTTACATCAGACCATGCGAAGAGCCATGCCCTACTATCAATGAGGCGTGCAGATTAGACGATGTGCAATTACTGTCGCGCACCCTCCTGGCACAAGGAATCACGGCAACAAACATCAATGATGATAGCTCCTCTTGGCTCCTCCACTACACCTGTGAACAGTGCTTTGAACACAACGCCCTTGCGATACTTACCTACATTCTCTCCGATGGCGGCTACAGTACGGATAATATTAGCAACCATGAAATGAATCGCCCGCGAGACCTCTCAACCCAAATTCTTGATGTTTTGCTCGCTTACGGCTGGAATATCAACAAACGCTTCAATAGGGCCGGTCGCCGTAGCGGCCCATTTCTCTGGGCGGTCCTTGCGAACGAAGACCTAGTTAAGTACTGTCTTGAGCACGGCGCGAGCGTCCATCCTGAAGGCCAAAGCCCGCTCCAGCCCGACTTTATTACCCAAGACCAGCTTCGCTGCCCGCCTGTACTAGAGAAAGCGGCCGCTAAAGCGACTGTAGCTACGTTTAAGTTGCTGCATGCTTATGGTGCTCCCTTGGGCTGGAGGTGTTTGCACCACGCTGTTCATGCGGCCACATTCCCCTGGATGAGCGGCAGGCCCGGCGGCACGCCAACGCCTGGCACATCCGAGGAGCAGTATCCTAAGGCCCAGACGTACGCCGAGCGTATGGCTATGGTGTATTATCTAGTTGAAGATCTCGGGCTCGATGTTAATGGACCAGACCAGCCGCCCACCCAGATACGACTGCCTATGCGCCGTGGCCCACCGCTCTGCTATGTCTCGGATTCCGACGTTCTCGAATACGGCGCGGGCCCAGAGACCTGGGAAGTCCTCGACACGCGCGAGCTGACGTGGTACCTGCTTGACCACGGTGCGGATCCGCGTCCAGCCCTCGAGAGGCTCCAGGGAGGCAGCCATCCGACGTTTATCGCAGACGTGGAGGCGTGGAGAGCTCGAAAAAAAGCACGGTCGTCTAAATGCTGCTGCCAGTGACGCCGCGGAAGGCTCAATAACGACTGGCCTAACAACTGCCCAACGGATCCTCTCGCAGTCCAATATCACGCGCTTCGATACTGAAGCATTGAGCGACACTTCGCATCTCAGAATATTGATACGTGCATTGATAACAAGATGCGTCTCTGTAACGACAGACAATTGGCCCAGAACAAGCGATAGGAATATCGCAATGAATTCGTGCAGCAGAGCATATAGAAAGCATCAAAGACCTCGTAAAGAGGCTCATGCTCAACCGCGCGCACATATTAGTACCGGCATTCAGCTAGGAGTTGGAAGTACGGGTTGCAATTCTTACCCACATCTCCGCATGTCTTTACGTCCGCACTTCCACAAGTGGTGGCGTAGTTATACGACGGTCGACCGCACGAGACGGTATAGCCGCCACTGCACGTGAGGTTGCCTGCGAGTTCTTGTGCCACTGTTGCGAGAGGCTTGTAAATGCCGGTACCGACGAAGCTGCAGCCGCGCTGGACCACATTGCCACCCCAGTCGGTGATGTCAAATTCGAGCTCGTCCCCGATGATATCAATGATTGGTGAGCCCGGATTTACCGCTACCGACCCCAGCCAGTGAGAAGCCTCAGTGAAGTCATTCGCGCAGGGTTGCGAGTCTGCGGAGGGACGAACTTTCACGGCAAAGTTGGCAGAAACTTTGCCCCCCGGCAGCACATAATTTGCACGCCAGATCTCGATGCGCATGTTGGGATATGTCTCCTCGTAGGCTTTGAAAGCTTGTAGATAGACCTGTACGGCTGCCGAATTCGATGATAGCTGGACTCCACTGGTCGGGTCAGTCAGTGAGTCCTTCGAGGGACCATCCAGCCAGAGCACCGCACTGGACCAGTCTGCGTGCGTCTTGACGAACTCTGCACACAGCTGTGTCTTGCCCATACCACCCAGGCCATGCACTATGAAGACCCGCTGCTGCCGCTCAGGCGATTGCGAGGGAGAGGCGAAGAAGTCTGCCAAATGCTGCATGTCCTGTTTGCGAGCTACGAAGTAGTCCGTCGCAGGGACACCCTTCAGATGGAGAGGGAGGGAGTACTCGCCAGGTGCTGCTGTTCCTTGGACTTTCCGAACTTTATGTAACAGACGTTCCCGCCTGCGTTCCTTGCCCTCGCCATAGCGGATGTTCATGCTAACTCCGAGAATGCCGAAGAGACAGTGCGACAGGTCCTATCCGTGTAGCGTCGCTCGATCGTCGGCCCACGTCAGCTTCTCTTCGGCGCTGATCTGCTCGCTTCCATCGTAGCGATGCAGCACGGCTCGCGGAATGATCGCGACACTGGTGATTTTTGCTATCTGATCTTCCAGCAGCGGGCCGGTCTGCATCGACATGCCGCTCCGTCCGTGACTGCTGTGTCCTTTATGGCCAAGCATCTGCCAGTGCCGCGACATGAACACCACTAAGCCGGGTGCAAGCAGCTCTTGCAACGTCCAGCCCCGCCGCTCCGCTCAAAAGCGTCCATGTCGCGCACTGTCGGGACATCCTCCAGGTATGCCAGACACACCTCCGCTTCTTGATATTATCGGAACATGGAATTGATCGCCGTTAATGCCTCGCGCTCGTTGTTTTGCTTGATGCAGCATGTATCGATCTATAACCTTTTTACTAGCGGCAGATACGCTCTCACGTACGCTAAAAACCCTTTTACCTTGCGATACCCTGCCGTGTCCAGCTCTTTCCTCTCCTGTACGTCTTCCCACATCGCTTCGGTCCTAGCGATCCGTCGAGGCGAGGCGATCGCGTAAGGCGGGGGGTCTGTCCGAAGGAATCACAGAATGCGAAAGCGTACACGTTGAGAAGCCGCATAGTGAGTGCAAAACGACTGCCCAGCGAGCATACACAAAACGGGACAGGCAGTGCGGCGAAGCGCCGATGAGCGAGCACTTTGCATATGCCCACATTAACAGTAGGCTACATGACAGATCAGCTTATTCGCTGGCTGCAAGTTACTGTGTAATTCAGGTTAAAAATGGAAGTCCTACCACTCGCACTATGCTGTTTTACATGCTGTAGTCGGGCCTCTCGATGCTATCTTGGACCATATCAAATTCCCTGCAGTACATGCATTTGCGCCGCCGGCCCTTCTTGTCGTGATATGTTTTGCGACAATGGCGACTATCGTCACATGGGGGACGCCGTTCATAGAGCCTGCTGCGCTCAAAATCAATGAGAATTACCCGGTCGCTGTCGGGATCTACCACAACGTTGCGCATCTCTAGGTCTCCATGGATAACCTGACGCTCGTGAAGTTTTCGTGTCGCTGCAAGAATCTGTGCTTTGTAAACCAGCGATATGGGCTCCCCTTCTGGGAAACGTTTCAAAATAGACGTGCCTCCATAGGAGAGTAGAAGAAGGTGCTCTATAGGCTCTGCTCTTGCCGGGCTTTCCAGAGGGTAGTCAAGCGTGATGCTACCGCAGTATAAAGGGATTCTCTCGCCTTGCAAGTCGCTCAATCGTGCGTATACATCTTCCTCGCGGCGCATGCTATCGGCATCCCCACGTTGAAATCCCTTTGCAATCAAGCAGTAATTCAAGACAGGATGACAGATCTTGAACATGCTCCCCCGATGTCCTGAGAGAGCTAGATCAAGAATGCAAGTATTCCGTGTATCCACATTATTGAGACAAAGCCGCAATTCTTGATGGAAGGCATTCAGCGATAATGAGCTGTTATTGTGTGCCGCAGCAGAGGGGCAGTGAGGATCATTTTGCTCGTTGTGACTTTGTAAAATAGCCCGCAAGCATTGTGTGGTACAGTAGGGATGAGAAATAAGACGACCTTTGTCCATAATAGTAATGAATTGCCAAACGAGTTTGCTCGGGAAGGAGATAAATCGTAAGTTGATCACTCGAGAGGTTACAGCCTACTTAAATGCTCGGGCGCTCGACTTCGATTCGCACCGAGCTGGGTATCAAACAAATCAAGGATAGGCCGTAGACTTGACACAGAATTCGACATAATGACTCATATCACCACGAGAAACCTGCCTAGACAACGAGAAATCAATTGAATCTGAGCATCCGTTGTGCATCCCTCCAAGTATTGCCCTGTGGCGTAAGATGAAAGGACTGGCCCGAGCACCGCACATCCCACGAACAGCGACCATTGCTCTATTACCTGGCACGAGGTTTGAAGGTTTTGGAATCGAGATGTCACTTCCCAATTCTATATTAATTCTGTGAACATGGTGTAAGGTATCATCTGATGTGTTTCTTGCCTTCCATTTGTAGCTAATCCGTCACAGAGAGGCTAGTCGTCCAGTAGCCACCAGCCGAACTCCCTGCATACTGTCACAACCCCTGCTACACCCACCAGGGCAAACCCCCGACTATCAAATTCAAGAAATGCTATCCATTAAAAGTCTCCTGGCCCCATCACTCATTATCAACAGCATGAAAAACAAGATTCATTCCATGTGTTCGTTCGAAGATGTTACCCTCCATCTGAGAAACTCCGAGTTTATGGCTTCCACCGGTGGCTCCTTCATCAATCTCCCCACTTCGTTGATCTAGTTCGAGTATCCCAGTTTATGCGACCCAAAAATTTCATTCTCATGACAAATATCGAACAGAGTTCAAGGACTTGCGGCTTATTACCTATTAGGTTCGCTGCTGGTCCTAAGACGGCGATAAAAACAATAGCAGAAAAGTTCGGGATTCTTTGATTGTGAATTGAAGAGCCTGAATAATGTCTCCGATATTGGGGGTGAGAAGGGGCTTTTCTCTGATTTATCATTTTCGCGGAGGTCCTCGGCCAATGCCATAGCGGCGTAGGAAGTCTGGAAGAACCATTTGAATTCATGAGCCTATATAAGTGGAACGACGGAGCATTAAGCACCATGCGCTATTTCACTCATCTGTATATGAAGTCGAGTCCAGAACGAAAGATGGGCCCGGCACAGCCTGGGAATGGAGAGGTTGGAATGGGCTAGAAGGTTGATTTTTGTGATTTCTGCTTGGTCACGCACACTCGACCTGACCCGATCGACTTTTACCTCCATTCAGAAACGCCACCGCTTCAATCAGTTCACGCTGGCAAACCAGTTCGGGACATCGAACGTCGTATGCGGGCCGGTGAAAGGCTCTGTGCCGAATTGGATCGCTGTGTTTGAAAACATCAATGTCAGTCACAAACTCAATCTCTTCCTTCTCAGGATGAAACCACTTTGTCTGATTTAATCGGACTGGATGTTGTGAATCCTCAAGAGATCCGTGAAAATCCCAGAATACCAATGTACTCATATAGGAAGAAGACAAGAAGGAAGGCTTACTCAACAAATTCTGCGTGCTCGCCGGGAACCCCTCATTGGCGGTGATGTAGTCGAAGAAATTCTTGATGTCTCCAGAGTAGTTTGAAATATTGGTGTCAGCGACAAAGCTAAAGACGAGACAGTTTCCATTGTATCCGCTCCACAAATCCCAAGTATACCCTCCAATGGTAACAGTGGTCTTCTTGCTGCCAATCGGCTGGACACTGCCAAAGCGCGCGAGCCACACCATCAGCTCGTAATCTCCACTGGAAGTGCTGTGGTTTATATCATTCGCCGTAAACAGATCATACGCAACATCTGCTCGCACGTTGTCTAATGTGGAATAGGTCCACCGCGCTGACGTCGGAATGGAAGAGATCGAAGACACAAGTCGTTTTGTGAAGGATAAGCCGGAATAAGAGTATGACTTGACGTTGTTCTCGCCGCCAGCCCATTGCCAGGTCGTCGACCAAGATACACCCGAAGTAGAGGCGCTGTTGAGTGCGCTACATTGCGAGCCGGACGTTGCAGCGCCCTCGCCCCAGAGGTTGTTCTGCACTGTGTACATTTCCTTGGTGTAAGATTGATATTGCCCGCACATGTTCAGCTGGGCGACCGCGCTGCTGGTGAAGGCGAGAAGGGAAAGAGTGGAGCGCATGTTGACTTAGTAGCATAAACTTCTCTCCGAGATGTACGTATAATAATCGTTTGGATGTAACTGAAGTTGATAAAGAGAAGGAGCATACATTAACCTCGGTGGTGAGTCTTACTATCTCTTTATATTTTCATGACGAGGAAAATCACTTCGTACGTATGACTCTATTAAAGTCTATCAATGCGGATCGATCGTCTACGTGTGAACTCAGAAGGGCAGGCTCCAATAAGTGACGTATGAACTAGATAGCATATGGTACACCGCGAGGGTTGCTGGAAATGGCAGGTGCCTAAGAATTCATAGCACTGTAGTCGGTGTAGTAGGCGAAGTGAACGTGGCCCGATCTACGGGCTGCCCTTTGGGGGCCGATCGCCGGTTCGTAGGGTTTAAAAGCCGAGCGTACTCTGGACAGCTGCCCTTTAGGGGCCGATCGCCGGTTAGTAGGGTTCAAAATCCGAGCGTACTCTAGACAGCTGGGCCGATCGCCGGTTAGTAGGGTTTAAAAGCCGAGCGTACTCTAGATGGCTACCCTTTAGGAGCCGATTGCTAGTTAGCAGGATTTAAAAGCCGAGCGTACTCTGAATAGTATCATAATCTTACCGGGCCCTTTACGTAGCGGTAAGGACTTAGTTTATTACTAACTGCTCTAAGGCCTATACTACTATATTATCTACCTACTAAGACCTATTAGCTTTTAGCCTTAGGCTAATTTAGTTATTAGCTACCTTAGATATAGAATAGTAGTATTAGTATAAGATACTATATGCCTAAGGCTAGCTTAGTAGGTTAGGTGTTTTAGGTATTAAATAGTAATTTTAATACGAGAATATTACAACCTTTGACGCTGGAAAGGGACACAGCGGTAGCCGTGTCTAACAACTAAAGACTCGGCAGGCCAAGGTGGGATGTGATTGTTATACAGAAACATTCACTTTGTCGTCGACCGGATAGTCACGTAGTAATAGGCGGGTATGAGGATTCGGGTCCCGCGAACAACCTGCTTGATGTCAATCAACGCATCCATGGCTGTTGTGTCTATGTATCATGCAATCTGACGCCTCGACGGAGTAGAGCCATGGTGTGATTCTGCCAAAATGCGGTCTACTTGCTGTACGTCATTAAGGTGGTCGGCTCCCTATCTAGGTACTCGGGCATCTAGACAACCGATCATGTTGAAGAGAACCAGCCATAGTGAGGATTAACCTCAATCCAGAATCCATTCGGCAAGCGCGGCCACTGGGGCGGCCGCATCGTCTGTCCAAGGGCAGAGCATCCATGAACCTTGCACACAAGAGTACCTTGGTACCTAGGTAGCCCATGAGTTCGGCTCAAAATATCAGGACACTTCATCGGGCTGAGGATCGGCGTTTCCGTCCAGTCTTCTGTCAAACCTTCCCTCACATCTAGCAACCTTGAATCTTGGGAGCCTGACATTCATCTGGCAAGTCGGATCCTTGAGATTTTGACGATACTAGGTAGGGTGCAGATTGACGAGCCTGAGCACAAGAAGCAAGCCTCAGCTTGCCTGCTCAGTGCGAATCATTGAAGTCGGAATACTGTCTCGCTCGGGCAACAATCTTTCGATAGTGATGCACATCCTCTTTGCACACACGCATTTCTTCTGAGATTCATCGTGCTCAAAATCGATCACACTTCAGATTAATTTTCTCTATGCTAATAAAATGTTGACGGCCTGTTTATGTTGGCCACACCTGTCGCAGGAGAACATCGTTTCCGGCGTAACTCTCTACTCTAGAGAATTTTTGAAACAAGGCTCGAGGTTTAAGAAGAAGAAAAAAAACCTGCGAGACTTGCTCTGTGTCCTCAAACGCGAAAAAGCCAAATTGACAGTCGTGTTGAGGCCTCCCCAACATGACACGTCTTGCTCGTAAAATTACATATTTCAAAGCCGAGTCACGCCTATCCACCATATCATATAGCTCCCTTGCTCTTTCATGTCGTGCAAGGCCGACTCTTTCCAACAGCAGATGCAGGTTCATCCGTCAATTGTGCTTCGGCCAGCTGCCTGGAAGCCCTCGCGGTGGGTCCGTGCGTGTTAAATGATCAGTAGCTGGTACTGATCCTGATGTCAATGGTCCAGTCTGGTGCATGGTGTGCTGCGAAGCTGCGATGTCCCAACCCACACCGCGATCTGGCGAAGTTGCCCGGTCAAACGCACGCAGGTCTTGAGGGTCCTACGCCTTCCTTGAACGTGTGGTGCGGTTGCTGGTTGAGACAGTCTCTTTGCCTGTAGCGATACTGGGCTGGTGAAGGGTAGCAGCACCACCGCTCAGACGACGACGAACTTCCTTGACGTCAGGAACCTGCTCATCCTTCATTTCGACGAGAGCGCTGGTGGCACGGCCGCGGCCCTTCTTGACCGGCTTCTTGTATGTCGAAATGTAGAATCCGATGAAGAGAACCAGGTACGAGCTGAGAATACCAATACCAGCCAACGCAGCGAATTCCTTGCCGGCGCAGGTACCGACAGATGGAAGCCACGGGAAGTAAGCATTGGCGAAGTATGTGTACGAGGCGAAATAAACAAAGCCCAGATCAATGACGAACTGCAGGATCTGAAGAATTGTAATGTATTTCTTCCACCAGATCTTGATGCCACGCGCGGATTGGAAGTAGTACCAGTACATGACGACGTGGACTGTCAAATTCAGCGTGATGGGAACCCACGATACCGCAGTCGAGCCGATTAGCTGGGTGTAGCAGAGCAGAGCAGTGGCGCCGTGGTGGTAGGTGTGCAAAAAGGTCAGAGGCTTCTTCTTGAGGAAAAGGAAGCAGGTGTCGATGAATTCGATGTATTTGGTCAGGTAGTTCAGCTGAATCCAGATCAGAGATTCGCGTCAGACGAAGCAAATTCAGGCACAAGATTACTCACGTAGTAGAGAACCACGAGCGGCTTTGTCCATCCACCATTGTAGTCGCAAATGGTGTAGAAAACGCCATTTCTGACGAGGGTCGGAATCAATTGCTCCAAGAACAATACCAAGAGAGTGCCGCTGATGGCGGTCAGGTAGAAATTGTGAACCTTGAACAAAAAGCTCAACTGGAAAGGGGCGCGATCCCTAAGCAGCTCTCGTCCGCCGAAGATGATGATGTAGTATGTGATGAGGGCAATACCGGTCTCGGTCAAGGTGGCCATTGGCGTCACGCCGGGTGTAAACTCGAACTTTTCAGGCTCATATCCTACCACGGCAGTCCATGCCTCTGCGAAGATGGGCCAAAGATGCAGACCAAAAGGTCGATCGAGTGAGGGCACACTCAACTCAATCCAACTGGGAAGCGACATGGCGATTTATGTGCTGGTGAGATGATGACACTGGATGTCTGTTGCAGCGAGTGCGAACGAGGTGAATTTCGGAAATGAAGTTGACAGATGTCAGAAATATATTTCGACAGTCGAGTGACGACGCGGAGGTGTGTGGCTTAGTCGCGTGGGTAGCTTTCGGCCGGGAGTGGCGCGCTTTACGCCGCAAATAAGGAGTGACGGCGGCGATGATGATCGTTCAATCGCCAAAAGAAGGAAAGCAGAGAGAGGCAAAAGTGCAAGATCACGAACAAGTCGGACCGAGTCAAGAGATGTAGAAAAGAGAGGAAGCGGAGGGCGGCCCTCACAAAGCATACAGCCGTTATATTAACAAAAAGGGCAATGGGGAATACACATGACAGTCACAATAACCGCAGTAATTACTCCTGGGCTCTATTGGGTGATGAAAGGGAAGGGGCTCTTCTTCGTTCATTGGAAATTTGCTTGGCGTCAACATTGAGCCGGTAAGCCCGCCCGCTACAAGATCAAGGAAATTAAACTCCCCGGATCGTTCTAAAAAGCGTGGTGAACACCAACGGCTCCGATGGTTTGCGTGCTGATGTGGTCAGGAATCAGGAATCAGGATGCCGGACAGTCCTTGTTGTACCTCGCAATGCTCATCATCCATCTACTTGCCGGCTGATCTACAATGCGCAATGACTGTTAACTCCGTCACCACAACGAAGGTGGTGGACGTGGCCATGTACTATCGACGCGCTCCCGACGCGCCACAGCAACCAGATTGCCAGCGTGTCAACATATGTATTCAACCATTCAGTTGCGAGTCAGTCGGCCGAGACGGGCTGACATTTGTGCTGTCGTCCTATGGCCCAATAATGGTTATCACCATTGCAGTACGATTCGACAGTGCTGTCGAAAAATGAAAATCCTCCAAGGTTCGATGCAGCCCTCTGGCTCCGGGAGTTCATTAGAGCATGTGGCCCCGAAATGCACACGGACCACCCATGAGTATCGGACTCGTTTACAGCAAGCATTCTATCAACAACGGACGAACGACATTTGGCGCGGCCCCACATGTACCTCACTTGGCATCTGCCATAGTAGACGAACATCATTCTCACATACTGCCCTGGACGCAAGGATCGTTTCCAAGTGTTGTGGGCAGAGTCTATTGACCGCTCTCGATCCTGCGACGGCGCCTGGCGACGAAATCGTGATTTGCGTCACTTTGACCACCCATGGCCTATGATCCTGGAACAAACCTCTGCGCATCAGAGCCCGGCATAATGGGGGTCCACTTATCTGATTTTCCGCAATCGTACCGTTGGCTCTGGAGAGCCCAAGTCGGCTTCGTATAGTAGATTGACAGAGTGGGCACTCCATTGGCTATCACATAGGTACATACAGAGTCATGTTTGTTCTCGGAGTTGACCTTCCGAGAAGTGGTTGACGCCCTATACAGTCAAGTAGTTCGTGTACGGCCGAGTGTTCAGCAGGCTCAGTCTAGACTGTCAGCGAGCGCACGATTGCGAGTCACAATGCAGGTGCAAGATGATGTCTGTGCTTCGGTGAGAGCTTCAATGGCGATGTTGATTCAAATGTTTCATGAGTTGGCCATTTGATGTTTGGTCAATATCCCTTATAACCATCCTTGCCACTAAAAATCTATGGAGCCTACATCCAAGCACTACTGTGGTGGAAGCACCAAGGTGAACGAACAGCTTCGCCGGCAATCACTGAGTTTGTGATCTTTCGTTTCGTCAATCCTCTCGTGAGCGTTTTCCTTGTCGGGCGTATTGACAACATTTCAGCCGCCGGTTGGGCGACTTTGAAAGAAGATTTCTATCTCGCGACGCGATGACCATCTGCTCAGAAACCCCGTCAATCAACGCGTAGTCCACAACGCACGTGGCTAGAAAACAACTTACATTTGCACTTTTCGATCGTCGCCGGCGCTCGCGAAAATGGCTGGATTGGTTGGATGCCACGCAACAGCATTCACCGGCCCAGGGCTATGGGCCGGGAGTGCAGCCACCTGTATCGAGGTCGGCCGGCGCCAGATATAGACATGGGAATCTGTGTATTGTCATAGATCAGTATAAAGAAATGAAACGTGATCGCAGTCATGGGATTCCTGTTGGCTACACTTACCTTCACTCCCAGATATGACGAAATTCTCATTCGCGCCGCCGAATGAGCTTCGCACAACGTACTCCTTCTGCACCGCGCCCTCGTATCTTGATAGAATGTCACCCGTAGTGACGTCCATTGTGAAAATGCGTCCTTCGTTCATGCTCACCAACAAATCTCCGTCGCGAGCGAAGTTTACCGATGTGAGCTTGTCCTCCATGGGCCAGTCGTCAAGTTTGCGATAGCCATCCGCCGGATCGAGCGAATAGATGCAGATGTGGTTGCCTGTGGTTGCAGCCAACAAGCTACCAGTGCTGTCGATGGCACAGTCGGAGATCCTACACATGGGCGTGTAGTCTCTCGTGGTGCCTTCGCGCGATTGTACACTATTCCATGGCGGATCGCGCCACGTATGTACTTCGTGCAACTCGCCGACTGTCGGAGTGGCGGTATCATTGCGCAGAGAGTACAAAGTCAAAGGTCGTCGAGAGCTTTGAGAACCAATGACGAATGATTGTGAATCTGGAAGCCAGGCAGCCGATGTCACGGGACAGTCAAAATGCTGTGCATCAGCAACGCGCGCACCAGTTCTAACGTTCATTACGACGAACTCCTTGTTCTCGCAACAGCTGATTAAGTAATGGTCGTCCGGAGAAAACGCGAGATAGCATACTCCGCCTCGGCTGCCAAAAGAGGCAGTTTGATAGCCGGTGCCTGAACCGCCTGCGGCTCGGGAACTGTGTTCGCGGAACTCATGCTTCAGTCGCCATCGCATGGTATCGTAGACGCAGACGAGACCATCCTTCCCCGCTGTCGCTAGCATGGACCCGTCGTGGCTGAACTCGAGGAACCACACTTCATCCTCATGCGACTCGAGCTTATGGAGAGGGAGCAGGGGGAAATCTTCCACAGAGCACTCATGGTCGGTATAGAGGCTAGGCCGATCCGCAGTGTTATGATACCGACATTCTTCGATTTGATCATCTTGCAGCCGGCTTAGCATCGACGCAAGACGGTGTTCTGGGATCATGACCGAAGGCGAGATCGATGCAGATATTTCCGACAATAGCTGAGTCCTACTCCGACCTTCGGCGCCATCCCACTCGGCCTGTACGCGGAGATCTCTTGCGCTTGGACACATTACCAAACTAGATAAAAAGTGAAGGCGATTGGTATCTGTTTTGAGCGGTGTCAATTCTGTGCGTAGTACGTTGAGTGCTGCATTAATCTTCCTTTCCTCGAGCAACTCGAGATATTTCTGCTGCCGGAGTAAAAATCGAAGCCTTACGGTGTCAGCATCTGCCACCAGACGAAGTCCCTTGTGACGTCTATGCCCATTTGTGAGAGTACCATTTCTATTCTCCGAGACGCAATCGCTATGGCTTCGAGGACGAGTCGTCGTTGAGTGACCATGTGTGATGAGCAATCCACTGCCGAGCTTGTCTGCACCCAACAGTAGGTTTTCTGACAACTCCCATTCACCTGCCAGTATGGCAGCTCGGAAATCTGCAGCGCTCGGTACTTCTAAAGCGAAGCCACTCTCCTTAGAGAGTTGCTCCACAGTCCGATTGTATCCGAGGTCACCTAGACTTTGAAGTAAGATCCGCGTCATCTCTTCCCGATCGTGTACACCCATATAGAGCTCGTCACTGCCTCCCCTCGTCGACGCTGCATCACTATTCCCATTGGCATGGATGCCATTATTTGAGGGTGAAGCTGGTATCTGTGATGAACCATTGATCGCCGTGCCTGACTCTGGCCCACGATTGACACCGTCGCCACCAGCCGGCCGCATAATCTGGGCCTTCTGGGGCACACAGAATTCTGTGAACGTGCGTGCCCTTTTGCGCCGTCTCTGAGATGTAGTAGAGCCCGACGCTCCTGTTTGCTCTTCGGGGGTCTCCAGTGAGCTTCTCCTTCGCTTCACTGAGCCTTGCAAGCTGTGCTCAAGATTGCAACCCGGCTGATGCGAACGTGATGTTGCACTCAATGATCGAGGTTGTTGGCGAGTGGTAGATGCAGAAACTTCTACGTTCAATCTAGCGGAATGAGGAGTGTCGGTCTCAGTAGTGGTGGGTGTATGGGTGGCCGTGAGAGGAGAGGTGGTGGTAGGTCTGACCCGTTCGTTATCCAGCGCGTTGATGAGGCCTGCCGCGGCGGCGTTTCGGCAAGTTGTCAGGCGTGGTGGCTGATTAGAAGATGCTTAGAACATGAACCGGGGCTGCTGGCCACCGAAGAAAGCTGTAGTAAGTCGAGCGTAGATTTGTCGCGATCGGAAGAGACACGTGAGTTGTGAAGTAAAGAGGCGCTGGCTCGTTGTGTCGTTCTCGATGGGGAATCTCGGTGAAGCTGAGGTGGCATGGACTGGTTCAAATCATGAGTTCACGAAAGATGCGGTGGTGCAAGCTCACATGGAAAGATTTCGGACAGTGAGACAGATTGATACCTAGGTAGGTAGGTATGTTCGATTACTACAGCCCTGAAGTGTGATCATGGGGTTATTTAGGCCCCATGAACCCGAGACCATCAGCACGGCTTCAAGACGTGCGTGAAGCAGGTGCATCACGGCGTCTACGTAGATAGCAGTGACGATCTCATGTGGAACCGCAGCACCCGGGCTTTGGTAGACATGCGCTCAACCCTGGGCCTCCGATCTATGCGTCCATCTTCTCAGCTTCTTCGCTTCAACACACCAAGCAAGCAGATCTCACACGTAACATGTAGATTATCCGTTGCAACGACGAGTGTCAAATCGGTGGTTCGGCCAAATGATGTAGATCATCCAGCTGGGCAGTGTCGGATCTCTGACTGCAGGAACGCTGACACACCATCCCTCAAGGTGGACGCGCCCGGCTTACGACCTGACGCTTGTGAGTGGTGCGAACAATGCCCTGTTATGATTTACGCTGGATGCCGCATATCCTCGACAGTTTTCCCAAGCACGCCATGTCCGTCCGCGCGATGATCTTTGGTTGGTGTTCAGAGACGAACCCATACGCAGGAGTGTGTGCTGTGGAGAGCCTCACAACCAGTAGAGACATGTGATGGCGCCGCACTATCGGCTGCTCTTTCTGAGGAGAGACGGAGCACCTAACCAAAGTGGAGAGTCACGCGAGCCCAGGATACACCTCCTTCGGGACTACCTAGCTGTCCATGCTGTCCTAGAGCTGTTCTCCCGCAAAGGTAGAGCGCGAGTTTCTATTTCCTTGCATTCTGGACAAAGACCTCGGGAGGTCTAGGAATGCCTCGTGTGTTCGTTGCCCATTCCTTACAAACAAGGAAATGCATTAGACGTCCATTGACCAGAGCCCCCAAATGCCGTTGCATGCGGAAACATGTCGATGCCAGCGGACGAGACGGGCTTGTCTGCCATCAACCAGACCAGCTCAAGATACTGATCGGTCAGGCGGCGCCTGGACGTGACCTATGGTGTCACGCCTTTAGCTGGTTTGATGTATCCCCGACTAGGAATACTTCAAGGGCAATCATTATACGAAAAGACGAGACGGTCCTAAAACGCCCTCCGATTTTGACACGGATGCCGCGACTCGACGCAAGTAGTCAGGACCGACAATCGATGACACCTGCATACAGTAGTGGAATTGGTGCGAGAGCAATAGTACACCTATCGATGCTTCGAACAAGCTTGTGCAGAGGCTGACATTTGAGATCAGTACTGATGTCAAGGACAAAAGGAGTTTTGAATGCAAGAGATGCTCCCAACGATGTACAGTACGCGTGTGAAAGCTCCTCCGCAATGACGCTTCCCCACACTATCGTAGGCATCATCTTTATCCGCGGCTAAATCTAATGTTCCGCTACATCTTTCTACAACAAACTAACGATTCGTTCTTTATTATATGATGTGACCGCTCCGTTGTTGGGTAGTGGTCTTCGGGCCTGAACCCATTCCCTCAGAATTGCATGAACATGACACAACCACCGCCCTTGAAAGGCATTCGAGTGCTAGAATTCGCAGGTCTCGCTCCTGGTATGCGCGCTTCGTAAGACTCCTCGGGTGCGAATATACTAATTGCATGCGGAATAGGACCTTACGCGGGTCTTCTACTTGCTGATTACGGTGCTACCGTCCTCCGTCTTGATCGCGCGCACCCGCAGGCTCACACTTCTGATCCTCCACCTGCGACCTCCGACCAACTCACAAGGCATAAAAGCTCGGTGACGGTCAACACAAAGAGTCCAGAGGGAATTAGATTGATCAAATCTCTCATACCACATGTCGATGTCGTCATCGATCCCTTCAGACCAGGCGTTCTGGAGAAGATGGGTCTAGGACCAGAGGAAGTGCTTCAGAAATTGAATCCTAAACTAGTCGTTGGTCGCATGACAGGCTTTCGCCGCGATGGCAAATACAAGGACATGGCTGGCCATGACATCAACTACATCGCCGTGTCTGGAGTCTTGAGCATGTTGGGCCGAGCGGGCGACCGACCATTTGCACCGGGCAACATTATAGGCGATTTCGCTGGAGGTGGCGCAGTATGCTTCATGGGCATACTTTTGGCGCTCTTTCAGCGCGAAAGGACAGGTCGCGGCCAGGTAGTCGAGGCCAATATGGTTGATGGATCCGCGCATCTTGCATCTTTGCCGCGCTTAACTATGAAGACGCCATTGTGGAGCGGGGAGAGGGGCACGAACATCCTAGACGGAGGCTGTCCATATTACGACACTTACGAGACTAGTGACGGACGTTACATGGCAGTAGGCGCACTCGAGCCTCAATTCTTCGCCGCGCTGATGCAAGGACTCGGCTTCGCGCCTTCACGCTGGGCGCAAAGTCGCTTCGATCGGAGTACTTGGCCGGAACTGCGGACGACCTTCACGAGGCTCTTCAAGGAGAAGACCCGCGACGAGTGGGAAAAGATCTTTGATGGCACAGACGCCTGCTGTACGCCTGTCTTGACGCAAGCAGAGTTGGAGACATCCGGCTTTGATCAAAGACCAATCGTCACCCTTGCCTCTACGCCTGCATATGCGATCGCTCAGGGTGATGCTACGAAGCGTAAGCCTGCTGAGGGCCAGGGTGCAGGCGTGGAAGGTTCGGGTTGGTCAGCTCATGGTCTTCAGCCAGGGGTGGGAGGGGAACGTGTTCTGGCCCAGTGGATGGGTTGGACACGAGGTCATCATTACGAGGTCAAGGAAGGTGGGCTACAGCTACTGCAAGGGGCATTAAACAGCAAGCTGTAGGATTCATTCTATCATGATGGTAAGGTCCAGGATGTCTCGTGTTGCAGCACATGTCCATGCCACTGAACGGTACCGAATAATGTTCTTGTTAATCGGTCAAGGTTTTCGCCATCACCTGCCACGGGTACAGAAGCTGAAAGGCCAGGCTCGCGCTCAACAATACCAAGTTGCATTCTTGCTTGAATTGGACTTTCGGTTATCTTCTGGTGATGTTCATGTGCGTGCGTGCGTCGGTCTGTCAACGGCGTTTTTGTTTTTTTAGGCAGATAAGCAACCACAACCTGGCCGCCGGACCCGAATGATGACGGCGATCAGCTCTGTCATTGCCTCTTCGCGGCAATATCCTGCATCACTTGAAGTGGTCCTTACCTAGGTACCTTCCTTGGTCTTGACAGAGTGCTCTCGGCGTTTGTTGCCGGGTCAGGTATGGATAAAGATAGACCGAATAATTCGTAGCATGTAACCTGATATCTTACGCATGTAGATTACATTCGACCATCCTTTCCGTTGGCCTTCGACGTCGTCTCGGGCTGCACAACATCGTTTGGCTCAACGACGTTCTCGTATTTGCACCTTGAGCACCGTCGTCAAATATTGCGATCCTTCCCACCCCATGCACAACTGCGAGGCTAGCGATCCGATCTTGCGTGAACGAGATGCTGGAAGCGCTTTGTTAATACGCGAGACAAGGAATGATCAAGCTGGAGGGATATCCAACCAAAACAAATCTCTGGTTGTACAGAGCGGAGAAGCAAGGTGTACTGACCGGTCGTGAGGGTAGATGGTCGAACCCCTCCTGACCTTGCAGCTGTACGATAGCGATTAGCGTGCACCAGATCCACAGCAGCGATACCACCAACGCCTGGCATGGGTATATTCTCACGTAAGAATAGCTTCAAGCCGCAAGGCAAACGACCATCCGTCTCGTCTACTACCAGCAGCTTAACACGTCCATTCTCCAAGATGGCACTGCAGTCAAGCAGTCACAAAGAAGTGCCAGCACAAACCCACGCCATCCCACATGTCACTTTGCCCAAAGCTCCCGACCCAAATGTCGATCCGGCTGGCTACCTGCGCAGCATCTACTCGGTCCGGGAACGCAGTCGCATCGTAATGGAGAAGGCTCAGAACGATCAACTACGACATTTCAACGTTGACATGACCAAGTTTGCTGACACAGCCAAATACGTTGTTTCGATCATCAAGGTAGTTCCTCTCCGTACACGTAGGTTTCTGATGCGGAGTCTTCATGCTCATTGATCAATCCAGCGCGATTTCGAACCCGACTATCATAAGATTCCTCCTCATGGTCGATGGCAACACTTCGATGTTGGCGGTCAACCCAGAGTGAACGAGCTGATACAAAGTTGGCCGTCGAGTGTCGACACCCAAGAACGAACACGGAGACTGATCGATCTATTTCTCGTTTCTGTGCTATTGGATGCAGGTGCAGGTGCTCGATGGCAATACAAGACCCAAGAAGACGGCAGAGTCTTCAAGCGCAGTGAAGGTCTCGCAGTGGCTAGCCTGGAAATGTTCAAAGCGGGCCTTTTCTCCAGCGATCACAATCAGCCATTTCAGGTCGACAGCACCGCCTTGAAACGTCTTACTCCGGAGAGCGTTGGGAAAGGCTTGCAGGTTTCGGCGGAGAACCCAGTTGATGGATTAGCTGGTCGAACGAGTCTGCTCGTCAAACTTGGAGAATCCCTCCTCAACAAAGAAGTCTTTGGCGCAAATTCGCGTCCTGGCAATCTATTAGACTACCTTCTCAATCATCCATCAACGCACCGGGGCCCGGTCACCGTAGTCACCCTCCCAACTCTGTGGGATACGCTCATGCACAGCCTGACTGCCATTTGGCCAGCCACGCGCACCCAGATTAATGGCCAGGCCCTTGGAGATGCCTGGCCCTGCGAATCGATGCCATCAGTGCCCTCGCAGCCCTGGCAAAGCATTGTACCGTTTCACAAACTCACTCAATGGTTGACCTATTCTCTCATGGTGCCCATGCAGAAGCTGGCAAACGTCCATTTCGCTGGAGTCGAGCTGATGACCGGGCTACCAGAATATCGCAACGGTGGACTTTTGGTCGATACAGGTCTCCTGACGTTGAAGAAGGCTGATCAGCAGCGGGGTGAGGAGCAGTATCGATCGAATGCCACGCGTGAAGGACAGCCAAACTTTGAGGTGGTCCCGCTTTTCACTGCGGATGACGACGTGATAGTGGAGTGGCGAGCGGTCACGGTTGGCTTCCTCGACAAACTGCTCCTGGAAGTCAACAATCTCCTCGGTCTGTCTGGCAATGACAAGCTCAATTTGGCGCAAATGCTCGAAGCTGGCTCCTGGAAGGTCGGTCTTTTCTCTCTTCACGTACCTACAGTGAATAAAGCAGGGCTAACATTGGTTGTACAGAGCGGGCGAGAGATTGCCGAAGTCAGCCGGCCAAATACAAAGGAGCCACCTATCATGATCCTCTCTGATGGCACCGTATTTTAGGAATCGTGTCTGGCGTCAGCATGGGGTTGTGCGTGGTCTACCACTGACAGCGACAAGCGCAACATCACTAGCTCTGCTCGACCAATTGCAGACAGCTTCGTGTCAAGCAAAGCATCTACAAAGCCTCGAGGCGTCAATGTCTATCCTGCTCCACTCGCAAGCATACACCCGCTTCGAGCTCATCCCGTGCTAGTCAACGCCTTCGGCTATTTGCAAGACCTTCCCTGAGAGCCCGTGGTGAGCACGCCTGTGTGTCCAACTTGGCATTCCATGGAATTGGGCGATCGGTGCTGTACTGCGTCTACTTTCCCTTTATATCAGTGGGCTAGGTCGTATCAAGAGTTTTTCACATTCTCGTCTTTGCAGGAGCTGCAAGCGCCACGCGTTCGGAGGAAACTCCTCGATGAGACTGTGTATTGCGGCTGCACCGCATTAGTCAGACTGTTTCCAATTGCCGGTATATCATTGATGTCGATCCGGGTGGGTGTCCACAAAACCTTTGGGGTTCAAGGTCGAACAAGAAATATACATGCAACGGCCGCAGCTTCCTACATAGAATGTCCTGGTCCGCGAGATATTTAATCTGGCAACTTGCTCAGAAGATGTCTTCGGCGTGTCAAGAATATCAAAGCAGCAGCAGCATCCGTACTCCGCAACGCCATACTTGCAGATTCGCGTGGTGCGAGTGCCTGTGATATCACGATCGTCCTTGTGCTTGCATCGGCGTTCCGTGTGAAAACCCGATATCAGAAACATTTATGCCTCGAGCGTGAATACAGACATGAGTACTTTGTGTTGGGACAAATGTGTAAACACACTGCACAGATAGTGAAGACTGTCAACTCTAACAAAAGGAAGGTCGACTATCATTTCATTGTACCAGCCTCAATGGCTTGCGTAAAATACACCCAAGAAAATCTTGTACGCCATCCCCGTCAATCCAGCCTGCGCCCTCTCTTATACCTACAAGAAAGCCAAGCCAACTGCCGACGCAATGCTGGCATACACAACCGCCCAGCCGGTGGTGGTGACCTGCTTGTTGGTGATCATGCTGGCAGTGTCCCAGGTCAGGTGACGAAGACCGTTGAGGCAATGGAAGGTGAAAGGGAAGGCGACAAGAGCCTTGGTCGTGATGGCCAGGAAAGCGGGCCATGCAGCGAAGCTGGCAGCAAGAACTGACGACTCGACGTGCCAGCCGAGGGTGGGCGCGATGAGGTAGAGCGCACCGTAGGCGTAGAAACCACCGCTGAGCACGCAGCCGGTGATACGGTTCAGAGCGGACAAGTACCAGGTGACCTGAGGGCGGTAGATGGTGAGATGCGGCGCGACTGGGCGGTTCAATCGCTGCTTGACGAGGATGTCGTGGTTGGCCTGCTGGCTAGGAGTAGCGGCGGCGGTCGCGAGTCTGTTGAAAGATAGACATGTCAAAACTGCGGTCCTTCAATGTTTTCTCCAATACGTCGTTGCGGTATCGTACCTTCGCTGAACATCGAAAGCGTTGCGAGAGGCTCCCAGCATCGCTGGTGCCGCGAAAAGGGACGCATTGGTCTGGGTGGCCACTATAGGGCTTGTCAGTAGGCATTCTGCTTGGAGTGAAAGGTCCAGTCCAGCGGGAGAAGTCACATACATCGCCGCAGCGACTGCTGCGCAATCTGTTGAGCCAACATGATGTGATGAGTTACGTTGGTGACAATCGTGTACCGATCTCGTTTGTGATCACGACGCAGCGTGAGGAGGTGTTCGTCGCGACCTCGGACAAAGCGGATGGAGCCGCGCCAATCAGCGGCGAGGAATGATAATCAAGCCTTGGCGCTATTGCGACCATAAGTTCGTCTCGCCCGTCCCCGATCAAATTCTGCTTCCTTTTCGACAGGAATCTCACAACCGTCTGGAAATCACTTATGAAGGTGCGGCGAGCATCTAGCATGGCGTATTGTCTTGCTTCCTGATGCAATAAGTTTTCAAGACCAACTGCCCGTAGTTAATCGCGCATAACGCTCGATCGATGGGCTTCATGCGTTTCATATCAGGGCCACAGAATTCATCAATAAACATGTCATTCATCACTCATTTGCGCGAGCATACAATCTATTTTACCCCAAGCCGGAAGTCGAACTTCATCTCCATGATTCCGTATTGCTACGTCGCGGGAAGACAGGGATTGCATTTCCCGCTTGATGTTGACCGACCAGTATTGGACTTCCTCGTGAGCTGGTCGAGAATGATACTCAAAACGCAGCCATATAGATCAGATTGATCATGGAAACGAGTGAAAGGCCAGGCCACTAGACGCTGATTTTGAGCAACATGGATGTATGGAAATATTAGATTGCATGTGCATGGCTTATGAAAACATCCACAGAGTCCATGGACTGCAGCTGTCGTATCGAGCACAAAGTTATTCCTGGTCGACTCTTGCCGATGGAAAGCCGGCATATGATCTACAGCACTTCTGTCATTTGAACAGGTTGACAAAATTTGAGTCTTCGTGTCGTTGGGTATAACTTACTACGGCAACATCTTTACGGACGCTTCCAGCGTTCTCAGCTCAATAGCAATCAGCAATCAGCAATGACCATGTTGTCACTACACTGAGGTCCTCTCACTCTGTGTATCGTCTATGGACGCAGGAGAACTTCACTGACCAATCGACCGACCAGCCATGAAAGAGCAAGACTTGGAACGATGGTGTCGTCTCGTGTACGTTTTCCTTGGTCATCGACGTCTGAGATGCTGCGGTCTTACCATCTCTGCGCCCAGAGCATGCTTGCTTCTCGAGATCAGCGTCTGACTATGAGGAGGCTCATCTTTGATCTTTAGAGCACCGGATGATGAAAAATACATGGATCTCGTTGCGTATGCTGGCCACCTCGAGCACTCGCTGTGCAGATGTTTACGAGTGGTTGGCCCGAGGACAGCGGGTCTTCCTGTAGAGAAAGGGGTGTCTCTTTGACCTCAGTGCAAGCATCGTTGGACAGCGATGTCGAATTTGCCTTCCATCATTTGCTCACTCGGTCTTCGTATATCGGGAAGTGCTGTATGCGGGATGAAGGCGACGCAATGCTCCGAGTCGCCGCATCGAACATTCACCGCGCATTGTCTCGCGGCGACTGTATGTTGCGTCGTAAAATATATCCTGGGTACCCATCCGTTGACTCGCTATCACAGGCAAATAACGTATTTCGAATGTTGACACTTGTTGATGTTCGACTATTCTTGAAGCACTTGTCCGTGACGGATATCTTGATCGAACTCTGCACAGCTTCGTGGTGATCGATCTGTTTCTATTGATCTACATCTAATATTGACGTTCGCTCGTTTGCGTCATGTGCGATGACACTCCTAAAGCATGGATAAGCGATCGACCGTGTTCGGTTAAAACTAGGTCACAGTAGCATTGTGGACTATCGACAAGCAGCACGCGTAGGAATTGTGCGTCGTCGAATACAGCAGGACCGGAGACGATCAAGAAACTCTTTTAGTCGCATGGGATGCATGTATGCGGCTGGAGAAGGCACAATCTCAAATGGGATCGCGCCTTCAAGTCGCATTTCGGGACAGTCTGACCCATCGTAATAGTGACATATATGATAAGCCCCAGGCCAGCATTCGTCCTGGCGTGGGTAAGTTCAAGGAGCCCAAATTGAGAGGGTCGAAGCGCTCGAGATGATACACGGCTTCGCTTATGCATATGAGCACCGGCCCACACCGTTGCGATGAAGACCGTGATGTAGGTGCGGCACAACAACAAAGAGAGAATTTCACAAAAGTGTACCGATGTTCTCTCCTTCAAGTACCTGATCATATATGGAGTACGTATTTATCCAACAAGAAGTACTGCAACAGTAGCGAGCGTTCAGGCTTCAGCACACGAGTGGCGCTATTCCCCCACAGTTTGGCCGCACTCGTGGTTCAGCCCTGCGAGGATGGGGATGTCTAGATGCTTGATAGAGCTGAGGAGCTGCACCAGGCCGCTCGGCGATATCCCATATTCCCTGTTGACGATCTTCACATGACATCAAATCAACGCGAGTGATTAAGACTGACTCGCGCGCGCTCGCTATCGCTCCGCCCGCTGTAAAGCGCATAGGCGGAGAACCATTGTCGAAAGGTCAATTCCCAATTGTACATGGTGGCACATGAAATGTGTCCATAATCTATCCATGCACGTCGAAGTATCTCCGTATTTCTTCGTATAGGTTGTCACACAGTTTTTCCCAACCATTTCCCAGTCGCTCGAGTCGCTATTCTCCGTCTCACACGGTACTTGGATAAGTACAGTCCGGCTTGTACTGGCGAAGTCGACGCGCATGGTCCGATTTGTGCCTCCGTCGAGAACAATACCCGTGTAGGCGTGCGCATCCTACCACCTGCACACCCTCCTGGCTTCAAGGTCTTGACTATTGGTCGTCACCACTCGTCACGGCGCTGAGAACTCTTCAGATAACGACAAGTCACAAAAGAAGGCACTGGCCAGCTGTCGTGTCAACCTGTTCGGCCGGACTGAAGGTCATCTTCAATCGCAATTCGCCAGGACAAGTGCAGTGAGCTCGAAGTCCGGTCCGCAACGTTTCAGCCCTGCGGCCTCAGCGATGCTTTAGTAGGGGCCTCCTTGGGGTTTGAGACGGGGATTGCCTCAAAACATGCTTCGGAAATCGAGCTCGTCCACAGTCATCCCTCCCTATGGCAACCAGGCATCAATCTCCTGAAGTACACAAACTCCTTCAGTTAACCAAATGCAGTCAATTTCAAGTGGCAGTATGATCGGAACAATTGGAAGATCATTTCGGACAGCTTTTGAATGGCCCAGATGGCAGTCCGCTATCTGGAATAAAGTCCGTGACCGAGACATGACTACTTGCATGTACCGCTACTTAGGGATAATGCCAAGCATGCTGCGACATGTTCTTTCGTCCTTGCAGCAACTCTACAACACTATGATCAACTGTGGAGGCGTATGGTCTCCCTCGCCGCGCAGCATGTACTCCTCTGGGTAATAAGTGAAATAGCAGGACGAGTGGCGTCTACCCCTTCACGGCGTGCCACTTCGCCAAGAACTTAAGAGCGACAGGGCAGTATATGTTGAGTAGGCACATGTATCCCATGGGCGAAGCTGCTCAACCCGAGTAAGTTCTGCTCACCAGAACCGATACAGTAAGCGCTACCAAGCACTCTTCGCAACACCCAAACCCAGGGGTGCGTCAGGCCCCTCTATGTCGGTGAGGGGGGGATGTCGAAGGGTGGTCTGCAGCTGCAATGATACGCCTGAGATGGATGTACGCAGGTACCCTGTAATCAGGTGATACGTATGACCAGGCGTTCCAAGGGAACTCTGGCCATTGTTGTTGAAGCCGGCACGCAGCCCTCGCCCGTCGAAAAGTGGTGTGCACTTAAATTGAGTGTTCACATGTCACTTGTGGGTACCTCAGAATTCCTCTATGTGCAGTAGCATGTGCGTACGCCCCGAACTAGATGCCGCTCAGGCAGTCTTGGAAGATCGGGACATTGTCTTGTACCGTGCGAGCATATCAGCCAATAAATCTTCATGGTGTACGTCTTCATCGTTACCTGACAATCCATGGTTCATTAGTGCTGACTCGTGCTGCAAATGGAGACACTTCGGGATCTCATAGAAAGCGACAAATTCTCGAGACTGCGACGTTATCAGCGGATCATGGTGAATTCAGCTTTCTCCATATCGCAAACTCAATTTGATAGAGACTGCCGATGAATCGAAGCCAACTTCATGGAGAGTTTCCATCCTGCGACACGACAAGTCACTTGATACGTGAAATTGATGAACTAGGAGCTGGTGGCCCAAACTTCTGGGTCAGGGTTGCGGAACCAGCTTTGCCCTCGTTCCGATGCGGGTGCCGGAACCGCTCTACCGAGCAATGCGCCGAGCATGCAGGCTGCCCTTGCAGTTTCGAGAACAACCTGGGAAAGGCCTTACCGTGTTGGCCTCTGACGGGAAGTAGCAATTTACTCGTCTCAAGAACTCCCGGGCTATTACGAGAAATCATAAAATGTTCCTACTCCCTTGGAGGTTGAACGCCCATTGGTGTCCAGAGACGCTCGTAATTGTAAGAAGATGAACAAATTGGAAACTACCGCTGAAAGTTTAATCGTTGCTTACAAAGGACGTCGGGACGTGCGCCGGAAATGTGCCAGGACGGTGGGTCGTAATTGATTGTCTCGCGTTGACAGTTCGACCGCTGAGACAGGTATCTCGGTTCTGTCTGATCGTCATGCGGATGGCCGGGCAGACGTGGCGCCGAACATAGCTTCGCAAAGGTGTGACAGTGTTGCCGACCCGAAGATTTTATGACTCGTTGCCATGTGCCTTTCATCAGCAGGGATCCTTGGTTCGACTCTACTGTTCGAACTGAACTCCGATCGTCTCGAGAGACTATCACATCGTCACAGTACGACATAATGATGAACACAGCATTGCCATTTCCTGGGCGTCGTGGCAACTGCATCGTTGGACATCGAAGCGATGGGAACCTGCAACGGACAAGTTATGGGAAGGAATCGCGTGCGCGGCATAGTGTTTTGCAACAAAAACGAACGCGGCCCAGGCGGCCGAGTACAAAACACTGTGTAACGAGCTTTGGATAGGTGCGCTCGAGTCTTTTGGCTGAACCTCGTCAGGCAAGTAATCACTCGAAACACGGACACGCTCTCCCAACCTCGGGTGCATGCACCTTGATCTTGGAGCATGGTACTGTAGCACTATGGGTGATGAAATACGTGACTTGCAACGATGGTCAATTCGTTTCCATGAGCCCTCCGAAGATTCGGGAGCCCACACGTAAGCATGGCGCCACCACCGCCCATTGCAGATCCTCAACAACGCCCCGATGTTTCCACGAGATTATGGTTCGTGCCCCGGTCGGCTGATTTTTCTGGAATCGCTTGCGGCAGGCTCAAGGCTTCTCCCTGGCGATGCTTTGGCTGAACGAAGATACCAAACCGAGTCGACCCTCCACTGACGCCCGTCCTGGGACATCACCGCCCCTGATGATAGGAATACTCACGAGGTTGGACCCATTGTACCGCCACCTGAATTTTCTCCAAACACGACAAACCACTAATGTCGGAAAGCACAGGTTGACATGTAACATTCGTCGCTAATAATACAATAATACTCTTCGGGAGGGTGTAATCGTTTGCGGGGAAACGGGCTATGTATGCTTTTGCTGTTATCACAAGTCTGAACTAAATTCGTGATACACGGGTGAATACAATATACGTATTCGGAAAGCATGGAAGTCTTTTGTATTGTTCTGGCAAGTACCGACGCGGTCACGCCGGTCGTCTGCTTGGGCTTCTCGGCCTCCAGTCCAGCACATGTTTGTGCCTGTTGTGCCCGTGCGCCCGCCCTGAACATGAAGACTGCTGTTGGAGGTGAAGGATTTGAGTCTGTATGACTTGTGCTTCCGTTCCACAATGCTGCTGTCCGCCCAGAGTGTAATTCTGATAGAGTTTATACATGCCCACCATGACCGTGCCGCGTACGCCGCCGAGATCGATACGATCACAGTTCAAGGAAGGGCTGAAGCACATGACTTAGTACTGAGACATACGCGATCCTTTCTCTTGTACACCAAAAAGGAGACCCCAGGCGTCCAATCGCTCTGTAGAACTTGTCGGCTACGGCAGAGACACATTCGAGTGTTCGGTCTTCGCTCGGCGGCATACCTAGGTACTCAAGGAACGAACAAGGCGATGCTCGATCCGTGGTACGTCTCCCATCGCAGCGCCCGGCGGCACAGACGCTAATGAACAAAGAAGAAGCGAGCAGCCCAGTTTTGCAAACGCCGGTGCCCTAGCCGTGAAACATGCATGTGCCGTGTCATCACTCCGGTCATCCCGTGTACAGTATGAATGATGAGTGGGTTGGATACCACGGGCATCTTCCAAAGATGAGTCGTTGTGAGCAGCGCTTTACCTTGACCGGACGATGTGTTATTAGGAAGATGCCGACAGCAGACGACACCTTGACGCCGGCCGCCCTGATTCCATCATCACTTGGGAGTTGGATCGCGAGAGGCCATGCGCGCGGGTGAGATGTGGAGGAGGCAGCACCCTTGTCGACCGCCATAGGTCAGGGCCTGCCCGCTCCCCAACGCACAGATCAAACGCAAGTCGTAAGCGCTTGCAGACTGTCCAGGTGGTGAGTCCACGAGTACCTAGGTACAGTACCAATGACCTTCTTCGATGTGTTTGCACGCGGAAACACGAAGCATCGTCACAGAGTTCCCGGGAGTGAGTTCCATATCCGTACTTGGAATCGCCATTTGATTATTGGGTACCGCGAGCACATCTCCTGAGCAATGAACAAAGTCGTGCATCTGTTGTTGCGGATGCCGGCACCATCCTGAAGTAGTCCATACCAGCCCAGCCGAGAGGACCAAAGTATAGCGATCCGCACAACCACCAACTTACCGTGCGCCGTCCCCCATTACTTCATTGCACCCATGCACGCATACGCATCGTCCGGCACGCTCACCGAGCTTTCACATCGCGCGCCGTCAAATTACCTATGGAAGCGGGATCAGAACTTCATGCTGGCGATGAACAGTAGACATGATCCAAAATCCGGGCGACCAGAATGATCTGCCTGTGCTCCCTCTGCTTGCCGTACGGGTCGACGTATGTACTCATCAAGAATATCCTGCTACCAGTGTGTCAGAGTTTGGTATCACGATCCATCTGCCGTCGACGAATCGGGCAACGCCATCACACATGCAGCGGTGCCACACTCGGAGGCCAAACTTTAGCTGCGTTGCGACAAACGATACGCCATAGCGCGCGCACACATGAGAGCCACGTCCGCACCCACTCCATCTGCACTATCCCCTCGTCAAAAAAAACTGATCACTGCATCAAGTACCATGCTAATTACCCATATACCTTCGAAAGTAGCCCAATATCCAATATCCCATGATCTCGTACTATTTTAGTGGCGGTACATTTTACGTGGAGAGGCGCTCATCTGTTCACCCAATCCTCACTAACTCAGAAGGACGATTGCTCCCTTATGCTGTACATGTTGACCCTTTGCGTAAGAACTGTACGGGTGTTCGGATGCATCACATACAGCGCGAGTGAAGTGCCTACATGCATGGATGCGTCGAGCTGAGGGATACAACGAAATCATCCTGTAGTTCAGGTGCATTAAACAGCCCGCCCATGGAGCCAGTAGATCGCACTGTACAATGGTCCCACACAAATGGTCCCGCACGGAAGTGATAATAATGGACTGACGGCGATGATACACACGAAGTCCACAACTACCGACCAGCAGGCCACCACCACCACAGCATCAGACTTTTAAGGCACCCCCCTTCTACTTTTAGGCGGGAAGAAGGTGCTCTGACCGCAGTCTACAGCCCTGGAGGACTACTGTACGTTAACAATTGTAATTGTGGAGGTGGAGGTGGCATTCATTGTCGTCCGGGTTGTACTGTCCTGGCGCACGCTTTGCTCTCATTCTCTCACACGCGCGCACTCACACCCAGACACACATACATATGCTTTGCGCACACACTCACGCAGTCACATACACACCACACCACACCACACCACACCACGAGCGCAGTCTTCACCCGGCGAGTCGAGACTGCTATCGGCAGCAGCAGGTACTGTGTGTCATGTACCTCCCCTTCTGTCTGCCGCCGCCGCCTCTCTGCCTTGTGTGGTGTTGGTGGTGGTGGTGAATTCCCGCGCTCTATCTTATATTATACATTTCGCTAGCATTACCATCACCTCTCACAGTAGATCCCGGGGGTCAGACCGTGCCCGGTATTGTTTGCTCCGTTGCCCGCCAGCATCATAATCGTCTTCGTCGTCGTCGCCGTCGCCGTCTCGTTCTGTTCTGTTCTCCTCTCGGTGTTCCCCTGCTTAGCGAGATCAATCGCTTTACCTTTCTTTCTTTCTATATCTCTGCGCTCTCAACCTCTCCACTCGATCCCGGCCTCTCCTGCTGTACCTTTCGTGCTCCGCACTGCTTACTAGCGCCATCGTCGTATCTCACTCGGGGTCTCCATATATATGGTCTCTAGCCATCCTCAGGATTGACAAGCGCTTTCGCCACTTGAGGTGTTCTTCAGTGCCAACACCTTCTTTCCCTGTATTTGCATCGTCCAGGCTTTCGGAGAGTAAATACTTTGGCCTTCCTCAGTTGGCAGCTCTCTAGGTCTTCCGGTCGACGAACTCGACGTTTTCGACTTCATCTACTTACTACGCCGTCAGCGCCGATCGCTTCCTTGCGCTTCAATCATTCAACCGTTCGTTTGAGTTTTATGTGAAGCATCTATTCCTTCCCACTTTGATCTCAAAGTGTTGAGGAATTGTCTACCTTGGCCATAACGACCTTTCTTCCTTGCCACTTGCGTATTCTGGAGGACCGCTGATAAGTCCTGATGACACGATTCGGCCATTCCGGGGACTTTTGATGATCGCAACTTACCATTGAGCCATGTACTTCGGAGACACTTTGGCTGAACCTATGCGGGACTTACCTTTACACGAGCGGCAGGCCAGCGGACATTACGCATCCTACGCCGCTCCAACGCGTGCACAGGCGGACCTGCCTTCACCTTACGAGCCGAGGCCATCGGAGTCGTCTCGGCCCAATCACGTCAACGTTTTCGCTCCACGAGGTCCGCAAGGCCCGGCACAGAGTCCTATGAGTGGTCATACCGATCCGCGGCCGACGCACCATGTGCTACCGCGCCTGCACGACATTGTGGACCAGATACACATTCGAGGCTCCAGCGTTGCGGCGTTTCCTGCAAGTCCTCCTCACGGGCAAGCATCATACGGGAATCCTTCCTGGCAGTCAATTCCTCCCACAACCCAGGGTCCGGTGGCATCGTCGTTGCAAAGCCGTCCGGGGCACAAGGTGGACCTCCCGATCTTGGAGACTCCCGTGGGTAGACAGGGTCATGTTCCGACCACCCACTCACCGTATTCCACGTATCCTGACAGCACGCGCGACTCTAATGGTTATAGGCGCGAGGAAGTTGTCCAGGGTCATCAATCAAATGGAGTGAATGGTCACCCTCCTCACATTCCGTATCTATCCAACGGGCCAGACCACGGTCAGCACTATCGCTCCGCCAGCACCACAGACCATTCAGTGGGACGTTACGGCGGGCCCACCAATGTAGAGACATCTAACAAGACGTTCTTGCGAGCCGAGGAGGTGCCCGGTCAAGGAAAATTCTACGTTTATGAAGGCGGGCATCGTATTCCCGCTCAGGTAGATGGCGAGGCCGTCAATCCGAATTGGGGTCTGACCAAAGCTATGAGGCCGCGCAAGCGCCTTGCGCAGGCCTGCCTCGACTGCCGAGAGAAGAAAATCAAATGCGAGCCTGGTCAATCTAACACGTGCGTGCAATGTGAAAAGGCCAAGCGTCCAGAGGTGGCCACAAGCAAGTCCGGCTTGCTTGACTTGCTTGACTTGATCCAAATGCGGTTAGTCACCAAGTCAAGTCGGCCAGGTTTTTATG